CGATTAGCGATGCATTCACTTGGTTGATTATATTCGATGTGCAGAAGTGAAAGACTTTCATTACGATGCGATTTTATATTGCAATTATTTATATTGTGCCTGTTGAGATTTGCATTCTGAGTCTTTGGGGCAATCGCTGCAAATCAACATCAATTTTTACTTTTACTTTGATTTCTTGCTAGGGAAATTTTTGATTTGTGCCTTTTTAATCAATTTCACCGCGGATTTTGAAGGAAAAAAATTATTTGTGTCAGCGTTTTATTTTCGATTAATAACTGATTTTATATTTTTATGTGCGTATTTACAAAGAGTATTGTGCGTGTCGAACGAGACTGGCATTTTTTATGATAATTGAATTAATCGCCAAAAATATAACACGCATAAAAATAATTGCCCTCATAAACAAACCGTTTTGTTTTGACAAACAAAATTCAATATTCTTCCTATCTGTTACTGTTATAAATAATGTTCCTCACATATCATACACCGGATTTAGAAAGCTGTGTTGCAACGCATTAATTGAATATCAAAATAGCAATAAAATTTGTATATTAATGACTGATTAATTAAATTTAATTAAATAAATATTTACCAACATAATTCTATTAACTAATAAATGTTGCAAAATGCATAGTTAAAATAATTTGTGCAAATTTGTCAAATAAATACCTAATTAAAAATTAATAATTGCAATTTGAAATTAGCGCTAACATAACACCATAAGTGCTTAAATATAATTATATGATCGTGAAGATAATTTATGTGGTAACATACGTAACTTTAACGTTCTCTAACTACGCTTTTATCGGTTATTCTTCTGGTGTTCATCTAGCTGGCACCTGCATAATGCTATCATACAGTTTTAATTAGCGAGGTTGAAAAATGTCACTTGTCGCTACATTAACCGGCGCATCGTTGCAAAAAGGCTGCGCACGCCAATTTAGCAGATGTATCTTTAATTTGCGAGTTATCATAGACTTCATCGTTGTGTGCCATTATTATTGGTGAGATAAAATTGTTTTAATATTACTTTATTAACAATTATCAGCTGTAAATTAATTTAGAAATGTAAGAAGAAGTTATTAGCAAAAAAGTTGTTATTGCGAAGAAAGTAATTATGTTTTGACAAATTACAATTTAACATGCAAAGAGGAAGTGGCCATGAATTATGATTAATTGGGTTATAATTTTAGAAACATGCGATTTCAATCAGCGCAAATTTCTAATTAATGTAGAATATAGTAACATGTTAATGGTCGTATTATTACCCGTTAAAAGTTTAGCATTCTTATTTCGAAAAATTAAAACAAAAATAACTCTATATTGTTTTCAAAATTAATTTACTGGTGCATTATTTTTGCTTTAAAAACGTCTACTGGTCTAGATATTTATGTGCACATGCATGAAAAATAAACGTAAAAGTGTAATTAGCAGGTTAATTGCTTCCTGATGCCATCATTTATAACCTTTAGTTTTACGTGTTATAAAAATTACATTCACACACATGCTGAGGATTACTATCGAACCGCACAAACAGCAGTCGGTCGCAATGTAAGTCATTACTTTCTTCTTGATGTACTATTTGATCTGAGATCTCATACGACGCTTTCTTTACGATGCTTTTGCAACTTTACTGCCACTAAATAAAAGCTTAAATCAACTAAAACTCAAGTTTTAAATCTCAAAAACTCAAATTTTATTACTGATTATGTAATGGTAAAGCAGAAAAAACATAGTAACTTACTAAATGCTTACTGAGCATTTAGAGCATTTCGCATTTTTACGCTCAATATAGTTTGAATAATTTCTTTGACGTTTTACAGCGTTTTTTCTTGTTGATTATGGCATGTCATCGTTGCGTTTACCGCGCGGTGCATTTTACGATCGTTTTTATATCCGCATAAAACAGTTGGTACATAACAATAATGACGATCAAACAATTGTGATATAAAACAAATATTTATACACTTGTACTAAATGAACACAACATTACAAAGTTTAGAGTATGAACAGATAAATGTTCTTAACCAAACTGCGATTTCTAGCACAACAAAACTACACAAATGTGTAAACTAATTACATGAGAATAAATTGTTGCGGAAATCACAACTTTACAATGCATTCTAAGAAATTTAGCAGAATTGTACTCCGTGATTCAGTGATGGTAATCTGTACAAGCTATAAGACATCTTGATTGCACAATTTTGAATTAACCCAATTCGAGAAATCGAAATCTGAATAATTCTCAACAGCTGAACCTGATCATGAACTTGAATAACCTACTTAAATCATTCAAGAGCGTGGGTGCATAAAGGTCGTACATAAATTGTAAATTGCACAATTACTAATATTCCGAAATATAGGTACCTACAATAATAATACAACATGATTCAAAACTGAGGCATTTTAGTTTTTTTAACACTTTCATCTACGATGTGAAGGTGAATTACATCAAGACAGGAAATAGGTTGTAGCTTTCGCCAAATTTCAAATATTTTAAGATTAAATTGTCATATAAAAAAATCAGTAAAAATCTAGAACGATTTATTGATGTCAATAACCATGATGTTTAAGTTGTCATCTTAATTACAATGTATATTTAGTAGAAAACGTGTTACAGGGAATTAGTTATAGAAATTAATAGAAATTGAAGTTTGACACAACTTTGTTGGAGGCTGTGTGATGTGAGTCGCGGCTATTCACGCACGTCGTTCGACCAGCGCGTTTATAATCGAGATACTAGATGATTACTAGGTCAGAATGGACCAGGACTAGGTCACATTTCTTTTTATCTCTGCCTACTTGATTCGTTCATACGTGAGTGTTGAAAGATGTTGGGAGACGACAATATGTTGCGGTGTGTTAAGTTTATGGCTAGAGTTTTCAGGCACCGGAAGAAAAACTAATTATATTTGTATAATCATTTTATTAAAGATGATTTAAGCCTTTCAACGCATTTCTACTCATTATACAAAAATATTTAATATGTAGTTACGTATTTACATATTCAATTATTAGATGTGGCTGAGGAAGACCTCACACAGATAAATCTGTCGTAATAATGACCTATAAACAATTTAGGGCTATCGTTTAGTCTGCAGCATAGACAATATGATTAATTGCATATAAATAAATAATGATTACATTACCATACATTTACAATAATTATATACAAGAGTTTTGATAGATAAAAAGTTATACACATTTTTAATGCGGTATGCTTTGCTATTATATGTAACCAGTCGTACAACACAACAAATAATATTGTACGTAATGCACGGTGTGTTGCCTACGTTGATACTCAAGAATGTTTATTTTGTGTTGGTTGAATGGCAAGCGGTTTAATTGTTGAAAAACATTTCAGGCGTATGCCATGGGTTCCGTTATCCCTCGACGTCTCGTCTTCAATAACTCGTTTCATCCAACAGTAGTTCTTCAGATGTGTCAGTGTTTACTTCTTCGATCAGAGTGGTTTAATAAAAGTAAGTTTTAAACTTTTACATTTTTCAAATATTTCAAATTCTTTAAATTATAACAAACAATTTTTATAAAAATGTTTAACATCCATATTTTGAAAAATTTAATTAATTTATTTGTTGGTACAATATTTTATGATAAACTAACACATATTTTAACATTTTAATTTATGCGCACTTTATTAATTCACCTGTAGTAATTCTAATTTGCGTTACACGCTTCTTAAACACAGCTATTGTGTCTAATTTCATACGGTGCATGCATGTGAGAGAAATTAAATAATTCATCGTAGAATTGCAAGTTTTTATAAAAAGTGAAAAAGTTGACCTATAAAATTAGCAATTTCTAACATGTAACTTTATGTTAGATATCTTCTCGAGGTAATTATGCAATATAGTCAATGAATTAATTAGCATCATAGATAGTCGAAGGATGTTGAAATATTTGCGATTGAGTTGACGCTAAGGTGTTATCATTAAAGTAAACATTACATAATTCATTTCGTCGCAAATACTCGTAAGTACAAGTGTGGAAGATGTCAAAAAGCTGGACACGTCCAAAAGTTGTCGATGTACGTGCGCTTTGAATGACCATGAAATCACTGCCATGGTCAGGGAAAGTCAACGAACTTAGCGGTATCATTCCTCGAGTATGTCCATTACGTTTCCTCCACCTTCCACTTTGGATGAATAGACATCCGAAGACAACAACCGCGACGTCGGACAGTGTGGTACACAGATTCCAACGTCTTCATTAACACACATCAACATATTGCGAGATAAATTACTCACAACACAATGGAAAATAACAATTCACTTTGAATTAAATATCTTTATTGCAATTCCATATTTGAGGTTTATGCATTACTGCATGTTAACTGTAATAATATTTGCAATAATTAAAATATTTACCTCTATTTTACTATTTACTTACTAAAACGGCATTTCACTAATAGCTCAAATACAGTTGTGGTATTTTTTCTGCTAAATTAAGCCTCATACTTAAAATGTATTCATGAGGAGCGTTATGAGTTCTTATGATTCAAAACAAACAAATCCAGCTAAATAATTCACGGAATGCGACAAACAGTTATGAAGCAGTACGTCATTGCAAACATATTCATTGAAGCGATAGCTAAAAACATGTTCAACGACAATTACTATTTTTGATTTATTTAATTAATTTAATTAGCAGTATTAGTAAAAACTGAAGAAAAAAACCCGCATGATAATTATCTACAGTTAGAAGTTGAAGAACCTTTCAAAATGATCGGTTTAAACTTTTTGTTGATGCAAAATTTAGCATGATAAGAATAAAATTGCGAGTTCTGTAACAGTACAAGACATAATGTAGTACGCCATGACATTAACCTTTTGTTTCTGTTTGTTGCAGGTGTAAAAAATGTTAAGCTACACCGGGCAGTGGTGTCTGGTGGTGTCCTTAATGACACTATCATTAGTCATGTCGATGCCGACGAGCAGCAGTAGCACGACGCCGACGACGTCGACCACATCCAGGTACCGATCCGACGAAGACGCATTTCTTAACAATCCTCGTAGCATATCGATAATGAGTAACAAAACGACGTCAACTTATATGCAAGCTCTACGTAGATTAGCGAACATTACCATAAACGAAGAACTGTTAGTTACCGACAATCGCGCGCGCTCACAATCACATCGCGGCACGAAAGAAACGCATCCGGCCAACAAAGAGAATTTCATTAAAATCAGCGTGGTTAAGTCCGATACGAAAGGCAGCCGTAAACAGCCGCCGACGGTTAAAAAGCCGGAAAGCGCCACGAAAGTTAAATTAAGTCCGAATACGAATGTGCAGTTGAAAAACGCAACCGTTACATACCACCGCGGTACTGTTGGCGGTGGCATTCGTCTTGTTACGACCACATTGAAACCCAAAACAAATAACACAATAATCAAAAAAATTAAACCCACGTGGCCGTTCACCACAATTAATAGCAAGCACGATCTTAATAGATACAAGAATTACACTCAGTTGCACCGTAATAGTAATTCTACAAAGAAGAATGAACAGAAGCAACAACAACCACAAGCGCAACTACAACCGCAACCACAACCTGATTTTGTTTTGTATCACATTCCCGCACCAGATCCAATGCCTGAGGTGACTTCTTATTCCCCGCAATATACTTTTGAAAGACCTCCTCAGACTCCCCAATCAGATCTAAATGATAATATTGTTCCATTGAGCGCGGTTGAAACCTCATCCAATGGTTATCCTGCTGATGATCCTAGTGACCTAGGTGATATAGTCGATATTCCTCTTGGTACTGTTGATTTGGATCTTATTCCAGATGCGCAAACCCAAGGGGAGTTCTATTCGGCCAATTCAGGGGGTAACCCTTGTCCTTCTTATCATTTGACTAGTAATGTGTTTGCACCTCAATCAAAACAAGCCGGTTGTCCTGATTTGAATGTAGTACTTAATTCCCATTATCACCCAGCTACGGATACACGTCGGCCGGAAACTGAAGCAGTGGCACCTGCTGCGTCTGCTCCTTTAGCTGAACCTGCCGCTCCGGCAGCAGCTGCTGCTGCTCCTGCCGCTGCTCCAGCAGCCGGGCCTGCTGGTCCAGCTGGAGCGGGTGGCTTTCCTCCATTAGGTGTACCCCAACTCCCTGAATTTCCTATGTTGCCTAATTTGTCAATTCCGGATTTGAAAGGTTTAATGGGTATATTCGGTGGGCTTTGGAATATTGTTCGGACTGTGTTTACATACCTCTGGCCTGTTTTAGTTGCTATACCTGTAATTGTTTTTGTCAAAACATTGATAGCTACCTTTTTCGCGATTTTCCCGTGGTGGTTCCCTGCGCTTTTCTTCGTCGCCAAGTCCGATAATAAGGAAAAAACACATTATCATTATAAACATGTCCACAAACCGGTTGTGCATCCAGATGGATGGTTTTGGAATCACCAAACTAAAACGTGGACGAATATTTTAGACACTACTAAATTATCAGGTGGTCATCATCCTTACAAAGGACACCGTCCACTGCGTATAAAACATAAACGAAGTTTAGAAGAATATAAAGCTAAATTTAGATAGGTATCAAATACGGCCATAATAAATTTGAAATTATTGATAAATGGAAAAGAAAACGTTGAGCTTGCATATAAGTAAATGGCAACAACTGTTATTTAGTTGATAATTGTTATTTATTATGTAAATTATTTAATTTATTTTATTTCAGAAACATTTGTGTATATATTATTTATTGTACGTGTAAAGAAAAATAATAATGAGAGAAACAAATTATTCTTATTTCCTAGTATGGCCTCAATTATCCCATATCCTTTGTAATCTGATGATTAACCTGTGGGCTATGTAATTATTTTTGTTTTCGATTGTTTTAGAACAAATGTATCTCCTATCAGCGAAACGATGAAACAATTAGCCGATCAATTAATGCAACTGAACGCCACATCGCATATTACATTTGATACAAGGACACCTCCAAAGTTTCGGGAACAAACACGGCGTGATCATGCTGAAATTATTGAGTTTGGACACGCAGGTATTGCGGAACCTGTTGATGATGAAGCGTTGTTATTGGATGAAGCGAATAAAAAGATGAACTTTTACAAAATTGACAAACCCACAACTGACAGTGGACTTTCCACATGGATCTTACTAAGCGGTCAGTCTTCTACTAATAAACCAACGAAAAAAACCGCAGTCCAAGCAAAGAATGCAACTGCAAGCAATGACGATAAAGTCATCAAGCCGATATTCAAAAGGAAGTCGACGACACCAATACCGGCAGCTTTGTCCACAACGAAAAAACCGACCACATTAGTGTCAACAACTTTGAAAGCAAATATTGCAACAACTGCTCTTACTACAGAGAAGCCTGAAAAGACTACGAAACTCACCAAAGTTAAAGCGTCCTTTGTCAATAACACGAAAACGACGCAATCTGTTAAGAAGGTTACCAATACTGCTACAACCGCCAAACCATCCAAAACCACACCTAAGTTGGAAGCATCTACTTTGTCTGTTTCTACAAGCACAAAGAAAACTGATTTTGTCAAAGTCCCCACTAAATCCTCCGCAAGTACTGAACTGCAACCTGAAGCCAAAGAAGGTACCCTTGACTTGTCTACTACAACCACCGATAAGAAAACCAAGCGTCCAACCACAGCATCTCCGAAAAAGAAGAAGAATAAAAACAGGCGTAAGAAACCAGTGGCTGAAGATAAGATGGATTCTTCCAATTCTACAAAATTGTCTACGAAGAACAAGGAACGTCCAATTGGGACACAGCTTTATAACTATCTCAGCCGAGAAGTGATGCCTACCGTTGGAGTTGGTCTGGTTGGTTTGATGGTAACAGCTGGTCTTGCAAGTTACTTCCTTTATCCGTTCGGTGCGTTACGCAGATCGTACGAAATTGATAGAAAGGATAAAGAAGGTAATTATCATTACACAGATGAGTACTCTGGAGGCATAGCCGAGGAGGAAGCAATTGGTAAAGTAATTGCTGGTATGCCGGTGAATAATTATTACAACACCAGATCACACAATTCAAGAAATACATACGGATTGAATGACTATAATAATGGTATGAATGTGGGCTATCAACCAAACAGTCGTTTCAGGAATGTTGATCAACGTTATATGGAGGGTTCTGTAGAAACGGTTGCTTTGAATCCCTTGACAAAATATCAAGCTGAAGAAGTGATTATTGGCAGTCCAAAGAAGAACACTTACTCCAATCATAAAGATACTTATGAAACATTTGAAAAACTGGAACCAAACAAAGATTCTGTTTCAATCATGAATGATGACGAGTTTGTAGTTGGTAATGTACCACAAGAAATTGTTCAGGCAAGTACTGAAGCACCGACACCTGCGGTTGTTCCTGAACATGGTCCTAGAACAATTGAAGAACAAAATGCAGATCACGAGAAAGTTTTTGTAGTTGAGAGTGTTCCAGCGCATGCAGAAGCATTGTATTCAATGGAACACATGCCCAGAAGAAGAAGGCGTCAAGTACCACGTCGTATTGATAAAACAGAAAAAGACGTTGATAATGAAATTGATACAAGCGATAAGAAACCAAGTTTTGTGCCTACCCCAACAACAACTTCAACTTCCACGACAATTAATCCTACTTTACTTCCAAACAGCGACTCAACTAAAGAAACTCTTTATGACACTACCACAACAGATGAATTCTTCACCACCACAATCAATCCAATAGCTGAAAAAACTGAAACTATCTTCGGGTTGATAAAGGATTTGATTTACTTGAAACTACGTCTAGGATTGCAGGTCCTGCATGACAAGGCGCAAAGTTTAACAAGGTATTTCAAAAATGTACAGGAGAGAATAGACGTCACATACAGAAATGTTAACCAAACGATTAGATACAGTTAAGTAAATGTAATTTTCATTTCTCAGAGATTACAGAGAAAAAATCCAGTTTATATAATAGCATTTGGGCGATACTTAAATTGTGTGAGTAATATGTAGATTTTAAATCAAGTTTAAGTTAACACTGGGTAAAACATGGTGATTGGTTTGTTAATTATTGAATAATTGATTGAACACTATAACTTTTGTGATGTTTGACAATAATTTATCACTTAACTTAAACTTTGTTTAAAATTTGGTAAAAAATGTATTATCTTAAATGTGACAAAATGTTATCTTGCACAATTCAAAATGCTGGTATTTAATACATTTCTATTATTTATATAAAGAATTTAAATATATGAACTTTAATTATTTACTTTTATCGGTAACGATAATTTTCCATATTTTTTTACTCTCATGATTTGATTTTTTCCCATGTTTATTATCGTGATCGTGATGAGCACCATGGCCATCAGCAATGTGTTTACCTTTTGAGACTTTCTTCTCGTGTGAATCTTCATGACTTTTATAATCGCCATAATCATCATGCTTGTATGCTGAATCGTCATGCTCTTTGTGTGCATGATGCCCCTTTTTGAAATCTTTTTCGTCCTCATGACCGCCATCTTCGTCCTCATCAGAATCTTCATGATACTCATCGAAGAATTCAATTTTCTTCACGTACTCATCTTTTTTACGCACGTTATGTGTTCCTTTCGTAGCGTGTCCTTTGTCATTTTCCCCTTCTTCTTCATACTGTGTAATAATTTATTCTATTTATTTCTTTAACTACTTTAGTCAAATAATTCTTACCTTAGATCCTTTCTTCCCACCATCTTCTTCGTGTGATGCGGCTTGGTAATCTTCACCCTTATCAAATTTCTTTTCATCACCTCCTTTATCTTCATGATGACCAGATTTCTCATTCTCAACGTGATGTGCCTTTTCCACTTTATGTTTTACGTGTTCTCCTTTGTAACCCTTATCACCCTTCTTTTTCGACTCTTCGTGGTGCTCATGGTGGTCGGTTTTCTCACCCCCAGCCTTAAACTTTGTGTTGACAGGTTTCGGTTTGTGTTTTTTATGATGTGACTCTTCAACATGTTGGTCACTTTTAGGCTGATTTTTAATTTCGGTATTTGTTTCAGCAACCTGTTCTTCAGATAATTCCGGGACAATAATAGGAGCTGCAAGTGAATCCTGCTTAAGAGGTTCATCAGGTACGTAAATTAAAAATTCTTTCTCTTTTTCTGGTTGAATTGTTTCTTGATTCGTTTCTTTTAAATACTTCTTTGGTATCAATATTCGTTTCGAATTCAATTTTCGAAGTTCTGCAGGTGGATCAGGTTTCAATCTCCTCTGCTTGATAACTGATTCCGCTGTTTTCGGTTCGTGATTGTATGCAAAGGCGAGGGGGGGTTGCAATAGTTTCGCGTACTGACCCAGCGGTTCTCCTTTAGATAAGTCAGTGATAAAACCCGACGGACGAGGTTGTGCAGCATCTAGTATTCGTAAAACCGCCGCGACGAAAACAAACACTTTGAATACAGTCTCCATAATTGCACGTCCGCACAGTGTAAACACTTTCCTTTAAATGAAAACAATACAACACTGCCGAGTGATTTATATAAGAAGTGTTGATTAATTCCATTTTGTGGTCGGATTTGGATTAAGTGCGCGCCAATTCGTTCGGTCGAATTGAAGAAACGAATTGGGTTATTCAATGCACCGGTACGCAAACAAGCGTGATAATTGAGCTGTGAGTCTAATCATCATTTTGCATGCGCTTTCTATGGTGAAGACAAGCGATGCAAAAGTCATCCATGCTTGATTTACTATCCTTTCTATTTTTCTTCCTTCCTTTCGTGCAACGCTCTCGGAAAACTAGTGCAACTCGACTCAACTGCAAACCGTAGCGAAAACAATAACAGGTATGTAATACCTGCTGGTTACTTATTGAATTTACAACTTATTTATTAATTAACACATATAAACAATAACGATTACATGTGGATCATACCTTAAAAAAAACGTAGTATAATTTATAAAGTCAATGCAACATTTAAACTTATTCAGTTGATTAAAACTGAGGCAAAGGTGATTTTACGCATGAATTTTACAAACTCTTCCTCGGTAACTCTGCCGTCTTCGTCAACGTCAGCTTCATCTATCATCTCGACAATTTCCTCTTCCGTTACATATTCTCCCAGCTCTTCTGAGACTCTCAGCAAAGTTTCGGTCGTTATATATCCGTTCTGCTCAGCATCAAAGAGGCGGAATGCCTTCAGCAATTCTTCTTTCGAATCTGGTGCGCACATTTTGCCGGCGATCAACGTGATGAAATTTTCGTAGGACAATTTTCCGGAATCCTCCGTGTCTACCTCGGCAATCATCCGCTTCATTTCTTCTTTTGGTGGCTCAAAACCTAGAGCACGAATTGCCACTTTAACTTCTTTAACATCAATACGGCCTGTTCCGTCCCAATCAAAGATGTCGAACGCCTCTTTCATATCTTTTTTTTGATCCTCCGTGAGTTGAAACTTTGGTCCTTCTGGTCTTTTCTTTGGTAATACACCACTAGGAGCGCTTATGCGTAGAGATACAGTGTCTATAAAGTCTTCCATGGTGTTCAAATTAATTTGTTATGTCAAAACGATAAAGGAATTAATATGACATTGGCTTGTTTCCAAAGCAAACTCGGTTAATGTTTAGTTTACATAAATAAAAACAAATTCGCATGAGCACCCTTATGCCGGTGAACCTGCGAAATATGGAGGGGCAAACGGGTTCGAACGATTAACCCGTACGTTCGAACATGTTGGAGATACCTCTGAATATGGGTAACAGGAAAAAGAGAGGTCACCATTAAAAGAATCGCAGTAATATATAACAAAAATACATCTTGTTTATTGCAAAAAATATAATACATCATGTCAGTACAAAATAAAGCGACTAATAATGTATATTAAAATATGTTATTTAAGCATTAAAACATACATTACATAATAATATGCAACAGTCAAATCTTAAAGCATAAATCGTTGATTTTGTAAATTAATTCGTACTCTTTCATGATTGAACTTGGTCTAAATTGTAAATGTGGAAAACTTAGAGTAAGTGTAAGAAATTAAGAAGCTGTAGAATTCGGCGTTTTATTGCCACAGCCGTGTAATACGTAATTTGGTAGATAATAAATGCAATCAAATAAATGTTGTAGACATTAACGGATGAATATCTTAACGTGTAATACAGTTTGCAAACTATCAGCACATTTGTGAGTAACAATAAGATATAGAGTAAATATTCGAAGAAAACGTGTTTTGATATGCTGGTCAATAATTGCACAATATTTTGTGGGCGAATACTACAATTGCATAGATCATTTCTTAGAGGCATTGTCTTGAGGCACCTGTTTTCTTTCTTTCTCTAAATTGTTTCGAGTTATATTAAATGCTTCCGTCTTGAAGAAGTCTACCTTTTTGTACACTGTAATTGCTCCGGGTGATCGGTCCGAGGAGTCTTCGTTTGTCGATTTTGTGCGTTGCTTAAACTTGTTGCTATTTTTATTGTCTAAATCTAAGTCGAGGTATTCCAATTTCTTTCGTTGAAGGTTTAAGGATCCAAAATAATGGTATACCTAATAATAATGTGTATGAATATCATCGTCTAAAGTCTGAGAACTAATTATTTACCTGTTCGTTATCGTCACTTTGTAAATTTTCGATCGATCTGCCAAAAGGTGTTGGACTGGGAGCAGCGCGACACTTCCTATTAAAGTTCTCATCGCTCGATTCAAAAGTTCTTCCGGTAGGCAGTGTGAGCTGTGATTTGTATGATTATTTTCAATTCTAATAATCAACCAAAAAACTTACCGTAGTCGATGGCTTTAATTTCCGATCCACTGATGGTGCAAGTCTCGGAGAGTTGGGCTCAGTACTGGATGCCACAGACAATGAATCCGATAGTTTCCTCTTTGGTTTCAATCCTCGGTTGACTTTAGGTGGTGGCATAAGCTGAAATGCATAACCAAATAGAAACGCATATTCTATATTAAAAAATAACAATTTACTTGTGCGTCAAAAGGTAAAAGCGGGCTTGGTAGGTTCGAATAATGTGCGGTTGAAGAAGATTGCGATAACGGTGACGCTGGCTCATCTCCGAGCTCATCACCGTATTTAAATATTTGTGATTGACTGGTGCTCGGTTTAGGCGACGGATTATCGTAAGTAAATATATGGCCGTCAATGTAACTGGGCGCCGCATTGTTGTAACAGTGACGCTTTCCTAAAGTGTCCGTGTTCTCGACGTGCGACCGCGGGAAATCATATGTCTCATCAGTCAACAAATTCTGTAACGATTATAAAAGTCAGTTAGTCGGAAATACAGTGATATAGGCGTAACTTACTGGTGTGTTTTCATCACATGTAGAATTAGATTTGCTATGATTTCCGGACTTTGTTCCTTTCAATTGATTAGTCTGGGATGTATTGATATGGTGTGGTTTGGGTGGCCTTGGTGGACCCACATGGTTTAATTTTTTATTTGTATCAACCTCAGCTGAACTATTAGAAGGTCTAACGCTCCTGAAGCCTAAAAAATATAAAAATTAATAATGATTTATACAAAAAATAAATAAAAATGCTTACTAGTATCAGATTGGCTGATATTATGTGACCAATCATCATCAGTAAACACACTTTCTGAGTCTGTTGGACTTTGTAGTGGTGATGCATTAGTGATTGGCATTGAATTGCAATATTCCACTTCCCTTTTATGATTATTGATAGAAATTGAAGCACAATTTAAATATGTTGGAGAGGACATCTCATAGGAATGATTTCCAATGGTGTAAATGCTCTGCACATGCTGGGCAGACATGTTATACTCATCTATTGACTGATTTGGTAAAATCGGTGTCTTCCCAGTGATACATTCCGAGATTGGTATATATGGACTGGTGCTCACAGGGGAAACAGGTGGTGAATCAAGAGAATGTGCTACCAATTTTTCCTGTTGGTCAATACCACAATCTTCTTCATCACTTGTCGCCCTCATGTTGCACAGCTTGCAGATATTATTTACCCATTGTATCATCTCATTTTCTGTTTCTGCAGCCAAGTAATAAGTAATGCGTGTGGAGTCTTTATGTCAAATATGTAGTCAAACTTAAGTTTCTTGTCTTCAAACTTGAGGCCTTTGCTGAGTATCTCAACTTGGTCTAAGTCTATAATGCCTTTTAGTTTGTGGTTGTTTCTATCAGTGAAATATGATAGCTTGTACTGAGCTGGCAATTCACCTGCATGTAAGACAAACCAACGTCGTCTCCAGCGCTAAATAACAAAATAAATTCGTTAGAGCACAAATAAAACTGCTCGTTATCGCTGGATAATGTCGACTGACTCAACGTAGCTCGAGGATACTCATTGTTTTGCAAACATGAATAACATTTGTTTTGAGTTGTTGTTTGAAAGTAATTTGTTCACTTACCCCGCGCCATATGCGTTTCGCTGGCGGCGACTTCGTTAACCAACCGCTGTGTATTTCTTGAATATTCTTTGACATCTTGAACCTTTAATTGAGCTTTGGTAATTAAAATCATACCTTCAGATAGAATACATGATGATGACTAATGTGAAGAATGCAATTATGATTATGATTCCTTCTGTGATGTCACATAAACTAACACATGCGTACTTGATGCGACTAGAGCGGCATCTATACAGTAAAGGAAAATTTAAAACTTGGAGCGTCAAAATTCCCCACATTTGAATTCAAGTAACCTCGTTTGAAAACTTAGGTGTATTTGTCCGTAATTCATGTTTACACTACATAGTAAAAGTTGATATTGTATTTCTTCTATCCGTTTCATCTTCAACTTCGGTTGCAGGCTCGCTATATTTCCTTCTTATATACATGTACATGTTTATCATAAATCCCCAGGACACTAAATAAATGACTATAGCTAACAATTTGAACTCAAAATCTTGATTTCCAATCAATACTTCTAACGTTACAAATGTGCCTAAAACTAGCCGCATGCTAATGAAGATTAATACAAAACTCAATTCCACAATTGTAAAAAACAGGGTGTTCTTATATCCCAACGTTCTAATGAACCACCTTAACTGTAGCAGTGGATTAGTGATTTCCATCAATCCTAAAGCACAAGTAGCTTGATTGGTTAATGTGCCCTTTGCCAATATCCGCGCCATAGCAAAACAACTGTATACGTGATGGGCGATCATTAATTTTGATTCCGTTTGGTAATATGCGCACCAGATCAGGTCAAATATGAAGTATCCCAGGCTGAGTAAGAGAATGGCAAGTTGTGAATTTGTTCTTGGTTCTTCACAATTCCGAAATGCCCAACCATTGATGAAACACTGTGAACTTCCAAATGTCGCCATAATGGTAGCATGACATAGTGTAGCTAAACGATTTGCAAACTCCGGTGACTCGTTCTTGTAGGATTTTCTTAGTGTGATGTATAACAAGTACCAGCTCAGTGCCGAAGGGATTGATAGTAACAAAATGAACATAACTTAGCGATGTACTACTCAAATTTTGACATGATTGCCGACATATTTCAAATATGCTGGTGTCAAACGAAAACAATGGCAATAATAAATGAATACGTTTCTAAGGCGGCTTTGGAGGGTTTCGTGAACAGTGTCAATCTTTCTACAATTGTCACCAATTGAGTTTATTCACGAAATAATATTTTAGAACTTCTGGACTCTTATGTAAGTCCTTTTTTTATAATGACGTATTACTTAGTAAACTTGAGAATATAATAGCTTTCAGCATGCCTGGTGTTAAACATACGGAATCAAAGATGAATGTTTCGCTTGGACTCAAAGGTCCGCGGGCAGTAAGCAAGCCACTGGTTTCTGTGGTGTCCGCGATGCCCACTGCATCAACTGTATTGAAAAGTAAACATCACTGCACTAAATGCGTCTTGATGAAACGATTCTGGATGGTTTCGGTTAATATGTACGACTTCATGGGATTAATCGATATTTGTCCGGGCAACACTCTACATGCAGTTAAACCATATGTTAGTTGTAAAAATTAATTAAACATGACGTCATAGAGTGTATTTCATTTTGGATTTTTCATTGCATAAGGTTTCATAATTATAGTAATTAACAAACTAAGCAATAACGAGATAATATTTTGTATTTAGTATTTTGTATATTAGAAATACAATCGTTTATACCGTAATGGCCCCAACAAAATCGGTTTGTTTATATTGTTCTTTCAACGTGCAAGAGTTGTATTCGTATTTTGCGCGGCGTATTTATCAATGCCGGATAAAAACAACTTTTTATCGGGTTCCACGCGATTCTCTCGCTGCAAATTCTGCTCTGTGGGCTGCTCTATATGTTATTTCCGATCAGTAATTTAGTAGAAAGGTGCTTAATCGTGTCCAGTAGAATGAATAATCTGTGGTTTGGTCGTAATATAAGTGTCGGGTGTTCTGGTTTATTATTAACGATTAACGTGTCCCGGATGTCTATTATCAATTCGAAGGTATGGTAATTTTCTTAACTTCTTAAACAGTGTGCTTGAAAATATTGCAGTTATGGTGCGATTTTAAATTTTATTAATTTTTGTTTGAATGCATGTACCTAGTATACATTTTTATCGGTGTTGTGGATTTCATCTTGTGTTTATACAATACATTGTGTCCGTATTGTTATTGCTTCGTTCTCTGATACGCCACGTTTTTTTCAGTACCTGAATGCAATCGGGTATAAAGAAAATTTGAGTATTATGTTTTATCAATCAAATGCAAATCTATTTTCACTTGCGTATGCCTTGTCTCACAATTAATTGTCTCATTGTCTGTTTCAGTGCGGACCATTGGACTTATTCTGTTAGTCATTTCTGGAAAACGATGCTGTTCTCGTAAGTTATTAATTCTGATTAATACTTTTCGTATAAATAAACGCGATACAACACTTTTTTGTGTATTATACAATTTGCTATATTTCAATGATTTTCGAGTATCAGTGAATGTATCAGTGTTTACAAACAAACACGTTTTCTTATCTCGTGCAATTTTTGTGCGATCGCCACGCGGTTCGTCTCGCGGTTGGCTTGCGTGGTACGTCGGTCTCATATTTGTCGTCGAGTGATCTGCACGCACATTTTCTTCACAATAATTTGAGTTTCTTAATATTTTTCGCGTCATTACATAATATTTCTAAATGCTCCTTCCATTGTGCGCGAGTGATGTGCGGCGTTCAAATGCGAATTGTTAATGCGCAGAGATAAACCGTGAGTGATGTTCCGTCGGCCGTCGGATACTCTTTTTTGTATGATTCGCGTATTTCATCATTTCTACAATGTGCCTAATTAAGGTCCTTACAATTTATTATTTATATTAATGTATTATAATTTCCCTTAGTGTTTTTTGTAACACCCTGTATACTAATTTTCCATGCTTAATTTGTCAAAATTCCACTTAAACTTAGGATTTTTTATCGTTTTCTCTTTACATCACCCTATATAATAATTTCCTTTGATTTTACTTGGACTGTGTTTCCCAACTTGAATTTTGCATTTTCTCTTTAAATGTTATTATATTGTTTTTGGAACACGAAGGTAGCGGTTGAAGTGACTCGTGTTCAGGGCACCGTACGAAGGTATCGGTAGAAGTGACTCGTGTTTAGGGCACCGTACGAAGGTAGCGGTAGAAGTGACTCGTGTTCAGGGCACTATACGAAGGTAGCTGTAGAAGTGACTCGTGATCAGGGCATCGTAAGAACGTAGTAGTAGAAGTGACTCGTGTTCAGGGCACCGTACAAGGGTAGCGGTAGAAGTGAGTCGTATTGATAAAATATAAATTATTTTTGGACGTTTTAGCCCAGGATACTTAATTATTTTATGCTTTATCAGATAGAGAATTTTCCAAAGTTTCATAATCTTCAATCCGTTGGTCGCTCACGTTTTTAGTTTAAATGATATTCGTTACCAAAAATACTCAAAAAAACATGACGCAGTGCAGCGCGATATTGTGAACAGCAATTACTTAATTACCTAAGGTAAACAGTAAACTTTTACGAAGACAATAAATTATTTATTTGTAATGGTAAATTAAATTCCTGTTTTTGTCAATCATATTACATCCCAAAGTCAATATATTCTTTTGTTAAACCGAGAAATATTGAAAGTAAAAGTAGATTCCGTATATATGTGCTATTTCTATATTGAGAATTTTAGTTTCGTCTTCTCAACTACGTGTTTATTATTACGTTTGCGTATAAACCAGGGGCGTAGCTACCGCCGTATTTGCCGTATCAATTATACGGGGCCCCCGGGCCACGGGGGCCACCAAAGTGTGTAAGGAAAAACCTTTACCTCCATATAAGGGCCCCCAAAAAAATATTTATACGGGGCCCCGACAAGGCACGCTACGCCACTGGTATAAACTTTTTTTGTTCGACTGACGCGTGTTATCGCTGTGTACCTGCCTTGCTTCGCGTCGTGCACACGGCAGTCGTTTCACCGCGTGGTCCGCGTACGTGTCTCTCTAATCGCCATGCGTTTTGAGGTTTCAATTGTATTAATCGTCGTGTATTCATTCGGTCATCATCAAAATATTCGTAATGGGAATGTATGCCTGTTTTGTTTTGATTTATGGCGGTTAGAGTCTTCTTTAGTGAGAAATAAGTATCCGTTAATCCCTGCGCGGGTTTTCAGTTGATAGAATATATTCTAGGATAGAAAATCTCCTCTTTAATGCACAGGTTGGTGGATAATTAAAATTTATTGCGGAAAGTTAAGGCGGTTTAACTTAATTTGATTATTTAATTTGACGAATATTAATTTTGTACATTACAAACACGTGGTGGCATTTTTATCAGAATTCTTCTTTGTCACATTTCCGAAAATAACATGCTTCATTTAATTATTACAAGCACGGTTTTTAAAATTATCTGAGGATTATTAAAATGACAATATTCATGTGGTCGACCACGCTTACTTTGCCGACGGCCGCGATTTTAGCGTCTCAATAACTTCCGCGCGGCATTTAAAGATGCGGAATTAAATTCTTCGTTGGGTGGTATTTGTTTGATGCAGAAATTTGACCTGCATCCCGTGAAAATTTGCATTAATGTGTGATTTACTCATCGTTTTTCGTAAAATATTTGTATTTTTTCGAGTTTGCACGCGATCTTATCGTCCTAATCACTTCGGCGCTGCATCTAACGATTTGGAAGTAAATTCTCCGTTGGGTGGTATTTGTTTGATGCAGGAATTTAACCTACAACCCGCAAAAATTTGCATTAAAGACTAAAGAGTGATTTCCTCACCGTTTTTCGTGAAATATTTATATTTTTCCGGTTTGCACGCGATCTTAGCTTCCCAATAACTTCGGCGCGGCATCTGAAGATGCGGAATTAAATTCTCCGTCGGGTGGTATTTATTTGGTGCAGGAATTCGACCTGCAACCCGCGAAAAATTGCATTAAAGTGTGATTTACTCACAGTTTTTCATGAAATATTTATATTTTTTCGAGTTAGCACGTGACCTTAGCTTCCCAAAAACTTCGGAGCGGCATCTAAAGATGCGTAATTAAGTTCTCCGTCGGGTGGAATTTGTTTGATGCAGGAATTTAAACTGCAACTCGCGAAAATTTGCATTAAAGAGTGATTTACTCACCGTTTTTCGTGAAATATTTGTATTTTTTCGAGTTTGCAAGCGTCTCAGTAACTTCAGCGCGAAATTACTTCATTAAATTAAATAATTTTACATTCTTATCTGATAGAGAATATTCCAAACTTTCCTAATCTTCAAACCGTTTGCCTTCATGTAAATGATAGTTGTTACCAACAATACTAAAAAAAATGACGCAGCACATAAGGTATACAGTAAACTACAAAGACAATAAATTATTTATTTGTAATGGAGAATTAGATTCCTGTTTTTCTCAATCTTATGACATCCCAAAGCCAATAAATTCTTTTCTTATGCCGAGAAACATTGAAAGTAAAAGTAGATTTCGTGTATGTCGGTTATTTCAACATTGTATAATTTTAGTTAGGTCTTTTCAACTACGAGTTTATCAGTACATTTGTGTATAAACAACTTTTTTTGTTCGACTGACGCGTATTATCGCTACGTACCAGCCTTGTACCTGGCTAAGCGAAACGCACACGGCAGTCGTTTCACCGCGTGGTCCGCGGTCGTGTCTCACTAATCGCCGTGCGTTTTGAGGTTTTAATTGGATTAATCGCCGTGTACTTTTTCGACCATCAGCAAAATATTTGCAATAGGCATGTTTGCCTGTTTTGTTTAATGATTTGTGGCGTTGTGGCTTAAATAAGAAATAATTGTCCATTAATCTGCGCGTGTGTTTTCAGTTGATAAAATATATTCCAGGATATAAAATCCCTTCATCAATGCATAGGTAGCTGTGTAATTAAATTTTTTTACGGAAAGTTCCGCCGGTTTAACTTAAATTTATTATTCTATATGAGTGATATGAAATTTGCATGTATCATCTAGCAAATTACGAACACATGGTATGTAGCATTTTTATCAGAATTCTTAGTTCCGTTACCGAAAATAACATGGATGATTTAATTACTACAAGCACTGTTTTAAAAAAGTATCTGAAGATTATTAAAATTGGCAATATTCATATGGTCCACCACGCTCACTTTGCCATCGGCCGTCGGCCGTCGGCTCGGCCATCTTTTCGCTGAACTCGTGAATGTTTTAATCGATTTGCACTCCTTAACATCATTAAATTAAGAAGTAAAATCTTGTACGTTGAATAGTTTTTCGTTTTCATAGTAACCGTACATCTTAATATATACAAAAAAAGTCATTTTTATCGTTTTTAACCACTGTGTTGCTACGCGCCGTCGCTTGCCGTCTGTAGATTTAGATGTTTACCGCAGGATATTCTATCAATTTATGATGATGCTTTACCCGTCGCTTATTTTATACAGTTGATGCTACCATCAATTAATAAATATATATTCGCAATATATTAAAATGTAAGTGTTTTAATTTTGTAGCACCATTTTGCTCAATTGTCCGATGATTGTCGAGTAAAATCTCTGATTTTATATTAAAATATTGTTGTTAATTTGTAAATTTCCCTCTTCATATTGGGAATATTGACTCCCTTAATAGTTTCTGTTTTTTTTAAACACCCTGTATATTAGTTTTCCTAACAGCATGTAGAAAATCACCTTTAGTTGTGAGTGTTCTGTTTTAATTGATGGGATTTTCTTTCTAGAACACCCTGTATATATGTTTTCCTTTGTGCCCGTGAAAATTTTGCTTTAACTGTGGTTTTTAGTATTGTCCCGTTTGCACTTCGAATTTTCTTTCTGGAACACCCTGTATATTAGTTTCCCTGATTGTCGAGTGAGCGGCGTTTGTAGTGTTGAAAGTTTTTTTTTTTGCATTTAAATTAAATTTAAATTTTCCTTTTGTAACATCCTGTATATTTGTTTCCAATCACCTAAAAACTCTTTACTAATTTCATTATTACGGCAGAACTTTATGTAGCAGTACTTAATGGCATGTGCGCGGCTATGCAGGTCGTAAGTCCTGCTTCAATATGGCGGCACGTATTCTGTTGACCTGTAAAATATAAACTTGTATTCTATTGCTAATAAATAAATAGTAAGATATATTGACTTCTTTTATTTGTGTACACCTTCTATCATTTCAGGAACAGGTCTCTAAGAGTTCCCTCTCTCACGGGATGATCCCCACTATAAAAATTGTTAAGGTGTCCTGTGTGATTTGTGTGCTCCATCTTTCATTTCAGCTACAGGTCTGAACTTGTAAGAATATTTTTAAGTGTCACCTCTCTTGAGGCGACTTAAAATTTAAAAATATTTTAACAAGACCTTATAAGGATTGTCCTTATAAGGAGTTCCCTCTCTCTGGGGTGATCCCCACCATAAAAATTGTTGATATGCCTGATAATTCCGGGGATGAAGCGCAGAGACATCGTAGCTGTAGGATGGGCCGGGAGCAATGGACGGATCGAAGCAGTGGGCACGCGCCAAAAAATTTAAAAATCTGATCCGCTCCTGTTGCTCATTCTTCTATCTCCTCCCTCTTTTCTCCACTCTCTGTTCTCTTTTCTACTCTTCTCTACTATTCCTTCTTCTACTTCTCCTATTTCTCCACTTACTTTCTTACTTCTCTTATTGCCTTCACTTGAATTTCAATTTCTCTTATATTTCGTTGCAATTCATGTATGCAACCCAAATTACACCTGATATTTTTATGTTTGAGAAAAATGCCTCCTATACCTGAGATTCGATCCGTGTCTGCCAGCATGCCAGCAGGTGCACGTCTCCACTCGACCACCGAGTGTTTTTATCATTTATATTTGATTCTTTTATTTATGCTTCTACTTTAATCAACTTTTTAGAAACAATATCACAAGCCTTAGCTATGTTGCACACGTTCCACGCACTGTACTATACTATGTTATACTATGGTGCACTATGGGGAGTTCAACTTGACTTAATACTAATCCTGAAAACGACCAACAGAACACTAGGGACACATGTAAACAGGAATGTAAAATTAAATCTTTATTGACTGATTCATTTTCAATTATTATAAAGCAGTAACATGGTGTAAGATTTAAAAAGTTAAATAAAAATTAATTCTATTTGATGTTACTTACTCCTTTGTTCTTATATCAATAAAGGACTAAGGCGCACAAACACGTTTCCGCAAATTGTATGTATAATTAATGATACACACTTCTTTTCTATTCCACGCAGATATTCACGTCAAACACGTAAATTTAACTTCATTTAACTCCAGTAAGTATTCATAGTCACCGGAACATATCCGACGGACACCACGCGCGATCCGCATAGAATTATTCAAATCATTCGTTGCCCGCGGCAGTGGGCTGTTACTACTAAATGCCCCTGATCGTCAATCGATTTAAGTAATGTTACAAAATATCAAGAATAGCGAGAAAATGTCACCACGCTCGATTAATGAACAAAACACGTGCGTACTCGCAACGGCGCTCAACCGACTAAGCCGAACTAAGCAAGACAGATTGATAATCGACCCGCAGATGGAAAGGCATTTTACTATAAGCATACGACAGAAATGCGACAACAAATCTGTTGCAAGTTATTAAATAAAGTTATTATTACATAAAAGTGACGACGGCAACTCAGCGCACAAAAACAAACACAAAAATTAAGTATGAATTTAAACCAAATCGATGGAAGCGTCATCTGACCGTAGCGGAACAAAACAAAATAGATAGCTGACACTAGCGCAATCTAGGTGTGTCGGAACAAAACATTAAAGATAGCCGGCATCATCAAGTTTCGAAACTTTGAAATTACAGAAATCTGCATTACGACTGCTAATATTTAACATTTAATTCACTTTAGATTAAAAAATCGTTGTCCTAGGACATTTAGTTCGCCCCCTAGACGCCCAAAACTACCAAAAATCAGTACTTCGAAGCACAAAAATTATCTTTCTGCAGGTTTCCCGGGTGCTAATCACACAAATTATTCATGAAAATGATAAACAAATTCAATACTTACAACCTGATGAAAGTATCGTGGTCCTAGGACATTCCGTTCGCCCGCTAGACACCTAAAACAAACGAAAATTAGCATATCGAAGCACAAAAATGACATTTTCACAGGTTTCCTGTGTGCTAATCACACAAATTATTTATGAAAATGATATACAAATTCAATACTTACAATCTGATGAAAGAAACGATGACCTAGGATATTCCGTTCGCCCGCTAGACACCTAAAACGAAAATTAGCATATCGAAGCACAAAAATGACATTTTCAAAGGTTTCCTGTGTGCTAATCACACAAATTATTTATGAAAAGGATAACCAAATTCAATACTTACGATCTGACGAAAAAATCGTTGTTCTAGGACATTTCCTTCGCCCCCTAGATACCTAAAACTACCAAAAATCAGTGCATCGAAGCACAAAAATTATCTTTTTGTAGGTTTCCCGTGTACTAATTATACAAATAATAATCATATAAAAAATTATGAAATTATATTATAAAAAATTTATCGACGGACTACTCGAATGCGTTGCAATTAGAATTGCGTTCCTTAAGACGCCTTCGAGAGCGTTAACAGTTATTAAAAGTAATTCTACTTAGCTAACATAAAGAACTCAAAGAAAAAGAAAATGTGCCAAAAATTTCACCCTTCAAGTAAAAAAATGCACCACCAAATTTTCGAATTTACCCATGTTGCAGACACAACTTCTGCAACAAACTAACACAACCCCATGGAGAATTTAATTTGACATTTCTAGAGATGCCCCCTTCTCGAGTTAAAGCTAACGCAGGGACTCCGTGTCTAAAAAGGTGGTAAAATTCAATTTACCACATTTCCATCAACTCTGAACGTTTGAAGAACCGAGGTAGAAAATTAAATTTAAAAAAAATTGTCTGAAATTATAAAGAAATTAATTAAATATCTTTATTTGGAACTGTGCCAATTAAGTTTAATTGTCCATGTGGTAGTACCTGTCTTACATTTAAATTAATTCTCAAACCTTCCAAATAATCTTGAAATTCATTAAAGTTACTCTGACTTGTGTACATACGTAGTTCACTATCTAAAGGCACATCACTTTCACAATTAAAATCATTCCACATTTGCTTTTCTGTTTTAACAATTCTTGGCACTGCATGATATGATAATCTTGATTCTTTACTCATTATTACAACATCACCACTATGAATAACAACAGCAGTAGGTTTTTCATCTATGGTAAGCCCACCCAGTAAAAACACAGCACTATTGCCAAAACTAAATGAAAACAAAGGCGCATCTAGATACTCTTCTGAGTGATCTGTATGCCCTGCTAAAGTGGAATCTAAGTGATAAAAGTTAACAATAGCTGCTTCAGCTTTAAAATCATATCCCAATGCTTGAGCAAAAGTATAGCACAACCTACTCAAATTATCAGGAAATGTATTCTTAGCTTGATCACTGTATATTTTTGTATCCCAGTTATGATGGTAACCTAATGTAGACCACCTTAATTTCTTTAAAACACTTTTGTCTTGTTTTGCATAATCCCACCAATTCTGCTCCAATGGAACAAGTGAATGAATATCAATATTTAGTTTGTTTGGCTTTTTTGTATACTCTTCAATAGCTTGCCGGATCCAATATCTTTGGCCAATGGATGTGAATGGATTTTTAATGTAAATAAACCCAGGTCTATCAAGTATTTCAAATGCTTCCCATGCAGATGGATCAATAAGATCAAACGTTTTGGTAAAATTATCTGAGTTTATACTAACTGACTTTACCTACAAAATAGTTATTATTCTTGTTAATAACAAAGTTAAAATAAATAAATAGTGATTTACCTTATTTGTCCAAGAAGAACTGTTTGTAAAATCCAAAACCTCCTCAAAACTTGGCTTTGGATTTCTTGATTTATAATATTTAAACGAATCTTTAAACATTTCACTGTTACTTATTTATGAATGTAACGTAACCTGCAATATTGCAGGTACTGGTCTGTAAAATAAATATTCCATCATGCATATTCTATGGTAGGCAACTAAGCGAACGCTTCATTTTCTAAAATTCGCGACTCTGATTGGCTGTTGACGTCACAGATTAATGCCTCATTGGTTGAAGGTGTGCGCATGAACGACGGTGTTGATGAAGCAAACGTCAAAACGCCAGCCTGACACGTTATCTTTAAATACACAAAGTAAATATACTCCGTATTTACCTGGGTAACATTAAATGACAATAATGTAAAATGTCTTTACTCGACGATGATAATATCAACTGGTAAATGCATTAATTTAGTTCCATTATTACAATTAACTCATCATTTTGTAGGGTGCAAGACTTGGAAAATGCTGTGCTGGAAGAATGTTCAGCAAGTGATATATTTTGCATTTGTAAGGGAAAACCCCTACCGGAACGTTTGCGGTCAGAAGTTTGGCAGGTACATATTGTTTATCATCTGATAAGATATTGAAGTATGCAAACTTATGACTCATTCCAGATATGCCTTGATGTATCTGACAAAGGGAATCAGATAGAGCTATTCAATGAAATCTATGATCTTCCAAATCAAGCAGTTCTCCATGAAGATTGCACAAATTTCGTTGCCACACTTGGCAATGATGATAATGAGAAGCCTTCCATTACATCAGAGCTTGAAAGCATCCTAACATACTACTGCAAAAGCAGAAATCTCACCTACAAACATGATAATGGTTGGATTGAACTGTTATTGCCACTCATCACTTTAAGAGAGGACAAGTCCACAATGTACAACTTGTTTGAAGGAATTCGCGACACTTACATCCCACAGGGTTCACAGAAAGATGGCAATGCTTTCCATATAATGAGATTACTTCTGCAATATCATGATCCAGAATTGTGCTCATTTCTGGACACTAAGAAAATAACACCAGAATTGTATTGCCTCACATGGTTTCAGTCTCTATTTGCAGCCACATGCAATCTTACAGCTACAATCACCATGTGGGACTATTACTTTCAACAGAGTGATCCTTTCTTTATTTTCTTCCTTTCACTGATTATGGTGATAAATGCCAGAGAGCAGATTATGTCTATGAAAGAAGAAGGAAAGGATAAACTTATTAATATACTTTCTGGTATGCCCAGTGGTCTAGAAGCTGAAGACGTCGCAGATTTTTGCTCGTTAGCGCAGTATTACTGTCTAAAAACACCGACAAGTTTTCGCACGGAATTAATGCAGCCACTGTATGGTGGTAGCAACGCAGGGGCGCAATCAGTTTCTCAAGCTTTATGTCTACCAGTATCAGTCGATGAGTTAGTTGGGAATGCGTTCAATCGTGCAATGGGCGGCGGTCAGGATGGAGTGCGTTTCTTTTTAGTTGATTGTCGACCTATCGAGCAGTACAATTCTGGCCATTTACCAACCGCGTTTCATTTGGATTGTAATTTGATGTTACAAGAGCCTAGTGCCTTTCAGACTGCTGTCCAGGGATTGTTGATGTCACAGAGGCAGGCTTTGGCAATTAATTCTAATGCAGGTTTGTTACACCATATCAAATATGCATAAAACAATATAATAAGTTAAATAAATTTTAGCTGGTGAACACCTTTGCTTTTTGGGCTCTGGCCGCAACGAAGAAGATCAGTATACTAATATGGTTGTCGCGTCATTCCTACAAAAGAACACAAAATATGTGTCTTTGTTAACCGGCGGTTTTACTGCATTGCATGATGCATTCGATTATGAGCGATGTCTACAAGATCACAATGCTTATCAATGCATTGTTTGCTTGCCACGACTCGGTAAGATATTAAAAATATTATGCAATATAACATTTTGAAATTTTAATGAAGATACAGGTATCTCCAAAACTCCAACGCAAAGTGGCAAGCAATCATCGGACATTTTCGGCAAAATCTCCGCAGCTATGAAATCCAAATCAGCGGAAGTTAAAGGAATGTTATTTGAATACATTGTGAATCCGAATAATTCCCCAGTTCAAGAAAGACACGTGTCTAGTAATGACAAGCAAGGAAAACGTTACAGAAACGTTGCGCCTGTTTTTAGTATTGATGATCACGACGACAGCATTACAACCGATGCGGTAAATTAAATAATTATATCTCAATTCATTTAATTGAATATTTATCTTTATAGAATTTAGAAGAGGATGACGATAAAGAGCTGGTCTCTATCCAATCATGGATCAAAGACCCGGATGTAATCGAGCACTTCCCATGCCAGGAAGTGCAAGTAAGCGGATGTATGTATAAAAGTCACCTACTTGTAACCAGTTCTCACCTGGTGGTGATTCGTGAGGTGGCCGATAAGTCTGATACGGGTGAAGTTATCGTCAAACGTCCACTGTCCACTATTGTGAAGATAACAGCCAAAAAGCGCGTTCCCGATTTGATCACATTCAAGTACGGTATTCCCGATGGCGATTCACTACTAATTTCCGATATGGACCGCTTTCTAATTCCGAATGCAACCAAAGCGACTAAAACCGTTTCGGATCAGATCTTAAAAACAATGAAGTCAAAAGATTAATGCATAGATTTATCTTTGTTGGCCTATCTTAGAAAATAGTTAATCAAATCTAAACTTCAGTAAAGCTAATCCAATTAACTTTCATTAGTAGAGTTTGTCTTAGCAGCCATCACATATTTACAAACAAGTAAGCCAGAATATGCTTAATCTTATGAAATAGATTGTAGACTTGCACTGAAGATTAAATTATTACATTATGGTGCTTATACTTAAAGATTTTAACACATGATTGCTGGATATGAATGAAACTGTAATGATGTTGAGATGATGCAGATGTAAATAAAGAGGTTCTACCTATGTTACATATACATACAGATTGTTTCAAGTTTATTTATGCTACATTATGAACCACATTCTATTTCTTGTTAACATTAAATTTAGACATCATATCCAACAATGTGGCGTTTTCCAATACATTCACCAACATAGAACCAGCAGAGAACTTCAACAGCGACCAGGGAGTTCAACCATCCCTCGCGCACTGTAAGTTGCTTCCACTTACCATTTTTAGCTCCACTGAGCAATCGGCCTACAATAGTGATTGTAAAGAAACGGTTTATAGATAAAAATCAATGAAAAACCTACCAATGCCAGCTCGGATTTCTGGAATGTCGCCGGGCGATGGTGGAGTAAGTTCCACTTTGGCGTATTTCAGGAAGGTGGCGAATTTCGGGCGAGCATCAGCAAGCAACTCTAATGTTGAAGAATTAGATAATTTTATGTATGAGGTTATCGTTACGTAATTTTTCAGTTTTAAACTGAATTCACGTGTTAATTTGGGTAGAATTGTTCAATGACTTACTCGAAACAAGGGGGCCGACTTTCGCTGCCATAGTGTGTTGGTTTTTCGGCTTTTATTAAAGAAAAATGATGAAATATTTTCTTGAAGATCGGATCGTGACAGCTAAATGTGGCCGTAAGTTGCTCAAGTTGCCCGTTGCATACTAGTTTTTTTAAGGTCGGTATAACAGGAATCTGCTTTCTTCCCAAAAGATGGCGCCAGTGCACGCTATTTAACTTTCCTATTCTACGCATTGATATTATATTTTTACAGAATCTTACACCGACAATGCTTTCTATAAAACTTTAATAGCTGTTTTACTGGTTTAAACTTTAATAGTTATTACAAATAATCAAATTTTACATAATAAAGTTGTTCAGAAAACATGCGCTTTATATACCTAAGCGTGGTGGTTATTTAAATTACTTCGGTTAGCCTCTTCTAGAATACTCCAATGCGGAGACTTCTTCTCGCTGTTCAACCAATTAAAATCATCAACGCATTGCCAATTGTTAATATCACGATTCAATCCCGCAACCGCATAATCCTCCTCAATACCATTATAAGAATAATTGTAAGGTGCAATTTGTATCTGTGTACAATCCTCCATAATTGCTCTGCTGGTAACATGCAAATAAATATCAACCCTCTTCGAGCTGTGCAGCCGCAATTGTTGACAACTGATAAACATAAAACAATCCTCACATTTGTCAGCAAATATGGAGGTCGACACCGGGCCCGAGTAAATTGTACAATTCTTAATATTGCTAACATGCAATGTGGATGGAGCACCATGAATATAAACTGTACAATTGACTAAATTGCTTAGACTAACATCCTTTTTACAAGTATCTGCCGCCAATAATTTTAAAGTTTTGTTGTCTTCGTTTTTAAAACCGCAATAATTCTCATCTAATGTTATTTCTTTCGATTGATGATGTTGACCGCCATTTAATTTGCTATCAACGACATCCCGATTAATCTTTTCAATTGCAATCTTTTTGTTTCTGAATCCAAACTTTTTCTTAGGCATTAATTGCGCTTCGGTTTCTTTTAACTGCATGCTAAGGTTCTGAATAGTTTTCTGGTACACTTCAATATCATAAGTTCTTAGAAACATATTACTACTAGCTATATACTTCTGTAGAATTAATATTTGTTTGGAGATATTATCAAAATATGCTGGTAGCTTATCCTTAGGTATTACTGGTGAGTTTTTAATCAAATTTAAGATTTCATTTTCTTTTTCTTTGAAATTATTGAAAACGTAATCAAGTGTTTCGCTTTTAGCGTCCAGGAAATCATTTCTATACTGTTGTATGTTTAACTGTCTCTCTAACTCGCGTTTTTGTAAATTTTCCAGCTTACGTTCAGCTCTGTCCAGTTGATCCATGCTTAGCAATTTCCTTATGTAGCTCTTCTTTAGGTAATATATAGTATGGTTTCTTATCTTGACTAGCAGCCTTTAAAACATTGATGAAATCTTGGTTCTGTTTTGCTCTGATTGCAGGGTTCTTTTCAACACCAGGCAAATTCTATAACACAAGTAATTTATTTTATTATTAATGAAATGTCACTGTGACTTAATAATAGACATTCATACCAATGCAGCTTGAGATATTCCTGCTTCATTGGGTGCGCAATAAACTAATAGAGCATACCCTAGTGAACCACCAGCAACAAGCCAAATAGCTGAGGACATATACTTCCCAAATGCCATTTATTTTCTGGATTGTGTTGCAAACCAGATATTGTTGTCCTGTTGTCTGAGATTGCTGTCACCTAGAGTCTCACCTACTTTGTAGTACAAGTCCAGAATTGACGGATAATTATCTCTGATGTACAAGCGAAAATCTATAACAAATGATTGTTGTACAATCTAGAAACTTTTAGAATATTCTAGATGATTTACCTCTTTCTGTGTTCAACCTGTGGTAGCCAGCATAACACACTGCAAAACTGACTGCTTCCAAAACGAACCCGATAACTGCTGCTCTTCTTACGGTTTTGAGGAAGTTCGACTTTGGGTTCTTGCTTATCATGATACTCGTGATTAAACTGAGCACATTATGCCCGGCATTTGATAAAAAATATTCAGATGGCACCGTAGCGAACGCAGTTAGATGACTCAATTCGTCGACAATGGGTCGTGCCAACTGCGTGCTGCTGAATATTCCTGCCGACTTCCCACTAGGAGCAGGTTACTAATTTTTAGTTCACAAAGTTACCGCCAGAGGACGCCTACAACACTGAATGCGGCCATTAAAGTTGTGGTCGTTTCATCTGAGGAGTGTAGCACGGAGTGAAGAATGAATTCAAATTAAACAAGTTTTAATATATTAAACATCGTCTAGGAAGTTTAACTACCCTGATAACTTCATAAAAAGTATTCTTAGTGTTTAAAATGATTTAAAGAATTTTCATCAGACTTATTATACCATCTATGACAAAAAAAATCGAGTACAACTAATATGAATTTTAATTCTTGTCTGTTTGGATTTGCGGAGAGAAGAAATGAAAAATTAAACAATACATAATCTCAAATTGTTCGCGCACGTGTTGAATTTATGAGAAATGAAATTTTAGGTCTCACGTTCTTCAGTATTCACAACGCGCAACACAAAACTTAATCTCCTTATCCGTATATATAGGTGCGAGGTGCGACTAATGTACATCATTTATATCAGGATCACACTTCGTACTTACGCTGTCGCATGTTCTTTACTGTATTTTCGTACCGACATGTTATTTTCCTTCCGCATATAATCATGTTCCTTTAATTGAAATGATTTTTATGTTTTTTCCAAGTTTTCTATCAGGATTTAAAAAATATACTCAGATTACCAACAGTGATATGAAAAACATTGAAAAACTATGTTTAAATCAAGAAATATTCACAAAACCAAGAGTTTTCATTGATTTTGTATAAATAATTAGCTTTGATTAGCATTTATTCATAAAACAAACAAAACAAACTTTGTATTTATTCATATTTACCTTCATTAATGTTTAGACACTTATACCACTCGTGTAACACGATGCGCGCTCCGAAGGGTTGAAGAGTAAACGATTAGTGAGCACTAACATACGTGCCATACAATCTCCAGCCGCGTTGCACACACGTGCAATCGACACACACGCACGCACAAAGAAGGTTTTCACTTCAGTGTGTACATAATACAGGTGATGCCCCAGGGAGCTTGTTAGTTTAGAGATGTTAACCCTTGTGATCTTCCAGTGCCGTCCACATCCACAACCGGAACGCAGATAGCTGCAGCATCTTATTGAAACGAAACTAACATCAACTTGCTGTCTTCTCGACAACCCGTGCGAATAAACAGCGCTCTCGAGGTCCCCACACACACCCCACACCTCATCCTCACATCATCCGCCAACATTAGTAATGTTGCTGTTGGATTGATGATGAATATCAAGTTACTGGATCAAATAATACAGGGTTTCATAACTACGCAGTAGTTTATCCATGCGTGCGCGTATATATGTTTGCCTATATTGATTTTATTTGTTTCCCAACTAGCTCTCAGATTTATAACCTACTTAGCAAGTTTTATGCTAACTAAATATGTACATGATGATACTTTTAGAAGGGAAAAGAAATTACGCAGGCGCTAGCGTATATAAAAGCGTGGCTGCTATGGCACCGGCGAACGAGTCTCGTGAGAGACAACTTTGAGTTAGCTTCGGCACGATGGAGCGACCAGTGCGGCTCTTCTTCGTTTTTCCTTCCTGGCCCAGCTCCATTATGTGCGCATCATCAACATTCGTACACACATGTAGACTGCGAGAGAGTTTAGCGGCTAAAATATGTGCCCCGCCATCCACTAGCAGCCAACGACTCTCTGAAGACACAAAGTTGTGCATTGCTAAAAGCAGTCATTACGGGCGCACCGAAATAATAAGTCTTGATGAGAATCATGATATTTATTATATCAACTTTAGTAAACTAGCTATTATAAGCTTCTCATTGTGGACCGCAAACTTCTTGGAATATTGTAGATATTGTAAATGAACACACAAAAGTGTTTCAATGTGTAATTTATAATTTTTCCGCAAGTTGCCAGTTGCCCACTTGTATATGGGAATACGAGGTACAAGCGAATTCGCTTAAGGTTTTCTGTTGGTACATCGTACGCTTAGAATGGGCCAATTTAAATTTCTAATTATATTTGGCCGGATGAAAAGTTAACGTGGTTAATAATTCATCATTCCACGTGCAATATTGTAGGCAAATCCCCAGGATTACGAAAACAACATTCTGACTCACCAACAAAACCAACCACACTTCTGAACTCTGCTTTCAAAGAGAAAATAGAAACCGAGCACAAAAAATGTCGTTTTGCTTTAGAATTCACTTTAAAATTTGCGTTTTTACAAAAGAAAACAATGAATATTAAATTTTCTACTGTACAGCAAGTTTAACCTCATTTATACGCTCAAAATGTGTGAATATTTTAGGTTATTCAATGTTCCTAACCTAAAATTCATAATTATCTCAAAGTTGAAAGGGTTAAGACAAAAACAATTGCCGAAGTACGACGATAAAATTAAAGCCAAGAAGGTGCACGATGTAATTTTCGATTCGGTGGAAACTTGCGAATCCAAGTCCAAGCTGTCACAATCAGACTCCGCTCCGAAGTTGGCAGTCGGAGAACGCTCTCTATCGCTTCTATCGTCCCACAAGGACGATAGATACGGAATCATGGTGTTGGAAAACGTAATGGTCGTTCGCTGCATGCTGCAGCGTATCCGATGGTGGCGTTTTTCCCGGCGATAACTTATACCCGATCAATTACGGTGACCCGCCTGGACGCGACGCAGTGAAGCCGGAGAAAGAGTTGGAATACGCCGGAGAAGACCAAAAAGAACACGAAAAGCAAAAAAAAAAATCAGCCGAAGCAACGAGAGGAGTTCATGCCTCCATTTAGTTTATATGGTTGATACTATCGTCGGCGTAGGGTGCTCTTAAATCCGCGTCCATTCATTTGTGTGTAGTAATATCTATTCGGCTGCTTTCCGGCGGATACGAAACAGAGTGGACGAGAGCGACGTGATAAAGTGCCCCGAGCGCATCCGTGGCTAGTTAGACGGCTTGTAATAAAGTCGGGGTGGAGAGTTATGCGACTTTCGGTCGCTTTTTCGGCACATTGTCGTTAAAAATGTGGCTGCACTAAACGACTGGACAATGTCTTTAGACACAAATAGGAAAATAAAACTCAACCAAGTCGATGACATCACAATCAGTGCAAAACCTTCATTTCCACGCTTAAAATAATTTTTTAATATTTTATATTTATTTTATATAATTCATGAGGTAGATCCTATAACCGTGATAAGAATGACAAATTTCCGACTAATATTTTATCCCAATAACCCCTAATCAGCTGCGCCTTTAAGTCCCTTAAATAAATGACATGGACGTTAATGTCATCGTTAGGACCCAAACCGTACCTTTACACCAGCGGGGATTTCGTTGTTAAATTAGCGACAAGTTAAACCGGGATGTGTTTTTATCAATATTTTATTTTAACAACTTCACGCCACATATACATGTACAATAACATGATTTAATGAAGGTGTTAGGCACCAAGCCAATATTAGTCTTCCTCTTTCATCAAAGAACCGCATTGTGGTTTTGCCATCGGCAGTGTTTGTTTTCGACTGACTGATTCAAGTGTTTAATGAAGTGTGATACTAGGAATAGTAACCTACATTTACAAGATAGACGAAAATTATATTTATGTATTAACCGCAGGACGAAAAATCTTTCAATGGGCAAATATTTAGCGGTAAAATCACATTTTCCAAAATGTTTCAGACGCGGCGCGACGCGAGACGACGCGCAATGAGTACTTTCAAGTTGCAGCAAAGCAACGCAAAGTATTTTCCAACTTGCGTTTTAACCTCTTCCGCGGCAATGGAATTGCTTTTGTAAGTGCTTTAAGCCCGCTTGGAAATTTACTTGGTGTCTATATATTGGCTTGTCTCATTGCCCCAAGCATAGGTGGATATTAGGTGGCTTGAAGTATGCATGAAACAAGTTTTTTAATTATGCAAATGGTAATGGAAACTGTGGCAAAAAGTCGACCAAAAAATTACGCTTTCTATTTACGCGGCGCTACTTGAAAGGGCAATAATTTTACCTAGAATAAACTTCAAATGCTTTGAGCAAACAAACATACATTAAAATAATTGCTTAAAAACAACTTCAAAATTGTAATTATCTTTGTTTTCGCTGGATTAAAAGCAAAACATAACTTTTTATGTGAAGTAATGTACGAATTAAAAATATATCAGTAAAACATGCGTCGACTTTAAGTTATGATAAACTACATGCAACCCAAAACACATTCAGCGTAATATAAGTTGCATACGCGTCGCAAACTCTAAAAACTTGACAAATATAAGGTTATATCTGCACAATGGAAATATCTGTCTCTATTATAATATAAATAAAATTTTTATATGTTCTTTAATTCAAAATAAGCACAACTCAAAACTTTTAATGAGAAGAAACGAAAAACATGCAAACATGACACTCACTATAAACTTTATGCATTTTTAATTAAAAAATACGAATTACAATAATTGACAAAATAAAATTCGATATTTTATTATTGATAGATTACGATTTAATTTATTCCCACAATATTTATTCATATATTTTACAATTTCTTTTCGATTAGCATTTCGCTTTTACATAAAATTTATACAGACATAGTCATGTTATTGATTTCATCGTCTACAATTTTCCGTTACTTCTGCTACAATTTTATTGACATGAAATTTGATTCACCGTAGAAGTAAGATGGAAATACATGGCGTTTTATACAGACGCAATTATTTTACATCACATTTTGAATCAAATGAAAACGAAAATCAAAAACAACAAAAACAACAACAAAACAAAGAAAAAAAAACTATATTGGAACTGTGACTATGTATGTAGTATCAAATGTTTTCCAAATAATAAAGATTCAATTTGATTCTATTTGGTGAAACGTTTTCGAATTCAAATTCCGTTCAATTTCCCGAATACATACGTTCAGATGCGCGCGTAGAAAATTGATTATGTATGCTCGAATGTACGCTCAACGGAAATATGTGCCCTCGCGTAATAACAATATTAAAGACGGAAAGATACAAGCGGAAGATAGGCGAAACAAGGGTGGAAGTCCGGAATATATAAGAATATTGCATTACCGTCGCGAATCCGAGATACACTGCGTGTTTGTTTGATCGTGTGTGTAGAATGTCCCTCTTTGGGTTAAAGTATGGGTTTACCTAAACGACTGACTCTATGATTGTGTGTCTTGCTATGTTCTTTACGCGCTTCGAGAATTGCTGTGCGCGGAATATACTCCCACAACCAAAAAAGCGAAAAAATAAAAAAACTTGGAAGAAAATTGGCATTCTTACAATTTTTAATAAAATTATATTTTTATTAATAATTTAAACTAAACGGTGATATGTTTATGAGCGTTTAGTATTCTAATCAACGGTGCCAAGTTAATTCTAACGTGATTTTCTTATTTTACGCTTTAAATTTATGGAACTTTATACTTAATATAAGTTTTCTTTTCAAAAATATTAAATTAATACTGACGATTCCTCCACCACTACAAGTTTTACTTCTACTTCATATTTACCTTGTGATATAATTAGCGAAACAAAGCATAACGAAGATAGTGAAATCGACGTGATTCTTCGCCGCCGTCGCCGCGGAGGTGGAGTCCGACTGTAATTTTTGTTTGTTGATTACTTCCGGTTGTCGGCTGCGGGTGCTGACTAGCTTGCTCGTGGACTGCGGCGGTTGGGGGATGCCCGGCAGCGTAGCGATGCATTTTAATTCGACGGAATTCGCCAGAGCGTGCTTCTTGTCCACTGGGAAACTTAACGTCAGAGATCGCGCCATTAATCCACGATTATCGGGGTCGGAGCACGTCATTTCGCCCACGTGCCGGGGAAGGACCTATGGCGAGAGACAATTGTGTAATAAATGTGTGTGCAGTTTGTATTTAATCGGTAAAATGCGCAAAAAATTATTGATTGTAGAGTTTTGTGTGCGCATATTGGCGAAAAATAATTTCACACGGTCGAAAAACTAGCGTAATTTTATATTTATTCACACAACAATCATTAAAATATATATTTTCCACTGCACACACAATATATGTCAAATATTTTTTCCGTTTTACTTTATTAAAGTTTACAATGCCATTAATTATTCGAATTTAATAAGGAGAGATGCATGAAATGTGAGTGCGATCCGTGTAAGTAGGTCAACCTGATACTGCTGCTTGGCATGGTAAGTATCACCCGAAACGCAAAGTTCGGCGACTCAGGTGTAAAACGTGTAAAGATTTGTTTACATTTGCACTTCCTGAGTGCCATCCGCTGCGCAAACACAGACTTGTGTGTGCTTTTAACTTCGCTAATGGCCTCTAAGATTTTAACAAGGCAAAAACATCGTGTTGGAGATTTACTGCATCAATTGAATATTATTAGTTTAATATCTAAGCTAATATCACCATGTAATATTCTTAATTTATTTTTAATGCCTTATATATATTTTTGTCGATTAAAATTATTTAATATAAAATCGATAACATTTTAGTATTTATAGTTACTATAAAATCTTGCAACTATTCTGTTGGGTGACTCAGGCTGGACTGAGCGCGTAGCGCATTGCGCGTTCCCCTTTTATAACTGCAGACTACCCATAAAAAGTGGTGGGGGAAGTATACCAGTGGCAGTGACGCGCTCGATTGTGCGTGAGATTGCGTATCGTAGGTACCTGCTGTGCATGGCTGGAGAAAGTCTACTTGATTTTTTTATTAATTTTAAAATTCAATATATCTGACTATGTATTATTAAACCGTGTAAAATATTTTACAAAGAAAATAATAGCAAATATTGTTTCCTAAATAGTGTCTTTAAAGAGTATTTAATGTGAAAATAATAAATTTCCATAAAAACGTTCATTTACGTTGCGTAGCCGGTCTTGTCCTCTTAAAACATGAACTATTATAGTGTGCCGGCGCCGGGCATCCGCGCATCCGTGCACATATTAAATTATATCGCTGCAAACATTGCACTAGCACTACTGCCCGCAGTACTGGTTCGGGCTTGCTCCAAACTGGAACTTTTGTATTAATTATGCATCTGCTAATAATTGCGTAATTAAAATTTAATGTGGCTCGCATTAACTTTGTTAGTACTCATATTAGTAACGCGAGGCATACTAGCGAAAGAGGCCGTAAAAATAAAGGTTATATATATGTATGTATTTAAATTCTAAAAGTCATTTTTCTCGCATTCATGCGCCGTGTTTATATAACTTGGGGCCGTATAAAAAGGCAAACAAAGTTTGCTTTGATAAAGAACTTTTTCTATAAATTTCTTAGTTTTCACATACTTTATGTCCCGTAACGTGTGACCTTTGATCTCTAAGGCATTAAATATCGCACGTGTTTGTTCAACTTTTATAATGTAATGGCAAAATAAATTTGATAAATTACTGAAACACTCGTGATATTAACCATGGAATTGTAGTGTATATTATTTACGCATAATAGTTTGATAATTTTAGTTATTAATTAATTACTACTAACCTAATCCAATTATATGACTTCTATCTTTATAAATCGATAAAGCAATAAATTTCGAATATAAACATAAACATATTTTAGTGATAATAAATTTTTGTAATAAGTAACAGACCATTTTATGACGATTTTCGGAAATTTCATTAAAAACAATTTTAAATGTTAATAACTATTTATAAAAAAATCATTGAGACATAAAACAAAAATAAAATAATGTAGAATTTAATTCTTAATATTATTCTGAAAAATTATAAATATATCTCTAATGGCTCCTGAGTAATTAATTAATGTTTAAAACAATTAGTGCCGCGCTACAATTTCAGCAAGAAATAATAAAAAACACCCAAATTTGCAGTAATAATACCTTTGTGTTGTATTGTCAATGTGTGTACGTATGTGTTAATGGGTAAATGTACAAAAACGAGTATATTACTGGCGCAACCAACAGACTACCGCGTCCCTGACATAATCCAACTTTGTGAACTATAGGTACACTATACGCGCCACTACAACCGACAACTTCCAACTACTTTAACCGACGGGCCTGATTAAAGATTAACCTCGGGATGGTTGACTGTGAAATTAATTAACTAGGCATAATTAAATTACAGACGGGGCGCGAGCGGCTGCCTGCAAATACAGAATGGTCAGTGCCGCTCCAACCGACCGACTTTAAGCCTCTCAGCCTCTCGGCGCTCGTTTACCAAGCATTAAACTCTACCAAGTGAAGAGGTAAAGACGCTGCCGACGCAGCACCACCTCTTTCAGATGCTTCAGCCGCGCTCCGAAAATAAACAACGTTAATTAATGTTTTCCAGTTTTACCTCTTGGTTATTGATGTACCAGGACAGTATTGGTGTTGGATCTGCCACGTCCGACATGCAATTGGCGTTGATCACATCGCCTTCGGTGTAGGGACCATTGACACCCTCAATGTGCGGCGTCTCCTTGGGTAACGCTGCGAGGAGAGAAAGACAAGGAAACGGGGAAATGTTAAACGATGGAGAACAAAAGTGAGTGTAATGCAATTAAAAATGTTTTCGAAAATTGAATAAAACCACGAAGGCACAGACCTGGACCTGCGGCTGTATGAAAATGAATTTCTAATTACTCGCCTGCCACTGTAACGACGTGCGTTTCGGAAGCCAATCTAAATGTCGGTGCTTCGCTGGAGATCTCGCAGCGGAAGGCGCCGCCGCTGTGTTCGCGCGACAGTCCTCGAAGTTTTACTTTGCAGTGGTCTTTACCGCAGTTCGTGTTCGTCATCTCTAGGTTTATGCCGACCACTGGGAACTTGATTGTTTTCGGGTGTTGTTTTGGCATATATCTTTAAATATACATCAAAAATGTATTATAAACTATGTTTTAATCTAAAACTCCACTTAAAACAGTAAACCAGAGCCAATTACATATTTATTTTAATAAAAAAGTTAAATTTTCTGTAAATTTGAAATTTATGATTGTTGGGTTGCATATTAATGCAAAAATCTAATCTTTTTTGGTTTAACACTTTTTGACCGTTGTTTCAGGTAAATATCTACAATTATTAGTTAGATAATACTATAAAAATTATAATTAACTAATTGTTAACAAAAATTATAACCAAAAATGCAAAAAAAAACCAAAATATTTATTAAATAATTCGTAAATGTCAATTGTGTGTTTGTTTGGTAGCATATCATCGTAAAATCTAACCTTTTGATGATTTTACCTCTAGTTGAACTAAACTATTGCAGGAAATTGATTGTAAACAAACCTGAAAAACTCCCGATCGTCCTTATACCATTTAACGGCGTACAACTCTTCAGCTCCCATGTCGAATCGACAATCCAAGTCGATATCACCACGTACATCCGCAACCAATGGCGCACTCATGTTGGTTAAGCGCAGCGCATTTCCTGCAAGCAATATTTGGACAATATGTGATATTCATGATGTTTACCAGTCGTATCATCATTTCAACATTTTCGTATTTCACGCTCGTAATCTTTGTACATCTGATAACTGATGGTTTAAGCAATAATCGGGTTTACTTCTCTCCGGCTCGATAAGCTCCCAGCGGCGAAACTTATTTCATCTATCCACACATTGTCTGCGGACAATAATGCAAAAACGAAAAAGTTTCCGATGAACGCGCGAATAAAGGGAGAGTGCGAAAGTTCGAGCGTCCCGATATCGGATATCGCGCAATTACATTATTGTCTCGTCCAGAACGCTCTGATTGCCCCCGAACTGACTTCGAAATAGTCCAACTCGTCCCCGATTCTGTGTGTGCGTCGAGGAGAATGTGAGTTATGTGTTTGTCTAACTCTTAGCCGGTGTTGGTGTGTGCGCAAGTTTGTATTATCTCCGAGGCGGAAAGTTTGTGCGCGGCGAGAAACCCGTGGAAATCCGGAATCAATTCGACCTGGCCTCCAGTTCCCCAGTTCTCAATCCCTAATTCCGCTTTCGCGTGTGGGTGCAGCGAGGGCCTTTAATAGGCAGCCAGTTTTAATAGCCACACAAACTTCGCTTCTCATACCAAATGAGATTTACTTTTAATTCAACTTGGAAAAACTCTGCCGTGCACGCTGTGATTCCGATGCGACTGTGATTCTGTGCAACTAGCAATACGAGGGCTTTACTAGTGTCGCACACTCAACATTCAACTTTTTTTTTCTTTTTTGGGGCGTAGTCCTCAGTGGTGACAAGACTATTTTTTAAGCTTTCGTAATACGACCACACCTTAACTGGAAAATATATTGAAAACTCACTAAAAGGTTTCCGATGGCAATGCGGGTCTGTTCACCTGCCGGAAAAGTTGGGAAACACGACGACCATTGAGTTCGTGTCGGCAGCGAATCGAGTTCGGTAGCGCGCATACAATTATGAAGTGTTTAATATTCATTATCAGCGCAAAGTTTCGAAACTTTAAAGAGTCTTTATGCACAGCTACCTATATACTATGTATCTTCATCGATATTTCACAAAACACTCAACCAGCGGTGAATAATTAAAATGCAAACTAGAAGAAAAGAAAAAAATATGCAATATCCGCCGAGAGTTGCATTCGTGCGACAATTCCGGGAAGCAAATTACACCCGTTGGACCTGGTGATAGACATCGAAAGTAGTTTCTGATCAACTCAATCAGTGCCAAGCGCCGAATCGATGGTCCCGATGGTCCCGCATCGACTAATGAGAGTTGCTGTGTGTTTGTATGTGCCGCTTGTTTCATTAACTTGCGCGCAAACCAAGCAATGAATGCAACACATTCGCACGCGTACCGTTGATGGAATGTACGGGCTTATAAAGTTAACTAACGAATACACAATTCGACATTGTGAGTTGAAACATTCTGCGTGCATTCCATCATTTTGTACAAGCTGCTTTTCAAGCTAGCGTTACAGTTGCTAACAGGTAAAATACACCTGCGCGCTTGTTGATTTTATTGCAGTGGCATTTGTCTGCTGCTAGTTGAAATTTTGGCGAAATTATTACAATCGGATTTGCTAACTTTACAATTTTAATTAATCTTATTCAACTACGCGTAGCTCATTATTTTGGCTGTAATACTGTTTGATTTATTAAACTAATAACATAAATATTTATTTTTCAAAAGTTTGGTTGGAATCTTCGTATTGCGTGAATGCTAAATTGGCTGCCTACATTAAATTTCACTCACAAATTGCTATATTACAGAAAAATCGTAATTTTGCATACTTTTCTGTATAAATTGCAGTTTAATGTTAATAAAAGAAAATAAAAATGTATACAAAACTTACCTATGAGAGTAGATTCACTGAGGATCATCATTAACTTGAAAATCACGAAAGTTGAAGTAAGCATTTTTCAAAATAAGTGATGATTAACTCTTGGAATCGAAATTTCTGCAACAAAAGTTAAAAAAAATTACACATTATATTCATTTATTTGTAAATTTAAATTATGTTAAACTTTTCTGATTAGGTCTTTTCTACCAATTTTACTTCCAATCCAATTCGGCTGCCTTAACCAAAATCTAGATGCAAATCTACCGAAAAAAAAACGCTTGAAATTCTCCAACATAATGTAAGCACACGTAAGAACACCAGCCAGCCAGAGCTGCATTACAATAACATTATTACGTCTCGCCCTAGCACCCCGTGTTTTCCGCCAGCCGTAGTAATCAAAATTTCTTATAAGCCCGAGCATTGGAGAGAACAACACAGTCCACGTGCCAGACACGCACGTATATACATACAGAGATACAACAACCTAAGTACTAAGTTGTCACTGTGGGCGACTTTATTATATTTTCGTGGCGATAATACGGGGATAACACCATGGGGTGGTAAATTAGATATAGACAGGTATTAAAATCCAGGGGGTGAAATACCGAGGGAAATCTTCCATCCCGCGCCACTGCAACTGTGTGTTTTTTGCCCTCTTGCTCGTTTATGCACCCTTGCGTGTCGTTCTATTTACCCTCCATTTAGATGGAGAGATCTTTTCCCGCATCACACCCCCGCCGCAATAATATACAGTCGGTTGCGAGAGACAACGAGACAAAAAACGGAAACTACCAAATTAACCAGAAACCAGCAGCGACTCGGTGAAGCGCAGCACTGCTTTGCAAATTATTTTAAATAAATGATGAGCGCTGGCCCTCTACAATCAAAGTTATGAAGGAAGCACATTTAAATTGCACAGTGAATGTAATTATACGGAATTCTGAGTCGGAGGTTGTAAATTGAGTTTTAGATTAGAAGAAACAATATAGATTAAATCATTAAATGTAATCCGCGGTGTTGCAAATTATTAAAACATCAAAAATTGAAAATTGATAAAAATTAAAGAAGAAAATATTTTTTGTACAAATTTTGACATGTGATATATTTTTTCACAAAGATTATTTTTTTATCTTAATAAAAGCGAATTAAATTTGATTAACTGTAATTAATTTAAGACGAAATTTATTTGACAGCTAATATAATATATATTTACGGTGGTGGTAAAAAATAAAACGGTCTGCATCCGAAAATATGTTATGATGTAGCATTTGAAGTAAGCACCCCTCAGCAAAAACACAATAAACTGTTCGAAAAACAGTACAAGCTACCCCTTGAAATTCTTTTCCGCACGCACATCCACACTTTACCTTCAACATATTTTTTTATTACCCCACGAACGCTTTTGTTACTGATGATGTTTATTTTTCATTGTTCATTTTATTCACTTCGAAGGTGTAAAATATTGCGTGACAGATTAATGGAACGCACATGAGGGTAATACGGTGGTAATGGCCCCGAAAAGACCCTCGCAGTCTTACGACGTACAGCGTCTGTAATTACTAATTGAAGTTGGAAGTTGCGATGTACGCCACGAGAGAATATATTGATAAATCATCGATGAGTCACGCCGAGGATGATATGTGCAAAGATTAAAGCGAAGAGAATATGGCGCGGCGTGCGTGTTCGATAGTCGAGTCATTTACTATAATATACGAACCATTATTACATCAACTTAGATTTATTACGTGTGTATATGAACAGAGCACCGCCGGTAACAACTTTATGAGAAAAAATTGCGCTCTATTACTTCATTTTCATTATACGAACACATTTATCAAAAATTGGTTGCTTTTATTATGCATGAAACAATCAACTTGTTTTTAATATTTGAATATTTCAGTTTCAATATAAATTTTTGATTTCAAAGCTTAATCTGTGTACGTGGAATGCTTTTTGTGTGACTTTTTTCGCGCGTGGGTGGCTAATATGTGGCGGGGCCACATTACTGATATCAAATGTATTCAGAAAGAACGTGTAATTACTCAATGACACAAAATCCATACAAAAACAGCGCCGCTAACGTCAAATGACATGTTATTCATCATTGTTTACGCATTGATATAAAGTTACTGCTGATGCTGGACTAAAAAACACAAACCGTTCGATGTTTGAAATCTCTGTATGTCGAGTTTGTAAATTATGAGAAAGGATGGGTAAAATTGTTTTGGGCTACAATTCTAATAATGCTGAATATTTTTTGCTGCTATCAGAAATTAGAAAATAATAATAAGTAGAAGTAATATAACCTACAAAACCAAAATATGTATATACAATTTTTAAAAGTGCTATGCAGTTTATGTATTTTTTTTCGTAAACCATGAAAATTGACAAAATGTATTGACAGTGCATACGCCATCTCGCGGTGAGAATGAGTAAAGTGTTTACGATCTAGAGATTCAGAACTAGTTAACCCGCATTTTACAACAGAAATAAAGCGCAAAATCAGATTTATTGAGATAATTATGCAAAATGGGATAATATAAAGTTATATTATCCTCCAACGTCATTCAGTTCGACAATTTTAATGCGTATATAGTAGGTTATGTAATTTTTTAATGTCACAAATGCAAATTGACAGGATTTAATGATAATAACTCGAAACGACATCTCACGGCGGAAATATGTAATGTTTCTACAAGTCCAGCAGCCAAAAATACGTTTTTATCACAAAAATAAAACGCAATTACCAAAATTACACGAAAAATTCAAATCCCATTGACAAAACACTTGTAACAAGATAAAAGAAAACAAACACAACAAACTTGGTCATACATCAACATAAGAAAAGAAAGACAGTGTACCAAACCGTGAAAGACAACAAAAGCTTGTACATCATTGTCAAGTTTAATTCCGGCCGGAGCAAAAGTACTTAGCAATGCATAAGAACAAGCTGTTTACGTTGCTGAATTATCCGAGAATGAGAAGTTATGAATAGATACCTGGAGCACAGTATGAATGTGAAGTGCCGCCATTCTACTCATTACTCGCGGCGCGGAGAGCAGTAGTTAAATTCAATGTGAGTGTTAAAGATGATAGCGTAACGCTGTTAACAGTAACATTAATCGTACACCAACATCGGAATAATGTAGCAATGTTCAAATATAATTTCATTTCACCGCGGTTAGCGTATATTCTTAGCAAAGAATTGCACGCGTTTTATTAATAATTCAAATATGATTTCGCAAACCGAATGAAGGTGGAAATGAAATGAATTGAATGCGAAAGTAACACATTCAGAAAGTAACCAACTGAAGTAAATATGTCTCCCTGGAGTGATGCTGTGCGTTTGGTTTCGAGGTTTGTTCCTCCGCTTTGAATTTTAAAGACACAAAAAGGGGTGAAGCGTCAGCAGAGACCAGGAGAAAAAATTTAGAACCCACCGCCGGACGTGCGCGAGAAAGAAATGAAAATTGTAGCAATATATATATATGTTGAGAATATTGTATGAATAATAAAAGAGTGTAGGCGCGTTGCGGGGGTGGAAATAAGAGTGACTTTTATGTTAAAATGTTTCATCTATACTGAATAATAAATAAGGTTTTGTTTTCCCGTGGGTCATCTTTGGCGGAGCACTACTTGCTGTCGGGTGCACTTGTGACGATTCAAAGGGCATCTCGCGATGTTATAATAACAATACGAGACGGCGAGATGGGTGGCTCTTAGCGCGCGACGCGGGCAAAATGGTTTGCTGAAAGCCTAGGAGTGACCTCGGGCGTCTTTCTTCTGTGTTCTTCGCTGCTGTGCCCGAGGTACATGAAAATCGAAGGAGCAAAACAACCCTCACTACTCTTGATTTTACGCGGCGCGGTATTCGCACCGGAGCTTTAAAATTCGTCCCAGACGTCCCCGGACGCTCCGGCATCATATACAGGGTATATCAAAACATAGAATTAAATATTTACCAGCACACTTTATTGCTACAAATTGTCTGCCTCAATTTTTATTCTTTCTGCTTTTCTTTTCGGTACTCTTTATCTTTATTTTATTCTTATCATCAGTGGAAGATCGGCGCTTATAACTATAAGCCGTCAATGTTACTTTACACCAAAGTTGTTCGCATCTCACGTTTCTCCTTTACACTTGACGTAAGTATATTACTAACTCCAGCTAATAAAATATTAGATTTCACAATAAATTTATTATTCCGATAATGGAAGTTTCAAACTTTGTATACGAAAAAATAATTGAAATTTACGTAAGTAACTAATTTTGTATATAAAACAATCTAGTAATAAATATACATATCTCTAAAGCTAGCTACGCGTAGATACAGATGTCGAGTATTGTTTTGTTCTAGTTTTATAATTTACATGATCCGCCAAAACTTTCTACTTCCACCCCTCATCGTTTCAATGAATTAAATGCTAATTAATTTAATTTCCAGCCAGCGGCGTCGCGGAACTGGAGAAAGTTGAATACATTTCCAGAATAGATGTGTATTTGTTTGTAGCTCGCGTCGCATATCAACAGAATATGAAATGGAATGAAATGCGTTTATGGAGTGGCGATTTTCACTTTACAATTAAAATTTTTGGTCAACATTTCGCTCGTTGCAAATTCTAATTGTACAACTGTGTACAATCGGAAGTGCGCAAAGTATGTATGTATGTAAATGTACACTTCCGTTTGCAAAACATAACATGAATAATTAACTGTTATATTTTTGCATTGTGTTTTTTTGCCTTTTTTACATGTTAATAACGCACCAGCCATTCTGCTAACTCAATAAATGTCGTCTTAAATTAATTGTCATTTGAATTTATAGCAGTTTTTTGTTTTATAGATAAAAAATGAATTTTTTTTCTAATTTTTTGGAAAAACTACCTAGCATAGTATTATTACACAAGTTTTTGAACCAGCTGTCAAATAATGATGTCATTTCTGTCAAACAACATAACCTTATCGAAAAAATTATTTTTCAATGCGAAAAAGTATCTCATTTGACGTAAAAGCACTTTATTTTAAACTCTTTGAATACTAATAAATAATTAATGCTACGTAAGACATTTTCAAAGAATTTTAAAACATTTTACTCTATATTAATTGTTTGCAATTGCCAGATGTCGGTTGAGTTAGCAAACACTTGTTAAAATTGTTCCAAAGTAATTCCGTCTTAGTCTTAAATTGGTATTTTTAATTAATTAAGTATTCTGAACACTCGGTTCTTTTATTAAGCTCTAAAAGATCAAATATTTCCATTAACCCTTGTTTGCTCAAACATTTAATATACATACCAGCTGTTTTGATATTTTCGGAAAAAATTAAAACATTTCCAAATTAAACACGACAAAAAGCAGCAAAAATCCCGCAAATAAACCGAAATAATGATGTTGTACTAAATAAACTTGTACAAGATGATGACATAATTCGTTTCTTTTGGTTCGTGTATCTTTATCTGTTTCTGCCTAGTGATTTCGCGAGTTTATCATTTAATGCGCCACTTGGAAATAGTGCCGGTGCGTTCTAAATCTAAACCATTAGTGCTAGACGTTTACGAAACGGCGCTATCGCGAGTTTTGCCATATAGCCCGTATAGATAATGCCACTAACGCCATATAAACGGAGTGATATACACATTAAAGTTATGATTCATTTGTGCAATATTATAGCAGCAACCACCAATGAATGCTATGGTCTCGCGTGTGCAGCTGCACAGACTAGTTCGAAGTGGTACATACACTCCTAGATAGTAAACAAGTACAAGTTGTATGTAGCAAGTTCAGCGTGAAACCAGGTAATAGCCATTCGAGTATCTAGTTTGGTTGCACCAAAACGTAGGTGTATTGTTTGCTGTAAGTACTACAACGAGGTACTACACACAATGTTTGGAAACAATTAATAACATTTCGCGTCTTATTTACTTTGCAACAGCAGCTGCACGCTATTTTCCTGCTTATTATTAAATATTTGGAGGTACTTGCTTGTTCTTAAGTAGTTGTTAATTTTCAATTCAACGCGGCGGAGAAATCAGTAAATATGCAGAATTTCATGAAATCTTGGAGAGGCGCATGCGCAAGAGGATGTTTCAGTTAATCATGAACAATTGGCAAACATTTTCTGTGTTTAACACATCATAATGATATTAAAATCGCAAAATTAAAAATTATATTTGTCGGTTTATTTCTAAACTAAACATTTATGTATATTGCGCATGCGTATTGTGTGTGGTTGCAAATATTCTGCGCGTTATTCTTTAACCTAACCTTTTGCGGATTTTACAATATATTCACTAAAATGCACAAAATTAAGATAAATCCTTTGTTTTCTTAAGAATTGCATAACTTATGACAGTCTAGATTATATGTTAAGGTTAATTTTATGCTAATAATACTTTTGGTCATTGGTTACCAACAAAATAAAACGATAAAAACACAAAAACAAAACAAATAAAAGTTTCGAAATCGTCTTGTTTACAAAACAAATCAAAGTAGTATCTCTTCTTACCTGTTTTAATATTTTAATGCACCCACATTACGAATTTAAAAAGTTTTCAACGTGCAAATGTTTAATTCACGCGACACCGTTAAACACGAGAGTGGCGAGCGAGTTACCACCGTTACCACCGGCCGAGCGCAGGAGATGTGTGGGAAGGCGTGCCCGCTCGCGTCCGTTCCAGGATTGCCGCTATTGCCGCTCTCCCGTGTTCCCGTGGCGAGTTTGTCAGCCGCGCAAGAGTTGGACTGTTACTGGCAGCAGACACTCTGTCTAGCGGGAACAGGGCGCACGCCCCCTCCAGATGCACACACGCTCGCTGGGGCTCTGTTATGGTCCCGGACCTGCCATACATACATTACAGGCCGCAGCGTTCGAACGAATCGGGAGCGAAAAATACACTCCGCACCTGCTCATGCATAAGAAACTGCTATTACGCGAGCCGGCGTTCGAAAATCAACAATCTAAATATGTTATATACCTGTTTCAATATTCTCTGTTGCAAATACACGCCGGCACGTTCGAATGGCGCGTCCTGAATCTATATAATGTTTTTCACTTTATGCTGCTTTTTTTCCGCCGTCTTGTGATCGAAAAAAATGCGTAAAATTTAAATTTATTATTCCATTAGGGGCATAAATGGTGTATAAGCGCGAGGATGGTACATTTGAATCGAATTTTAATTAATTCTTTGTTTAGAATAAACTGGTTAAAGTTATTTCAGGTGGTTGCGAATTAAATTTTGTAAAAAACATATTTGTTTAGGCTTTATGTAAATAACTAATAAATGCCAATGAAATGTATGTTATCCATATAGATATGAGTTCAGATTTACGGGGAAAACAAACAGGATTTCCATATCTCTTTTAGTTTCAGTGTAATCGTGAATTTTTAGAGTCGGGGCAATTTCAACTTCCATCTCTACCGCACGTGAACGACAACGCGCACGCAGATAAAAACAATTTCATATAAATTTCATTTCCAGTGAGTTCTTCAGTGAATTTTCTGTGATTTTAAGTAAATGAGTTCAAGCAGTGGAAAATTAAACTACTTAAACTTATTATTTTTTGGTTTTTCTTTGAATTATGAATAAAATGTGAGGATTATTATTTTATGTATTATACATCATATACTTTAAATAAAGATCTATTCCTAAGAACTGAAAATATTGTTGTAACTCTATCAGTTTGAGAATTTAGAATTTATAAGAATTTGGACTTATTTTCTGAGTTACAAGAAATTTATAAAAAGTGCGTTTTTCCATCAATATATCAACAACTATTAGCAAATAAATTATTATGTTATGCAAATGCTTGTTACTTTGGTAGCACTCGTTAAAATCAATTTGTAATAGTTAAAAATGTTTTTCAATCTCTTTTCCTTCAAAAGTTATTCAATTTGTATATTTTCTCTTAATTTCCAAAATTATTAGAACACTTCCTTCCCTCATCAATATTATATGTTTCCAAATAGTTCAGCAACATGTTTACACATTGCAAAAGTGATTAACTTTAATTTAATTTGAATATATGCATCCTAACTGAAAATTAATTTTATTTTAAATACACACGCACAAAGTAATCCACATAATCGCGGTACAAAATGAATTTCTGATGAAGGAGGCATAAAATTTGCATACAAATTTATATTTTATTACATACCAGAATTATATAAATCTAAACGATTAAAATGTTTGACCTTCACATTACACCAGACAAAAATCGATAAGAATCGTGCACAAATCACTTTTACTTGCACGCAATATTTGATTAAATTATATTTATTATGCAAAAATTGATATTTGTTACAAATACATTTTATACATTTCCTTAACAGCATTTAATGTTCTTCTGGTTTTTTTCTCATTCAATAATCTACTTTTACGTGTACAAGTAGATATATTTGGTCTCTTGAAAAAATTACTTAAGTTGGGCCATACAAAATGAACCATCATCATCAAATTTAGCCATCAATCTTGCAGTTGTAGTAATTTAGACGAAACAAATTCAATACAGTTATAATTTATAATCATTAAATACGTTGTAACAAGCAATAGTTTATATGTATCGATATTATCTAATTACATTCTCATCGTTTAAATTTAATTTAGCCGATATTTAAAAATATTATATTCCCAATTTTCTTAATTAGTATTTCAATCTGCTTATAACATGCCTAGTAACCAGCTTCGTATACAACAATTCCTGTTCATTTCATGTTTCTCTATCTCATTGACAATTCATTCACTGAATTCAAATAGCTCACAATAAATATCATCAAAACCACGTCGATAGTAATCAAGGAAATATTTACATCGTACCGCAATGTTTCAAAAAATCATTGGACTTTTTCCTCGCATGATTAAATCGTTGGCTATTTGAATATTATTGAAAACTCTAAACTGACAAACCGTTCAACAAACCTAAATATCAACTTTATGCGGTGACCATGTAGGAGTATGTTCAATTTGTTTATAAATTAATCTCAACAAATCACAAAACAAACAAAAATTATTAGACATAACTATTTTTTACCAGCGTGTGTGTAAATGTAAAATGTTGTTTCCAAACTTCTTTCGCTTAGTATGTCCCATGCCTGAGGCACCATGTAGTATATAAATTTGAGCGCAATTACAATTGTTTGTGCATTACTACACGCTATGAAGTTGCTACATCAGAGCATACAAAATATCACAAACTATTTACACAATATTTAGCAACAACGGTTCGATCAACAAAACAAAGAAGAAAAAAACACTACAATCATAACGCTCACATCGCTTTCCTAAAATCATTGACAATATGCATGTAGTTTAGTTTTAGTTATTAATTGTAAGTACACGTTACAATTTACAAATCGCTATAAATTACCTAAATAACTGCATTGGCGCTCACTGGTGGATGGTGGCAACGCCACCGCTCAGATTACCACTTATGTGAGCGGAAGTGCCTAGCGTGGAAGACAGTGTGTCTTGAAAACTGAACTGCGGGAAGTACGGCTCCTCCTGGATGGCGCGCAATGGCGCCATCGTATCGGGCGGTGTCAATTCAACGCTTTCACCTGTAAACTCTGAATCAAAATAGCGCGTGTCGGTCTCGCTAGTCACCTGAGGTAAAAACGGTGCTGGAATCTAAACTCAAACACAAATATATGGGTTAGTATTGCAGTATGCAATGTTATGACTCTTGACTCACTCGTTTAGCTACCAAATCAGTCCAGTTTATACTGCTGAAGAACGGATGCACCATAATTTCCTGTGCATCATCAGGCCCGCCGCCTAATCGTTGCGCTGGATCTTTTACCAGCAGTCGGGAGAGTAAATCTTTCGCATTGCTGCTCAATGCTTTCGGGAATTTTACATCACCCATCATAATCAATGTAAATAGAATATCGTGGTCCTTATTATAAAAAGGCAATCTTCCGATCATCTACACACACAAAAAATATATAAATTTCACCTAAAAATTGAATTTTATCACAAAAAAATCTTACCATTTCATACATAACTACACCGATTCCCCACCAATCCACAGCTCTGCCATAATCATTATCCTCCAACACCTCAGGCGCTAAATATTCTGGTGTACCACAGAAGGTCCTTGTTGTTCTGCCATAAGTAATATCCTCTTTACATAAACCGAAATCAGTTATTTTAATATGTCCATCTTTATCGAGTAAAAGATTCTCTAGTTTTAGGTCGCGGTAAATAATCCCCTGTGAATGTAGATAGGCCAATGCCGAGATGATTTCCGCACCGTAAAACCGTGTGCGGTCTTCATCGAAGACGCGCTTCCTTGACAAATGAAAAAATAGCTCACCACCGTTGACATACTCCATTACAAAGCACAATCTGTCGTTGGTCTGAAACGAATACCTAAGCGACGTGAGGAACGGATGATTTGTCGTTTTTAGCACGCGGTTTTCAGTCTCTGTGTGCGCCACCTCATCCTTCTGAATGATGACTTCTTTCTTTAATATTTTAATGGCAAACAAGCGGCCGGTGGCTTTCTCTCTACACAGAATTACTTTACCAAACGTTCCCTTGCCGAGTACTTTTAAAAACTCAAAACTCTCAAGCGTAACCTTTTTCTTGCCCGTTGATTTCGATATTGATGTGCCTTGATTGGAGAACTTTTCGGAGAGTTCTTCACTCTGCTCTACACACATTTCAATATCGTTATCTTCAACTACATAGTTACCAGAGGTACTTTTAATAGCAGCTACCCATTCATCACTGTAAATCATTGTTATATAATCGTTTTTTGGGAGAATTTCGCGAGGGACTTACCGGTCAGCTGCGGATTCGACGTGAAACATTCGTTCTATCACAGATGTAAGTTGTAGGCCACGAATGATGAACGTGAACGGTTTGGGCCGATCGTTTGTCATTATCTGGCAATTTCTCACTGTGAAGTTATTGTATGGTTCTGGAAGCGGCTGACTCATGTCTGGTTGATTTTTGTATCCTTTTAAGCTACCATCATTGAAGAGCATAAAAAATCTGCAAAACAATTTTAATATAAACAAACAAATAAAAATTGTAATGTTATATGTTGCAATACCTAGGTCTCCAATTTCTAATGTGTTCTCCTCGCTTGAACAGCCAGCCCTCTTTCACAACCAGTGATCTTTTGGGCTGGACACATGACCTGGGATACAATTCCTCTGAGGTGATCATCTTGAACTGCAAAACAACAAAAATGACACTGGCATGGCATGTAATAGCATAACATGTTTGCATGCAAATTGCGCGACATGTATTAAATTATAGTGTGTGGCGCCGCAAAGATTCTGCGTCACACATGTTGTTTGTGCACACCACGGGTGTAATAATTGCCCGATATGTGTGTATTAATGGTAACGTGGTGCGAGGCACAACGTAACACACGCTTTATCTGCCTTACACCACCAACAACAATCCGCCCCACTCACCTTTCGTTCACGAAAATCCACTAATTAAAAAAAAAATCGTCACACGCAGCAAAATATTTTCGCACTCGCTGCCGATGTGTAACTGAGAGTCCAAGTGTGCAGTATGCCACCACGCAATGTGCGCGGAACTATCGCAGCAGCGAAGGCGAGCGGCCTTCACTGGACATTATTATTGTTATTATTGAAATCCGCTGAGTGGAGAATATTTCCTGTAGGAACGACGCGCGAAGCGCGATCGAAGTACGCGTTGTACGCTGTTGTGGTGAGCACTCGCGCCTACTACGCACTCTTTAAACACACACTCCCATGGCACTCACGGCGAAAACGAGCGCGCACCACCGACCGACGAAACTCAGGCGCTCGGGCTCATCACGGCAAGGACATGTTTCACGTCTATGTTTCACGTCTTTCACGTTTTCGACGACGCATTTGTGTTGGCTGGTTCATTGAACCTTCAGTAGAGTGCGCAATAACTGCCTCACGCTAATGACGTACGCTGAGCTGTATGTTTGGTTGCCTAGCTGCTTACTGTGAATTGGTGAATTCTAGTAAGTTCCGTACAGTTTTCTTCAAATTATAACTTTCTCATTCATTTCCAAAACAGGGTTGTATTTATTTCATAAATATTTTATAAGTACATGAAATTAGGAAATAAATATTTCAAACATAACATTTGCATACATTTTGGTAATAAAACTCAGGTTGACGTGATTTGAGCAAGTATAAAACTTATTTTGTAAATAAAAAGTTTATTTCTTGTGAAAATAGTGACATTTTTAAAAATTGACATTAAAGTAGTAAATTTTATATCAATTTAAAACCCCGTGAACACAAAAATATGAAATTTGTTGGTTTTAGTGCTCTCTATCATCCCAAAATCAATATTTTTCGATTTTCACCTTCTCAACTTTCAACTTCCTTTTGGATGTAAGTATATGAAAGAGGGTGTTTGGAGTAACTCACATCTATATTTAATTCTCAATAAATAGGTTTATTAATAATGAATACAAGTATTTGGTTATTATTAGGTGACTCTTAGTAATTTTGAAAAACAAAGCCATTTTTAACAGACAGAAACAAAACATTTATGTTACCACGAAAACATAATGTAAAACCGTTGTATAGTTGGTTGCATCATCCTCCTGTCCGTATAACAATTGAAATTAACAAATTAATCTTAAATAAGTCTAAATAAATTCATAGGAACAAAATAATATCACATAAAAAACAGTTTTTGAATAAATATGAACCTGTTTATTATATTTCATATAAAATACATACCTACTCAAACATATTTTTAAACATATTATAATCGTTGTAATGCCTTAATTTATATCTGTTGTAAACGCAATCCCACAATAGCCGCTGTCACACGCACAAGAGTCAAAAAATGCTAATCTTGTGCAGCGTCCAGCAGCTGCAATGAGATCTCGCATATGATGCAAAGCTGTAAAGTTATCAAAATCGTCGCCATCGCAGAATAGCTTAGAAACTTGGCTTGACATCCGACCACCGCCGCCAACAATGTTGAAATCATCAGCGGAAACATGAAGCACGAAGCACGCACCACGCATTAACCGTTGATTGTCTTTCTGTCTTTCAAATCACCTTCCCTGCGAACACCAACGGCACATCAGATACAAATTAGTATCGACGATATTATCAAGGATAAAACTTGAATTAATAATAAATTTACTTACTCCCTGAATGCAGTTACCCCAGTAAAATTACTACTGCAGGGTGAATACAATAAGAATTAAACATTTATTTGCATTCAAAGAGTAAATTATTGAATTTATAAGAATAACGATCCAAAACTTTAGTTTTTTTTAATTTCACCTATCGTAGATAATAGAACCTGAAGTGAATCGTAATTATAACTTGTATTGGGAATGATACAGATGCGTTTTCAATTATTTACGATGATACTATACAGGAAAACGCGTTATTCAAGTAAAAATCAAAATAAAACTAAAAAATTCCTCAAATTATTTGATAAATGATAAAACTAACAATAATTTCGTACCTAAATTACCAAAATGCACAATGGACACCACTATTTTGAATCTCTTGCACGCCGATATGCACTGTCAAATGTTTGAGGACAAACTGAACACTTCTAAGAGCGCACTTGTCATTTTATACCTTTGCGCCGATGATGACCCACCCCCTTCAACCATCGGACGTTATAAGCTATCATCAAGCGAACGGACACGAACGTTACCAATATTCAAAACACTCACACACACATACAGGGCTAATACGAACTACTGAATAGACAAAACGTGCATTTCTTTATTTCTCTCACGGGGCGCACGCAGGGTCTTCTTATCTAACAACGTCTGAAACTAACAATGACATCGATACTAATAATTAAATTTGTAGCCGCCGAAGGTATTGTAATACATGACAAACACAAGGTGTCCTCGATACCGGCTCATTTGATCACGATTTATCAAGTGAGTCATTTACATTATTTGATTATTTGATTATTTGTTTGCTTAGCCAGTATATGCACAATGGAGTGAAAGAAAAAACGCGGTACGGAAGGGGAGGTCGAGTGGTGGTGAACGATGGATCGGTTTCTCCAAGTTATGTATAATATGTATCAATATATATCTATTTATACACCTATTAGTTGTTGGTTGTGTAGGTGTATAGTGTACATAATGCATTCATCAGCTGGCTTTATCACATGTACACGCAAATTTATTAAAAATTAACTACGTGCCGCTTTCAACTCGGTTTGTATATCGGTTTATCTTGTTTCCTGCTAGTTTGGAACTGTCATGGCGTGTGACTTGAGTTGGACACGCCTACACTACCAAAAAACTTCCTAATTGTCAAAATAAGCACCAATTAAGTGTTACCCCTGATGAAAAACACGAGTTTTAGTTTATATTTTCAATATTTTTTGCATTAATTAATATCTACAATCAATTATTGATCTAATAGGGTATATTGCAACCATATTGTGTGACAGCATGGTGGAATTATTACGATTGTCCATAATTAATACGCTCCCACATGGCCCTGTAATTGACGGTTGCACCAACCTCATCGACATGCAATTTTAACCCCGAACATATTTTTGGATTCAAATATGTAGTAGATATAAGTGATTGAAATCGAAAATTCACTTTTATTTTGTTTTTGGTTGTGATCGGAAGTTGCTTTTGTTAAGTTTGCAGCTCGTGTGTGTGTGTGTGTGGTTAGTGAAGCAATACGAATGCCGATGATGATAGGATTACCTACTTGAGCAGTTTAGAATTCAGCCATCGGCAGGGGTGAAGCCTTTCAGGCACGCGGAAACGGGGAAATGTATGTTGCCCACACGCGACACTCTTATTCAATATGCATATATTGTTTCACACTAGACGTAGGCTATTCGAACGGAAACTATTCTAAGACCTTCGGCAGGTTAATTTTCCGATAATGGTGATTCATATTTGTTGATGTTTCGATGCATTGTTGTTTTGCAGTTGCAAATCTAGAACCCGTCATAGGCAGAAATTGATTTAAATGTAACACAACTTCTGACCCATGGCTTGGCTGGACTTGGAACTTTGATTGGTTGCTGAAATGCAAAAATTTTGCATTTTTCTTCACAAAAATTTTAAAAAATTACAACTTTTACTTAATATATAACTAATTAAACAGAATATTTACTATTAACAACAACAATTATTATTTTTGTTTCCATTTGAAAGAAAAATAAAATTCTTTTCTTTCTTTTCACAACTGGTGCTTCCACCTACGATCGAATATCTGTAAACATATTACTGGGACGCACTTAGATAATATTTCTCTTGGATTTTTGATATTTGAAACTTTAGAAGGGAATAAAAATAATATATAATGTTGATGATGTATTTATAATGTATATTTTTATGTATCAGATGATATAATAGAGAATAAATAAGGAAAAATTCAATTTATGATTAGATAATCACGTATTTTAATCCCATAATGGAATGTAATTCAAAACAACCTTTTTTGTTTCGTAATAAAAGTGGGGATAATATAGGTCAACGTGTTTCATGCGTTCGTGCTCACATCTTACTTCCTACTTCCCACTTCCGCTTTGTGACGTCATACCCATCGAATCTTCAGGATTATTTTGCTTATTCGTGAATGAAAAATTCAAATTAACAACTTAACCATAAAATAATTCAAAAAAATCCTATAATTAGAAATTATTATAAATCAGATAAATTTTCAATAATAAATTTAATGTTAATCCGATAATATTATTAATGGTAAATTTGTTAATAATATTAATGGTAATCTTTTAATAATATTAATGAAAATTTGTTAATAATATTGATGGTGATATTACGTGCGGATTACGTATGAGGATGATTTGAAAGTTGGAAAGGGTGCAACGTCCTATCGCGCGGCCTAGTCTCGTCCTGCGCTATTATTAGACCGAGGACGAGCTATTTTTAGTCCTGCTTGTAGTGTTTCCGATATAGGTCACTGTGGCGTGGGGGCTGGGGATGCGTTGCGCGCGAAGAAGGACGAGCGGTTCAACATTCGGCGGCGGCGGTGGTGGTGGCAACGCGCACGCAGGCACGGACGCCTCCTGATCGCTGTGCAAGCGCAATACCCTTTCACCCCGAATTCCATGACGTCATTACTGTTCCAGTTTTCGTTTCACAGGACCCGATTGTAATTCACAACAATATACATTAAATACTCACAAACAACAAAAAATACATAATATACTATATTATATTAATTAATAAAATAAAATAAAATATAATGAAATATAATTTACAACAAATTTAAATTTATGTTAAAAAATATTTTATAAATTATTTAAAATTACTTACCTTAGCTCTGATGTCACTGATGTGCTCTACCTAAAAATTTATTTTATGCCAATTTAACCGAACACGAATTTTAAAATTTTAATTTAAAATTTTATTTAAATTTTATTTAAAAAATACATAAATAAAATCAGTAAATTTTAGTAGAAAATAATTCACAAACTTGTCCAGTAGATGATTTTAGTCGAGTTAGTAAAATAATTTTGTAATAATGCAAATTTTAGTCTTGGGAGCGCAAATTTGAACCGCTCTTGTCCTGCATCCTCACCAGGAGTAGAGTATCGCGGCACTGAGCTTCGGTTCGGTTCCTCACAGATGAATCTGTTACAGACGGAGAGCATGTGAATGGAGGCCAACCCTCATTGGTCCGCCATCCCCTGACGTCATTACATTGATTGTCAGGCTCACGTGCTACACAAGGATCATAATGCTGTACTCTGCAATCCTTCGTCCGTTTTATTCATGATCGGGGCGCAAAGGAGCGTTAATTAACGATCACTACACTTTGAATTAATATTTCTATAATTATTAACAATATTTATTCACTATCATCACTCAAATTAATAAATTAAATAAATTTATTTAAAATTTAAACAAAATTTTCACTGTTTTTAAAGGATTTGTTTAAATAAATTTAAATTTTAACACGATTTGTTTAAAACTTTAATGCAAAATGAAAAATAATAATTTTGTGCCTTTTAGGCGTTAGTCGGTCAACCCTTGCGTCATTGTGTGGCATGAGTGCTGAAAAAACACGTTGCAATCGCAATGACGTCATTGTCGGCGGGTGGCGGCGGTGGCGGCAGAGCAAATAGGCGAAACGGGGCGCGCGAGGGGTTCCGTCAATACTTGTTGCAAACTGTGTCAGCCTGGGGCGGGAAACTGGGTCGCGCAAGGGGAGTACGCCATGCAGGTCTATGACCTGGACACGCTCGGTTTAGGTTTAGTTCAATACACTCCCACTCCACACCCGGCATTCAAATTTCAAATGGCACTATTAGCATTCTATTTTTTTCTCCTTCAGTGAGTACTGTTGTCTTCGGATGCTGAATCAATGTGCGATGTGATATTAAAAATAACCAATGCGGGAAATGGAGGGTATATTTAGATTGTGCTGGAGTTCATTGAGTTGGATGCTGCACCAGAGGACCGCATCCTGATGACGCACATTCCAACAGGGTAATACAATAATATTTTATTATATTTTATTAGAAATTAAATTAATTTATAATAAAACATTAAATTTTATCAATTTCATCGTTTTATTGAGTTTTAAATTATTTTTAAGCATTTAAAAATAAAAAATAATTTATTATTGTTAAATTTTTATTAACATATATTTTAATATTTATTTTATTAATACTTTGAGCAGTTTTTGTACTGGCTGGCCAATTAATTATCATTTATATTTAATAAATCTATAAGTGTAATAGATAAGTACATTGAATATATCCCTCTATCCGTATCCCGATATTTCAGAATGAAATTGTCCTACATTCCCGACGCGGTGACGTCAAACGATGACGTCACGCCGGATTAAAACTATGCGTTTGTGGGGCACAAGGATTAGATGGCCGGCCTCTCCCGCTCTGCGTTGTTCCTGCCCGATGGAGGTGGCAGCGTTCGTTCAGTGTTCGAAACTAGGTTAAACAGGGTGCGTTGCCCCGGATTCGGATAGGATGCTGAACGCCTGACGCGCGCACCCGCACACACACACACACACACACACACCTCCTCCGGGTGCGGAAATCGCACGCAACAAGGTTGCCGTCGGATACAAAAGAATGCTATTTTTAGATTTAGTTATAAATGATATACTGGAGTGAGGTGTGTGTTTGTGCGTCGTGGAATGTATTTTTAGTTGAGTAATTTTGCGATTGCGATGCGGTTTTTTGTTAATAAGAGCTGCAAATTGCGGAAGTATATAATATTGTTGAGTGAGGGATTGTTCCTTGCGTCCTTTGCGCCCCTTGCGCCTTTGGTCGTTGTTTCCATGACGACTTTAATGACGTCATACTCTACACCAGACGACGACACGGTCCAAATTTGTTGTTATATAGGTCAACCGATACGGAATTCGTTTTTTTCTAAATGACTTTTGCGCATACGTTCGCAGTGTTTCTAGGAATTAAAAGGGCAATTTAATTTAATACTTGATGTTTGCATTTTACGGTAAAAAAAATAAATTAATAAATTCATTGAAGTGTGTTTTGCATATTAATAGAAAATAATGATATAATATTTCAATTTTTGAGATCTGAGTGAAAAGGTTTATTCATCTAACCACGAGAATAAAATTGTAAAAAAAGAAAATTTAGTTACTTTTAGCTATAAAAAGAAAAATTTTGTACAAAAATTCTGAAATTTCCTTTTTTCAGAAAAATTTTGCAAAACTTTTATTAATTTTTGATAAAAATAATTGAATTCTCGTGAATCACTTGTTTACGTGTTTACAATGCTTATTTTGCGTAGTCAGTTTACAATCCTGTATTATACAAAGCAGAAACTAGATTTATAATAATAATATTTATGTAATTTAACTTTAATAATTTAATTTATCAAAATATTTTTATAAAAGTACAGAAAAACAGTTTTTACGCAAATTCTGCATCTTATATTTATCTACTTTTATGAAAATATTATCGAATTCAACTTAAGTAATCAGTTAATTGCCATGTTTTGCGGCTATGCTCCCAAGCACTAATTTTAGCTTCATGTTAAAGTTGAGTTTTCTGGCGTGTTTAATTCAACGCACAGCCTCCAACCTGAGAAATAGTTTCACTGCTGCAGATGTATCCACACCCACATCCACACCTACATTCGGTTTAATTTTGGAAAGCATTTTGAACAACCTAAAGCTAAACAAATAATGAAAATATTGCCTGCTCCAACTTAGTAACTGTAACAGTTGCATTTTACGTCAATTTGTGCGTCAATCCCAAAATGGTTTTCTCATCATACTAAAAATTAAGATAAACTTACCTTGCAAATGATCTAAAGACATAAATGCAGGTAGTAATGATGATTAAACAGGAAGACATTTGAAATTCTTCATTTTAATGGAAATTTTAGCATGGAATCCGAAAACATGTATTTATTAAAGCATAATACTTAAGTAAAATGTGAAGATTTTGCTGGCTTGCGCAGATCCGTTCGCTCGGATATCAAATCGCTTGAATCTATTTTTATGCATGAGGTACGGTGTTAGGCCTATATGGCTCGCCTATAAGGAACCGCGAAAGAAAATTCAGTGGTGGGAGATGGTAGGATGTGGAGTAGTGGTGTTTAGTGTCGCCGCCTGAATTGGAACGCGTAACCAAAAGTCACAGTCAGCACCAGGAGTCGTTGTTGACTAGTCACTTGCAGATTTTGCTGACCCAGGTATGTAAAACACAGAATTTCTCACAAATTATAAAAAATTCAACCATTACAACTTAAACTTAGCCGCAACATACTTAAGTACAGAGTGAAAATTGAAAATCTAGTGTTACCGAAGTGATTTCTTCAATATTTGTGCATCAGTGAAAGTACGCATTCGATTATTGCATTGGAAAGGATACTTAACAGTAAAGTAATGCGCGCATGCGCGTGTGTAGATTGCCAAATTTGGATAGGGTTACGTTGCGCGGCTCGAGTTTTATTTTTAAGTTACGCTAAGATGGCGTCCGCGCCCAACTACTTTTAGCTTGTAATTACCACGGCGGTTATTTTTAGACTCAGCTACAAATTACAACTTGCCAATAAATAAACCTGCTCAACTTTTTTCAGACCAACAAAACCAAACACCAAAATGGCGGATGATGAGGTTAGGTATGTATTGTATACTTAATTACATCTAAAAATAAAAATTAACGACCGATTATTATTTATTATATTATAGTATAATGGATTCCTTGGTACCTGATTCAGACAATTCGTTTTATAAAAGGTAAGCAGCATGTTAGGTTATCAAATTTTTTTAAAGCTCAACTTATTTTTGCGATAACATTAGTACGAATCGCGCGATTCGAATTTTGCAGCTTTTGATACGCAATGAAACAATTTTTTTAATTGTTTTTTGTTACTTATCAACGTCTACGAATATATGTGTTTGTATTTTGTCGCTTTTTGTGAACAATGCGAAGCAACTGCGCAGCTGACTTGGTAACAAACCAAATACTTAAATAGTAAGTCGCTTTATATTAAACACAGTCTAAGATTAAGCAAATTGCACAACCTATACATGATTATAGACATAAATAGTTGCATGGCAGCATAGCTAAATTAACAAAATAGCAAAATATGTGTTTTATTTTACTAAAAATAAAATTGAATATTTTGATGAAATTCTAATTTATTTGTTTTATTTTTCAGTCAAAAAAACGGATTGCTGAGGTACCCTACATAGGTATAGGTTGATGGTGTCCATACAGGTAACTAAATTGTTTTGCTATGATGAATATAGGAAAAGAAGAAGAAGCAGGCGGAGATCGAGCGCAAGAGGGCGGAAGTCCGCGCTCGTATGGAGGAAGCCTCCAAGGCCAAGAAGGCTAAGAAAGGTTTCATGACTCCAGAGAGGAAGAAGAAACTCAGGGTAGGTCATCTTCATCATCTCCAATAACTTCAAAAATTTATTTTGATTTTTGTTGTTGTGCAGTTACTCTTGAGAAAGAAAGCCGCCGAGGAACTTAAGAAGGAACAGGAACGCAAAGCGGCTGAACGTAGGCGCATCATTGAGGAACGTTGCGGTAAACCAAAGATCCTCGAAGACGCCAACGAAGGTAAGACTGTTACAATTCTTTACATCGATCTAAATCTCTCTTCACGTGTCCCTCGATACATAGAGATAGTTTAAATATTTTTTTATTTCGTTTAAAATGGCACTGATTCAACGTGTTATTATGCCCTTGTTGTATTATCCTTAAATATGCACATTTATTTATTGTTTAAAATACGTGAATTTGAACGAATCGTCGACGCCCCGCCCTCCCTGAAAGTGTATACAATATTCATCGTTTTGTTTGTTTTATGTATTATTGTGTGAACACTCACTCGCACTCGTACACACTTTGTGATGCACAAAATGGACAGACAGTCTTAGAAGCATCTGTAAGAACTATTATCAGAAAATCTGCGACCTGGAGGGCGTTAAGTATGACGTAGAGTATATGGTTAAAAAGAAGGATATTGAGGTTAGAATCGAATGTGCATTATATACGTACAGCGTATCTTTTTTTGTTCTGTTTACCAAATTATTTCAAGCACAGATTTTTGCGTCGATAAACTTACATCATATTGACATTTGACATACCTATACATGAAAACAACATTTTCTTAAAACAAAAATGACATCATGTTATACTTGAATAATTTTGATTTCTCTCGCTTCTTTTTTTACAGTGTACTCATTTTTGAAAGATTTTTCTGTCCTCTAAGACGCTTTTTTATGATTTTTTTCTGATGAGCACGCTTTTTAAATCTAATTTCAGGTGCATATAAAGCAACAAAGCAAACAAAAACCAAATGCCATAAACACATTTTTTAAATAAAACAAACTTTTACTTTGACTTAAGAATTACGATTAAACGACGGAGATCGGCGATAAATCCTGCAAACTATTCTCACTCTATTCTATCTATTCTCTTCATACTTTTCTCTCTTTTATTCAAGTTTTACACACACAAGCCAAAACTTATGTTTCTAGGTAATTTGAAACAATATTGCCAAACTTATTACAAGCGCATTTGCGATTTGGAAAATTCCAAATACGATCTTGAGAAGGAGGTTGAAAACAGGGACTTTCAGGTTAGGCATACAAAATGCAATGAAATTAATTCTCAAATCACATAGCAGGCAAAATAATTAAGCGCATGATGCAGCAGCGATGCAGCGAACCTCAAACGCACAGCAAAATTGAATGAGAATAGATATTATGATGCACCAAATTGATCGCACCCTCCGAGCGAGTAGAACCAGCTTTGACAATGCACCACTTTTAATCTCGAACAACTAAAACCATAAAAAATCGCTGAATTGGCTAAAGCAATGTATAATACTACTGTTTTTGAGATCGGTGTTTTTTATTTTTTTATTTTATTGTTGTATATACAAATATTTACTATAAGCGCGCTTTTTTGCGAATGAAATTTATTTTATTTTACTGATAATCGGAAAATGTATGAAAAGGCAAAGACAAATTTACGCGTAATTTTACTTCTATATTGTTCAACTGTCACAAGTCGCCACAAAATATATAGATTAAGTTGGTAGAGTTAAAATGGCAAAATATTTCTACATTGGGTACAAGAGCGAAAAAAAGTGTCAACCGTTTGTGTTGTTTCTTCTAGCCGAACTCCAAACAATTTGTCAAACATATCACAACCGAACTAAACTACTTGAAGCGGATAAATTTGACCTAGAGTGGATTGAAAAGTGTAAAGCTTGGGAGGTACTACTACTACTACAATCATTTAATTTAGCAAGAATGATGTTGATACTATTTTGATATAATCTTTACAATATTTTTTGATTTAAAACTGTCCAAAACAACCAAACCAACAACAACAGAACTTTTACCGTTTACTTTATTTTCGTATTATAATTTGGTTTTCGTTGAATTTTCGTTTCTAGTTTCTTTAGTTTTCTAATTTTTTGATGAAATTAATCGACCGAAATTGATGTTTTCATTAATTTTTAATAATCGCCTGAAATTTTGTATGAATAATTAGGTGCGCTAGATACGTTGTTTTACATTTTCTTATTTTTTATTTGTTAATTTCTTCTTTGATTTGATTTATTTAGTTGTTTTCATTTGGAGTAAACTCGTTTTTCACACACACACACAAACACATGTGTAGGGTGCTGGTTGATTGCAGACATCTTGCTCGACTAGATATTTTGATCTAATTGAATTGAATTTGCAATTTTGAATTGATTTGACTGAATTGATTGCGAAGCGATACGAACATGAAATAATCAATGACCAACTTTATTTGAACCACTTTGTATGGTTGCAAGAGTATGGCTTTAAATAATATTGTACAAAATATGCAAATAACCAAACACTACTTGAGTTTTTTGACATTTCGACATCGAAAAGTTTTGTACATACATCTCATATCAACCCTTCGACATAATTACAATTTTTTCCGTTGTATTTTTGGACAATGTTTTGAATATGCCACCCGAACGAAACGAAACAGGCAGACGTTTATATATCATTTGTATTGACTCCTCATGTATTTGTATCACGTTGAACGTGCCGGGTAAATTGATTCTCATTCTCTCTCATTGATGAAATGAACACATAACGCCTCATAACGCCCATATTGACGGTTGTATCTAATTTATAGAAAGACTTAAGAAGATTTGCCAAGAATATTTTGACCGCATGTATATTTGTGAGGAACAGAAGTGGGATTTGGAACGCGAAGTCCGAAAAAGAGATTGGGAGGTACATAAATAAAACATAACAAAAATAAAATTGCGATCCAAGATACCAATATTATACCAAACCATGATTTTTTTTTCTTCAAATAATCATAAATAATTAATTCATTAATTATTTAATTTTGGGATTTATATTATGTATAGTACTCTTTTATTTTTAATTTGTTTATTTTTCTTTTGTGTTGTTCAGTTTTATTATTTAAAAATTAGTTTTGTTTGAGTTTTCTATTATATTCGTCCATTACTCTTAAATATTGATTGAACAGTTGTTACTTAACAACACACGATGCTTGTTTCTTTTGCGTTTCATTTCTTGTTGGTGTTTGATTTTCTGTTTTTCGGAAGTTTCGCGTGAAACTAGAGCCGGCGAAGGCGGCTATTTCGAAAAAGGCAAGCATTCGATATTAATAGAACACGGTGTTGTAACTGTTGGCTGGTGGCCAGCAAATTGCAGCATATTCTAAATTTAATTTGCAGCCGCGCCGCAAAACAAAATCTTTGACAAAAAACGAAAGCAGAAGAAACGCATTTTTATGTTTTTTGACATAATTTTCGTTGATTGTATATAATAATTCACGACCAAGAATATACAAACCCCATTTAATCATAGGGGGCTTAATTTTGCAGAAAAAAACAACAATCAAACAGTTTTTAAATGCCAAAAAAGTCGAGAAAACTGAAAAATTTCAAACGAAAAATTTATCGATTTTTTTACTAGTTTAGCTTATCACACATTTACACAACAGACTGTATTTGTGACACCCCGGACACACACAATTTTTTTTCTCAATTTATTTATTTATTTACCAGGGCAGTCATCAAATTACTCGAGACTTTTTTTTGACAAATAATTTTGACGCATTTTATTTTCCGCTCCTTATCTATGGATCCCCCCATTCTGTTTTGAACTAAAATTGAAGTTCAACTAAACGTGTAATATTTGTTTGAATTAATTTGAAAAACAAGTGATTTATATCCCACTTTCTGTCTAAAATTATCCCCATTTTTGTCTATCAATGATATTTTTTGAGCGCTATTATGAAATTAATTTTCAAAACCTAAAAACAAAAAGAAACGGTATGGCTCTTCATGGTAAATAAATAAATACTTTTCTTTGTTCTTATTTTAGTTCTATTTTGTTCTCTTATTTTAATTTAATTTATTTTATTTGGTTTTTATGAAGTTTTTTTTAATCGAAACTTTTCGTTCCAAATCACCAAAAAAATTGCAAAAAATTTAAATCAAAAACTTAAATGGTCTCAAAATTCAAGGATAAAACCCATTTTAAGAACTTTGAAAATAATCTCATTAATGCCACAAATTAAAAAATGTTTTTCTTTTATTTGTTTCGTTTCGTTAACGTCTTTAATTTTCACAAAAATTGAAGTGCCATGCTGGAGTCCAAAAATCCATTCGTATTATATGTAAACTAAGCGCAAAAACACGATTTTTTTGTTTTTCAAACGCGTTGCGATCATATTTTTGGCAACGTCGTCTTCCTCGCCATCCTCGCCTAGTTATGTCTTAACAACATCAACATTTTACGTTTAAATGTATCACCGCAATCAAATAGATAACTGCGTCAACTGGTATTGCTTTGAACACAATATACGTATCGAAAGCAAAACTCATCCCTATTCTGATGAATATCCCCCAGAACGTTTATCTGTCTCTCTGAAACAATACGATTTTTTGTGCGTCGAACGACAGCTGAACAAGACCAGCCGAGCTAGAACAGATTCGCATCTGAAAACCAAAGACAAAACACGAGTTTTTGTGCGGCCGTCGCTGATTTTTTACAGTCACGGCCTAACGGATAGAAATAAGTAAATATTTTTGTTTTTGTCGAACAAGAGTTATAGATGGCACCCTTTCGAATTACATATTTCCTAAAACGCACTGTAAATGTTCAAAACCTATTTTTTTCTTCTGAAATTCTGCATTTTCTTTTTGTACATTTCCTATTTCTAGTTTTTGTCTTTTAAACAAACCATTGATAAAGATGATAAAACCTTAAACAATTTTTAATATACAAACCGATTAAGCATAATATTATATATTTTAATCTTTAACTGCACTTTAATTTTTAAATCAGTTTAAATCACATTTCTATATATTACACACTATTTTCGTTGGCATTTTTATTTAAAAAAAGAAAGAAAATTATATTATTAACTCAGTTGGCATGACGCATATAATCCTGCGCACGTTTGCATGTGCTTAATAATAAATCATGTGAGTTTTTGTGTTTGTACAGTATACTTGTTACTAGAAAAACGTAATTTTCAAGTTATAAATTATAAGTTTTTTTCTTCTTTCAATATCAAAATAAAAAAACTTATAATTTGTAAACTATTATATCTATAAATATCAATATCTAATATAAATATGTGCGTGAATTTTAGATCGCTGATTTGAACAGCCAAGTCAATGACCTCAGAGGCAAATTGTAAGTTTAAACATTTAATTTTAACCATATTTCTATTCGTCTAAAATTATGCAACACATAATGCAGTATTAAAAATGCCTATTATCAGGGGTAAATATAAATTAAATTAATGTTTATTGTTATTTATTTAAAGCGTTAAGCCTGCCTTGAAGAAGGTATCCAAATACGAAAACAAATTCGCCAAGCTTCAAAAGAAGGCCGCCGAATTCAACTTCCGTAACCAACTCAAGGTTGTCAAGAAGAAGGAATTCACACTTGAAGAAGAAGACAAGGAGGTAAGTCCCCCAAATTCCAAAACAATCAAAATCCTCCCCAAAAATATTTTTGAAAAACGATATTTTTGTATTTTCCTTCATTTATCTCTCAAAAAAGAAACCAAAAAAAAATCTATAAACATATACAATTGGCTTGGCTAGGCATAGTGTCATCTTTTTGTGATTGAATAACTTTTGACACATCATTTTTTCATTGTTTTTGCATTTTGTGATCGCAGATGATATTTGCATCAATTCTTTTTTATTACAAGTGAAAACCTGTATGCAAATGATGCATCTAGTAAATAATCCAAGACTTCAAGCTTGAATGTTTGTTTTCGCAGAAAAAGGCAGGAGATAAGGCCGAATGGCAGACACAGAAGAAGTAAAATCGCAATAGTGCTTAAGACACAAAGCAAATAAACACCAGTCGCGCACCGATTCTTACACATATCTTTATACAACGATATTGTGACAAGCTCGACACTACCACCAACACACACGACACCACTCTACATATTAATCTACTTGTATAAATTAATTTACTACTTTTCATCAAAAACCATACTTACACCACGATGACGTGTATATCATACTTATTATATTGAATAAAACTACTTCATAACCAGAGATATCGACAAGCAACGAAGCTATATCAAATATTTTATTAGTCGCTTTTGATTTTTGTGCATGATATAAATATTATCTCAAAATTTAGTATGGTTCAAGTCCAGAGAAAAGGTGAGCCTTGGTGCCCTCAGTACTGCTAGCGCTGCGAGATTGATCTTTATGCTTAAATAACTGCTTAATCGTTCAACAAACCAACCCCCAAATATTCACAAGCAATTTTACGTCATATTTCACACCAAAATAGCGTAAAATTGTGGTAGAAATGATGTACCACCACTACTTTTACTTAAACTTATAATTTTCTGCACATTTTTACACAAACACACCGTCCCCGATTGAATTCACAGATTGGATGCACCATATTTATTTGATTGCATTTGCACCCCTAGAGACCCTTAAGCGACAGCCATTTAAATGTCTTCCGCTTCATGTCATATTAAGTTGATCGCTTGAATAATTTAAATCTATGTATGGATCATCTTCTAAATGTGATCTTGAATGTTTCAGAAAAAGCCTGAATGGTCCCAGAAGAAGGAAGAGAAGAAGGTACACCACGAAGAGGCCGAAGCCGAAGCATGAACCAATCAATAATACCCAATTCGTTTCCAAGACTTTTTGGTTAATTATTGTTCAATCACTTTCCTTCCATTGTCTGTCGACCTGATTGAGAACTTGTTATATGTTCAACAAACACTCTTGACGAACACCTCTACATCACTATATCTGCAACGATGACGCAAACATCTCAACTACAATGGAGTTGGTTGTAATAGCAACAACACTTATACTTTAGCTGAATACCTATGCAATATCTCATCAACAAATTGACTATTACACCTATAACTGTGCTTTGTCTCTCTTTCTAATTATTATTTGTTATTAATATAAATATAATATTCAGAGTCTTGTCTGTAAGTGAATAAACCTTATGTATAATTTATTGATATTTATTAAAATGTGACTTTTCTTGTTTGTCCTGGTCAAAGTGCTAGTTTTGTTCGACACTGTGGGTATTGTTGTTGTTCTGTCAACAAATGTTCATCGTAATCGATAAGTATACTCATATTTCATTCCTAAAGTTGTGTAAAACAAAAATTTGATGTTTTAATATGATGGGTGATGATGTAGGAAGGGGAGGAAGAAGTACCTCCACCTCCAGCGGAAGCTCCACCACCAGAACCAGCCCCACCCGCGGAAGCGGCACCACCAGCAGAAGCACCCGCACCAGCACCTGCAGATGCAGCACCCCCTGCGGAAGGAGCACCTCCGGCCGAGGGAGCACCTCCAGCCGAAGGTGCACCACCCGCCGAAGGCGCTACACCTGCAGAAGGAGCACCACCGGCAGAAGGAGCACCGCCTGCGGAAGGAGCTGCCCCACCAGCAGATGGCGCGGCACCACCTGCAGAAGGCGCAGCACCACCGGCGGAAGGAGCCGCTCCGCCAGCAGAAGGAGCTGCCCCACCTGCGGAGGGAGCAGCACCTGCCGAAGGTGCCGCGCCCGCGGCTGAAGGAGCTGCGCCTGCTGCACCTGCAGAAGGAGCAGCACCACCAGCAGGTTTGATTACTAAAATAAACAATAATTAACATTTTTATGTAAAATTCTAATAAATAGAAGGAGCTACTCCACCAGCGGGTACACCAGCACCAGGTACACCTGCAGCAGCCACTCCCGCAGCAACCACACCAACAGGAGGTAAAAACCGTAGAATTAACCAAATAATTAAAAAAATAATAATTTTAAAAATAATTTAAATTTAGAAGCTCCACCAATACCAGCAGCTGAAGGTGAACAACCCGCAGCACCAGCTGCTGATGCTGCTGCCCCTGCTGCTGAAGCTGCACCAGCAGCCGAAGGTAGTTAAATATCAAATAAATACTAACAAAATTTAACTGGTAACTTTTTAGCTGCTCCTGCAGTTGAAGCTGCACCCGCTGCAGAAGCCCCAGCAAGTGAACCAGCTCCAGCTGAACCTGCAGCTGAAGGTAACAATCAATATTTATCACATCTAACACAAAAATACTAAAATAATTTGATTGTTGCAGCACCAGCTTCTTAAATACAACATGGCATATATAATATAATCATTATACACAGAATATATTTAATAATCAAACGTTCCAATAAATTGTGTGTCTGCTTACATTAAAATTTGATTTTCTCATCCTCTCCTTAGTTATAAGCACAAATCTTGGGTTTTTCCTTTAAAAAAGAAGTATTAACATTTGGTATTACAGTAAAGCTAAATTTGGCTTCTTAAATATGAAATCCGGATCTGCAATTGGCGTCATTGCAGCTTGTTGAAAGTACCAGTCTAACAGTCATCATTCAGTCATTTCGAAATTGCTGTAGAGAGCGCCGAGAACGCAACATCCAGCATCACCACAAATATTATTCAAAGTGCGCTTTTATACATCTGCATATTCAATAAACATAAAGTTTTAAACAAAGGTACGTACGTAAACATAGCGCAAAATTTTACATTAAAAAATAATACATTCGACGACCTACCTCTCTAGACACTACCTGAAATAATGGTTTATTTATAAGTTTGATGGCGCGTCATCTCAGACCTTGAATTTTCTAGTTTTAAACTTTAAACTTGTATTCAACCAGTCCTATTTACGATAACCTTTCAATATTTTTCAACTTATGAATACAATTTTAAGTAAAAAATATTCTACGAGTATTGAATGATTGCACCAAGATTAAATTTAGCTCGCTGCGGTTCAGTTTAATAAACGTATGGCAGGTCATAACGAAATATGAGATTTTGTTTACATTTACATTTAAAAATAAAATTGTAATGTTATGTGCGCACTGCTACGCCCACAATGATTACAACTTACATTCTGAAATATAAATTTGCTTCGGCAGATTACGAATGGGTCTGATTCATTCTTTGACGATATTGAGATTTCAATATAAAGTAAATAAATATTTCCAAGTATATACTGATAATAAGTTGATTCAATATTGAGTGAGTGATACGTTACAATCACAATCGGAAACTAAATATTTATTTACAAGTGAACATGGTGGCACCATCTGTGAGTGAACAATAGCATTCGGCTTGATAGTGTCAGTTGCATCCAGCTCAACCACATATGACGTGAGCCCCTTGTGTTCCTCTTTGTCATTGATGAAAGTACACATTGATATCTGCTTTTAAAAATCAGCTACGCAGATAGGCATCGGCGCATCAGCGGTAAATGTTGATCAACGGGTGTCAATCGATTTGTGATAACTTACGTGTAAGATAATCCAACCGAACAAAATATCTATACAAGTTTTAAGGTTATTAGTGAGTCTACTACATTCGTTTCTTTATAAAGGTGTATACTGGAAATAAACCGCACTAAAATTGAACAATGTTCCAAGCGAAAGCTTTATACGACTTCCAAGGGGAACCCAACACGCACGAGTTAAATCTGCAAGCTGGTGATGTAGTGACAGTATTAAAAACTGATTGCATGGGAGGCTGGTGGGAAGTGAGGAATGCCTCTGATCAAATTGGACTTATTCCTGGGGCTTATGTAGAAACAATTGGTAAAGAATCAACACAAAATTCAGATTGGAATGCAGCACCTCAACCAGCTGCAACAGAGCAAAAGGATGAATGGTATGATGATTGGGATGATGACACCTATTCAGAAATAGGTCCTAGTGAACCCCATGAGCAACAGACACATGATCCAATCTATGCAAATAGTGGGGAAACAGAGTACAATCATTTTGAACCTGGGTATGACCCTAAAGGCACTGTATCAAAAAAGAGTTTAAACCGTTTCGGTTCATTTATGAAAAACGGCGGCGAAAACTATTTGCTTGGCAATGTGAAAGTCACCGTTCCGGACACATCGAAAATCTACATACAAATATCCGAGGAAAATCAATTCCAATGGCCAGAGTTAAATTTAGTACAGACTGTACAAATCACCAGCCCAAAAAAAGAGTCCAAGTTAAAGGGACTCAAAAGTTATATAGCTTATCAGCTCACGCCAAGCGCGACTAACATTCAAGTATCACGTCGATACAAACACTTTGATTGGCTGCATGAACGCCTTATGGAGAAGTTTAGTTTACTCGCAATTCCCCCACTGCCTGATAAACAAATTTCCGGAAGATATGAGGAACAATTTATTGAGCGCCGACGATGTCAGTTAAACGAATTTATTAATTACGTTTGTCGTCATCCGGTATTATCACGATGCGATGTTTGGCAGCACTTCTTGACTTGCACCGATGAGAAACTTTGGAAGCAAGGAAAACGACTTGCTGAAAAAGATGAACTTGTAAACGCTAATTTTGCGCTGTGTATTGAGGCACCGCAGAAAACTCTGCTGCCTTCTGTTTACGAAACTTTAGAAAGTACAAAGGTGCCGTTCATAATGCAGTTGGATAATAATTTCAAAAATACACTTGCTGTGCTGTTGGATCAAGGAAAGAAGTTCAAAGGACTATATGGAAAAGAGTATCAAAAGGTTGGAAATACATTCTTTGCGCTTGGTGCAGCGATTGAGTATGATTCAAAAGCGGTGCCATGTCATCTGTCGCAAAATATTAAACGGATGGGATCGGCGTATGTTGATATTTCGGGGTATTATGACGCACAACCAGCGCTTGATTGGGACTGCCTTGGTGATAAGTTATACTTGTACAAGGGCATCACCAGTTCATTCCAGCAGATTTTCAGTACGTGCAGAAGTTTACAAAACAAGCGGAAAGAAATCGAGAAGATTCAGAGTGGTAACGTTGTGACCGAAGTTAAAGCGCGTAGCGATACGTTCACGTACGTCACGCTCGCTGAGCTGAAACATTTTAAAGACGAACGGGATCATCAATTGAAGGCGAGCATGATGCATTTCTTAGAGGAACAAGTCAAATTTCATCAAAAGATTGCCGCTAGATTGCAGAATGTTTTAGACGATTTTAAACGAAAGTAATGTGCTAGTCTTAACATATGCAATTAAATACGAAAGCAAAATAATTTTAATTAAGAGGTACACATTCAATGTGCTTTTGTTTCCAAATATTGTTTCGATTTTCATTTAGGTTTTCAATGAGAGCACAATATTACCAAATATTCAAACTAATGTGATTTCATTTATACATATTAATATGGCAAATATGAAATATTTTCTAAGTATGTATTCGAAAACGAAACTTGTATTTTTGTAAATATTTAGTATCCATTTTAATGAGTGTAATCTTCGTATATAATGCAATATTAGAGACTGAAAATGTTTGGAACGTACTGCAAATAATATTATTTCAGTTTCTATTTTACACAAAATTTAATTGGTATAATTGCAATTAGAGGACTTTGTTATTATCATTATATATTATGATTTCACTGATTTCAAATTAAGAAGATTGGATGTAAAGCGCTTTAATGAAACACATCAAATGTGCATTGATTCCATTATTTCAAATTTATTTCGAGAGATGATATTATTTTGGTCAGTTTACTAATTCGTATTAACTGATTAATTCCGCTTTTAAGCTACTTTACAAAAGTTTATGATGTATTACTCGGATTTATGTTATTTATATAAAATATATATTTCTAAAAAAAACCTGCTGTAATATTGATTTTCTTGTAAGTAAACACTAGGTCCTTAGTAATAGGTGATAAGCACATACTTGAGGTTGTTGACTGAGTGAGTCAGTATTGTTCTGATTAAGTAACGCTTTAACTGCGCACATATGCATTACAACAAAGCAATTCAAATTGTACTTTGTTAGTTAAAGGGATGGAGTATGGTGTAAATATCCAAGGAAAGCAGTCAAGTCATTTTTCTAAATGGTGACGAAAAATTTTTCAATTTTTCTTTATAATAAAGTAATTTGGTGTTTCTTTTTCTCCTCTACATTTCAAAAATCAGCAAATAACAGAGCCGATGAAAATCAAAATATTCAATTAAACGATAATTACTCCTAAACTAAAAGGACTAAGGAATTCAAAACATCAAATTTCGATCTACTCAAATGAAAACAGAATAAATAACTTCTAAAGTAAGAAAGTTATGGAAAAAATACTAGGAGAAATTATGCGTATTTATGTTTTCTATTATTATTTTTAATTACGCATTAAAAATTCCAAGTTTTCGTTTTCAACAGAAAAACTTAGGAGATTTGACGAATGCGCCTGACATTTTACTTTGCGGTTGGTCTACAAGTAATTAGTAAAAGCTAAAAAGATTATCATATAGAGGGCTTACCTATTATACGACTATGAGGTAGTCATAACAACTCCATTGATTCAGTAATGTCGGGGTTTTCTAACAAAAATAATCCTTTTAACAGTCAATTGAAGTCCTGAACGAAAGGATAATCCAATATCCGCGTAAACAGCTATATTTTTTATCACTCGTTATTACTCAGGATGTTTTGAACACATGTTATTGATTTAGATGAGCTGTATCAGATATCGTTGATTAAACAAACAATTTATTTTAGTATTAAATACAATATTTATTAGACTTTATATGTGTCTATACTAACATATTACTAATAATTTCAATGAAACGTTTGAATGATAACAAAATACGCGCCTATTCACGCCAATATTTGCAAGAATTATCAAGACGAGTAAAATCATAAATTTACATAACATGCAAAAAAATGGCGCTATTGGCCTTGGAGTTTGGTATTGTATAAACAATTTCATGACTATACAGGATGGTTAAAACACGCCATAATTCAACAATACTACAATATTCTACCATCTACAGCGAATGCAAAAACCTCGATATTGGTTTTTATACATTTTTGCAACTTGAACTTTTCAATTAATCAATATTATGTAATATTTGGATAAAAATACGATACGCGGAAAAAAATGTGTAAATATATTTTCAACCTGTAATATCTAAAAAAACAGATAACAATCATTGTTATCTAAATTTGAGGAAGCTATAAACCGTCTTTATACATTTCGTTTAGACAGTGCGGCCCCTTATAGCGTTTATCATCTGAAAACTTCACAAATGTGTCCCGGAATCATGTGGAAACAGAAAATAGAAGCACACAAAGGTAGGTACAACGCGTTGAATTCAATTTATTCAGTTGTACGATGACCAGATGCGTCGTTCTAATGATTTCCTTATATGAATCAATTCGAAACCACACGTTCGCAACGGGTTATGTATATTTCTCGTGCATACGAATGCATCAACCGATATCAGCGGCCCACGCGAATTTTCTTCCACCTTCGCGCGCGTTTTCGAAGTTTACATCGTGCGGTTTGTTTAGAAGCGCGCGTTCGGCGTTTGACCCATTTTAACTTTAACTATTATAGAAGCAGCGTTATAATGTTACTTCGCAGTGCGTTCACAACCAGCCAGGTAGATAGGTAGTTCACTCCGTATAACAGTATTACCGGCGCGCTGTTAAAAGTAATAATACTTGCACATGTGTTTTTTATTCAGCGAATTTGTAATGTGAAACTTCATTCATTAATGTTTTTGCTATTTACAGATGCTTTTCAACGGCCGAAATACGATAGTGATGGTGTAATAATGGCGAAATACAAGTCGAAGAACAGCGGTTGTTGCAGCGTTACTTTCAACAAGTGGTTTTTAATTATATACAACTTAATTTTATTGGTGAGTATTTTTATACATTATAAAAATGTCTAATAATTAATATTATGTATAGATTTTAGGAGGTTTGACTGTTGGCGTTGCAATATGGACATTATATGATCGTCATCAATACGTCGCACTTCTAACATCGATAACATACCCGACCATAGTGTATTTATTACTAGTAGCCGGAATATTACTAATTATAGTTAGTATACTCGGCTTTTTTGCCGCTGCCAAAGAGAATCGCATCAGTCTAATCATAGTAAGTATGTTAATGAAGTGTTTGTTTATGGCGGCAACTAACTGGGAACTAATCGCATTGGTTGCAGTACATCATCCTACTATTATTAATCCTAGCAACAGAAGCAACTGTTGGTATTCTCTCATTCATATACTGGGAACAAGTACATCTTGTGTTGGAAATGAATCTTAATGATAATTTTATGACTCGATATGGTATAGACACGTCAATTACAGAATCTGTAGATGATTTACAAAAAGAAGTATGTTTTAATGTATTTGTTTATTTTTAATTGATAATAATATTAACGCTTTAAAAATTTTAGTTTAAATGTTGTGGAGTTATGAAATTTGAAGAGTGGAACTCAACAAGTCTCTGGGTACAAGATGGTATGGCAAACCACAATCTAGTCCCCGATTCATGTTGCATCTCAGTTACACCTGAATGTGGTCAGCGAACACATCCTTCGAATATTTACTATGTTGTAAGTGGGAAATTCCAAGTGTTGTGATATTTGTTTGACACGATTTTATGATTTGTTGAATGTTTTAGGGATGCATGGAGAAGATGGAGGCGCACATAAAAGATCACCTCTATTATTTGTGCGCAGTTGCTTTGGGTATTTGTGCAATACCAATATTTGGCGTCGTTTGTGCGTTTATTCTCTATTATAAACTGCGGCGGGTGTTCGAGATCACTAAACCGCGACCAAAGAACACAGAAATGCAAGCATTATTTTCTTGATATAGTTGGATATATTTTTAACAGTTAACAGTTTCATAGTATATGTTTTAATATTTATAATAAATGTCTATGCTTAACCAACTGGAACAACAAATGTATCCATCGTCTTTAAATGCGTATACAGAAAATCTTCAGTAGAAGTCAATGAAACGAAAAACCAAGCAATGAATGCGAAGAATCCACGACTGAAAGACATCGACGTCCATATTTTCATATCAGCTGCGGTTACATTGACACTGTTATTGAAATTATGCGCAATCAAAGCAATTTGATCATCGTTTGGCGCAGTTGCTAAATGGAGTATAAGAGTAATGATATAGAGTAGAATAACAAAAGAACTTTTACGATTTTTGAAAAAATCTTTGAGATTATCAACGTCAATATTTGCGATGTCGTATTTATCGAAGACTGAGACTAAACAAAGCACACAAAGGATGTGAAACATTGTCACATAAATATCGCTGTATAATGCGTAATTTCTCAAGGATGTTGCATCAGTTGTGAATTGGTTTGCACTTATGTAGACCATGTGAGCGAAACCAAGCCCTCCAAGAAGACCATGACAGAAGTTGGTGAATTTACGCCAATACTTTTGCTCGTTTAAAGCAGAATGTAATGGAGAAACATTTGCTTTAAATCTAAAATCAAACATACCAGTATTAATACAAATTATAACGATTTCTTCATTAAACTTACTGTTGTCGTATTGGATGATTTTCTAAATTTGTCAAGTTACTTTCCGTGTTGTAAGTTCAAATTTATTTTTTCGTTGTACGTAGACTTTATCTGATTTCCTCGGGCTTTTCTTTATCTTCTCATGTCGACAATCATCAACGTGGTTTTCGAAGACATCATCTTGTAATTCCTCCAAAGCAAGAGTTATTTCGTTACTGCGCATATCGAATTCATCCTCACGTTTTCGATGTTTTCTTTTGCCGGACATAGGAGACTCGTGTTTCTTCTTCTTGCTCTTACGTTTTTCTTTGGGTATCATCATTTCACGACTATCACCCATTCCCATCTCTGCATCTCCTCCGTGTTTCTTTTTCCTTGATTTGGATTTTTTCAAGGATGATGACATCATGTCATCGTTTTCGCGATTGTAAATATCCTGAATGCTATTATACATATTGCGTTCATCTGTATCCATGTGTGAATAGTGTTTTCGGCTTTTATAATGACGTCTTTCTTCAGGACTCAGTAATTCTAAATTTCCAGATAATTCTTCGGGCATTTTTTCTTCTTCATAAAAACTAAGACTTTGCGGTCGTGAATCACTGAACGTTGTATGTTTGGCTTCCCGTTTGATTTCGGATTCGATAAGCGTGATAATCTTTGAGTTAATCTGTGATTCCCCATCGACGCTAACATCACGACTTGGCGTATTTTGCCGACTGTAGTTTTCATTGCGATTGTTGTCCTCCTTGATGTAGGTCCTGTTAGACCCGGAGCTTTCTTCAGAACCCTCCGTTCGGAATGTTTCCCGATCTGATGATATTTCCTCTTTGCTGCACGATGAACCGCGACCATATCAGCCTTATGTTCATCTTTCTTCTTTTTTAAACTCCTTGGTGATTTAACTACACTCATTTTGCTTATGAGGAGACTTTCTGTGTCACTGTTTGCCCTTATACCATCGCTGCTCAAACAGGTGAAGCTCATGATATCGATTTGGTGCGCGTTAACACAACGCGCAAGCGAATCCTTCAATCACAACAAAGAAAACAGGAAAAGTCAAAGCATTGCTGTCAAAATTTTATTATAAACAAAATACACTGAGATTAAAAACTTCAATAAATAATATGAATAATTAACAATATTCAATATGTAAATATGTTTGTGTCGTAGATAAATATTTAAATCATAACTTATTAAATAAATATTGCAAACAAACTTAAAATTAAATATAAATTTATAGCAAATAGCAAATTATTACACTTATATGGACTATATTAATTATTTTCCTTAATAAAATAACATCTGAGCTAACTGCCCAGTGTTTAATTATTCAGAAGAATTGCATTAGGTTTATATTTTTTGTTTGTATTCAAAAATTTCACTATTTCCCCCTAAAACCAATTTACCCCAATTGATGATAATGAAAACACTCTAATGCAATAATTCCAAAATCTTACAACTAAGTTTTGTTTATCATGTTCATAGAACCTACATACTTTGATATATCATAGATATATGGGACCAAAATCCACCGAAGTGTTAATACGAAGTCGGTAGAGCTCAAGGATGAAACAAATCCGAGCACCAACCTGAACAACGTAACAACACAACGACAAAACTCATTTTTCGAAATTTAATCGCGATTACAATTATTTGACGGAAATTACCTTCCGTCGTCGACCTAACTGGTCGAGCATTTCCTAACAACTACGTTTTACGCAGAGGTTCTTAATAACTTTAAGAAACCTCCAACTACCCAACACCTCTTAACTTAAACAATGCGATTGTATTGTTTATAAGCAGTACGGATGGCAAAATTGATAGACAAGACGTTGAGATCTCTCTGTTTTCTTCATGATGCCTTTCTTGTAGTATTGCCTTATCGAACGGCTTAATTTGTCGTAGTTCATCGCTGGACGATTCTTGCGTTTGCCCCAGAGACGCGCGACTTTGACGGAATCTTCAATTTTAAACACACCTTTACTGCGATCCAACCATCGGATGCACGAGCCATGCATCTGTGGCGACGCGAGCAATTCCTTTAAGAATTGCCAAAGGTGAATATGTGAACCGCCGCCGGGTCGAGGTGAAGATGATGTTGAAGTTGTGCTTCCAGGAGACTTTGTTTCAACCGAAGGTGTGGAAGCCATTTCTTCATCTTCATCTGAAATGAATCATCGTATAAATCCTCTGAGAAAAACCACAAACACATTCAATCCGTTTTGAAATCCTCTTTGTGGTTAGCAATTGAATGCAAATTGGACAAAAATCAATGATTGCAAATATAGAATTAGAATAAATCAGTAAACGCTAGAGCCACGCCTACAAATCTAACTTGTTATTATGATTAAAGAAATTCCATTCTGAAGCAAGCACACGATTGCTCAAGTTAATAAAGCAACGTTCAATAAAATATAATAAACGCATTATAAACACACGAAGGACGCCCGGTTACTTTTATAAGCTCTCGTGGTTGTCATCGTAAAGTTGCCTTAGCGATTAAACCAAACGAATTGTATAATAGGCTACTCACCGTCGCTGACGTCACCTGCGCTGGATATGCTGTTCTCTGGAAACCATTGCATTCCCAAGTCATCCTCCAGATACGCCGCTTTCCATATCTCCAACTGTGCGTAGAGAATGGCACCTCCCTGCCGCAAAAGTGCAAAAGAAAAATTAGTGATACAGCCAGCGGCAATGTCGTCGAACGTCCTCGCATTCCTTCGGACGTTGGCGAAGCCAACACATACACACAATGCGCCAAATTGCTGCGGTGAAAGTCTTTCACTGCTTCGCGACCTACTTGGCTATCATTAAAAAATCAACTGCGTAGCATTCAGTTTCTAGTTGGCGTATATTATCCAATGAATGATAAATTTATCGGCTACCAACTTGTTTGCAAACGATTTCACGATTGATTTATCAAAAATGACTTGGGAATATTTTCGCTTGACCCACGCCGATGACTCAACGTGTTTTAATCACGTAAATTTTTAATTTCGGGACTTAGACAAAACAAAAATGCGATAATTTTTGCACCGTGTTGATAATTAAATTAACTTTCACGCGTATATCAAGACATATGTAATAAAGATTTTGTTTTTCGTACCTGCGGCGATCGTTTCACGAAATTCTCTTCGTCGAGACAAACCAAGCTCACGCCGTTGATATCCCACTGTTCTGGTGTTGGTTGCGGAATATTAAACTCTCTCGATGTGAATTCAAGCCAGCTCAATACGTTGCTCTGAGACCACTGAGATGGATCTGCAAGAATGTTGGTTATATCAAGGTTATCCGATCTAATAATTTTCATATCGTGCAAATCGCGAATGCTTGTTTGTTTGTTTGTTTTTCTTCATTAATAAGATAAGAAATGTGGGCGTAAACGCGTGCAAGGTTATTCTATGACAATGAGTAAAGAATTTATCAATATAAACACCAGCATAATTAATTTACCTGGTGAGATAGACAGAGCGCTGCAGGTTTTGCTCACATCTTTACGCATTTGTTCGATGGCCATATTCAACACTGGTTCGATGTTTTCACGCGCAAGTTCAACATACTCATCGTCAGTTTTCTGCTCCATCTTGATGTCCAACTCAAAGTTCGGAAAATCCAATGGTTTGATATTATGCTTGCGTTGAAAGCTGGTGTCCCTGAGTACTTCCCGCAGAAGTTGATGATCTTTTTTCTGTTCGTTACATTCACTAATCTGCGCCTGATTCTCAAACTGCATCAAATCGTTGTAGATATCCGCAGTCTTCTCTTCTTTGATGCATGGTTTATCTAACAATGTGTTGCCCAATAATTCCAAAACATTTTCATCGGTATCCTTTGGTAGTTCACCGTAATACGCCTCTTGTTTGATAGGAGTATTGTAGAAATCTTGGCCGTATAAAGATATTTCCGGTGAATAAGCACCGCTATTTGGCGAGAGTAATTGTGGCGAATAAATGGCACCCACTGGACTGTTCGGGTAGTTCTTACTTGAAGGTACCTCCAGATATATATTGGAAAGTGGTGGTGATGTGGGATTTTTATCGAGGAGTTTTTGAAAATCCGGCGTTTCAATTTCTGGCTCTTGTGGGGAGTCTGGATAGAACGAGCTGAATATTTTTGGCACTGGTGGTTGTGATTGATAGAAGTTTGGTGATAAGGGTGGAAGTAAAGACAGGTCAAAAGTATCCGCAAAGTTGCTGTAGTCACATGGCGGAGTAAAACCCGCCGACGGGACTATTTGTGCCATCTGCAAGAAACAAAGAACCACTAGTTAGCAATTGAAAACACAAATATTATGTCATCACTACTGGTGCGCTCATCACTACTCCTCCCCACCTGCTATTTGAATTCCAAGCAAGAACACACGATCCAAATAAATCTAATGCAGTTAATATACGTTTAAAATGTGTAATCACGCAACAATCTCGGTTAAATTGTAAAGTTTATCTTGTACTGCCCTTTGACCTGTTGGCTCTGCGCATGAACTCTACCCATCACTCAAAACACGCTCGCGACTCATGAAAGCGATAAGAGTTTTTGAAACTTTTCTAAGTTACCTTTAATCATGTTTGATGCTAGTTTTCCTCCGATGTTACACAAAACTAAACACGATTAATATAAACATCTATCAAATATCTGCACTGCGATGTGAACGAACTAAATGTTATTCTCACACTGACTTTGAAAAAACTTCAGTGTCGGTGCTCTTCGTTTGACAACCGTTAACATCTCATATTGTTCCCTCACTCGTTTAATTTAGTATAGATGGGATTATCCCGTGTTGTTATGTGTCTGTGCGTTTTAAAAAAGGTTTCTTATTCGGTTTACCTTGAAAGTTCATGCTCACGTACAACTCGCTTAGATCCAATACCGAAAATTAATTCCGCATTTTATACCCCCACAAATTCAAGTTGCAAAAAACCGAAATGTGCAGATATAATTTAATTATGACACTTTAAATCGTCGACGCCAGATGAAAAAAAAAAACTTAGACACTTGATATTTATGTATCTAGTTGATTATTTTTTGTCTTTTGCGTGCACAAAAGCTGTTCGGCATGAGTAAACCACTCTCGGTTCGTGTGTTGTAAGCTACACAACCATGAGATTTGGAAAAACCAGAAACGACAGCGCCTGACTTATTCGCGTCACCTTGAACACCCAAGAGATGGAATTCGATTACAAATATTTTGTAACAGAATAATGGATTACACACAAGGTGTGTTTTAGAACTATATACATAAGATTTATTAGATCGCTCATAAAAAATGATTATGATTACATAATCATTTACTGCGCAGTTTTCAATTCAATTTGATATTTATTTGCGTCTTTAGTATGCTGGTGATAATAATGGTGTATAAATTTAATATTCACAACGACAAGTGCAATTCGGCGCTAAGAGAAAGTCCAAAACATGACCACTACACAGCTAATTTTACTTTTAAAATTACTGCTTATAAGTATGTATGGACATGCTTGGGGGCGATGAGGCATGCAGGAATTTCGCCAGAATACAGTTAGCTTTTCGAAACTGGCTTGCGCGACCACAAGCCACGGAAGAAATACTTCAAAATCGTTTCGTAACCGTCAAAAACTCCAAAAATTAATGAGTCACTCAAAAATTGCACCACCTTATAAAATACAATAATATACCGTAAAATAATAAGAAATAAGAAAAAGTTTTGAGAAGAAATTTGTGTTTGAGTGTTAACACTTGTTGACACTTAGAAAATAGGTAGAAAAGCCAAGAAACTTGTTTGTGCGCAAAACAACTTATCTAGGTGTGTAATTAACAGCATCGACTTACCGAATCGTCCTTATCCGCACATCTGCTCAGCAAAACCATTTCGAACAATTTTATTTAAATCGCAATCGGTGAAAGAATCAAACAAATTCTATTCGGATGCAATTCGGAACGCACTTGTTGCTTGTGTTTTAAGTTTTAAATAAATAAGTCTGCGATATTAATTTAGCACATTTGTTGTAAACTATTCACAACACGGTGCGCGCTTTGCTCGGACGCAGTTTCACGACGATTGACTGACTTGAAATGTCTCCTTCTCTCGCACGGCGAGACCTACTTTGCCTGACCAAGCAACAACATACGCGAGCAAAGGAAGAGGTTGGCACGGTTGGTTCTATTCCGACAAGCGCGAGGAGTTGCTCCGCGATCAGCACCAAAGAGATAGTTGTTTGATGGGTACAAGTGTGCGCGCGGAGTGGTAGCGATGGTAGCGATCGGCGGTGGCCTCGTATGAAGCATAAACATAAGTACACATCGCATGCGCACTGCGACCGACATTCTTTCAATTCGTGTTAAAACTAAAAATAATTAAATTTGCTCACTTATAAACATGTATAAACACTTTGAAATAATCAAGATTTATTAAGGCACGATATCGGACATAAAAAAGATTAATTTTGGTGCCTAGGCATTAAAGTTGCATTTTTTTAATATACAGTAACCAATTTTCATCGAACAATGAACAAAATATACAGCCATAATAGTTCAAAACGTGATTTTCCAAAAAAAATATTTTTTATTTAACATATTATTTCATTGTCAATGTCACAAAAAAAACTTTAATTGATTCACGCCTCCCAGCAAAATCAATTGTTTTAAGAACAAAAATTCCAGTGATGCATAACTTTTTGTGATGCAGGAGTTAAAAATAGAATCATTGCAATTTAATAAATATTTATGAGTTTAAGCAAACATTGATTGGAAACAGGTCCCTGGAACAAATGTTATCTTAAAATCTGTATTAATTCCGTGTAGTTGCAAAATTTTCGTATGACTTATTATTTATTTTATTACATTGTGATTTACCAAGTGGCAAAAACTCCTGCCTTCTCTTTGTTATTCCTTTCACTTTCATTTTTTTCGTCTCTTGCGCGGACCGTGCCCGAGTATAATTTTCTTTCTTGACATGCAAGTGTGCGCGTATTATCTTGTGGCGTGGACGTTCGCTCACATTTGAAAGCATTTAATGTGCCAAGTCGGCTTGGCTTGCAGTCTGATGGCTGGTGCTTGGTTTGCTTAAAGCGTTAAAGTTCGTGAGGCATGTCGATTGACGTCAATGGTAGCCGCATTTCTTTACTTCTTGGTAAGACCTCGCACACCATGGTACGGAGCAGGACATACACACATATACAGACTACGATCGGAATAATGTTTATACAAATTTGATATACCATGTGGTTAGGTAAAAAGCGTGTCTTTCTTCACATCATTTACATTTTCGCATTTGCATAGCAACCAGTTGGGTTGAGCGAATTTTGTCTCGGATAGTTTTTATTGACAAGCTAAAATAAACTTGGGTGCAGAGTTTACGCTATGATCAACCCACATGGTGCTGAGGATTTATTATTTTATGCTTGAAATAATACATGTATAACAGATTTGCAGATTTGTTATTGTTTGAATTCATATTGCGGTGATTTTTGATTTTGTGTGTCGGGTAATATCGATATCGATATTTATAATTAGTTATTACAAGATTTTAATTATGTTGATCCTCAAATCGGTTAAATGTTACAACAATGCACAAAAACAAGTTCTTAAAACTTCCAAATTTAGACAAATAATAAAATTACTCAATTAAATAAAGTAATAACAATAAAATATTTGACTTATATGCAAAAATTTAATGGGTATATGAATAGCATTGTACCATGAATAGAAAACATGGCGTTTTAGTGTGGAGGTGACTATTGTTATAAGTTTGAACTATAAAATAACGGTATATGCAAATAACTTTTTGCGTAAAAGTTTTAGTATAAAACAAGAGAGTTCAAACGAATGTTAAGCATTTTATATCTTTTTTATTTACATTTAATCCAAACAAATAGTTTGAATGTAGGCAACACATTTAACAATACTGACTTAAAACTAAGAAAGAATTGGTTAAAATACAACTTATCCCAATAATGAATCTGAAATGATGAAAATTTTAAGGAAAAAAAGCAATGCACCATTAAATTATGTTTATAAAGGTTGACATTTATATACAAAGAAATATTTACACATAATTCACAAATACAGAAACCAAAGTAAAAGAAATAATGGAACTGATGTCACCAAAGTAGTAACATATGACTTAAGTAACAATATACACCATTTGACTGCACTTATCTGACTACATCATACACTATCGTACTCTACAAAAGTATATCACCAACTATTAGCTCCAATTTCGTCTCTGCTTTCATTTTCTAAATCTACCAAATAGATTGTCTAAAAGAATAAAGTAGGTATCTAGATTACTTGGAATAAATAATTAAAATTTTGAGAATTATATAGTTGTATAATTTCAGTTTGAAAGAAGCAAATCAAAGTCTCCGCAAATTCTCATCTAGAAAAAGCAACGTGTTTGTAATCTTTTTCCAAACAGAATTCTAGATTCGTCTAATTTGCTTCAAGCGAGTTTTAGTAACTTATCCTGACGCCCGGAACAAACCGCCGGCCGAACTGGAACTTGAGCCGATCGCGGACTGAAAGGAACGAGCAGCTCCCTACATGAAAATATTAGTAATTAGCAAATGTGTTTATGTGCGTGGTGATAATTAGTGTCGATAAGTTTAATTTATAATGTGTATGAAGGAAATCCATGAAGTGGAAGTAGAATAAAAACTTCATGGCACAAGAATTACACGACTAGATCAGTAACGTAAGTTGTTTCGTGTATAAAAAGATGCATAATAAAAGAATTGCTATGATAAAAGTCTAATGAGACGATAAGGATAAAAAATTGTTAATGTTTCGTAGAATGTACGGTTTGTTTTAGTACGTCACTACTTATTGTAAATTAATCTCCTTATACGGTCAACTTATTAAACGTTTCATTATTGCAATCAGTTTTCAGTGTTACGTTGCTGAGTCTGTCGGAGATGAGGCGGCAAGGCCTCTAGAGCCAATCGCTATCATCGACGCCACCTGTCTGGCAGCCACCTATTAAATTCATCCTTCGTATTAACATATCTACTGTATAGACTTCAGATCAAACTAGACATTATTGCATCGGGAAACATATTTAATTCTGTGTGATCAAATCAAAATAGTCATTATTTACCTGAATGGCAGCACCGAGGAACGTTGAGATTGCTCTCGTTACATTTACAGCGGCATTCAGAAAATTGCCACCGATTTGCGGCCCCTGCGCGTTATCTTCGATTCCAGGCACGTGATTCAACTCTACTGGAGGTAAAGTTGCACGGGCTCTTGTCGCCGGAGCGCGTGCACGTGCCGTCGTGACTTCGTTGTCTTCGTCTAGGTCTTCAATTGAGTTTGAAGTCGTTGACTTGGCAGTTCTCACCCTGGATCATTATATTATCACAAAATCAATAATATCAACATTATAATCTTATTAGACATACCTATTACTTCCAGTATCTTTAGGTGATCTGGTAACTTGACTGCTACCCCCACCAGTAGTAAATATCTCTACATTTTTGTTATTCAAAGTTGTTGATTGCGCCTGCAGTTTTCTAAAAGGAGTAATATCCAGATTCTGTGCTTGTTTAGGATCACGTTGAATTGCTTCAAGTTGATTTATAAGTCTGCTGAGTTCTTCATCACTCAGAGAATTCACAGGTCGTTTAAATGTATTGCTAGGAGTATTGTGTATGACATTGTTTAATTCAGTAGATTGAAAGTGTAATTCATCATCATCTGCACGTGGAGTTGTAGTGGTACGTCGGGTTGTTCTAGGTCTGGTTGGAGGTGGAGCTGGTGCGGGTGCGGCTGGTTGTGGTCCACCAAATTGGGTAAGTAACCAATTTAAGCCCTGCATTAACCGACCTGGTCGTTGGGTTGTTGTAGTTCTTGGACGTCTTGTCGTAGTCTAAAGTAATCAAATTTAGTTTAAAATATGTTTAAAATGTGGATCAAGTATACCGTTCTGAAAGCATCGCTTAGTGATTTCGGAGTACTAGGTTCAATTCCTCGTTGTTTTAGAATTTCAGCAATAATTGCTTCCTGACTTCTACCCCCATCTCCAAGCGAGTTTTGTGCAGCGTTTAATTCTTTGATAATATCCTCAACCGTGGTACCCTTTGAATCTAACACAGGAAGTTTCTTTGGAATACGTGTTGATGGTATTTCTGTATATATTGGTAACTCTGTTGTTGTTAGATCACGTTCTTTAGCAAACTGAACAATCTAAAAGTACATTGAATTATTTTTTAGGCAAAAAATTTTTAAAACACATACTCTATTTGCAAGGTTACCACCTCCACTATTCTTCTTAGGTTGACCATTTAAATTCTGAAAAACAAAAATTTAACACCAAAACACTAAAAATATTTAAATTATTGTACCAAATTAGTTAGCAAAGACAATTGTTGCAGTAAATTAGCCTGCTCCCTTTCCAACGCTTTCAGTTGTTCAATTTCTTCTAGTTGTTGAGGTGACAACTTCTTCTTAGATTTCTTCACTATTTCATCAATATCAAGTGTACTAGGATCAATCGTAGTGGTATCCAACCTAAATGTTGTAGTAGGAATTGTACTTGCAACAATATTTTCCCTAAATGGACGTTGGGTTATAAAAGTAGGTTCTGTGGTTGTAGTGGGCAAGGTACGGCGTCTGGCCGTAGTCACACGTACAGTTGTAGTCGGTTCCGTAGTCGTGGTAGCTTCAGTAGTAGTGGTAGTCCTTCTACGAGCTGTAATAGTCACCGTGGGAGCTGTAGTGGTTTCAGTAGTAGTTGGAACTGTTAGAATAGTTGTAGGAGTATACACAGGTCTCAAAGTACTCAAGACATTAGCAATAAAAGTAGTCAAATCAGTTGTGGTAGGAGGGATATACAAAGGAGTAGTAGTTCTAGGTCTTGTAGTGGTTGTAGCCCTGGTTGTGGTTGTTCTGGGTCTGGTTGTAGTAGGAACAGTGGTGGTAGTGATAGTGGTTCTTCTTGTAGTGGGCCTAGTAGTAGTAGTAGGCAATGCAGTGGTACTGTACGGCACAGTTGTAGAAAGCCTAGCCGTAGTACTCGGAAAACCTGTTGAAATTTCTTCAACTCTAGACGTGCTGCCACTATTTCTAATTTCATTGTCAAGTTCGTCACTTGATGTTGGTAACGTAGTGGTCCGTATCTGAAAGTTGAAATATTACAAAAACATCGACAATGCGCGGATTTGTACATAATACTGGCATGGCTGGAATGAGCATAACACAACAAAGGATTGTTTGCAGGATGAGTTATTCAAGCGACCCAGTCAGTATATTAAATATATGTTGTTTTAGAGTCGAATGTTGTCTTAAAGTATGTACGAGTAGTATAAATTGATATAAGAAGTGTCACTGATTATTTCATTACGCCTGCTGCTTCTGACCACTTACAATCTCCAAAAACTCCATTCTGATAGGTCGTCGACGCCGTATCAGTCGCAATCTAAACCGCCTGTGCTAATATGCGCATAGAAAACAAAACAGAATAAAAATCAACATACGACCGGTAGGTGGGTCGCCAATGTCTATTGCGGCAACTGAATGGTTGTTGTTAGTAGCTTAAAAGATCTCCTCCTGACTAGTCTGTTGGTGTTTGCAGAGAGATCGCAGTTTTATATAGAGAATTCTTACCGACGTCGGATTTATTGTCCAATCCGTACTAATCGGAGCTGGTGTGATCGTGGTTTCTGCACTACTCGTACTAGTCATTACAATTGTACTAGTATCCGGCATCGGTAGCGTTGTATCTTCGAGGTCCTCAATCGGTTCGCTTTCAAAACTACTTTTACTTTCAATTATACCCAAATTGGTAGTAGTCTCGATACGTTCCGAAGTAACCGTGATATTCTCGACCAACTCGTCGTTACCAACAGTAGTCGGTCCAAGTTCAATGATCATTGGTTCATTTAAGGTGGTAACATCAATACTCATTTCAGTCGAAATAATATCAGCATCAGATAAATCATTCATTTCGGTGCTGGTTACCGATGCCGGAGTGGTACTCATTGCAGAATCAGTAGTAGTAGTACTCGGTGCAGTCGTAATTGTTTGATTGATTAAACTAGTGTATTCTTCAAGTGTTTTGTTGGTCAATGTCGCCGTGTCATTTAAATCAAGCGACAGTTGATTTACCTCCGTTAAATCCTACAAAAAATATGCCACGTACGTGAATTCGCTGGTGTTCCTAAATCTACAAAGTTCTAATGATGCAAATTGTGAATCATGTTAAGTCTGTTTACACGAATTCCTTACAACATCACGAACCACTAGCTTCACGTAGGTTTATTGGTGCATTACGTGTGTGTACAGGTTTGGTGTAATAATGAAAGCGTAAGTGTACACCCGAAAGCGTGAAATGGCACCCATACACCGTGTAAACAAAAAGTTAATAACAAGTGTGAAAAATACCCTCGCGTCATCCGTTCCTGTGGGCTCATTAACTCGATTACTGGTTATCATTGGGCGGGGGGGCAGGGGGTCGCGTGTATCGAAACCACTTACTTGCACGACGGGATCGTCCGGCACAAGCGTACCGTTCGGGAACTTCCGAATTATCGTATTATTTGGGTATACCCCGTAGATAAAATAGGGTGCACTGATTTTGCGCGGGCGCTTGCGGACGATCGTATTGTTGGGCAAGACCGCAAAAATGAAATAGTCTTCGGGGGACATCGTTGAATTCGTACTGCTGGGCGCATTAGTTGCGTTGTTATTTTGCTTTGATGATGTTATTTCGTTATTGATTTCTTCGACGAGCTTTTCGAGGAGTTTTCCGGTGCGATTATTCGAGTTAGTCGTTGGTGGGCTGTCACTTGGTGAAGTTATTGTCACTGAGTTTGGACTTACATTTATAATCGGAGTAGACAACTCAATATTCAACGGATTCACCACTGTACTAAGACTTTCAGTTGTCACTTCAGGTATACCAGTTACATCTGTTGTTGTGATGGTACTTTCAAAGAATTTCATGGTAGTAGAATCCGGTTTCATAGTGGTAGTAGTTGTGATCATTTCTGTTGTTGTTTCAAGACCCAAAATCTTTGCCAACCAATTATCTGTTGTTGTTGGTGGGTTGGTTGTAGTACTAGCCATCAATGTGGTAGTAACAGGAGGGTTTGTTGTTGGACTTGTCGGACTCATTGTAATAGTTGTACTTCCAAGAGTTGTGGTGGTAGTACCAATGTAATCAATAGTGTTTTTACTTTCGTCTATAACCGTTGTAGATATTGATGGTGTAGTGCTGGTAACAGCACTGTCTTGAGTAGTAGGGGTACCTTGTGTTTTGGTAATACCAAGGGAAGCTAAATAATCAGCCAAAGAGATAGCCACAGTGCTTTGAATAGGTAGTTTCGTAGGTGCGAGTGCAACCTTCATAGTGCTTGTGGTGGCAGAAGTGGTTGTAGTGGTAGTGGCAGGGGGTGTAGAAGAAGATACACTGGATGGGGGTGCGCCCGTTACCAAAGTGGGCACTTTGCGTAAAGCGGGCACGTCTAGAATCGAGTCCAGCTCGTTGCTAGCGCCGACGTTACCTACATTATTATCACTCGCTTGTATAGCCGACAAACTATTTAAAATGCGTTCAATGATCGTCGTAGGTTTTTCGGTAGTCAATGCTTTCGTGGTCCGAACAATCTCCTCGTCTTTCTTCTTGGGCGGGGGTGGAATTTTTAATATCGCCGTCTCCGTGGGCGAGACTTTCGCGTCCGGTTTGGCGGTCGTCGTCGATATAGACGATATCGAATTAATTATTCGTTCGAGTATAGACCCTGTCGGTTGGTTTGTCGCGTCGCCGGCGTTGACCTTGTGTAAAAACGAATTCGATAATAGAATTGGATGATTATTTAATAACTCAAATAAAATGTCTATCTACTGCTCAATTTGCTATCTAATCAGTATTACCGTGGTATTATTTTCAGTGACCAAATTATCGGAATACAGGGAATTCGCATTTGGTTGGGCGATTGAAATGATTTTGATATCGTCATTCTCGTCGCTTATTGCACGTTCGTCATTTGTTTTGGGGGCCTAGAAATCCATGCGAAACAAACAAATTGTCAAAATATTTCTTTGCTTCTGATGAGGATGATTGAATTGCATTTGAATGATATTGAATGTGGATGACACGAAGGTGATGCACGCTTACGATTACTGTCGCTCAGCACAAAGTTAGTGATTAAACACATAAGAGAAAAGCAAACAATCGAACAGTTCAATGGAACGATGAGACAACAATGATTTGGAAATACATTTTTATTGATAAAAATGTGCAAATAAAGAATAACACAGTATGTATGGTTAGAAACGTCATATAGTACACCTTTTCTTAAACGCTAGTGTTACTCGTCTTTATAATAAACTGTGCAGACTTAATTCTGTGTGCGAAAACAAACAATACGTAAATACAATATATTGTATAATAAAATATTGGATAAGGTACTTCACTAAGCATCTATATGTATAGACGAAGAGACAAGAAGAAGTATTTGGAAGATTCCGAGTGGACGTGAGTGAATGTGTGTAGTTTATTGATTGATGATTGACATGAACCACGGTTCCGTCTCGGACCATGTACCGTCCTTCAGATAAGAGACAGAAAAAACAATTAGAATCCCACACATCATGTTTTTTTCATCATTTGAACTTTTGTGTTAGTCAACCGCTTATCAATTTATACAAATAATAAGGTGTACTATATTGTTTCGCAATCAATTTCATCTAAATGTAATTACACCGATTCGTGAAACACGTCAAGAACTGATTAAACCAAGTGAGTAAATTTCCACTCACCTGGTGGGTTGCTAATGGTGCGCTTGCGGGCGTGACAGTTGGTACAGTTGGCACGTACAATGGCGGCGTTGTTGCTGCACGTGTCGGTGCTGATGATCTTGCCTCGCTGCGATATCTTGCACTATATCGGTTGGACTTTGTCTAACAAAATATTCGCATTAAAGCAACACTACTCCATTAAAAGCAATAAAATTAAAATAATAAAAGCATTCTAGGTGTGATTGTGATATTCGCATAACTTTACCTGGTTGAACTTCCGTTCTACTAATTTATCCGGTTTTCTAGTGTACGAAATTTTGCTGGGTGGTTTAGTTGTGCGTTTAGTAGTTGTAGCAAGCGTTGAGGAAATAGCTTCATCATGACTGCGTGTATTGTTGCGTTGGTATTGATTGTTAAAACGAGCATGGAATTTGGCGAGTTTTTCGGAATCTGGATTGGCAACTAGTTTTCGTGTTGGTAAAGTTTTTGGCTTGCGTGTTGTCGAAGGACTGTCAAAGTTAGGCTTGCGAGTGCTCACTGAAAAGCGGCGACGCGTTGGACGTGGAGTTGGTGCCAAATCATTATCAACATCTTCTACCTAAATTATTAAATATACTCAATCATAATACTCAACACATTAAAAAATTCAATGAGGTGTTGATGCGATGAATTTTGTGTTATGTACATACATGCTTAGGAGGAAATAATGTTGATGTAGTTAACGTTCCGGCAGTAGTAGTACTACTCGTGGTTGAACTGGTAGTAGTCGTTGAAGTTGATGTACTACTATCGCTAAATGATGGTGACAATGATGACAATGCCGCTGAATCCGACTGGCAAAAATGATTTATGATACATGTGATTGATAGTGCATTCAAATTAAGAATGAAACCTACCTTTTTATCGTCTCTTGATTTATTAGCGAGAATAATTGCTTTGAATTGTGGCGGATAATTCAAGTCATCAATGTCGTCTTCTTCTTGGCTTTTTTGTCTTGCCGCTTTCGCTTCGGGCTTTTTTCGCCGAGTAACCTTTCTACTGCTAACTACTTCGGTAATTTCACTGTGAACGCTTTCCTTTACTCTGGTTGGTATGGCATTGACACTTCGAATTGTGGAAGTTGGTGGTAGGGTAACCCTAATGGGATTTTCTACTGTTGATGAAGCAATCAGTTCTTCCGCGTGTACAACTGGTGGTCTAGTACGTCCTGTTCTTCTTGGGAGTGCTCTGGTGCTATGTTCTACACTTTGTTGTGGTTCTAACCTGACATTTTCTAAGTCTCCCAATTGGAATCGTGATCTTGTTCTACTCCTAGAATCTCTTGCAGGTGCAGACGGAGCGGTGTTATCAACGGCAGTTGTTCTGGATCTAATTGGTTCTTGAAAACTTCTTCCGGAACCTGATGGACGAGATGCAGGTGCTGTGGGTTCTTGTGCAGGTTGATTCACCTGGGTACGAGTTCTGGTTCTACGACTTGCAAATTCAGTAGGTCTATTGACATTGACACTTGGGGCATTTTCTGTTGTTTGGGAAGTTTCCAATTTTCTACCTCTTGATCTTCTAACATCTGCCCGATTACGTGTGGTTGCTTCAACAGTTTCTGATGATGCTGCAGCTACTGCTGCTGATGATCTAGGAGTAGCACTTCGTACTGAACCCCTTCTAACAGGTGGAGATGAACTGATATTAGAATCACGACCAGTTCTAGTCTTAGGTGATAGAGAATCTTCTTCTGTTATAGAAGGACCGCGATCTTTTAAAGTAGGCGTTGGTCTTCTACGTCCCACACGGAAACTACCGCGAGTACTGTTTTCGGTGTTTTCTTCAGCTGTTGATGCTCTTCTTGCTATTGGCTCTGTGTTATCAACCTTATTACTTGCAGTAGATTTAGATCTACCTCTAGACCTTACTGGAGCACTTGTTGAAGAAGATTCCGTTGCTGTTGATTGACGAGCGTTTGTTCTGGTTCTAATAACAGTCCTTCTAGCTTGGGCAGCAGTTGTGCTTGTAACCTCAGCAGTAGTACTTTCAGGTCGTTTTGTGCTTTGATCTTTCTTCATCAACTCCCTTTCCATTTCTTTCTCTGTCGTACTAGATGAAACCTCAACAGATTCAGCTTTATTAGTCGTACTGGACACCACATTAGGTTCCGACTCATATTCAACTTGTGGGAACACCTGTGGTAATTCCAACTTGGTCGGTTCATCACTACGCAATGAACCAAAATTTCTGATCAATTCATCAACAGGCAATGGCGCTTGTGGACCAGCTTGACCTGTAGCCAACCCAGGTTCAGAGAACGTCGATCTGGGAGCGTTCGGAATTTCAAACTTGTCTTCGGTGATCACCCGAGGACGATGATAGACTGAAGATCTATCTGGAATGTCATCGACAATTTCCTCAACTTCATACAGACGTTTGGTAGAACTAATAGTGCTACTAATGCTATTACGTCTATTATTGCCAGCACCTAGTGAACGAGATTTACCTTCCGATCGCCCATCGGAGGCCGAGCTTCTGGCGGCAGCCGCATAGTCCGAACTTACTTGCTCAAATTCGGGCGTTTTCACGAAACGTGCCCTACCTCTGCCACGCGTAGCGGCAACCGGACTGGGTTGAGTCTCTGGTTGAACCTCGTCGGCATTCTTGAACAGAAAATCAAAAGATTTCTAAATGTCAACAAGATTTTAGGCGAATCATTGGACGAGAAACTGATTCAATAACAAGCAAAAACTAGATCGCCTTAGAAACAGCTTTAAAACAGCTCTAAGACAAAGTTATTTGTCGTTTTTTGACTCGGCCTTGCAATATTTTCAATCAAAAATAAACTTCATTGTCATATCAAGTCTACCAAGAATTTTATCCCATAAAAAGTCAAATCCTTATATAATATCAATCATCTTTCACTTTATCAACTTCAAACATTCAAGTCACACATCAGAAAAAAAAGTTCATCTTGTAACATCAACATTCAAACGATAATTGCATTAAATTTCTCTTCGTTCAAAAGGTTATTAGATCCCACTTTCGTGTAATTTTGACAACTATATTCCAATTCTCACTTCACAAAGCATTCATTACGACCATTTCAACTCGCACAATAATAATGCTAAGTATTTAATGGTCAATAATTTATTGTTACTCAACGCACTGCTCCAGCGAGTGTTACTTTTCTACGCATTTCCGTATCGCAGAAAAGGAAACACCTGCTTGTTAAGCACACGAAAGGAAATGCAGCGAAAATATAATTAATACCTAGGACATTTAAAACTGTTGCAAATTTAAGTGTTGGAATTGAAAGTGCGACGTTGCACACACAAATCGATTGCTGTGTTTATGTAATACGCAAGAGTGGTTTTCTGGTGGCACCGTTTCATAAAACTTGAACACCATTCGTGTTAATACGGATATACAAGACATAATTAAAGCATACCAAGTAGTATTTTTAAATTCATCAACAATAAACATAATTATAATATTGTTAGGTCGAGTTATTTTTGATTGTTCATAATTTTGCAAATGTTAGACACGCATTCGATTGTTTGTCCCAGTTTGAGTAGTTTCGTGTTAAATGTTTCGCCATTTTTAGTCTATTGTAAATATAGGTATAATATATTTGCAAATATATTTGTATTTAAATTGGATGAAAATATCTTAATCCGTTTCTGGATTCGATAAAAGTGAGAGCGAAATGAGTTCGTTTCTATTAGCGACACACGGAACGACAACGACCAAATTTACCATACTTGCTCGAATTCAAACCTTTCTTCTAATCATTTGCAGCGCGGAATGAACGCGCAAATTGAAACGTTTATCCGTAAAATACAAAGAATGAATGCTTGCGTCTCGCCGTGTGTAACAGCCCGCATAAAAGTAAAAACGAAGCGAATGCGCTAACTGTTTGAGTTTGATTCTGATTTTCAGGAAATGGATTATGTATATCTACGTGTACATAAATTGCAATGTGCTCTGAATTAAATTACAAACACACATTTCCTGCCTTTTCCTCTAGTTAAATTTCCAATCATTTGACATTTATTAATTAGTACACATTTTGAAATGTGTGACTCATTTAAATTTCTTTTTTATTTAGTTTAAAACGTTTACAACAATAATAAACTCAAACATTAAATATTTGTTTTGTTAGTGTGCAGTGCCGACGGTTTTTCTAAACAATGAGTCAAGTTTCATTCTTCCCAAAATTAAAAACTTAATTAAATCTCTTCAAATTCATTTAAACAGAAATTCTGCTTGCTTTAATTAAATGCCTAATAAATCCATGTAACAACCTGGTACCCGAGAAAGTTATGCATTAATTTCTGTATAATTGTGAAGCCTATGGGCTTGAAAACCAGGATTATAGCGTTTGAAGTTTCAAGTAATAACATAATACATAACTGCGTCAGACATCCGCAATTTTTAACTGCTACCTTCACACACAGTTCCGAATTACTCGATTCTTTCTCAATTAGATCACAGGCTTCAAACTAGAGCATTGCGTCAATCCATTTCATGACATTTTATTAAAACAATTGATTAGCAAAACAATAATGATAAAATTATTTTTGAGTCAACTAAAATTTAGGCATTAGTTATTAGATAACTATTGCGTGCCATGCTTAAATATTATTATATTATTATGGTTATTTTAGTTTTCTTTTTGCCCAAATGTTAACCAGCTTGATTACTTATGTCGAATATGTTGATATTATACAACTGTACTTATGGATCCCTGCCGGCTTGATGAACACAACATCAATTTAAGTTGTAATGAGTAATGAGTAAGCTTTCATGGCATTGCTGATAAATTTGTTATAATCTTGGTACTTTGCTGAACATTCCTGCATAACCAAATATCTAGGTTAATTTAATTATAAGATATATATTATGTAGTCAAGTTGGTTATGCAGCATGGACGACAACTGCAGTGTTGCCACATTCAAGTGCTATTAGTATTGGTTGCATTTTTTGCATTGACAACGCTGCTCATTCCACAAAATTAGTTTTTTAATGATAACTTTTAAACTAATCAACTTATTTTAATATTTTTTTCAGGGATCTATTCAATATTAAATTCTGAATCTAATTATATTATATTTTAATCGTTAGCTTAGTTTTATAAAAAGTTATTAACAATTTAGTGTGATTTATATGAATTTTTATTATATCCAATTTTAATTGCTTGTAACTTTTTATTAAATAATGCAATCAACATAATTTTCAGACAGTTAGATGTAGAATTTAATTCTAAATATTTTTTTAAAATAAATTTTAACTTTATTGTATACATTCTTTGAGTAATTCAATAATAACTGTAACTATGAAGCTGTCACGTGTAAAACGTGTCGTGATCAATAAATATTGAGTGTAATTAATATAAAACGGACTTCTGAAGTATCCACGTCTTGTGGTTGTACTAATCAATTAATAAAAGAATAATTACGCAATATCCTATGCACGTCAAACATTTATTCACAACTCAACATTCTAAAAGCTTGTATCTCACATTGCGCGCAAAATACAACGGATATATGCACAACCCAAGTACGCAAACGTTGGTACATACTTAAATTGGCAATCGAAGTAAATAAAATAAACTAAAGCATTTCAGTCGGCGAAGGACACCTCAATGAAACTGCGTTTCGTGCACCACAGGCTCCGATTGTCTCTGTTCGCGTCTGCGCTCAAAGGCTACGTGCATAAATATTATATTATGCACTGTTTCGATTCGATTTCAATCAGGTAGTTACGTGGTTCTCGCAATATCGGCGCATGTATTTGTCGACTTACTGTAATATAATTATAATACTACCGCGCGCGGACTGCGGCGATTTTGCCTTTCCAATTTCAATTCTTGCCGTGTGTGCCTTGCATATGCTGCGTCCTGCGTTTTAGCACATTAATATTTTATCTGCTTGCTTGTTTCGCATTAAACAACTGTGGCAAAACTGTAGCAATTCCAAGCTGGCGTGTTCGACTTGGTAACACTTTGTTATACAAATACAAAACTATGATCACGATTTAACCGACTATTATTCCTTTAACGGCTATTTAAAATCCATTCTAAAATGTATTGTACGTTAATTAGTCACTTTTGACACAATTTAACTGTTGCGGTGCGTGTCACGACGACTTTGCATTGAATTTGTCTTGCAATGCTTGATTAAGATGTTGTCGGAAGTGCTGAACATTTTTTTGTAAACAGATTTTTAAGTTGTGAGGCGAAAGTTGATCATTTTATTGACGTGCATGCTCAATCGACTAAATAACGCTAAAACCTACAGGCTGTTTATATATGTTAAAGCTTAAACCAGAAAGAGAAAAAGCGATTTTAGACTAGATGATGAATTAAACTCGAAAATCGAAACAACAAGATGCTTTCTTAAACTTTCGTTTTTGCGCCATGCGGTTAAAAATTCGGTTTGGAAGATTTCGTCAATGTATCGCAATTAATTAGTTACACATCATAACGAATTGGCGGTGGAACTGCTCTTTATGTAAAAGTCAAGGCAGCATTCATTGCTAAACAATCGCAACACCGCATGAAATTGTCTTATTTTGAAAACTAATTGGAATATTATGCGAATTACGTCGAGTTGTTTGATGACTGTGGGATGACCAACCGGTGAATGTTGGAATAAACATTAACGCCCCATCTGTTATGGCTGCGACAACTTGGGAAACAACCTTGAGATGGAAAAGTATTCATAATTTAAATAATTATTTAATTTTTGCATTTTTGCGCTTGTTTTATGGCTAATTCCACAATTAAACGTTAAAAAGTGAAGTTTTTATTGCGCTAGCTTCTTTGAGTGATAGCAGTAATGACGTTTTCGCAAAATTGCAACTTTTGTAGGGAAAAGAGACACAAATACGTTTTACGTGTTTTATTATCCGGTTAATATCTTCTGGTTGCTCGCCACAAGATACAAGGACTAATTCAGGTCACTCATACTGACCATAAACTGGTTAAAAAGCAACTCGACTTTATACGATTTTACTTTCACTCCTGCACCGTTCACAAAACTGACGAATATATGTGAAAATTTACCTTACCTGCATGCATACCACTTAAATACTCTTAAAATATATTTTATTCTCTTATTTTAATTAGGTTCATTCAAACTTTGAAAGGAACTCAATCATTAGACCGCGTTTTTATTTATCTAACTGTTAACATTAATTAACATTAAATGCTTCAATTAAACTGTAAATCATCATCATGTATAATTGATATAAATTGATCCAGTTTCAATTTAATCTGTAACAGGTAATTAATCGAATATTAATCACAAGTTTCTCTTGCAATTGCTGCAAATAGTGTCAATATCTGGAACTTGCGACATGCAAATCACATTTTTACACTTTTTTCAAATTCTAATCGATTTGCTAATTGAATCTATTGTGCAAACTTTCATGTGTGGCAAGAAACGTTTAAGAGTAAAAGCATATTTTGCTTCTTGAATGTATTTGCGATATGTGTTTTACGTCATTCAAATGTTTACGCGTAGAAAATACGCACTTTCATGTGATGGTTGGAAAGTTCACTAAACAATAACTTAAATGAAACGACCGTTATTAACCATAAGATTCGTTGATTAAAGAAGATAATAAAATTTTAACATCTGCACTTCCAAATTTGTTTTTTACTGCTGAGAAATCTTCATTGATATCTTAATGTACTCGTAAATGTTTGCAATAAAATAATATAAATTTTCGAGTAACGTAATTAATTTAATAATAATGTTGGTATCAATAGTAAACCTGCATTTTTTAACTTAATTTGCAAAAATATACACAAAAAACTGGTAAAAATTATTTAATTTCATAAAATATTACAAAGTTTAACACTTTCGAGATGTAAAAACCACAACAAACCACACATTTATACAATTATTAAGAATTTAAAACATTTTTAGGTTTGTTGTGAAGTGCGGCAACTTCTCTTACTAACCTCAAATGTATTTTTACATTTTTACCTACCAAATTTACAATAAATTATTTGCACACAAAAATACATTATGCACTTATTGATTATTGATTCTACGGTTTTGTAATAACTCAATTATCCTGAACAAAAAAATAATATTAAAACACCAACGTTGAAATGCAACATTAAATTCGTCATTACAGTTATTACTGCCGATAGGTGTCCAAATTACAGATTGCCTTCAAACGAAAAAACCACAAACATAACACGTCAACCGAAAACTTTACCTTTCTTGTAGCAATTAAATTTATTATGAAAAAATATCAATACATGCACTTAAAGCAAAAAAAGATATATAACAGACAAATTAATATACATATGAACAAATGGCTTTTTTATTCACAATAACCTTTTGGGTAACCTTGATATTTGCATGGAATTAAAGCGACCATTATCTGTCAACGAAAAAAACAATCCACCGACGCTGCTATATAAATTTCGACTCGTAAAAGCCTCTTGCTCTTAAAATATAAACTTAAGACTGATAAAAGCATCAAGAGTCGTTCGTCATTCGCTTCATCAATCCTTACATAAATATTAAATTGCAACAGAGTTTGTTTTATGAAAAAAATCAACTCGAACCTTTCAACCGTTTCAATTAGCTTTTGTGCGCGAAAGAGACTTGCGCAGATTTAAGCTGATTAAAGAAATGTACGTTCAAGGTGATTAATTAAACATTCGTTATTCGATATTCGTTTGCGTTTACTTCACTTTAATCCGTCCTTATTAATATACACCTCAAAGAAAACTACAATCGAACTGTGAATGTCTGGTAATGAGGCTAAATGAAGTTGCAACATTTTATTTCTGCACTTTTATTTATTATTTTTAACCAACGCACACATAACTAAATTAAGTGCAGATGATTCTAGAGTCTTGACCGTAATGCATAGGTTTCATGGATGAACAGTGAAGGCCCCAAACGGACAAGAACCATAAGTAATTATTTATAATTTTTCACACTCATCTAAACACGAGTGTAATACGAGCACGTTTTAATCATTAAGAGCAGATGTTCACATTAAAAAATTTCATCATTTTTAGTGGACGAAACAGAAAGTGTTAATGATATTATGATCGGTTGTGTAAATCGGTAATAATTGGTCAGTTTTCCACGGTTTTCACGACAAATGTTAATAGTACACGTCTGCGAATTCAAAGAAGTTGCGAAATGTATGTAATTCAGTCGGTAACGTTAGAAAAGAAAGCATTAATAATAACGTTTACAGTAGTTGCTTCTAGGACTGAACACAGTTGCATTTTCATGCGGATAATTGATTTCACCTTCTACAATTAGCATAGCTTTTGTATTGATAATTGCCGTAAAATACAGAGCATTTTAAATAATAAGACACTGCGAGACATTTGAAATCACGGTGTCACAATATTCAACTGAAAGTATTCCAAATACTTTTTCTTTTAGAAAATGCGAAAATGGAAAATCAGTTAAACCGTAATATTACTGCGACATAACCACAATTCTCATTTTATTTAACGTTGTGTGTACGCATGCGTCATTGATTTAGAACAGATGAAGCATAAATACTTCATGATTAGTTTTAAATTTAAATGTAATTACATTTTCGAAACATGTAATTAAAGATTGATTAGTCTTTAAGAAACAAAATTTAACTGCTAGTAATATTTCGTGATATACTACTGTTTAATTATAAACCAGCGTTAATTTACTCATTTACCTGTCAGTAATCAACATTAAACATTCCTAATATCACAGAATATTAAAGAAATGATCACACTGAATCAAATAAATTGCATTGAAATGTTTGCAATTGCATTCAAAGTGTTTGAAGTGCTCAATTTCTACATTGTTACATTTCTTGACAGCTCTCACTCTGTAAGATATTACCAAGTGTGCATTATGCATTAGTACTGCCCAGTTTGCGACAGTGCAGAATATTCTCTCTCATTATATCAATATTTATCCTGCTGATACTTCCTTATCTCCCAACCACAGGTTAATAACATTTAAAGTTAATAAATATTTAACCATCTACCTACTATTACTTCGACTCATTCCTAAAAGTGAATTGCACGTTGGCGGCGTTTTTGAACAACAAAATAAAAAACACACAAACTTTTACTATCGGCACCATAAGATCATCCATTAGCATGATTTACTGTAGGTAACTTTATAATTGTTTAGTGCGGCGTGTGGCTATAATAGGCATCGTGCGATGAAGCCATATTTATAAAATGTTAATATAATATAATACAGTAATTAATTTTCATAACAACGCGTAATATCTACGGTATCAATTATCAGATTGTTTATGCACGAATGTTGTTGGTGCGTAACGCATTTACCTCGCTGTTCACTAACAAGTTTATGCATTAGAGTGTTGTTTCAACTGCAACATGAAACCAGGAAAATGTATAATATATAACAAACTTCCAGGTTTAACACGGCGCGTGCGGTGAAATGGACTGTTTTATACAAGTTCCTGTCTTTTCAATTTTTATTCAATTGTATTATGCGTTTAAGCGTTTTCTAACTTATGAATGATATTTGTAGATATCTGTGCGGATACGGATAGAACAAAGTTGCAAATCTTGATTTTTGTAGAATCAAGCAACTTAATTTACATTTACACAGGTTTCTATTTGTTAATCACTTATTAAAGGTCATATAATTTTGATTTACGATTAGATATTAGATTTGATTGAGAGATAAAAACACACGTGCATTCTAATTACTGATTAAAGTTGTAAAATGTCATTTTTAACCAAATTAGTACTAATAACAATTTTGCGCTATCCAATAACCTCACTTATGTGAATTTAATGTAACCAATGAATTTTGAGGTTAAAATCATTGAAAGTTGTCTGGATTTAGAGAGAATTAATTTTTATTGAATTTAAAATGTTTATCTTACCTGCTGTCGACGTTGTGCTACCGTATAGCTAATCCCAACACAAGAAAGTAGAATAATGATGCGCAAGATCTTCATCGTCAATGTCGGTTCTCTTTACACGAGTAAATTTTAGTCATTTATATGAAACAATTCCATTCGTGCCTATTTTTGATACTTTCCACTTGTCCGAGCATCCTAAATGACAATAAAAAGTAACAACTTGAAATGCTCTACATGTCGTGAATTAAATTTAAAAACAAACGTAAAACATAAATAAATAAACAAAAAAACGAAACTTCCAAATGTAATATTTATGCAAATATTGACTTAAAACCAAATATAAATATGTAAAAGTTTATTTTAGAGAAATAAATGTTATTAGAACAAAGTGGAAAACAAGTTACGTGTAATTTAATTTTATAATTATTAACTGGCACCACAGTAGCGTTACACTACGATTTTCTAATTATGCAACAAATATTTCTATACTATACTTTACACATTTTACAGACCAACCAAAAAAAAATACCAGTAGCGCAAACAGAAAGTGGAATATTGCGCATAGAGCCAATCTGATTAATTTTAATTCTCGCTACATTCCAATAGGTATACTGATGATTAGAAAAATGCAATTATTTGCAAAAATATTTCTTTCAGATTGACAAAAGGAAAGTTTTTGCAATAACTCAAGCGTATAACCAACAAAAATAAGCAAATCTAGTGACTGAGATAAACATGTAATAACATTCTACAATCTACATTATATTGTTGAAAAGAATTCAAACTTGAATGCGTCTGCATCACTTTGAATGGGCTGTCAAGTTGTCAATAGAAAGAGCAAAGGAAAGTCATAATTCACCACGGATAAGTACACATATTAAGAAGTAATTTGATTTTCTTATTCACCAATCTGTTTGTTAAACTTTCCCTTTCCTTTCGCAATTTTCTCTTTTGTTTGCAATATTAATTTGGAAATTTGTTTCGCATTTAAATTTATTTATATTTTATAAATGAATTGAAAACAAACCGGTTGATTTTTTTAAATAAAGTTCATATTTAAATTCACAAGCACACAAAATCAACTCACTACAAAGCTTTCCGGTAATTATTTATGATAAAGCACCAAAACGTTATGGAATAGCACGAGTCGACGCCTTGTCCGAGACTGATAAGTTACCGAAAGCTTTCGTTGGCACTAGCAAGAAGTTACGAATTATAAAAAGTTCTCTTGAGCGGGGACACGGCGCGTATGTGCGAATGCACCTGGCAGGGACATATTACTCCGGATATAAAAACTGTAACACCACTCCTCTCACTTTAGTTCTTGCCAGCTTGTTACCAAGACATCACGTCGTGCAGAACTACACAACGTTGCGGTATACAATGAAAATGAATTGTTTTGTATAGAAATAAGTTTTATTTCAGATTTTTTTGCAATTTATAAACAATAACAAAGAAAACAAAAGAAGTGGGACTTTTTTACACACCGGTAATATCGGTGATGAAGTTACGAAGGTTGGCAACGTGAGCAAAGACGGTGGGGTAGTCGGGTCTTGCGCATCCAAGGGCCCAGGAGACAATACCGTACTGTACACCACTGTAAACAAGAGGACCGCCGGAATCACCCTGGCAAGTGCTCTGACCACCAGCGGTGGATGCAGCGCAGACCATGTAATCACGGTAGAACGAGTTTGATCCGTAGGAATACTCGCAAACGCTTGGGTCTTGAATTGGAATTTGCACACCCTGAAGTTGGGTTGGAGAAATACCACCTTCGGTAAGCCTGCCCCAGCCGGAAGCAGTAGCGTATCCACCGATGGGCAACTCAGCACCCCAGGTGGGCAGACCAACCCTCTGGGCATTGGAGTTGAGGGAAATCTGAGAACTCAGTTCCAGAATGGCAATGTCATTGATCCAGTTGTCAGCAGCGTTGTACTGAGGATGGGAGTAAAGGTTTTGGACTTTGATGAATTGACCACCTTGGTTGTTCAATGAGGAACCAACACGGACGTACATGTTATTCCAGTTGCCTTCATTTCTGTAATCATTTAATTTATTAATTAAAATATTTATTTGAATGGAAAATAAATGTTTACTTACCCTACGATGCAGTGGGAAGCAGTCAAGACAAAGCGTTCATTGATGATGGATCCACCACAGATGTGGAAGTCACCAACTTGAAGGGAGATTTGGTAGGGCACTTGGGAGATGTCGTATGCAGAACCACCGACAATGCGGTTGGTCAATAGTGGGTTGGAAACGTGGGCCGCGGAAGCGGATGCCGCGAGGGCAAGAAGACAAACGAAAGCGATCATGTTGCCAAAAAATTGGAACTGTTTGAAGGGAATCAGAAATTCGTTTATATATCAATAAATGTGCTCTCAAGTGGTCTGTGATAGATTTTATCCTTGCGTTTGAAGTGCTTATTTCCAATTTAATTGATATTGAGACGTATAGCGATTGTTCAAAATATATGCAATCAACAAATTTGGAAACACTCAAGTTCAAAGATAATTAGTAACAGTATATTTCTATTTATAAACAGATTTAACAACGAAAGTGGTACTAAAGTCCTAAATTTTAGAAAAAAACAACTTACATAACAACATACAATGTTAATAATTATACTAAAGTGGCTTCTTATAGTATTATATTTCTCCACTGGCATATTTGGTGTTGATTTGTACGCAGAAAGAGTTGTATTTTTAATACAAATTGGTGTAGAATGTGACATCTATGGTTGTACACTTTAAACTTCTTCCAAAACATCTCTCCTAACCTAACGGAAATATCAAATGTTTTAAAATCTGCTCGTCATCCAGATTAAAGACAACATTATTTCAAAAGCAACTGAGTGATAGGATTTGTTTTAACGGATTTAATTTTAATAATGGCTGATCCGAACTCAATGTTTGATTCTGCCTACAATGGCGATTTCGATTTAATAAGAACCATTGTTGAAAAAGATGCATCTACCATTAAAACAAAAGATAGTGTAAGTTTTTGTATTCTATATATAAAATTATATTTTATTAAATATTTTGAATGGAATAGAATGGAAGGATTTTATTGCATTGGGCTGCAATCAGTGGAAACCTGAAGTTGGTAACATACTTACTTGAAATGGACAGTGATATTGAAGCCCAAGATGATACAGACACCACTCCAATCATTTTAGCATCATCCTCTGGCAGATTGGAAGTTGTAAAACTATTAATCCAGCATAAAGCCAATGTGAATCATAAAACTACCCAGGGACACTCTGCTCTTCAGTATGCTGCCTCCAAAGGACACACTGATGTATTTATATCTAAACAAATTAAAGTATTATAAAATTAATTCAGTAAACTGTTTCCAGATTTGTGTTTCTTTAGTTGATGCAGGAGCTGATATAAATGTAACAGATATCAGAGGTGCTACACCTTTACATAGGGCAGCCAGTAAAGGCAATACAAGTGTGGTGAAGTATTTGCTTAGTTCCAAAGACAAGCTGGAGATAAATATTAGGGATGCATATGGAAATACTCCCCTGCATTTAGCTTGTGAAGAAGATAGGCAAGAAGAAGCCATGTTACTGATTGAACATGGTGCCAGGACTGATATTCAGAACAAAGATAAGCAGACTGCTTTGGATTTGTGTTCAAAGGGATTATTACATTATATTAAGACTAAGGAAACTACTACTAGTGTATAAAAATAACATGTTTTGTGTCCCTTAATTTAATTTTGCATTAAAATATCAAGAAATAACCAGAACTTGAAAATTTTCAAGCTTTCTCTTTATTATATTTTATTCCTACATAAAATTTGTTAAGGTAACTGATAAAACACCTGAAATTGCGGAAATTGTTGATGCAAGGACAAGAAAAGTAATGAAAAGTTAGATATTGACACAAATAATTGAATGCTATCAGAGGAATATCCAAAGGTTTGTTAATCAATAAATATACTTTCAAGTAGTGTGTAGTAGATTTATATCATCAGCTTTCAAGTGTTTATTCCTAAATTAAATCATATCAGAACGTAAGTATGAGCAGTTTTTACACTACCTATGTAAAATACTGTACTAACATAACCTTTGATTAGGTTTCATAATAAACAACAGTTCTACTTAAATTTTGGTCCTTTAATTCTACGCCAAAAAATAGAACCGTCATGCATAAACATAGAGATAAATTGCCTGAGTTTGAAGAACCAAAGAAAAAATTGATCACTGATCATGATCAACATGTTAAAGAGTTGTTTCAAATGCAGACAAATGTTTCAACAAATTTGAAAAGGTACATATCTATAATCACTGTCCTTTTTTCATATCTAACTATACACTCATATTTATAGTGAGTTACACAAGGTAAAAGTCTTCCAAAAAGCTACAGAAGGTTTTACACTTTCCAATCATATAGCAGGTACAAGTTCCTTAAAACAATTGCAAGAGAATGAAAATAGACAAAGTGAAATTAATGAACTTTTAAGTTATGGCCTGACAAAAGATGAAATAGACCTTTATTATGACTACAAATCAATGGGATTGGAAGGTGTGCAGAAGAAGTATTTGAATCATGAACCAGATGTATTGAAAAATAAGATTGATATAATATTAAAAACAATAAAATCATCTTTAGACAAAGGAGAAACTGTATGTTACTCTACACAACCAATGGATAGTATTAAAGAAATGGACTCTATATATAAAGAAGCAACAAATCAACTAACTCCTGATATAAATAAAATACGTCGAAAAGCGAGAAAAGTCGCTAATAGATTGCGAAAAGATGATGTTACAACTGTTCCTGTTACAACTGTAACACCAACTCTTAATTGTGATAGTAAAACATTATGGGACAAAACAGAAATTCCTGAAAATAAAACAAGTAGAAAACAAACTGTTCAGTATACTTGTAAGAATCAAAATTTTTACACAATCAAAGATGGTGAAATAATTAAAATTGACAATCAGCCAAATAAAACAAAAGTACCTCAGGTAACTGGCCAGTTATCATTAGAGGAGATAAAACAATTGCCTCAATTTACGAATTATCAACCTGGAAAGCCTTCAAATGTATGTATTACATAGACTTTATTACATGTAATATTTTATTTCATCCATTTATTTCATATTTAGGTGATATATGTGAAAAATTTACCAAAGAAAACATCAATTGAAGATTTGAAGAGATACTTTAAAGACTGTCCAGCACAAGAGTATAAAGTAATGAGCGGTAAAATGCGTGGACAAGCATTTCTAACTTTTGATTCAGTAGAAACAGCACAGAAAATGTTGAATACTTTAAATGGTTTAATAATCAACGATAAACCTGTTATTTTACAATATGGAAGGACTTTAGAAAATAATACAAGATAATTTATTATGTTTTCAATCGCTAAGAAGATATTTTGCATCATTTTGCGTTAAAATAACAACACTTTCCCTCTGACGGTGTAAAGTATAACTCAACTTTTAAACAAATGATTTTTCACTTCTAACCTAAAATAATCTGAACAGTAAAGTATCAATCATTACAAAATTCGTAATTTTGTAATAAAATGGCTTCTATCGCTACCATACACCCCTCACATGTGAATATACCTCGATTACCGGTAGATAGTGAAGAGCAACAATTCGAAAGTTGGCTAATCAAGTACACAAAATCACATATTTTGCATTCCCAATGTACCACAGCAGATAAATGTGCCAATACCAGCTCAGAAAGATGTACATTCTGTGTGTAAGCTATTATAATTTATTATTTGTGCATAAATATCTTTAAACATTATTTATTTTAGTTATACAAACAGTCTGGCAATACCCCACTTGCCAGAAATGGTATTTCCAAACAACATCCTGACTTTAGTTCACAACAATGGAGGATCTATAGAATTCAATGCTCTTGATGCTTTGCAATGTGTTTGCAGCAGTAGCTTACCATTTCGTGTTGCTTGTTCAGAAGCATGGAAAGAATCAAGGTATTTTATTAAAACTAACATAAAATATAATACTAAATGATTACTGAAATCATTTTATAGACCTGCTCATTTACTGGAAGAAAAAATCAAACCCTATGATTGGACATTCTCAACTGACTATAAAGGAAGCATACAGGGAAATTGTACAGTAGAACCAACTGACGAACGTATCGATATGGAGCGCTTAAAAGAAAAAGAAAAAATTCTCTTCTATCAAGAATTGATGCTGTATGAAGATGAATTACATGATAATGGTATTGCTCAATGCACGGTAAAAATCCGCGTTATGCCGACTTCGTTTTTCGTCCTTTTAAGATTCTTTTTGAGAGTTGATAATGTAATGGTCAGGATAAATGATACAAGACTATTTCATGATATGAGCACTAATTATGTTCTCAGAGAATACACAAATAGGGAATGTTCAGTAAAGGAGGTTCATCTACCATTGCCAGTCTTTGGAGATCCTAATATCTTACAGGCTCACATGCCAGTTAAAACTAGTCTGTATGAAAAGTTGATATTTGAGGAAAGTGAAGTTGCTGGTTCTAATACATAATTATTTTAATTTATATTAAGTTACTCAACAATAAACTGTATAATGTCCTTAGCTCTAGTTTTCTTGGTAGAATCAGGTTCTGATTCTGTTGTGTCTGCTTCTTCAGTTGTTTCTTCCTCAATAATCTTGGTAGCTGTGTCTATAATATTTGCTTTTATAGCACCTTTACTACCAGCAAAATATTCTAATACAATTGGCCATATTGTATCTGAGAGTAGTTTGGAGTCATAAAGATGATCCACAATCCAGTTTTGCATGTTTTTGTTAAACTTCCAGTTTGATTTATCATTTTGCCAAGATTGCAGGTATACTTCAACTGTGGTTTTGTATTTATCGAATATTTCTTCGCGTTCCTTTTGTTGGCGCTCTTCTTTTTTCAGCTTCTTTCTGGACTTTTTAATTTGAGCTTGTGGTTTTCGGAGTTTACTTGCTGGTTGTGCTGTTTCGGCATCGGGATTTTGTTCTGGTTCTTCTGGTAATTTGTGTTTGCGATTCTTCTTTTGTTTTCTTGTGGATTCATTAAATTCAGGCACAATTTCACTTGATTCCCCCATGTTTTCAATGTGGTTTTTAATAGGTTAGAATTTATACCTCATAAAGATTGCATCATGCACGCTTCATGCTTTATTTTGAGTATTGCTAGCATTTGTTAACTGGATTGAGAAGAATGTTGTTTAAAACGGTGTTCTTATTTATTGTGTTGATAAAATATAACAATTATTATTAAAAATCTACATAATTAGACATAAAAATTACTTGTAAGTCATTGTAAGGACTAAGAGCCAAGGATTTTGATGTCCTTACAAGTCCTCGGTAGTATAGTGGTCAGTATCCCCGCCTGTCACGCGGGAGACCGGGGTTCGATTCCCCGCCGGGGAGGACTTTTTGTCCTTTTTCATATTTTTATTTGTTGCTATTTGCAATTTGTTTAAATATTTGTCTTTGAGATAATTTTTTATCACCTAGCGTTAAAAAGTTATCGACGCTGCCGTAGCTCGTAGTGAAGGCTTACTTCAGTGCCTAGGTCTTATAATAACAAAATGCCTATAAATTTATAAGATTCAGCGAAGAGAAGAAAAGTTCAAGGTTCCACGTCTACTGCAGTATAGGCCCTAAGTGCCTTGTTTTGTGCGAGCAATAATTTATCGCTAGAATTTTCTAAGAGTCTTTGCTTCTTTATGGGAGCATAAAACCTTTTGAATTTTGTGTTAGCAATAAATAAACAAACCGGAAGTTTTGCTAGGAATTGTGTTTTTTGTTGCTAAATAATAAATAATAACATTATCTGCTCAAAAAGCAATGAAATCTTTTTTAAACAATTTTCGTCAAAAAATTACAACAAATAAAATAGAAACTGGTTATACATTACAACAAATTTCATAATTATCAATAAATTAATTCTATGAGTCACGAACATCGTTTATCGTCACTCGTCACCAGCCAACGTGGTTGGAACAAAATCGAATTCGGCCAAATTTGAACTTTGTACCGCAGTAGCACACGTACATGTAATAATCTAGAATATAACGCGTTGTACAACCACATTTATACTTTAGACATTGTAGCTATTGCAATAAAGCTATATTAAAAGTGTACCTTGTGTCTGAGTCAAGTAGTTCTCGTGTATCATGATCAGCAAGTGCACAACACAAGCTTAACAACGCATTCAGTAATTTGATTAGATTGCGCGATACTATCTCATAGAAAAGTTATACATTTATTGCAACGCAATAAGTATCTCGACTGCCATTCATCAACAAAACTCGTGTTACGCGGTCGTGTTTGCGTGATTGCTTAATTTTTACTACCAGTGCGAACTAATCGTTCATCACAATCTTCAAAATGGTTGACCAAGAGAATAAAACCTCAGAGCTGCACGAACAGGTAAACAAATTACATTTTTTTTACTTTACATGCACATCACACTTTAATTGAAACAGAATAATGCATTTATAGCATACAATAAAAGCAATTTCAATTTAATAACTGTATACATAACTGCAGTGTTTAATTAAGCAATTAAAAAGTTTACGCACGAGCGTCGGTAATCTCAAAAACGCAGCTTCCAACAATTGCAATTATTACTGACGATTATTCAATGATAATGATATAACGAAAGTGTTTACATGTCCTCTATGAACCCGGCGTTTAATTCAGCGCTACGAATCAATAGAAATGTGTTATTTCGATGAGATAAAATCAACCGGATCTGTCGGAGACAGAATTGAAAACCAGTTCCATACATGCACCATTTAAGGTCCAATTTGACTGCATTCACAGACGATCCAGACGGTTTATCAATTTGTCCGCTGTGTTCGACCTCGCGGACATTCATCTCGTTCATCTCTCAGTTCCTCACTTGTCACATCAGCTCGTGGTGCACATTTTATAACTGAACGCTTAGCACGCTTCACGTGTTCTTCATAACCTTTTTAAAGTCTCGTCTCGTTTTTATTACAAGTGTTTTAAAAGATTTTTAACTTTTAATTGTTCAATTCTTTTGTTTTATTGCACCAATTGAATCAACGTAAGTAAACAGTTCGATATATTTAATATTTTATTATCATCATTATAATATAATAAAATTAATTATATTATTGAGATATAATAATAATTTCTCTTAACAATTGAAATTTATAATATAATGATTTTGATTATGACATATTCATATTTGACCTTCAAAAGATTATTGAATGTGCTCTCAAATTAAACACGTTTTATTGGTTTCGTGGAAATGTTATGCATTTGGAAAAGATGAAACACTTTTTTTATCGGGCGAGAACGCGCGATATCTGTTCTAAACATAATCCAGAACATCGTGTAAGAAGAATCGAACAAAAACATATAAATCACACTTTCACTTCGAATTCAGTGTGGACTAGCGTGTTTTTTTTTTATCGGGTACTTCAATCGAACTGTTTGTTTCCTAATTTTTCTCCGTCTGGAGATTTTATTGCTTTGAACATGCACAAAATCAATCAACGGTATTTAAGTCGACCAAATCTATTTGATGTGTTATCTTATCACTTTCAATTTACTTACAAAACAATTTAATTTATAAGATTTATGAATTAAAACTGAAAAGAAGTAACTTGGCAACGTGCCTAAATAAAAACGTCAATGTTGCAATAAACTAAACATGCGTCAACATCTTCAACAAAATTTTGGAAAATAAACTCGAAATTTACGTGAATTGAGCAACAAAATCAGAAAAATCCAATAAAAATCATTACTTTTATTGCAACAGACGTCATGAATAATGCAATATGCGAAGTTTTGGAGATGTTTGGGTGGGGGACGAAACAGGAAACGGAAATACACGTGACCGAGAGTTTTATCAAAAGGAGATATCCAGATTATTACAGTGAAAACATTATTAGAACAAGACCAAATTCCTGCTATCGACTTGTTCAAGTAGTTTTAATTAAATACAATAAAAATGCATTGCCACTAACACCAAACGTGACTTGTTCTAGATGCCGGCTGAAATTAAACAAGATGGCGCCTGCATCTCTCTGGAGAGTGTAAACCGTATCTCTAAATTGCCAATGGTTGAAAGTACTCTTCAAACAAGCAAACACATTTACGATAAAGTGAAGGTAAATTAAAAACGTCACAATAAATTTGTAAATACCTATTATTTTATTTCTTATAAAATATAATCAATAGGATTTCAACAACTTGACCAATTGGACAATGTCAACCGCTGAAAACACGGTCCACAAGGCAATGGAAGTTGGAAAACCTTACGCAACTCCAGTACTTCAGTCTCTGGACGGACCTATTAAGAAAGTCGATGGAATTATCTGCAGTGGATTGGACTATGTTGAAGCGAAGGTCCCAGCAGTCAAATTACCACCCGGCGAAGTAAGTTTCCTGAAGTCATTATCATTACCACGCAAATTCTCACATTTTCTTCATTTCATAAATCATTTGAACGCGTAACAGCCAGCAAACATTAGTTTTTCTTTCAGTTATACACTTCCACTAAGGATTACATTGCCAACAATCCCACAGTAGTCACGGCATGTTCCGTTGTTAAACCCGCCGTAGACACTGCCAAAAGTTACGTTGCCACTGCCGGATCAACCGTCAATGTTACAGTTCAAGGTACACACTTGCACTATAAACCTATTAGCATTCACATTAATAATGATTGATGTAACAATTCAGGTGCCAAAACAATGGTGGAGCCAGTTTTCGATTCAGCAAAGAAAGCCGTTGAACCAGCCCTAGAGTCCGCCCGAAACATTGTAGAACCCTATGTGGAATCGTCAAAGGAAAAAGCAGCCGCCATCCGGGACTTTGGCGCGCAGAAAATCGACGAATACCTGTACACCTCCACACCAGGCAAAGAAGCAGGTAATAATTCCACGTGCATCGATAGTAACACCAGCTATGCATCGACCAATGACTCATCACTCACTTCAGCCACTGGCACCGAAGCATCCTCTGATAGCGAATAGTTTTTATCATATATTCATTATTATCATACATACCTACACACCGACACGGACATCGTCAGACTGAAGTATTATCATACATATAAATGTTTTGTTTGTAATTCGAATACTTTTCTCGTTACAGATCCGACGGGTGAATGCACGGAACTGCAGAAAGCCGAGTAAATGTGTAACTTAAAAGTCGTTGATAAGGAATATTTGGATATTTAATTACTGTCAATTGTCAAAAATGGGGATTTTTACCGTTTTCGGCACTTGTATCTACACTGTCTGATTAATTGAGTTTATAATTATCGTTGTATTTAGCAGATAATAAATTAATCGTTTCATTTGTAATAATATATATTTATAATTATATTTATAAGTATTATAAAGTTAAGAAGTCAAGTCAAAAAAGAGTGAAGCATTTGTTGTTGTTGCTAGAGGTAAAGCAGGTGAATATAAAAGCGGTATGAATTGTTCGTTGTTCAGTCGTCTCGACTAGTGCGGGCCATCGGGTGGACATAGAGAAACGTGCTGTTAACTTATGTCCGAATCTCAGGCGTTTATTAATTGACTATTGTTTTAATGGACTCGGATAATTGTACATTTGTTAATCATCAATTCAATTAAATTTCAGCAACAGGTAATTTGTGGCTGTCCGGATATAGTTTGTTGCATTGAGATACTAATTATCAGTTAGTGAGACACGTTCAAGGAAAATAAGTGAAAACGTTTCCCGGCAACAATGTTACTTGTTTTGTTCGTGATATGGAGCTGTGTTGGTTTGATTTACATACACATGAAAAGAAGGCATTTAGTGAATTTAGGTGCCAAGTTACCGGGACCTAAACCTTTGCCTTTGGTTGGGAATGCTTTAATGTTTATTGGAAAACCAGAAAGTGAGTTTTTCTTATTTATTTTTATTCATTTGTAATTTCTTTTTGTATTCTAAGGAATGTTTCGAAAATTAGCAATCCTTAATAAAAAATATAAACGAATGTTGGCTCTCTGGATGGGCCCAAAGTTAACAGTGTTAATATTTAATGCGAAAGATGCAGAAGCAATTTTGAAAGCAAAAGGTACTTTCAAAGCTGAAGAATATCAATTTTTACGCCCTTGGCTTGGCGAAAGTATCTTAATCAGTGAAGGTAAATGCAACATTTTTTTCATTAACAACTTGATTTCATGTTACGAATGCTGGTTTGCTTCAATCACGCATTTAATAAAGCGTTAAAAGAAAAGTTTAGTGTGGTCACATTGTAGTGACTAATTATGCAAACGCTGAAGAGTCTTCAATCGCACCTCGCACCAAATCATGAAGTACCATTATAGTATTGAATAATCATGTATCGTGAGCAGACTGTTAGGTGAACAAAACACATTGCACAATTGTGTTGTTAAAAATACTTGTTGTTATTTCCTTTTGCATTTGCATAATTACCAAAGAGAATTTCGCGTCTTCCTCTGTAAGTAGTTGAAAAATACAGCAATAAATTCATAAAATTCCAATTAAACCATAAAAGTATGTTTTGACTATTATTTCGTGGTTCCTTTTAAAACATCACTGCTTTTTACTTTTTTTATGACGTTTGCATTCAATTAAAACAAAAATGGATTTCCATTCATTTAGTCATTTAGTGCATCTGGTGTAATTACCAGTTGGTTTCGGTGAATTAAAATTAACAGATAAGCTTTAATCATTATTAACCTGTTTTATTGCGTGCCGAATTTCCTTTAATTGCAAATATTTTCAGGTGCGAAGTTTAAACACAACAAAAAACTACTTACGCCTGCGTTTCACTCGCAGAATTTAAAGCAATACTTAAAGGTATTCAGCGAGTACAGTAATAAACTTATTGATGAACTTGAGGAGCAAGTTGATGAGCCGGAATTCGATATTCAGCCATACCTGAGTTTATCCACAATGTTTGCTTTACTAGGTAAAACCAAACGCGTAACTAATTTTTCGATTAATTTGGTAATTGATGTTTTAACGACATGTGCAGAAACGTCGATGGGAGTGAAGAAAGAAACTTTAGGTAATCAAACCATGGACTACATTCATGCCGTTGAAAGGCTGGGCCGGTTTGCGCATGAACGTTCGTACAAAGTGTGGCTGCGACCGGACATTGTTTTTAAATACTCGAAACTGAAACAGGAGCAAGATAAGTACCTGAACGTAGTGCATCCGTTGACCGAGAAGGTCATCAAGGAGCGTCGACGAGAATACTTGATGAACAAGGAGAATGTCAATGGAGAGCAAATCAAATGGCCAGTCTTTTTGGACAAATTCTTTGAAGCCACTGATGATGAAACCGGTGCGGGATTGACAGATGACGAAATCAAGGACGAAGTTATGACAATGCTCTTCGCTGTTAGTATACAATTAAGAAGTAGACACTTTAATTGAATAAACAAATAAATTTTCTAATGAATTGAGTCAAAATGTTTTGTTTTCAGGGTCATGATACAACATCAGTTGCAATTGGGTTTTGTTTATGTATGCTGGGCTTACATCAAAATGTACAAGTTAGTATAAATGGTTATTTTAATCAAGAATGAGTCAAAAACAATTTTTATTTCAAAAAGGAAAAGCTACAATCTGAATTAGATTATGTTTTTAATGGGATGAATGAAGAAGTTACCTATGAAGATTGCAAGAAATTGGTTTATATGGATCAGGTAATTCAGGAAACATGGCGTCTGTTTCCGCCTATACCGATGATTGGTAAGAAGCCACAGGAGGATATTCCGTTGGAGGATTGCACTTTGCCCAGCGGTTGCACGACCCTATTGTGTATCATGGCGATTCATCGTGACGAAACGCAGTATAAAAACGCCAACGATTTCAATCCTGATAACTTCCTACCTGAGAACATTAAGCAACGCAATCCGTACAGCTTTATTCCGTTCTCAGCCGGGCAACGGACGTGCGTAGGTATGGATGTCATTCTGACGTGTTTCTGTTTTCTGTGTGGATTTCTCCTGGGACTGTGGTTGTTTCAGGACAACGATACGCGCACCTTCTTATTAAGGTTACACTAACCTACATACTGCGAAGATACCAAGTGTCGTCGGAGCGTCCTATCTCCCAGTACAAACTGGCTGGGCAAACTTCTCTCAAGATGAAAAATGGTTTTATGATCAGTTTAAAGGATCGCCAACTTAATAACAACAAAATAACAAACGATTACTAATCCTTATAACAATATACAATTGTTTATTGTAGATTAGTTCAATATTAGCCCAATATTATTATTTTGGTTATTTAAATGCATTAAATACGTTTTTAATTCAGTTTGTTTTTATTTAGATTTTGAATTAGGAAACAATTAATAGACCTTAACCAATGCTAAATATATAAACAAATAATGCGTGTCTTCATGGTCAATAGCATTTTGGAGCATATTCTTAAACTTGGAGCATCATTGATAATCAAAAGTAAATGTGAAGCACCACTTCTGTAGTAAGTGTATTAATGTTTATAACTTAAATTTTATCGACGTCACTATCTACGTATTTATTTGGTGTTGTGTTTGCTGATTTTCTAATTAATTAGTTGTAAATATAAATAAATTTTATAATATACTGATCTCCGCAGCAGGCACTTCTGCGGCTCACTGTTTCTCATTACCCCCACCACTTTTTGCTGGTAGTACACTGATATAAAAGGGCGCGCTCAGTCATGCCTGAATCATCCAGTAGTGCTCGGTTCTCAACGTTTCTCGTTTTTCGGTCCACATTTTAATTTAACATTATTACTGCTCCCGAGATCTAAACCTTTTTCGTGTTTTAAAGTACCTATCTATCTTAAACCCGAGGGAAATATAATGATTGAATATTTGCGTTCCTTGAAGCTGAAATTTCATCACGCAATAAATTTTAGAGCAAACTGCGCGCGCTGCACGTTTGAGACATTTAATATCTACCATCTATATTCTTTGCTTTCTATATTTGAACTAAGCTACTACCAATGGGGCGCAAAAATGGCAATGTCGAAATTGCCTTCATTTTTTTGTTCCTCCGTGATACGCATTTTTAAAGTGCCGCCATTGATTTTTTTCCGCTAGCTGTATTAAAATAAAACATCAACGTTTGCTCCTACTATTTGTCAAATTTATATGCGAACTGGATACACAAAAGCAAAACACCAAACATATCTGCTGGGAGAACAGTAGGAGAATATTTGATTTGCATGTGGAGGCAATACCGATATATTTTCAAATATAGAAGAATACACACCACGTTAAACTTGGCTTATTTATTGTTTTATTTTTCAAAGCGATATATCTAGATATAGATATACATTTATTTATGAAACAGGAATGCAAATTTTATCTTATACAGAACTTTCGTAAATAACAATTTGTACTATCGGCGGTTTCTGTCGCTGATTTCCTTCGGTTATATCTCTTATAACGGCTTCCATCGCTTCTTCCCAGTCGCCATTCGGTTGCAATTTACCCGTCTTACTTTTTTGTGATGCGTTAAACTTCCTCGGCATGGTGACCTAATGCATAACGATAATTTAGGAAATAAAAACAAACTGTCTCATTATTATACAGTTTGTTTCGAATAAATAAACTTTCGACAACAGTTTTATTAGAAAAGTTTGAATCGGTGTTATTTGTAACACACCTCGTGTGTTTTTATATCAAATACGTACAACGGTCAAAACTTTCCGCAAGTCTTGCTGGAAAGCGGAGACATCTAATCCGGGGCGATTTTCGGCCAGCTTTCGCAGATTGTCCGCCAACGGTCCTGATAACGCCTGCAATTGCCGCCAGGATTGCGCGTACTGACGCCGCACGAGCTCGATGATAGTCGTTGTCAGCGCTAATCCGATAAGGATATACATGGTGGCGAACAGCATGTAAGTGGGTTTTTCTATTAAAACACACAAAAACTTATACATAACAAACTTGTATTCACGATAAATTAGTCACATATACTGTTTTCTCATTCCAAAAGACCAAAATACGAATGCGTGTTTATACAATCGCCATTTTTCTTTTTAATGCGTTTCTGCAAGCTGAAACTGAAACTCGACGCGTGAAAATTAATCAAGCAGACTGCGTCCCCAAGTGGACGAAAACGATCGGAAACGAAAAGCGGACGCACGCATAAACACACACACACAACTCGATAAAGCAAATGCACTCCATGCGGAAACTTACATTTATCCCAAACTTTATTTTGTTTTATGGTCATTAGTTTCACCTTACAGCTATACGAGTTTGTGTTGTTTGTAAATCTATTTCAATTTCGGGTCAACCGTAAAGCGATAAAACACCATCAATTCTAATTCGTTGAATACTACCAAAATAAATTTCAACATACTGAAAAAACGATTTTATTTACCCGGGACTAGATCGCCAAATCCAATGGTGGTCATTGTGACGAAACAGAAGTAGAAACCATCGAAGAAAGTCCAGCCGTCCTCCCAGATGACGAATAATCCGGCGCCGAGAGCCAAATAAACGAACAGAAAACCGACTGCCGACAGGGCATATAATGAAGTCCTTCGTGCGCCCGAAGCATTCTTGCCCCTGCACATAGAAAATTCAGTAAATTTCAACAGAACGTAATTTTTTCGCCGGCGTTAGCATTAGATGACTTCTCGAATGCGTCAGCTCACGCTGCTTTCGACTTAATAATGCACGAGTAACTTTACTCGTAACCTTGGTACGAAGGGGCAATACGAAATTTTATTAAACCGTTACGCCACGAAAGGCCCACTCACTTTCTAGCAAGGGAAACAGTTACCGTCAGCAGACAGGCGTAATTCTTTGTAGCTTTCAAAGTTTGTCTTGCCGAACAAGGTCATTGGGGTTAAGGTTTTTGAGAAAAAGTACGCTCGATAAATCATACAAAACCTGCAAAACTTCGGGGGCGGCGGCAGGTGATCCATAAGCGTCGATACAGTTGTGGCGAATAACCGACCGAAATCCGCTATCACCGTGAGGGTTAAGGGTATGCCAATCAGAGCGTAGACGATGCAGAACGCACGCCCTTTTATTGTTACCGGAACTATGTCACCATAGCCTGTAACAACGATGCATTATGCTTTTTAAAATGCAATTATACAAATAAATTAAATTGGCAAACATTAATCGGAATATAAATGCATTATCTGTTTTATAAATAGCATCATTGTGTTATTTGATATGTTTTTAAAGGGTTCGTGGAATTAATAAAACAGACCGAGATGGAGAGTGTACGATATGCGTGTTCAGAGAACAAAAAAAAAATGGATAAGCAAATATTTGCATGCGTGATGATCAATGAACGTTGTCATTCGATTTAAGTGGTTTGTTAATTATATTTTAGCACATTTGCATGTCAGAACGCTTTCGGTTAGATTTACGATCAAAAGTACAATCACAGCATATTTTCGCGTTGAATTAACAAGGAAAAAGCCTGAAATATTGGCACTCCTAATGAATTATTCATATTCACGAAATTTGAAAACATAAAAAGGCAAACGATTTAATAAACGGCGTTCAAATCAGTTGAATTTAATAAAAATTTCCTGTGGCAACATTTTATTTTTCATTATTATTTATGGCGTGATTTATATATACTTTAGTTCAGTAATAACGAGTTCATATACTGACGTCTATGAAGAATATATTAGGGATAAATTATTTGCGCTCACGAACTAGAAAATACAACAATATGAGAAAATGTGGTTCGTTAATATAAAAACTCCCTGCTTCTAACGCGTAGTGCGATAAATAAAATATCTGTCGCTCGTTATAGCAAATCCCTACAGGCGTAGATACAAGCGGTGACACTGCCACCATCATATTTTCGCCCGAAAATACCCGCCTATTTTTTTAGTTTTTCCTGTCGAAATGACTTCCTTGCCTTTTAACACGATATTTTATTTTGACACTCTATCTCACAGGGCAATTTGTTTATCATCACGTGAAAATATAAACTGAACACAATACAACACAAAATGTATCTTTTGTAAAACAACCCCGCTTTTAATATTTAATAGAGTGGCAATTTCATTAGTAGGTACTTCGTGATATCAATGTATAACAAACACAATGCGTATTCATGATTCAAATGGCGATTAATATGGAGGAGGAGAATTAAAACAACTGCAGTATGAGCAGTTAATTTTATTAGCTTCCGCATAAGCAATTCTAAATTACGTTTATCGTGAGTAAAACCATTAACCTAGATTTTTCCGCCGAGTAACACTTTTATTATTTTAATAACGCAGTCACACAACTTCGTTTACGCGTGATATATAAAATAAACACTTAGTTGTTTCATGAAATATAAAAAAAATTAATGAAAAATGCAACTTACTAACACAAGTTTTTCTACTCGCTGTAAGTGGGTGGCTTCTATGCCTTCGTGTTTCGTGAAAATAAAGTGTAAAATGTTGGCAGTAAGCGCATACTCGATAAATTTCGTATCAAATGATCGCGTTGCGTTTCTGCGCTTTCCATGCAGAAACGCATTCGAGGCTTGCATATTTATTAAAGTTAAAGAGAATCTGATGAGTGAACACGAATAGGAATAAAGAAGTATATAGAGGCAAACAGAAGCTTTCGCACCACGCAATATTTGAGAATGCGCCAATGTGTTTTTGCAGACAGACAAAAGAATCGAAAAAGAAATTGGAGTGCCCCCGTCGTTTCTACTTCCGTTTGGCAGGCGGAAAATCTAAGTATACCACATCGTGCGATGCAAGTTCTTCAAAACGCAATTGCAATTTTCGTGAAAAAGCAAATCTGTGTTGTTGGATTTATGTAAAATATGTTTGACTTTAATTTTGTTGCAATTTCTAGAAATAGATAAAAATATACACGAGTTCTTCTCTAAGTAGAAAATGTGATTACAGTTTGATTACAATGATCAAACTTTTAGCAGTTTCCAAAGATTTATTCAAACCGAGTTTCTAAAGTTATTCTGAGATAAAGTGGAAATTTATATAGCGCAAGGTCAAGAATAAGTTAAATTTTCAGTGAATATATTGCATAATTTAAAATTATATTAACCCTTTTACTAACATATACCTTCAATTAAATTTAACAGCGCGGTGTTCGGGCCCATCGTGCAAATGACTTCATCTGCCAAAATAATAATGGCTACAAGCTCTTGAAATGTACAGTAATGAACACCATTAAGTATTTAATTAATTTATTCTAGTATTATTATCATGCTTTAAATGCGCTAGGTGCGCCATATCAACGGGATATGAATTTAATGGCAAACCATGCTGTCTTTGGTGATACAGTTTATCACTCTTGCTTTCTAATTAGGGGCCGTGACTAAACCCATTTAACGCTATCAGAATAAAACCTAACACGTATATCGATTAGTCTTTTTACCGCACTTCCCGTCTGCCGAAATATATGCGCGTGTTTGCCCATTCAGACAGAAGTAGCAAAACGGTGGGTTTGAGATAGTTACGCAGATAACACACACACAAAAAATTGTAACAAATGGTTTGAGTAAACGTGTGCCACCCTAGACATATGCTAAGAATAGAATGCGGATATTGAAGCATGTTAACTTTGGATGTAGGTAAGTACAATTGGGGTGACTTGAGAATTTCCAGGTGGTACAAGCAACACAAAACGGTTCTGACAATCTCCGCTATATTATCATAACAAATATTAGCATGTAATAAACATACGTTAATTTCAGGCCATAATAGAAACCAACACATAGCAAATACTAAAAATAATAAATCTTCAATTTTTGATCAACACTGATTTTTAAAATTTTTAGCTTCAGTGTAAAAACTTTCTCATATTTTTATCTTAGAAAACGCGTGTAATATTCCTGCAAAGATGTAGTTTTGTTAATTACACAAGCCAACATTAAAGGAAACTGTGGGCTGGTATTATTCTAAGAGCTTGCATATTAAAACCTCTCATCATGCACACCGCAGTTATGAAACATTTCAACGCTCTGGAATTCTGGAATTACTCTCGACTATGCAAAGTGATTTATGCGATGTTAACTAAAATACAATACCGTTTTAATTAATTATAGTATTCACTGCGTGTGTGTAAATACGTTTAGACTTGTTAAATGGGAATATTAAATATCTAAAAATATTTATATAAATGTGGAATTTATTTCAAACTATGACGCCGATAATTATTTATGACTGCGTAAGATTATGTCGACATATTTATAAAGTCCGAACTATTTATACTCTGACTGCGTCATCACTCCAGGGATTTAATTTTATATTAAAATATGCTTTACGGATTAAATTTGCTGCAAAAGTTACCAAAATTCTATCTACTTTAATGAGCAACAACATTACTGATTCCATTTAGTTACAAATTATACTTGCCTATTGTAGTAATGACAGTGGACGAAAAGAAAACTGATTTGAGTATTGTCCACCTCTCTAATTGTTCCATGGAGTCTCTATAGTTGGTTAATCCGCGTTTAACAGCATTCTGCAAAACATTTTCATACTTGTTCAAAGCTGATTCTAATTCCATTTCTTGAATTTCGGAATTGTCAAATTGCTGCATTGCAGAATTGTTTTTAATCCATTGAACAAAACGCGCCCTTTGTGTATGGACTGTCTCGTTTAGCATTGTCAGGCGTTCGACTTCAGCTGGATACTCCAATTTCCTGAACACCTGAAAGATGAAACGTACAAAAAAAGATTAAAATTAGCTTCCGTGCTTTTCATTTACGATAAGCCTGCTTTTTTTTTCTAAAAATAAAATAAATCTTGTTCTCTTGTATGCAAGTTGCTAAAATTTTCCGCATAATAACATAATAGCTTGTAGTATCGACAAAAGCACGCAAGAGCTGTACAACGCTTAAATCTACTTCCTATTTAATCCTAATTGCAAACATATTCCACTATATCACGCCTTAAATATATGTGATTTGAACACGCGCCGAGTTACATACTTCATCGATTTTTGCCAAATGTAGGTATATGTTTTATCGCAAAACATAAGTGGAATGAATTGCTATAATTATTTAGGAGCCTATTATAACTGCACATAAAATAACAGGGGCGACTCTTTATTGCCTTTACTGAGAATAAAAAACAACAGTCGGCTTTATTTGCATATTTCGCCGAACAAAAGTATATATTTAAATAGGCTAATGGAGAAAACTAATTTTTATTTAATTAATAATTGGAGTTTGATAATAATCAAAGTAAATAAAAATATTATAATATATGAACAGTATTAGAACATTTCATGATCGTAAATTTCGGAAACGTTAAGATAATGGATTTCCAGTCTTTAAGTCTTATTTTGATGGAATGCAAAAGTTCTACAAGAGCTAATGGAAAACGGTCAATCATTGTCTAAATCTGGCGCGGCAAATGTAAAAATGCATTCGAGTGATATCTCACATTTATGTAGATTTTATACATGAACCAAAATCGGATAATACCCAAATGTATTACAAAGAAATAAAATGCTTGCAATATTTTTTGTTGAGGGCTAAATTTTTACTCGTCCTTGACATTTTCAGATAGAATAGAACAATTAAAAAGCAATGATTAATTTTAGTTTAATTTAGAATTAAATTAAATTGTATCATTTCTTTTGTTTCCTAAATGCTAAATCGAACTATTGAGTCTTGAACATATTTTAAAAGTTATCTCTCACTTAAATATATTCTTCAGGAAATAAAAAGAAAACGGAACACTCAAGTTGAAACTTAACCATTAGAAAAAATGGGCAATAAAAACTCGAGGGTTGGATTTAAAGTCGCCTGAAAGAGTATTACCTTAAGTTATTACTTTTCTATACAATCTCAGTGGTCATTTGTTTTTCGTTATAGGATTTGCCATTTTCTTTCTCATTGTAATATACTATTGTAATATAACACTGTAGTTAATATGTGTTGAATAAATTATGCAAAAACATGTTCCAAAGCTTTTATCATCAGCTAATGTAAGTCGGTAATAAAGACCTTAATTTCCTTTCGGGATCATCAAACCTCCCCCTGGCCGAAAATATCAAATAGGCTTATTTGATACGAAAAATGTTAGGATATAATACTCACTAATCCACCACACACTGTGTAGGTCATTAGTGCTATGAAAAGCGACACATGTTGTAATGCCGCCTTCAGTTTTAAATGTTGCCACCAATTCTTCAACCGATGCGGAAAATCGTCGGTCGGTGTCAAATAAACTGTTGTCTCCATCTCGAACACGTTGCTATAGTTCACTATCGCACTAATGTATAGAAATTGATCACTTTACTGGAAGCCGCGTTTTGTGGAAGAGGTTGTTTTGCGGCATCAATTAATCGCCGTCAGCGTGGCGAGCAGATAAATTACAGTCTTCGCGTTTTACAGCTTCCCCTTCAAACATAATTGCAATTTTATGCGCTCGTGGCAAACATCGACAACACTTGCACTTGACAGCATTAAGTTAATATTTTTTATATTAAAATGGCTCAAGTACGCATAACTGCTGGGAATTTGTTTAGATTAGCCCGAAATTGGAACAATTTTGTTTACATGTTGTCGCTTTTGAGTCTCTCTTACACGTCGAAACCTTGCGAAGAGCGCCGCGTAGGCGATGCTTGTGTAAATAGCACACTGAGCGGACCGCCGACGCGGCGTCCAGACGCTCGGCACCGCGACGCTCTACTAGCTTGTGTCGAAAAAGCGTGCGCGCTTTTATGCGGGTGTAACTTGCGCTATCGTTGGTTCAGATGTTGCGGGACGGTTAGATATCTATAGATATACACGTTGCGGTGATATGCTTTACCCGGTGGACACACTTTACGACTTTTTTTGTTCCTGTATGGAAGGGTACACTTGTTTCATTTTTAGCAATTTGCCACTTTTATTATGGTTTCAATTTTTTCTCTTTGAATTCTTAAAGTTTTTTAAATTGTTTAGAAGATAATTTTATTACAGAATGTAAGTGCATAATAAATTTAAACAACAAACAAATAAAGGGTAAAAGTCATTTGATTCTTTTCTGCAAAATAATTTAGTATTCTCATTAATTCAGGACTTATTTTATGAACGTTTATTATATAATGTTTCAAATACATTTTTTTAAATGTATCCATACTCTTTCATAAATAGTCAGTAATATTTCTTTCTTTGTGTACACAGCATTAAGTAAAGTAAAACGTTCAAAGTTACTTTGTAAACGCTTGTAGTACTGTCTTTTAATTACAAAAGTAAATTTAAGCGGCATCTCTCAGCTTGTTATCAAACTATAACTTTATATTCTCAATTCTGGAAATTACGTATAGGAAACATTGTATTTACTTGTAAAGGGGTAGTTTTAGACTCTTTGTGGTCACAAAATGATTGCTACGAATAGTTTTTTCTGTAAATATTTACATCTTGCGCCACCCATTAAGTTCACCCATTAAGCCTTGAAATTACTGTCAAAAATCGCTATTTTATTCCCTATTTATTATATTTGTTGCATGTTACTATTATCTTAGTTTAAAAAAAATCAATTTGATTATTATTCTAATAGTTTATATTCTTCTCTCATATGTGTTGTTATTCGTGCTTAGATTTGGGTAAAGTCCAGGTTTAAATTACCACTCTTCACGCCTGCGCATTTGCCTACAGTGCAGCATCAACATATGGCTGCTCATGTCAGCGCAGCGCGACATGGCTTAGCGTGCGGCACGGCACTTATAACCTTACAGTTTCCAATAGTAGACAAGTGAATTTCGAAGATTTAAAATAGGAAAGTTCAAATGCAGAAACAACAACATTTTAGGCAAAGTAGCTAATTCTGTTTTTCTGTTTACCAGGAACTCTCTCGTTTGTATAACGTTAAAGACAGTAACATCTGTCTGTTTATTACTGGTTGAAGTATGGTGGCATTATTTGGACTTCAGCAAAGACTGGAAAAGAATATCAAGAAGGTTTCAAGATTGAGGTGGCGGTGGAAATTGTCTTTGAAAAAGCCACTGTAAGTACTACTTAATTGACAAATCTTAGTGTCTTATTAAATTTATTCGAAAATTTCCGTGTTTTTGAGGACTGCTTTTTGCTTTTAAAAGTTTTACACCTAAGGCTGACATTTTAGGAGAATCATTCCTGCATCACATTGTAAATATTAAATATTTTTATCATTATTTTTGATATGATTATAATTTGTATGATTAGCACATGGGAAACCTTTAGCTTTAGCTTTAGGTGTCAAACGGGCGAACTAAATGTCCTAGGACAACGATTTTTTTTTATCTGATTGTAAATATTGAATTTGTATATCATTTACATTTATAATTTGTATGATTAGCACACCGAAAACCTGCAAAAAGATAATTTTTGTGCTTCGATGTACTAATTTTCGGTTGTTTTAGGTGTCTAGCGGGCGAACGGAATGTCCTAGCACAACGATTCTTTCGTCAGATTGTAAGTATTGAATTTATTTATCATTTTCATAAATAATTTGTGTGATTAGCACACAGGAAACCTGTGAAAATGTCATTTTTGTGCTTCGATATGCTAATTTTCTTCTGTTTTAGGTGTCTGGCGGGCGAACGGAATGTCCTAGGACAACGATTCTTTCGTCCGATTGTAAGTTTTGAATATGTTTAGCATTTTCATAAATAATTTGTGTGATTAGCACAAAGAAAACCTGTGAAAATGTCATTTTTGTGTTTCGATATGCTAATTTTCGGTTGTTTTAGGTGTCTAGCGGGCGAACGAAATGTCCTAGGACAACGATTCTTTCGTCAGATTGTAAGTATTGAATTTGTTTATCATTTTCATAAATAATTTGTGTGATTAGCACACAGGAAACCTGTGAAAATGTCATTTTTGTGCTTCGATATGCTTATTTTCGGTTGTTTTAGGTGTCTAGCGGGCGAACGGAATGTCCTAGGACAACGATTATTTTATTAGATTGTAAGTATTGAATTTGTTTATCATTTTCATAATTAATTTGTGTGATTCGCACTCGGGAAACCAGCAAAAAGATAATTTTTGTGCTTCAAAGTACTGATTTTTGGTAGTTTTAGTCGTCTAGCGGGCGACCTAAATGTCCTAGGACAACGATTTTTTCATCAGATTGTAAGTATTGAATTTGTTTTTAATTTTCGTAAATAATTTTCGTTAATCTAAAGTGAATCAAATGTTAAATATTTGCAGACGTGATGCAGATTTCTGTGATTTCTAAGTTTCAAAGCTTGATGATGCCGGCTATCTCTAATGTTTTGTTCCGTCACACCCAGATTGCGCTAGTGTCAGCTATCTATTTTGTTTTGTTCCCCTACTGTCAGATGACGCTTCCATCGATTTGGTTTAAATTCATACTTAATTTTTGTGGTTGTTTTTTTGTGCCCTGAGTTGCCGTGCGTACGTCACTTTTATGTAATAATAACTTTATTTAATAACTTGCAACAGATTTGTTGTCGCATTTCTGTCGTATGCATATAGTAAAATGCCTTTCCATCTGCGGGTCGATTATCAATCTGTCTTGCTTAGTTCGGCTTAGTCGGTTGAGCGCTGTTGCGAGTGCGCACGTGTTTTGTTCATTAATCGAGCGTGGTGACATTTTCTCGCTATTCTTGATATTTTGTAACATTACTTAAATCGATTGACGATCAGGGACATTTAGTAGTAACAGCCCACTGCAGCGGACAACGAATGATTTGAATAATTCTATGCGGATCGCGCGTGGTGTCCGTCGGATATGTTCCGGTGACTATGAATACTTACTGGAGTTAAATGAAGTTAAATTTACGTGTTTGACGTGAATATCTGCGTGGAATAGAAAAGAAGTGTGTATCATTAATTATACATACAATTTGCGGAAACGTGTTTGTGCGCCTTAGTCCTTTATTGATATAAGAACAAAGGAGTAAGTAACATCAAATAGAATTAATTTTTATTTAACTTTTTAAATCTTACACCATGTTACTGCTTTATAATAATTGAAAATGAATCAGTCAATAAAGATTTAATTTTACATTCCTGTTTACATGTGTCCCTAGTGTTCTGTTGGTCGTTTTCAGGATTAGTATTAAGTCAAGTTGAACTTAGTACAGTGCGTGGAACGTGTGCAACATAGCTAAGGCTTGTGATATTGTTTCTAAAAAGTTGATTAAAGTAAAAGCATAAATAAAAGAATCAAATATAAATGATAAAAACACTCGGTGGTCGAGTGGAGACGTGCACCTGCTGGCATGCTGGCAGACACGGATCGAATCTCAGGCATAGGAGGCATTTTTCTCAAACATAAAAATATCAGGTGTAATTTGGGTTGCATACATGAATTGCAACGAAATATAAGAGAAATTGAAATTCAAGTGAAGGCAATAAGAGAAGTAAGAAAGTAAGTGGAGAAATAGGAGAAGTAGAAGAAGGAATAGTAGAGAAGAGTAGAAAAGAGAACAGAGAGTGGAGAAAAGAGGGAGGAGATAGAAGAATGAGCAACAGGAGCGGATCAGATTTTTAAATTTTTTGGCGCGTGCCCACTGCTTCGATCCGTCCATTGCTCCCGGCCCAACCTACAGCTACGATATCTCTGCGCTTCATCCCCAGGATTCTTAGGCATATCAACAATTTTTATGGTGGGGGATCACCCCCAGAGAGAGGGAACTCCTTATAAGGACAATCCTTATAAGGTCTTGTTCAAATATTTCTAAGTTTTAAGTCGCCTCAAGAGAGGTGACACTAAAAAATATTCTTACAAGTTCTGGCCTGTAGCTGAAATGAAAGAAGGAGCACACAAATCACCCAGGATACCTTAACAATTTTTATAGTGGGGATCATCCCCTGAGAGAGGGAACTCTCTTAGAGACCTGTTCCTGAAATGATAGAAGGTGTACACAAATCAAAGAAGTCAATATATCTTACTATTTATTTATTAGCAATAGAATACAAGTTTATATTTTACAAGTTAACAGAATACGTGCCGCCATATTGAAGCAGGATTTACGACCTGCATAGCCGCGCACATGCCAGCAAGTACTACTTCATAAAGTTCTGCCGGAATAATGAAATTAGTAAATAGCCAATTTTCTAGGTGATTGGAAACAAATATACAGGATGTTACAAAAGGAAAATTTAAATTTAATTTAAATGCAAACAAAAAACTCTCAACACTACAAACGCCGCTCACTCGAAAGCAAAGTGGGCCCCCTGAAATTCAGGAGGCTTAAAAAATTGAGGGGCAAAGTTTTGTTTTATTTCAACAAGAAATTATTAATTTAATGATGCAATCGTGATCACCGTTTACGTGATTATCGAAAACATGACCGAACCGACGGCCGACGACAAAGTAAGCGTGGTCGACCACATGAATATTGTCATTTTAATCATCCTCAGATAATTTGAAAACCGTGCTTGTAATAATTAAATGAAGCATGTTATTTTCGGAAACGCAACTAAGAAGAATTCTGATAAAAATGCCACGACGTGTTTGTAATCAACAAAATTAATATCCGTCAAATTAAATAATCAATTTAAGTTAAACCCCCTTAACTTTCCGCGATAAATTTTAATTATCCACCAACCTGTGCATTGATGAGGAGATTTTCTATCCTGTAATATATTCTATCTATTGAAAACTCGCGCAGGGATTAACGGACACTTATTTCTCACTTAAGAAGACTCTAACCGCCATAAATCATTAAACAAAACAGGCACACATTCCTATTGCGAATATTTTGACGATGGCCGAAAGAATACACAACTATTAATACAATTAAAACCTCAAAACGCATGGCGATTAGAGAGACACGTTTGCGGACCACGCGGTGAAACGACTGCCGTGTACACGACGCGTAGCAAGGCAGGTACACAGCGCAAACACGCGTCAGTCGAACAAAAAAAGTTGTTCATACACAAATGTAGTAAATAAACACGTAGTTGAGAAGACGAAACTAAAATTCTCAATATTGAAATAGCACATATACACGGAATCTACTTTTACTTTCAATATTTCTCGGCTTAAGAAAAGAATATATTGACTTTGGGATGTAATAAGATTGACAAAAAGAGGAATTTAATTTACTATTACAAATAAATAACTTATTGTCTTAGTAAAAGTTTACTGTGTACCTTAGATAATTAAGTAATTGGTGTTCATAATATCGCGCTTAAATTAAATATTCACTTAAATGGGCAAAGGGAGGTGCTGCGTCATGTTTTTTTGAGTATTTTTGGTAACGAATATCATTTAAACTAAAAACGTTAGCGAGCAACGGATTGGAGATTATGAAACTTTGGAAAATTCTCTGTCAGATAAAAGTATTAAATAATTAAATTTCTTGGGATAAAACGTCCAAAAATAATTTATATTTTATCAATACGACTCACTTCTACCGCTTCGCTTGTACGGTGCCCCGAATCGAGTCACTTCTACCGCTACCTTCGTACGGTACCCTGAACACGAGTCAGGAATTAGTAAGTAAGTAAGAAAACATAAAAATAGAACATTTCACAAATTGTATTTTCTTTGGATATAAAGGAAAAGTGATGGGTTGGATATTACAAAAATAAAGCAAAGAGCAGAATTTTTAAATCATGTAAAACAACCAGCGACCAGCCCGGAAAGTCGCCAGAGGATCAAAAACGTAGCCAGTGCCGGTTTGAGCACTACCAGCGCCCTGGGCGTCGCCCAGCCGCGCCATGCCCTAACGCCGGTACTGCGCAACGAGTACAAGTGCGTATATACACAACTATCCATATAACTCGCGTTACGGAATTTTCTAGCAAAAAGTTTTGATACGGGAGATACAGAATTAAATTCTGCATCTATGAAAATTATTCCGAACTGACAGTAAGACCGCGTTCGCGTGTTATAATAAAAAAACTACAATTCCTAGCGCAACGAGTACAAGTGTGTGTACCCACACCTATCAATATAACTCGCGTTACGAAACTTTCTAGCAATACCTTTTGATACAGGGAGATACAAAATTAAATTCCGCATCTAAGAAAATTATTCCGAACTTACAGTAAAACCGCGTTCGCGTGTTATAATAAAAAAACTATAATTCCTAGCGCAACGAGTACAAAGGCGTATACACACAACTATCAATAAAACTCGCGTTATGGAATTTTCTCGCGATAAATTTCGATATAGGGAGATACAGAATTAAATTCCGCATCTACAAAAATTATTCCGAATTTACAGTAAGATCGTGTTCGCGTGTTATAATAAAAAAAACTACAATTCCCAGCGCTACGAGTACAAGCGTGTATACACACAACTATCAATATAACTCGCGTTACGGAATTTGCTAGCATCACATTTCGATACAGGGAGATACTGAATTAAATTCCGCATCTAAGAAAATCATTCCGTTCTTACAGTAAGACCGCATTCACGTGTTATAATAAAAAAAACTACAATTCCTAGCGCAGGAGTACAAATGCGTTTACACACAACTATCAATATAACTCGCGTTACGGAATTTTCTCGCAATAAATTTCGATACAGGGAGATACAGAATTTAATTCCGCATCTAACAAAATTATTCCGAATTTACAGAAAGGCCGTGTTCGCGTGTTATAATAAAAAAACTACAATTCCCAGCGCTACGAGTAGGTACAAGCGTGTATACCCACAACTGTCAATATAACCCCCGTTACGGAATTTCTAGCAATAAATTTTGATACAGGGAGATACAAAATTAAATTTCGCATCAAAGAAAATTATTCCGAACTTACAGTAAGACCGCGTTGATGGTTTTTGAAGAAAATAAATATACAAGGTGTTACAAAAACAAAATTTTCCTAAGAAAGTATCTAGTTCAAGAAGGAAAACACTCGGAAACAACAAAATTATAATATAAATATCACCACATTTATAAAGAAAATTCATCGTTCCAGAAAGAACACACCCGGAAACAACAAATTTAGTCAGTCTTCCATTCAAGGGCAAGGAAAACTAATTGATAGAGTGATACAAAAAGAAAATTGATACTTGTTTCACCTTGGATATCAAAACATTAAAAGTGATAGATATATAAAAACACTAATATGAATTTTATTGGGATATTGAAATTTCCTTTGCGACGCGCTTTTCAGATCACCACAAACACAGCAAAATGTGCCGGTTGACAGCATCTCATACACATGCGTATAAATGAATTTGTAAAAGACTATTTACTTTTACAAATATATTAGTTTCAATAATTGACTGTTAATTTACTAAAACACGTCAACGCGGCTGATTAATTATGAAACCTAAAGAAAATGAGTGCAAGGAAAAATACGGGCAATTAAATCGAAGCAAATATCACATTCTGCAGCGAGAACGAAAATGTATCCGACGGCGCGCGTCAGTTTTGAGACATTATGATTTAGGATTTAAGACAAAAATGTAATTATGATGTAATAATGCTTATAAACTTACTAGTGCATCGAACAATCACAAAAAGTACCGAAACAGAAAAAACACGTGTGTAAGAACTTGCATTATATTTCACACTTATTAAGTCTGCTCCGTCGTATAACGAACTTGAATGACAAACAATATTCGCGTGAAATCTTGTCGTGGACGGACGTTAATTACACTTACACGGATTAATTAATAGGATACCTATTTCTTAGACGAATGGTCATCATCGAAATAATCCAATAGCCGTCGGACCACTAATGCACCGATAAACATACCAGTTTTTTAATAATTTCACGCGTAACTCATCGGTTGCAAAATATTGTAGACGTCAATTGTCGTTAACTATCGATATTTCTGCTGATATTGATTGATAAAATGTAATACAATTAAATTAATCGAAATGAATACAAGCAAGATGACACGCCGCGTGCAAGTAAGAACAGACTGAAACGTTCGAGCGTTCGTAGCACGACCGCAGCATATAACCGGTTCAAAGCGATAAAAAAAGTTGATTAAACACTGACACCGATAAGCGTGGGGAGTTTAAACGAAGCATTCTGATATGGATGTGTAACACAATTTATATAATGTTGAAAATAAACATTGAATAACAACATTGTTAATTAGGCACGAAGGCACTTCTCTCATGATTTCAGGAGGGCGGCAATAGTCAAAAGTCAAAAGAATTCCGGAGATATGACCTGATTTCCACAACAAAACTTTAAAAAATGGAACAATTGCGGAATTTGTATAGTTCGGCCGTTACTCGACTAAAAATATTGTAACAAAATAATTCGCTCTCGTCTTTTATTAGAAGAGAATATAAACTTGAAGCAAAGTTTAATTATTTATTATTCATCTAATTTGAGGAAGCAATGCATTTACCAATATCAGCTTCGTATTTATTTAACATTTTTTCAGCAAAATTATGACGATCAGTAGCCGGCATCATTAAACTATCAAAATTTGCATTAAGAGCAGTTCTAAACTTTTCTCGAGTACCACCGATATATCCTTGAATAGTATTTACTTTTCCAATATATCCTAAACAAGCAACTGGGCATTTTTGGTACACTTTCTTAGCGTTGGCGGCATTTTCATCCATCTCTTTTAAAACTTCAGACACTTCCTTGCCAGTTTTCAGCATTGCCACAACATCGGTTTTCTTTATATCCTCCAAATTGTTGGTAATAATCTGGTAGTTGTCGTTAATAGTACCTGAAATATCCCTACAAGCTTTTGGTGCTTTGTTCAATTCCTTCTGAATCTGCTTCATGCGTTTATCCAATTGGTTTCTATTGGTCTCCAGATATTTCTGGAAATCATCCGACTTAATCTTGAAGCTTTCTTCAGCGCGGTCCTTTTCAGTTGCGGCATAACTAGATAGCTGTGATAAAGTCACTCTCAAATTTATGTCCACATTACCGTTTGGAATTTGTGCTGTAACAGTGCAAACAGCAAATAGCAACAATGAAAATGCAAACATGTTATGAAGCAATGTGTTGTACAGTAATCACTGAAAAAACTTTTTCGGTCTTTTATATTGAACATTTTGGCATATTGGTAATTAATGCATTCTCATTAGTCATTATGACTAATAACTAGCATTTTACATGGCATGCATAACTTTTCTACTTAAATCCATCATCAATATAAGAAAATTAATGTTAAACGCAAGAAAATGTGACAGATAAATATCGTTATAAATTCCAAGTGAATGTGATGTAATAAATGCCGTAACGGAATAATGATTGAACAAATTCGGGGCTTAGAAGTACATTAAAAATATATGGTAATTAATTTTATTACGGAATGTTTTACCATAAAAAAGAAGTTCACAGATACAAATACACAATTCCACTAATACAATAAATAAATATTATGCTAGATAAATATCATCACTTAATAAAACAATTGATAAAAAATATAGCACTGGAATGACTAAAAAAAGGTTCAAAATATTGTTCATCCGTTCCGTTTCCTTGTGCCAAATAAGCGAAGATTGAGCACGGGTTGTTTTGCGATATTTGGCACCATCATACAAATCTATATGGCCATGTATGACTCGTAGTAAATGTAAATGCTTCAAAAAATTAATCATTTGGTATCTAGTTTTCGACTGCGAGTTGTTTGTTATACATATCAAGCTTGAATAGTAAAAAGAAGGACTAGACGCGTCAATATAAAAAACGTCGAGTGTATAAATCGAAAATAAATTTATATACTCTAAAGAGCTGTATAAATCCTTAAAATGAGTAGCATTGTTATAATGTCAATTCGGTTCTAGCAAACCAAACTTGAGAATTGTTTTAAAATGCCATAGAAAGGTGTAAAAATACCTTTGCGCCGTCATAACGTGACGAGGAGAAATGCACAGAATTGAAATTAAATGTTAGTTGGAAATACAAATTAATGCAAGTTGTTACCGACTTTAATCGTCCCATTCTTTCTCATCTACACCTTCCATTTCATCTTGCTCCAACTTCATATTCACTTCCATTCGATTACTAACCGACTTTGATATCTTGGATAACCAAAAAATAAAATAAATAAAGCAAAACAAATAAGTGCTCTTGATAATTATACCTCATTTTGTTTAGATTTCGCTGATCCATAAATATCGGCGTTAATTCCGAATTTATTAGAGTGAGATCCGCCAATAAATGGTTGCGACGCGGATTTATTAATCGTTCTCTCAACTGTCGGTTGTCCTTGACAATCAGACACTAAAATGGAAACAAATTATTAATCACAAATTTAAGAAACAAATTTAATTATGTCGTACAATTCTCCATCCCTTCAGGCTTTAGACTTGTTCTTGGAACAGGTTTGTCTTTCCCAGCAAACCATTCACTGCTGCTTAAAGTTGGAGTCCATGTCACACTGGTGGGTGGAAATAAATCATCTTGGAATAAGTCGGTTTTAATTCTGGGTACAGTAAACGACAACGGTTCTATGGCGTTGTTGGTGAGCCGTAAAGCTTTCGCAAACTCGACAGTTTGTACATCACAAACGTTCTTGGGAAGGAATGACAAACCTTGATGAAGAGTATTGCATCTGTGATGGCTCAGTGGGCAGATATAAGGAGACTCTTCTGTTACTTCAAATGCATAAATAGTGGTATCGCCCTTTCCGGTCAAAAACAAAGTAGAACTATCCTCGTCATAAAATGGAATCAAAATTGCGGGAGATACATCCAGGCCAATTGTATTAAGCGGACTATTCAAATCACTCGATTTGAAGACCATGATTTGCCTTTCAGACACTTTATCGAATCCCATCACAACAATAAAGTTACCATCTAGTGCCCAGACAAGTCTAGCTCCGCGGTTACCAACAGGGCCTTTACCCTCCCTGATTGGTACATCTGAACTGCGTGGTTTGTATAGACGGATTTTTCCGTCTTTGCACATGGTAGAGCAAAAGTTTCCACATGGGCTCCATGCAAAACTAAACATTTGATCCGTATGACCCTTGAGCACTATTTTCTCAGTCAATGTGGTAAGATCCCACAATCGGATTGTCATATCGAAAGATCCCGAAGCCAAGACATCCTTAGCTGTGGGATGGAATTTAATAAAGTAGATTTTATCGGAATGTGCGTTAAATTCTTGTTCAGGAGTGTTGGTGGGTTCAGATAATCCACTCTCCGGAACAATCCATAATTTAATAATGCCGTCATCGCACGCTACGGCAAGACGTTGCTTATCAAACGGATCCCATTGGAAGTCCATTATATTGCTGCCTTGCACCAATGTGGGAATTACACCGTCTGGCAGCCTGCCTGTCTTCGACAGCTCAAAGATTGCGATTTTCCCACCTGGTCCGCTAAGCGGCACAGCAACACGTGCAGAATTGGCTAAAGATACAAAAATAATTATCACACAAAACAATTTTGTATATTTAATTTTATATTACCGTGAAATCCATCACATTCTCCAGAAATTTGACGACTCAAATTGCGTACATTCTCTATGTGGAACGACTTATGTGCAGGAGTACCCTTCAAGTGTCTAAATTTAGAAACTCGCCCAAAAACGGTCGAAGTTCTTTTGGGAGCGGCAGCTTCTGATTTGCGCGCTGCTTGAGGATCATAACTCAATTGTTTTGTCATGGATTTTCTAGGCTCTTCTTTTACATCGCCGTTTTTACGATTTTTGAATGAATCTTTGCGTTTCATCATCACTGGACTACCATCAGGTTTTTCGACAGTGTTACCATCCATGTTCGACTGAGAGCGTTCATACATCTTTCGACGCTCGGAAATACTGAGAGACTTTTCAGTTTCGTCACTTTCCATATCACCAGCCTCCGGTGATTTACGTAACTCAATCGCTCCGGCTTGCTTGCACAAGTCCACTTGATCATCAACGACATTTTCGATGGGCGTTGTTGAATCCTCAGCTTCCATAGATTGCGGCGGAGATACTTCGGGCTCCGGTTCTGCTTCTGATTCAGCATGCACGCCATTACTACCAGGGGCAGCTGGTACAGAAAATACTTTGTCGAACGCTTCGGATTCGGCAAACTTTGGCGCGGAAAATGGTTTTGGTCCCAAGCGTGGCTACAAATATCACCATATTAATTAATGATGCTATAATAAAGGAACATCCGAGTGAAATACGATCATGCACTAATAAAACTACAGAATGAAAGCAAGGTGTGCAAGTAATGTAAGACTATTAATATGAACCTTATATCCGCCAGCAACAGGCATATTAGGGTTAACAGAAGTTACAACCGGAGCACAACTGTTAGTACGCGGTCTAGCAACGGGTTTGGGAGGCAGCTCTTCGGCTGGATCGGCAACCGATCCCGAGCGCGAAGTTCTCGGCAAAGGCTTCGGCGGTAATTCGGGCGCTTGCTCGACGGCTTTGTTAGTTTGATTCTGCCCGTTTATATAATCGTTATTTTTTATTAGTACGTTCACCTTCTCGGCCTCGTATTTATTGTCAAGTGGTTTCACCTTGCCGAAATCTTTAATGGCGTCTTTCACCGAATTGTTCAGCTCGTTCTTCATCACCTCCTTCTCCTTCTCTTGGCTCATCTTGGGCGCTGGCGCCTTTTTCGTTTCGTTCATTTCGTTCAGATAATCTTGCTTTAACTTCTCCAATGCACCCTTATGCACCTACATAATAAAACAAAGTTAAAACAAAACAAACAAAAATATTTTATGATTTAACTTACAATAATGGGATTTTCTCCATTTTCGCGTTTAGATGGATCCAATGATATTTTTGCCAATTGTGCGTTGCTGCCGTTAACCCATTGTTCGGGATACAATTTGCTGGAATAGCCAGGAGTATCCGGATACAAATCAGCGTGAAAATCGCGATAAGTTTTCCGCGGCACCTGATACGTGATGGGTATCACAGAATTGCTCGTCAACTGCATGATGCGGTTGACCTCGCCCTGCATCACGTTCAGCGCGCGTTTTGGCACCAAACAAGCGCCCTTTGTTTGCTCGCCAGAGTGCCGGATCCCTTCAATTAAGTACGGCTCCTTATCCGTCACTTCCATATAAGCAATCGTCGAGTCGCCTTTACCGGCTAAAAAGAGCATTCCGGTATCGGCATCGTACAACGGCATTAATACACCCGTAGAGCAATCCAATTCCAAGCTCTTCTCAATTTCTCCGAAGTTTCGCGCGTCTCGAATTATAATTTGCCGCAAACGCTGCGCATCAAAACCGGTAGTGAGGATTCGATTAGTGTCACCTAACCAGACAATTCTGGAATCCTTGATGCTCTGATGGCTGTTGGCGGTGCTGATGCAAGGCGTTTTAGTGCGCGGGTCGATAATACGCACTTGCTTATCTTTCGCTGAGGAAGCAATCAAAGTTCCATCGCGTTTCCAGCTGATCGACTGTACCACATCCCCGTGATCCGAATTCGAAAACAGTTCCTGCTGCGACATCAAATCCCACAGCGTAATGGTAGTGTATGAAGTGGAATGCAATAAATAATTGGCAGTTGGATGGAAGCCAACTGTTTCGACCCGGCGCTGTTTGTGCGAAAAGGCGCACTCAGAGTTTAGCAAGGATTCCAGCAGGCCTTCTTCGGGTATGTGCCAAATTTTTACGGAGCAGTCTTGAGATCCGGTTGCCAACAGGCCGTCGTGGAATGGGGAAAAGTCCATGTCGGTGACGGTATCCGAATGGGCGTGAAGCAGTGGCATTAATTTCGACTTGCGTCCAGAATCGTCCAGCGGCAGAACTGCCAAGCTGGAGCCGGCATGTTCCCAGTTGAAGGCCATAAACTTAGCGGAGGTCGTAATGTTGTTACCGTACGTTTGATAAGAGCCAATGCAAATATCCCGAACGCAGTTTTCCGGTTTCGGAACAATAGGCGCGGCATTTTTGTATTTCGACGCTTTGAATCGCCAAGCCATCTGGAAAAGTATTTCAAATGATGACTTACTGTCTGTGTACACAAATTAATCATTAAAACTAAATAATCATTTAGCCTTGACTGACTAATTCCGTTGTAGATATGATGTAATCTAAAATTAATTACCATCGAATTTATTCACTTTGTAACGGTATAAATAAATAAATATAAGTTTCGAATCGAAAAGCAACGGTATCACAGAAAACAGAATTGACAAACATGAACATCCAACAAAAATATTAATCCGATGCGCGCTATGTTTACTATTGAATTATTAATGCAGAAGGTGTATCGGGCGGAAACAGAAACAGTTCCTGTAATGTGAACAAACTTTACGCAACGTGCATTCACAACGCATACAAACTCTCAACAAACTTTCGTTAGATAAAATTTCCACTGAGGACGCGAAATGAAACAATAGGGGTGTGATCAACCCCTCCTGCACGCACACGAACGCGACTTCATTCACATACACGCATACATACGAAAGGCGATGCCGTGCAAAACAAATGCCGCAAAAATACTCACTTTGAAGACGCTGAATTGTCGCTTACTTCAACTTCAACTGTTGCCAACGGTTGTAAATCGTCACATAAAAAAGTACCTTTGATTGCGAATCACAGTGGCGGTGCACGTTATTTGATAAATTTATAATAAATGATTTGGCGACGACGGGCGACCCTCAAAGACGCGTTCGCCCAGCCAAACTAACACTACACTGAACGCGCACATCTATTCACCTCACCAACTTCTGGCACGCACACAACTAGGCCCATGCTCACGCTTGCGCAAATCACACTTCACTGACAGCTGTCATCGATTCACAACATTCTCAAGTATCGAACGGGAATTATGGGTTGCCTATAACAAAGAGATGCAATTATTTTCTAGACAAAGAAAAATAAAATTCCATAAATATTACCGAGGAATAGTATAAATACGTTTATTTATTTTCACAATATTATCGTGTTAATAAAATACTATTAATGCTTGTGCGATCATCTAAGGCTAGCCTAAATTTTATAAAAAAATTGTTTAATAGTATGTATTGTAGAACACCTTCATGAAGATTTTCACTCCTAATATTAGCATATTTACAAATGATCAATATGTACAAAATATTTACAAATAATCGCATTACATCATTGGATCCGATTTTATCGATTCCGGCATTACTGACTGAAAGAATAAAGATTAATGTTATGCTATTATAATGTTCACTCTATCAACTTACTTCAATAATTATAGCGTCCGCTAAATACGGATTAATCGATCGCTGTTGATTCTGTTGTTGATGTTGCTGTTGCTGATGATGACGTTCTTGTTCCTCCATCTCACGCTTCATTTTCTTCACACTACCAGAGTGGAATCTGCCACCTTCACCGCGAATTCGGTTCATTGCATGACGATGTCGCGATTCGTGCAGATATTTCTATATAAGCATGAACAGTTAACAAACAAAACTAAATCAATTAATTATGATTAAACATACAGGTCTTTCCTTTGGAATTTTCCCTTCTGCCTCCAGTTTTGCCCTCGCCTGCCGTCGCTTGAGAATACGTCGATACTGTTTTGCATTTACATACAATGGTTCTTCCTCCAGAACTTCATTACCGGTAATTGGAACACGCGAAGCTGCTGCAGCGCTTGTACTCGGCACCATCTATAACACATTTAAAGTGAATTAAACCTTAAGGACATTAAAACAAACCTTAAAACAAGTTGTGTGCTTGTGCAAGTTTTGTGTGTGTTTGTACGTACGTCGGTGGAATTTCTCACCATCACTATGTTGCCGTTAGCCATCGCAGGAAGTCCTCCTGCTACATGTTGAACCACCGTGGGCGTTGCTGGACTTGCTACTGGAGATTGTTGAGTGACAGTTGCAGTTGATGCTGTAGGCTGGGGTGCTTGGAGTTGCACCAAGTTTCCATTGATATTTAAAACTTAAATTAAATGTTTCAATTAGTAAAGGAGTACTAGTTGTAGGCAATATATCTTACCTGTAGGTTGTGCCTGTTGAATACCATTATCTAATGCAACTGGTTGGTAGATAAATGTTTGTCCATCGGCAGTTTGTACAATTTGTGCTTGTTGTGATGGTTGTTGTAATAAAATTTGCCCTTGCCCTTGCAGGCTTGACACTGGGAGCACTTGAATTTGTTGCAGACCATTAGCACCTTGAGCAACTTGAATCTGTCCATTCTGAGGCAATCCATGGACCATAATCTGTTGCCCATTCGCTCCTTGTATCATCTGTCCACCTTGCATTTGCATGACTTGCACCTGCTGTGGTGTGACTGCTTGCATAACAACTTGTCCATCTGCGGTCGTGAGTTGCTCCATTCTGGCTAAAATTTGATGAAACCATTAGATTTAAGCGCTCTATCAAAAACACATATTGCATCATGCCAGATGATAGAACGCTGCAAGCGCTTTGTACAGACAGCGTGCGCCATTTTCGTTTGGGAAGTGAAATACGTGTAGAATCGTAGAAAAATCTCAGCGCCACACAAAGACGGCCGACTGTGATTGCGAATGATTGCAGCAATGTGACGAGATGTAATTTTTGAACTTACTCGGGATATTTTCGTCGGTTTCCCAATGATTGGTCGACAAATTGTAGACCAATGGTCGCAACGCAGCGCGCACACGTCTGGCTGTGTATTGGTGGTGTCGCTTCCACTCCCTGGCGTATGCGGTGCCGCTGCGCGCGGATAACGGTCGATGGTCGGTGGATGTGGATGTGGTGCCGATCCGACGAGCCTGTCGACGCTAGGCGCGGGAAACGCGCGACCAATTACGAATGTAGAGAAGGAAGGCCCTCTAATCCATGGCTAATCCAAGAGAAGAGCCAAACTTGATCGAAAGCCTATCGAATCGAACAGCTCTGTTCGCAATGATTCAAGCGCCATTTATGGCGTTATATTCATGTCATACGGGTTGATATTCATGTTTCGATGTCGTCTATTTTCCATTACAATTACGAATAAACAAATTCATTAATGCGTTCAGTCATTTGGGTATGAATTATGAAAATATTAATGGTGAATTCAGTTAGTAGGGTTCGAGGGTTAAAAAATCGATAAGTATTCTGGATAACAAAGGAAACAAACAAAAAACACAAAAAAACGCACAGTAGCAGTACTATTAATGCGTAGAAGTGAGATAAACACAGATGTTACCAACCGCCCAAAAACAAAAACCCCGCTACCTAAATTCAAAAGTATACAGCGCGGGAAATTTGAATTTGAAATGTCAAACATCCAAGTAGAAAAACATTCAGACTTTATTTTAATAGAAAACATTGGAATATTCAAGGTATTTGCTAATTGCGCTAATTATAGTGCAAAAAAGTATATTTCAGACAACTCATTGCTCAAAATTAGTTAGCGTCGATACAAACTACAATATTCTGTAAATATAACAACACAGTTTTGAAAGTTTGATGTTATTACAATATTACAAGAGAAACAATTAATTGAAGTGTTTGAAAATGGCTAAAATATATATGTATCATATATGCAAGCCTTACATATATCATTTTGTTGTTTATATATATATTTATATATAAATCTATATAATATATACTCCTTATTAAATCTTATGTTACATGCAAATTGCACCAATTACAATACAAGTTTTCCTAGTTTAAACAATTGCAAATTGATCTAATTATACATTGAGGCCGAGATATTTGTTTTAAATTCAGTTTTGCGGTTTTCAAATCTACCAGTAATTAATATGCCTTGGTCCAACTAGTTTTAAATATCCGCTTATGTTATTTTAATTTATAATATTTCGTGGCAGGTATATAATGCAGTCTGTACAACTCCTTTAACAGGTTAATTTTAAATTCACATCGTCTTACATCCGAATGAAATCTCTACATCCGTTTATCAGCATTAGACATTTGTATTTTAGGACCACCGCATAAATAAATCATTGGACTTTCGCTAGGTTTGCTTGTACAGTACAGTAACAATAGACTACAATTCAGTTATACCCTGCTAATAGTTAATATTAATATGCTTGCATTGTATTGCAGCTATGAGTAGTATTAGGATAAACAGGAAGCAATATATTCAACGTGTTTTCGGACAAATTCTCGCACAGATTGTCAGTACTAAGTTTTTGGACCAGTATCAAATCATTCGAATCAGTTTGTGCACAAAATGATTAGCTCTTGGTGTTGTTACAACTACAGACTTAATAGAAAACTCCGTCAAACTCCTAACATAAATATAATTACATATATTACAAAGATTCAAACCAGTAGGAGCGTGAAAATGAAGAATTTCTTTAATTAATTACTTAATGTTTGGTATATATAGGTTTAATATGAAATTTTAATATTGTTATCACATTCGTTTGCCATTTCTTCAATTTTTTGTTTGTTTTTTATGTTTTTGCCCTCGACTACACACAGAATATACAGGCTGCAGTGTGAAATTTGAAATTTCCTGTTTTGTACCATCATTCAATATATAATTGTCAAAGAAATGTCAGTGTATGCTTGATGCGCAAGTTCTACAGTATATCTACACGTTATCCATACAATATGTATATACAATTATTAGATTTAACAAAAATAGTAGTTAATGACATTAAACTGGATTAGAAGTTGAAATTGCACACCACATCAATTCTACAGCTTAAAATCGCCTCCAGGTTCACATTTAACAAAGACACATTCCTGATGTTAAGATGCAATGATTAAAAACTTAAGTTACGTAGTACTTGATTAACAAATTCAGAACAAAAGTAATAAATATAATATTACAACTAAAGATTACGCTTATTATGTTCATTTGACAGTTTTACTAGTATTACAACTAGTTTATAATTCCTTCTAAGACTTCAAAAGTAAACAATCACCAATTACATCTAACTGTTTTTTATATATGCATATACCCTATAAACACAATTTATCTCATATGTTGTAATTTAGTATATAAATATAATAATCCCATTTTAAGAGCGAGCTTTATATTGTTAATAGTTTGTCGCTACATCTACACGTATCTCCTACTCATTGTAATATGTATTTTCATTAATTATTATCTAACGTTTCTTACAACATAGCTAAGTTTATGTATTGACATGAACTACACCAGTCTTTGTGTGTACAAATTCTTTCTTTACACTTGTTTCTGTGTTAAAATTTGAATACAAACATCTAGAAAGAGCGCCGATTCACTATTGTGCAATTTGGCAAAACCAACTTATTAATCATGATCAACGAAATATAGAAATCTAAATATCTAGTGCGCGGTTATCATCAATTTCTACTAAAAAGAGATCGAATGGATTAGAATAGGTTGTGTATCATTCACAGTAGATATTGTACTGGTTGTATTCATTTGCATGTGATATTTTTGCGTTACCCGAGTGATTACGGATATGTTAAAAATGTAACTTTATATATTTGGATTGTACAGTAGCGAAGCATAGGTATATACTTATACTATAGTGTCTAGTGCGTATGTACGATATTTTAATAATTGTTTTAGGCCAGTCTTAGAATGTTGCTGATTTGCAGCATCTTCAATGTACAGAAACAGCGTTCAACATGTGTTCTTCGTTGTGTGTTTTCAATGTCGTTAAGATATATTTCTAACGATGACAAACAAAGCGTGTTCCGGCGCTCTACTAAAAACAAACACCACTACCCTCCTATCTAATACGAGCCCCTAAGATTATTATCATTATTATACAATTAAAACGATGACTTGATCACTAAGTACGATTATTCATTGTATCAATTTACTACGTTTAAGGCAAAAACGTTAATGTGTTATAATAAATACATTCATCGTTTAGTTTAGTAATAATTCTCTCTTCTCGCTACCTAGGTTTAACAAAACACTATCTACGTTGGCCCTATTTATGTCGCGTACATAATGATATACACATTAAAACATTTCTAGCTAGCTCAACATGTGTGAAGAATATATTGTTCTTTGTTAAGGCTGGTTGGTTCATTACGGATGAACGAAATCTCAAGTGTAGCAATTTTTGTCCAAAATAAGATCATGTTGTTTTATCGTTTTTGTAACAAGCCCTTAACACCCTGAATGTATAAGTTACGTGGTTTTAGAATATCAGAACTATTACCAGAAACACTACCCTAGACACATTTAATATTTTTCAATATTTTGCAAAAGTTGATCGATATCAAATGGGAATATTTGAATAATTTGTAAACACGCGTTAACATCAATGCGGGCATATCAGAGAACCCTAAAATGACAAGATAGACAATAGTTACAAATAGTGTTTAGTTTTGGACAGCATCGGCACATCAATTGAAAACGTTCACATCGCTAATCTTATGAAAATTGTAATATTATAGTTGCGTGAGTGACTAGGCGCGCTGAGAGGGAGAAAATTTGTGAAAATGTGTATAAAAATATTTGATAATTCAACTATGAACGATACAATTCATACAGTATAGATATATACGTTTATTGCCACAAAATTTGCCACTATTTTTGTCTTTTAATCAACCGTTAATCTACTTTGAAGAAAACCAAGTGTTTGTAGTCACTCAATAATGCGAAATTCTTTTTATAATGATAACGTTGAATATCCCCACACCTTGTGTTATGCTAAAAGTGTGTGTGGGAATTGTATACTATGGGAATATTCGCAGTTCATAATATAATAAAAGCTCTAGAATTCATTTAATCTAAATCCCCGAATATTATTTGTATGACTAATTGTAAGTTATTACTACACGATCCAAAAATATTTATATTTTTATCTCATATATCAAATCAGTGATACTTTATTTTACATGTGAGTTATTCACGTGTGTAATATCATGTATTTATGTGTACCATAAATATATATATATTCATATATATGTAATTATCCAGTATAAATATATGCCTCAAATCTACTGTCTCAGATTGTTAGATTTTCAAACTGTATGTACAATACTCAAATGAAATTATTTCAGAGAAGATTCTAAGATTGGCTATTTGCTATTTTTGATTTAAAAATTACTTACGAATACAAACGAAACAAACTGAACCTTTACATTGCATAGGCAATTAAATAAAATTACTTTTAAAAAACGTAAATTAAACGCGCGAGATAATCAATTAAAATAACCTAAGAGTGAATAAAACTAAAAATTGTTGCAGCTATTCGCTAGTTGATTTCTATGTACATGAGCTAAGAATAATAGTAACAATTAATAATTTTTCTGCATCTGCTTTTTTGTAGTTAAATATCACATCTAAAACGAATCCGACGCTCGAAACAACAAACAATGTACGAGTACAATGAAGTTCTCACTACAGAGCACGGAAGCAAAGTGGTCGCTCTGCGGTGCGACGAATTTTTCGTATCATTATTAATGTATAATCTATACATTCATATATCATATATAATATACAGAGGCACATCAATAAAATATTCAATTATATTCCTATGTTCACCATTAGTTTGTTGTTAAAAGGTTGAAAATAAAAGCTTCATCTAAAAAACTAAAACTAATCTAATCTAAAATAAAAATTAATGCCTGCGTGAAATGTATGCAATAAACAACTACCGAAGCATATCAACATAATTCTCATCAAATTTCTTTTCGTGTAAGCTTAATTTTAGGCAGTATTAAAATAACGCTTGTTTCTCGCTTTCGTTCGCGATGAAAACTTAAAATCAGTTCAGATACTTATCTGCATATTAAAAATAAAACGCACACACACAACTTATTCGGCAAACCATAGACTCGTTTGGTACTGGTGCCCCTTGGCCGGACTGAGCGGCGCAAATCCATAGGAGGCGGCGACTTGTGCGTGAGATGGGAACTGCAGATGCGCCGGCAACGGATGGCTCGGATGACTCGCCAGCACGGGCCGGGCACTGGCATGATGGGCCGGCGGCGGTAACTGCCGACTGCAACGATATCATCAGACACAACTCAGTAAACACAATTTGCGCGACATATTCAGCTGGCGTGCACACAAGCATTTATGTTAGGATTGATAAGCACGTCCCACCTGGTGATTGATGATGCAAACGAGAAGAGAGTAAGATATGCCAATGAAGTTTATGCTTAGATTAGATTTTTATATATTTCTACCCATCATAGTTGAACAATAATCATTCGCAATTCGTATTTTATATTTATATATTAAACTATTTAATTAAATAATGATTAAGTTGAAATGTTTGTTTGTATAATAATTATATACGTGTATGTGTGTATTAGAGATTCTCGAAAAAATCTGACACCTCGGCAGCGGATAACTTGCGTTTTCTCGTTAAGAAACTGCAAAAGACCCCTTTAGTTTAGAACAAATGAAGATGATACAAGATGTTAGAGCGGTTTTTTTTTTGGTTAGGAATCAAGCATTCTAATTGCCCAAATAACCATTCGGATGAATCAAAGTACTCACCCCGCTGGAGCCACCTGATGACTGGCGGGCAGATACGCTGGCTGCGTCGTAGTGACGTAGACCGCCGGCCGCCGATAGAGCTCAGTCTGGTGGTACAACGGCTGTCCGGTAGCGGCCAAAGGATGCTGCGGGGACAGCCTCGGCGCCCCAGCCAACGGTTGTGGCGACAAGTGAGCGTTCGTATGTCTACAAACCATTCGTTTTACAACATGCACAAATCCATCCCCAGCTACTCTACTAATCGTCTACACTACACAAACTTAATAAAAATAATTTACTACATACCTATAACCTTGATGTAAGGTTTGTGGGGCCCAACTCTTGCTCGGCGCGAGAAGATGTTGATCCCTTGGTATTGTAAGATCCCGGGTGGAGTGCGCCGCTGGTGGTTGAACATACTCTTTATGCATGTTGTATTCCCGAAGATTTACAACAGGTACAGCAGAATGGCGTCGACTGCTGCCGTGGGAGGTCGGTACATGCGCAGCGGGTGCCGCCCAGGAAACTCGTTTATCACAGGAGGAATAAACAAGCTGTTGCTGGTCTTGCGTATGGCCGGCCGCAGTCGAGTTGACGTAGTACGGCTGCGGTTCCTTGCACGCTGAAGTGCAGTTCTGATAATCGCCGCGTTGGTAATCAGTACCCGGTTCTTGTTTAGTGGGTAAATTCAGCATGCATTCGGATTGAGCTTTGGCCAAGAGACGCGTTTTCCTCGAACCGCCATAATTACTGTGAGAACCACCAGCAGCCATATGCTGCTGTTGATTTTGTTGCGGTTCGTTTTTAATCGCCTGCTGTCGATAGTGTTGAATCTGAAATACAAACAAAGTTGAATGGACTGTGACATATAAAAATGGAAGCATACCTTTGCCGGACTTTTATGATCCTCATTATCACTGTCGCCAACACTGACGCAACTAATTACGTTTTTCCTGTTTATTTCTGGATTGGGCGCTTGGTGCTGTTGCGGTTGCTGCTGCTGCTGCTGTTGTTGGATAACCGGTTTTTTCGAAGCCTCATCGTCCTCGCTGTCGGATATAGTGATTATCGATACTGCCGGCGATGGTGTGTCGTTGATCAAAATCGTATGCTGGCGTGTACTGCTTGGTTCCTGTTTGGTTTGCACCTGTTGGTGGTTCCAATTGTGGGACGAAACGTGGCTGTTTCGATTGCGGTAACTGTTGTCATGTGGCGGCGTGCTTTCTTTGACGCGTTTCTTCACGGGACTTAATTGTGTTTGTTCCTTTTTGTCATGCTGCGACCGATGATGGGACGGTACCATAAGATGGTGACTGTGGTGCCCACTGGACATATGATGATTTTTAGAACTACGCTTGCTAGATGTCCAGGTGGATCCAGAATGTTCAACAATCGCTTGATTATAAACATCTGCACTGACATCGACAGGAAACACAGGTCGCTGTTCTTGCAAAATCGCAGAGGATTCAACCAGTAATGGCCGCGTCCAATCGGCTTCCGATAGCATTGGTTGCTGAATTGCCGTTTGATGAGTGGGAATCTGTTGCCAGCTGGGTACAATCGCCATTTGCCGATTGGTAGGCCAGGATGTTTGCACAGCATTCGTAAGCAACATTTGACGCCCGCTCGGCTCGACCACACTCACAGGAACATATTGTTGTTGGCCAGGTTGACTTAAAATAGGTGGCTGAATCTGCAACGGTGGTTGTTGCACCACAGTAACATGCTTTGCTGGTGAACCACCCATTCCCTGATAACTAGCGGGGCATAGTATACTAGATACTAATTGATGTTGGAATGGATCAGCCCTGCTACTTGTCGTGTACTGTCTACCCACTGTACGCCCATTATAGATTTGATACTGTAATATTAATAAGTTAAAAAATTAATAAAACATCACAAGGCAGAATGAATTTGATTTACGTACCAAATTGTCATAACCTGATCGATCACGAACAAGCCGTTGCACTTGATTAGTCAGTTGATTGTTAATTGTAAACGTAACGTTGCCATTACTGCTGGGAACAAAGTTCGCGACCAAAGAAGGCGCCTGTTGAGCAGTTTGGTGATGGCTGCTGGTGGTACTCCCGTTGAAATCATTACGTCGACACACCTCCATCATTTGAACGCTAGCCTTGACGTTATTACAGTGCGCATAATCAACCAAATGCGACAATCGCACAAACGGATGGTTTAATGCTTCACCCGGCGTCGTTCTTCGTTCCTGTTTCAAAAAAAAGCAATTAATATCTAGCAATAATCACACCATCTTTGCTACCTGGTCCATTGTCAGCATACGCTTCAGCAGATCGATAAATTCTTTACGATCTGCCTTCTCCGCGAGTAATTGCCCACCCTCCAAGTCAGTCGGCACATTCACCTGTCCGATATCATCCAGGCAGTTGAATATGTACTTGCGAGCCTCTTTGCTTTTAATACCCGTCTCCGCCTCATGCTCCTCGGGCGTTTTCAGTCTCCAGAATGGATACGTGCTCTCCATATCGCGGTAGAAAAACTTGGTCGTCTTCGATGCGTTGTTCAGCATGTGTTCCGTTGGCAAACCCTGCGTTTGACTGATGTAGCGAATTTGATCATACTCCGAAGAGCCAGGATACAGCGGCCAGCCGAGGAATAACTCAGCGACCACGCATCCCAAAGACCACATGTCGATCGCTTCGCAGAACGGCAGTCCCAAGATAATCTCGGGCGCACGATAGTAGCGCGATTGCAAGTAGGTGTTGCACACTGCCTTGCTGACGTGACTGGCGCTGCCAAAGTCGATGACTTTCACTCTATACGGTTGCCGCACCGGATCAACCAACATGATGTTTTCTGGTTTCAAGTCGGCATGTATCAATCCGAGTTGCTATAGAAGAAAAAAGTAAATATCGGGAATATTTTTGTAGAAATGACAACAATACCTTTAGTTTCAGCAACGCGGTGAGCACTTGTTGGAGGATCGGTCGTATGAATTTTAGCGGCAACGGGCTGAACTTGTTCTGTTTGAGAAAGTCGTACAGATTCTGCTCCAGCATCTCAAACACCAAACACGTGTGGTTCTTGTGCTGGAAGCATTCGTACGCGCGCACAAAGTTAAATTCGTCCGCATTCTCCTGGCTCAGTCTTGACAGTATGCTAACTTCAATTTGACCCTGTAATCATCGCAAAAAAAAAATCGTAAAATACCGCGAATCATAAAAGATTTACTCTTAATTTACCTGTCTGGCATACGAAGGATGATTCTTAAGGATCTTGATGGCGACAATTTCATTTGTGCCCTTCTTCCAACATTTGACTACCTGTCCGAAGGTACCACGGCCGAGAAATTCCAGGACTTCATACTGGTTGGTCATGGAGTAGAGCACTTCATGTTGTACCAGCTGATAATCCCCATCGGCGCCGCTCCCCGACCCTGTATCAGACATTTAAGATATGCGCTGTTTATCCACATCATTCACAATCGACTTTCACTTGACATAAAAACAATTTGTGTCAATTTCATATTTCAAAGTTGTATATATTTACAAAGTTGTAGTTGAATATATTTTGTAGTTGTATGAATTGTTGAAAAGAAAAGAAAAATTGAGTGCAACTTACGCTTACCTTGCGGCTGGGGGTTGGCCCCCGGGGCCGCGTTGACCTTGCTGTGAGCCGTCGTGATGGTTGTGTTGCTTCCCAGTTTAATTTGCTCCCCACCATCCGCATTCCCTCCTTCGGATGACCAAGCTTTGCGCTATAACCGTCACAGGTAATTAACACTAGTGTCCCGGCGTCAAAAAACGGGAATCTATACCTTCTGCCCGCAGCGTTGATACGAAGAATTATCTACGACTTTGATGGTAGTTGCGCGTTGGTGGTGTTGTTGTTGTTGTGTTCGCACTTGCTGCTGGTAGCAACGCGGACTTGCATTATTCACTAACGAGTAGGATGATGCTGATGTTGTGTTTTGGGGCACAAGTTGTTCGTCGTTGTACTGTTCGGTTTTGCGCTTTTTGCTACCGTGCGTAGACTGTCCCAGTGCACCACTGCTAATGACGTTGTTTGCGACCAACTGTTGAGATTGGATGAACATGTCATGCATTCCCTGCAACAACAATTATACGAGTTGATAACAAATTATATTTTACGCTATTTCGGTGCTTCGGGGTATTGCATATTGCTATTAATAAGCGCACCAGAAATAAATTGTGTTCTATTTCTGGCCCAGCTAGAGAAATACAAGATCTTTGATTTGTTGCTGCAATAATAAGATTCGTCTGCCTCGGCTTAGAACGGGGTCATCAGAATAAATAATCGCAGAATCAATGCCAATCTCGCCATGTGCTCGTATACTAGTTACAGGTAGTAAATTGTCTGGGGGCCATGCGCGCAGCGTGCCAACCACGTTAAGACCCTCGGAGTCGACTTTTTCTCGGATCTTGCAATTACCTGCCGCGCGCATAGCAACAATAAAACACGCGTAAAAGTGTCTAGTGGAAACAAGGTTGTAACAATATTGTTTTGCCTTCGCAGACGCGCTGTGTTGGAAATGTCGCTGATTTATATATTGACCTCCTTTGTATACAGCAATTTCTTATTCGTGAGTGGTGTCAATACGAATGCATGCCCGCGACCTTCGTACTTGTAACATGTCTCCGAATATAAAGAATTGTACCTGCGTCGGCATTTCAATGTCCGCGCGCGCTGAAGAGTCAAAAGTTTGGGGCCCGGCGGGCGCAGGCCCACTATTCGCACTGTTTGCAACGGTTCGCTCGAATCGTTATGTAAAGCCGTACCAGTAAGTGGTTAGCGAGGAGGTGGAGGCGGGCATTGAACTAAAAAAAGACCGGCTCCGATATAACGCGCAATGAGGTAACACGTCAACAAACATTATATTGTAATAATACCGATTTCCGAAGAGACGAGGCCACGTATTGCTTACAACATTTTTAAAACTACGCGCAAGTTAAATTGCACAGGTTGAGACGCGCGATATCTACTTTTATCGAAATATCGTGCTTTTCTGTGTCGCCACATTGGCAAAACATGCTGCTGCCTCCATGTTATCATTATTGACATTGAACATAATTATAAAAAATATATAAACGCTGATCATGCCGAGTTTATTTATTTAGTTTACGATTTACATTTACGTTGAGACAATACCAATGCGTTGCACAGCGAAGCATTCGTGAATGGCAACAGCGCATGGCCGTTTTATATGGAAAACACTTGTGAGCAAAATATGTCGGCCATGACGACATTAAAACCAAAATATTTCGTACTAAAACGCAAGCAAGCGACGAAAATCACTAATAAACATTTGAAACAATAAAATTGTACCTTTCTTTGCCGTCAATCCACAGAAACCAATCCAATATCATAGTGACATATGTGTGTTGTGGAACTTTTATTTTCCAGCCATCTTGCCCCCTCGCACGCACTTTTAATACATCCGCTTAGTTATTTACTTCGATATATCTATTTCGTTTCTATCGCGCAGCGATAAACTTCGAAATTCTACAATCTACGTTTTAAGTTAAACACAAACGCACCGCACACATGCATAGTCACGCACACAAACTCATTTCGTTACTGCGAGGCACTGCTCCCGGACAGATGGAACTTTAGCACACTATTGTTGCAGGCTATTTACAACGCGGCCGATCTATCCCATATGGATAGATTAAAGTTCGTTTCGCGGCGCTAGCACATTTTCGGCCGCCGCCGTTTGTCGTTTGTCCTCTTATTATTTATGTTATGTGTTTCATTGTGTTCACGCAAGCACTCTTCCAACTCAACTGGTCGGTTTTGCGAGCATATTTCCGAAGCGTAGCCCGAAGTTGCACGTAACTATCCGAAGCGAGGCCAAACGAACGCTACCGACGCAATCGCGTTTGAAAGTGTCTGGAACCCTTGGAATAAAAATTGATTTTCAAGCTAACCAACAATTTCTAAGAATATTTCAAATACTGCCAACTAACAAATAAATTTATTTGTATATCTTGTAAGTGTACAGATACATGCAATAACAATTGTTCTTTCACAATGCGTCCGCAGGTTTGCACCAATGGTAAGCCGATTGAAACGAACGCACTTTCACAATTTTTTATACGTTCGCGTTTGTAATTGACTGCATCGCGCAAATTTCACAAGTAGCGCGGAAATTGTGTCAGTCAACAATCGAGTGAGGCAGGTGGTAAAGTCGAACGGCGGAAAGTGCGTATGAAACGAATGAAAACTTTGCGCAGCGTTTTTAAAATGAATTCTTGCCATGTTTGCGCCTGTGCAGATAGGCAAGCAGGACTGTAGCGCACGATGACTCATCGTATGCCGCCGACCGGCAGCAGGGCTGGTGTTATACGCAGTTGGATTTTGTTTTGTTTTCATTCACCACGAGGTCACGAGGGGTTGCTTCTGAGAATTTCCTGTTGCGTCACATTGCATGAATATTGCGGTAGGCGGGCGCGTAGATTTTACGGAATTTACTCTACTTTAAGAGTACGATGTAACGATGAGTCATGCAGGACTAGTAAAGAAAATATACCTTATGGAAAGTGTGGAATTCCCGATTACTAGAATCTAGAATATTTGTTTAGAAAGAGAAAATACAGCAACATTAATTATTTTAACTTTCTTCGTATAAAATTACGTATTTATTTATGTTTTTAAAGTATTTTAAAGACCACACATAAAAAATTATTGGAGTTTTGTTTAATTTTTAAAGTAAAATTAGTTATATCTATGCATAACAAGTTACAATTTGCTCAGAAATTATATTCTTCAATAAAGAACTCAACATGAATAAATAGTCCTTATACTTGCCGCTAGATGTCAGGTCATGTACCATAACTTGTTTTAATTGACTGTAGCACAAGAGGACTAGAACGCCACGCACACATTTATCATTGAAACATGTACTATAGTAAATAGTAAATTTCAAATATAAATAGTTATAATTATAGCGCTTTCTTTGTAGATTAATTATGCCAACACATTTATTTTCTATCTTGGTTATTAAGTATTGTTCTATTTATGAGCCAATGAAAGCAAACATTGTATATTGTGTGCATTAGGTTATTGAAAACTCAATTTAGCTTCTAACGTTAAGTAACACTTGAATCATAAAATGCATATATCGTAGACTAAACAAAAAAACAAACTCAAGTTTTAAATACTTAGAAATTTTCCTCGTTTATATATTGGTACGTGCTCTAATTACATTGCCTTTAGCTCATGATTGATAACTGCCCAGGCTGATATAAGTTCTAAAAATAGGAACTACTATGCTATGTATACACGCAGTTTGTGATAAACTGGGGGGAAAAGCCATGAAATTTTGATGTCCTTACAAGTCCTCGGTAGTATAGTGGTCAGTATCCCCGCCTGTCACGCGGGAGACCGGGGTTCGATTCCCCGCCGGGGAGGACTTTTTGTTTTAAAGGACATGAAAATGTCCTTTTGTTTATAAACAATATATATTTGTTGTTGCGATCAATAGTTTACCTGCCGTTTTCGTTTCTGCAAGGCATATGGAGCGTGCGTGCAACACATCTACGAACCGTGCTGACTGAGGTTCTGCACGTTAACATAACCTAACATTTATTAAACGCAGCATGTTTACAATTTAAACAATAAATAAAAGAAAATTTGCTGTTTTTATACAAATAATAAGAAATGTAGTAAAGATATAGCTCACCAATGCAGTTGTTCGATATTTTCGTATTAACAATAACACTTAATAACAATCACCTTCTAGTAACGTGTCATGCACGTTGTATTGGCAGTGGCCATTTATAATATTGAACATCTAACCTTCAAATTCCCGTGCGTTATCTCTGCAAAGGTGAACAAACTGTAGAATTTTGAATTTATCAATTTCTAATATGAAACAACATACGTAGACCGATATTAAAATATTAAATGTACATTACGTACAAAAAAGCTAATCTATAAAATTTTAATAAGTTGTATTTATTACGTACTTTCAAAAATTAACAAAAATAATATTATCTTCTTCTAAAAATAGATTTAAGTAGTTTTAAAAACACTTTCAATAATAAATTACAATAAGATTCGTAACGTTTCTACTAAAACACAAAAATAAATTTCAATCACATTTTAGAAATATATTTCTACCCCTTTGAAGCATTCCTCCACGCATTGAATAAGCTGATATTACGTCTGCAGCAACCGGCACGCACCAAATGCAAACCTAAACTATTATTACAATTATTTTGCTTGTGATACGGACAGCTGAAAACTAACCGATTCGAAATTTCAATCGAAATGTACACGTGTATAGGTATTAGAATTTCAGCTGCCATCGATTGTTCTTCTAACTCTTTGACGGCATGACACACGTTCAATTGCATGTCAATTGCAAATGTTTTCAGCGCAGCACTAATTATTGTGGCTTTGGTAAATCACCACAGGGGTACAAAACCACAATAATTAATAATATTGCGTGATTGATATTGGCATTGACATTTTCAAATCAACAATGAAAGGGGTGGAGAAGAAAACATGGGGGAGAAGTGCATTTCATCATATGCTAACGAAATAATGGATTACTTTCTGTTAACTGAAATATATACCAATTGAAAACTTCTTTTTTTTTTTTGATGTTTTAGAAGCAAAAAATTATTTAATTTGATTTTTTTCTTTCAATACTAATTTATTCTTAGTAATTTTCCATAAATTAACTCAACAAATGAATAATTACTGTAAAATAATCCCTTCTAATGATCCACATCGTATGATCGTATGATTTTTAACTTTTGACTTTGTATCCGTGCAACTTCAATTACTGAAACCCTATCACGCAATATTAACTCGTTAGAAAAAAAGCTGGCATAAGAATCCACAAATCCGCACTTAGTAAATGTCTGCGCAAACAAAAATTCGCACCAAACAGCAGTTTTAATTAGGTTTTACATTACGTCGGTGCGGAACAAACCACGCCGCGCAATTTGCATCGGCAGCGCGATATTTGTTCAAATCGTGTCTACGTCTAGTCAGAGACTTATCGTAGAGACACATTCATTTTAAATATTACCTTTTATATTGGCAATATACAGTCTTCTGGGCACTAATAGGGTTGTTGGTGTGTTTACTGTCGTCGAGTCGACTTAAACGAGTGCTATTTGTGTTTGTATTGCAAGTTTTATGACCCTGTCTGCGTCGGCGGAGATTTTTGAGGATTTCAAGACGGGCGGTCATTTGTCGTAGATTTCGGCGATACCACCGACAGCGTAAATATTCTTCACTTCGGCGTCGTCCGTCGCAGATGCCGGCGAAGAAGCGCGCAATCCAGTCTAGTCGAGTTTTGTGTTTCAGTGCTCAGTAGCTTAGTTTCAGTCGGTTTTGGAAGAAGCGTCGATTAAGTGCGAGGGTGATCTTAGAATAGTTTGAATCGCTTCGTGTACTAAGAAATATTACCGAAAGTGTATTTTAAATTTATCAAAATGATAAAAAAGTGGCTTCTATTTGGGTTGATTATAATTTTATTAACATGTAAGTATTAAAATAGTTTAATTAATTAAATAATACATAAAAATGTAAAAATTAAAATTTTACTTAAAAATTGATTTTTTCATAATTTTTATCAAAAATATTTAATATTTTACTAAAAATTTGTCTCAAAAGTCAATTTATATTCAAAGTCACGTAGGAATAACTATGGTTCATAGAATAACTGTTAGTTTTGAGTATTTTTCTTACATCTCAGAAAAACGCCCTCCAGTAGGGTCGTGATTCGTGATGTCACGAAAAAGAAACATCTGGTTTTAATTGCCCATCGACTCCAACCCAATGGGGAGTGTAAATTTTAAATTTTCAAATCCTCGAATTAGTTCAACAGCATTGCCTTTGTCCGCATCTTTGCATAAAAACTTCGCATTTTATTTCGTTACGTTTGTACGTTTATGTAAACAGCACATGTAGCACTTCATGGCGCGCACTTAAAAGACTCTTTCGTCACGTAATAGATGAATGAATAGATGTCATAAAACTACCATATGTTCCATTCCGTAAAAACCTTTTGAAACGTCCAGAAACACGCCGTAAAGCGAAACGAAAGCACTGAAAGTCAATACAAAATGATCCAAACGATACTTGAAGCTTCATTGAAAAAGATCATTAAGTCATTTAACTTGTCTAGTTAATTATCAAAGTCGTAGTTAATTCAATTATTTATTTATTTACTTGTGTTCGGTGAATGTCGCAGGTGCCGAATGTCAAGAACCCGACGATTCAGCGACGAGGAAGTACCAGGATGAGTTATTTAAGTCAGAAACTACCGAAACCACGAACACAGATATAAATACGACCCTAAGTTCAACAGAAATAGAAAATAATTCAACGAATACTGAAACGAACGATGCAGTCGACGCGGCGAATGATCTTGATGAGAATGAAGAGTTATCGAGTACACGTGACGAAGACCAGAGTAGCGAATGGACGACGATGCCTCCCACACATGAATATTCCATAAGCATAAACGATGTTTTGAAAAAAAGTATCGATGTGGTTAAGGATGAGATGAAAGGGTTCGGAATTATTCAGAGTTGGCTGAAGGAGCAAGCGAATGAATTTGTCAGCGGAACCACTACGGAAGATTACGACTATACTCAGACTACGGATGACTATACAGTTAATGAGATTTATGATGACGAGGAGGCTGGAAATGGGAATGGAACTACTACTGAAATTGTAAACGTGCAGAAAGAAAGTGAAGATTTACCACCGGTGGAAAATGAATTGAATGTTAAAGAGGAAAGTTCTACTGAAAAGATTAAAGATACTATTGAAAAGATTGAAGATGACTTGAAGAAATTAAATAGAGTACAAGCTGAAGAAAAAGAAGAAGAGGAAGAAAGAGAGGAAATTATACAGGATATTGAAGAAAACTTGAATAAATTGGAAGCTTCTTCAAGTCATGATCAAACAACGCAAAGTATTGTAACTGAATTAACCACAGATGGAACAACCGAATTTGTTGAATTTGAAATTGCTACGACTGCTACCCCTGGGATTATTCTAGAAGAAATAGAAGAAGAAGAACAGGGAGAAACAACGACAATACTTATGCAACCTGAATTATTTACAACAGAAAATGCTAAAATGGTAGAATTTGCTGAAGTGGTATTTGAAGATGAAGAAACTGTTCCTCAAGCAACAACAACAGAAAGAGAAATTGTAAAAGAAGGAACAGAAAAAGAAGAAGATACTACTGTAATGATTACAATCATTGATGAAATTAATTCAGAAGATTCTATTACGACAATTTCAGAATCACGTGATGAAATTGAAGAAGAAACTATTACTGTTAATATTGTTGATGACAGAACTGTAACAACCGAGAATATTGCCACCACTGAAAGTGTTTTTATCACAACTACAGAGAATATTACTACCACTGAAAGTCCTATTATCACAACTGAAGTTATCTCGTCTGAAATAACAACTGAAGGACATTATACTACAATGATTGAAACAACAAATGCGCCAAGTACCACAACGGAAGTAGAAATGGAAATAACTACAATGCCACAAGAAGAAATTATAATTGTAACAGAAACAGAAACAACAGTCACAGAAGAAAAAATAAATGAAAATGATGAAAAAGAAGAAGAAATAAATGAAAATAATGAAGAAGATGAAGAAATAAATGAAAATAATGAAAAAGAAGATGAAGATGTCACTTTAAAGAATATTCCAGTAACAAACGTTGAATCAACTGAAACAAATGAAATTCCTTCTTCAACCACAGAATCTCACAATTCCTACGACATTGTAAATGAAGTAGTTGATGAAATCATCCATGAAATCAAAAGAAAACGATTTAACATCTTCAACTCCCAGTGAAGAACCAACCAAAATCTCCATTGACCAATTTTTACATGCCCTCAATTCAAATTCAATGGAAGACACTAATAATAATGACAATAATGAAGATTCCAATGAATTACTTGAAGAAAACAAAACAGAAATAGCCTCCAATGAAGAAGTATTTGATGATATTGACAAAGAACGTAAAAAAATACTTGCTGATCATAGTAGTTCAGAAGATAACACCCTGGATGATGTTGAACTTGCGGTTGACGTTGACCAGTTCTCCGAAGAGGAAGTTGTGGAAAAGGTCGGAGACCCAAAAGTGTCGGCATTGATTACGGACCGCATGGATGGAAACGTTTGCCTGAATGCTTCCGGCTTGTCAATCAAGATTACAACCAACGTAAGTACTACTCGTATATCTGATAAGCATGAAGAAGAAAAATATTTATTGTTATTTTATGACTTTATGTGTTTTATCAGGATTTCACTCAATGGGTACCGAAGACTGCTAGGGTTTTCGGCGAGTGTACGTCTTTTGGTGCATATTTGAACTTCACGTGGAGAAACGAAGGAAAAGAGATGAATACAATGAATTCTACGTTGAGTTTTACTTTTATTGGGGATGAAGAAGAGAGTTATATTGAAGAAGTCTTTTATAAAACTAAGAAAGGTAAGTTTTTAATTTTAAAATTGCAAATAATAACTTTATTATTTGCATAAATTTAAAATAACGAGAAAAATGTCTAAAACGTGTTTTTTATTTGTAGAAAACTTCCTTGCAACACAATTGGAAAGATACCTCACCGAACCAATGACCATCAACTTGTCGAAGAATACCACAGTGACGTTAACACATCTAAACGTTAAATTATATCGCAAGAAAGATGATTACGCAACTATATCATTACTTAGTGTTGATAATGCAATGGCGATACAAATTGCATCTGGTGGATTGTGTCTTTTTATCGTTATTATTTCAGTATCAATTTACAGTTACAAAAAACTACGTAGTCAAGCAAGAATTTTCAAAGTTTCATTAGATAAATAAATACATCCTATATGTTAAATATTAGTGATACAAATGAAGATACAAAGTGAAGTTTGCCAAATAGTAGTGCCATTTTGTTACAAATTAAATAATTAATATCTATTTGATTGATTTAATTCTAAAAGCACAAATTAAAATCAGAAAAGACCAAATTGAAGCAATAAATACTTGATAATTATAATTATATTGTAAGTTACCATTAGTACCTATGTAAAATATTATAGATTATTAGCAGATGCATTTTATATACGACTGGTAGGCTTTCTTAATAAAATTTACAATTGAATTTTAGCTCTTTTGATGTTAATGTTTGTATTGCGCATTTTTTGGGGGACATGGTATCATTTACCATTAATTATTTCAAGCAGGGGATGAATGTGTACATGATAATCAATGATTGCTCGCATGTAGTGTATGTAGTGACAGAAATTGAAATGTGGTGCGTGCCCAGGTGCAAATTATATGTAGTTAATATCGCTCATCAATGTGATGGCACACGTGACACCTATCATTATGTACTCATAGATGCGCACATGCGTGTGGCCCACGTGTGCCAGAAATGCGGGTGGTGAAAATTGCTCAAAACTTAATTTCTAACTTAATTTCAATCAATAATACGTAAAAAAAGTTCTTTTTATTATCTAACACCAAATAACAGCTAATATGCAACCAAATTAACTTGGTTCTTGGTATATATTAATATTTGACCTAAAAATGTCTTGTTTTATAAAAGTTTTGCTTTGCTATTGCTAAAATTAGCAACATTAAAAAATAAACTAACAAAATAATACTGTTGTGCGTGGTTTGATAGAAAAAACCTAAATTTAACACATTTGCAGCATGAATAGTTCTCAAGATTTCCGACAGATGGCAATACGCTGCACAAAACTTGAAGAATATACGTCGTGTTGAAACCGCAAATGAAGTTAACTTGTTTTGATGAAAACTAATCGCTCCCAAACTTTGGACACAGAGTAAAAACACTCAAAAAAAGGTGTCCGAAAATTTACCCACGATGTGTAGTGAGCCGATATTGCACTTGCGCCAGTGTTATGTAAATGTTGATCCGGTTTCTCATGGAATCACACACCGTGCAGCATAATGTGCGCTCATTATGACGTTCACAATCAAACACCGAAACGAACGCGTCGGTCACATGGACTTTTTTCTTTAATGTGTTTAATTTAATGGAACTGTATATGTCAATATTAGTAAAATTTTAAGAGAATGAATAAAACAATTCATTTATTTATTGTTAAGTGGTTTAAAAATTGTGTCGTGTATTGAGTGTGTCTGTTCGTTTAGCAATTTTGAGTTTGTATATCTGATAAAATCATCCACAGATAAATTTTTAAACATTAAAGAACACATACAGATATACAAACACAAAATCAAACACCAATTGCTAAACGAACAGACACACTCAATACACGACACAATTTTTAAACCACTTAACAAACTACACATTCCCACAAGCACGATAACACACAATAACACAAACACTTGACACACAAAACACCCCTAACATACCTACTAAATTCAGTTTATGAAGATGCCCTCTGGGCGAAACATGTCAACTCAAAATAAAATTGTAAATCCAATATTCACGAAAAATTATAAATAAATAAATATTTCAAATACAATTCATTTATTTTAAATTTAGAAATGCAATTTTTGTAAAATTGAAAGATAAAAACAAACGAAAATAAAATGAGGGTGAAAACTGGTCCGCGTGGGTTCCCACATAAATATTTACAGCATTTGGGGATGAATGTGAGATACCAGTTGCTGAAATTGACGCGGTTCTATTTATATATGTTATTCGTCATGTTTCACTTAGCACCCAATTTATTTTACTTCCTGCGTGTTATGGACTAGTAGTTTATTGCTTCGCAGCAATAATTAATCAATTTGATGCAAAAATATAAAACGTAAACTGTTTTCATGCAATTCATCACCTACCAAAGCAGATAAAACTGTTATCATTAGATATAATTACCAAAATGCTAAAAACATTTTATTTTTAATGAATATCGAAGCAATATTGAAAACGACGTTCATAAAAAGGGCGAGGGAGGTCGTGGAATGCGTTCGCATGCATCGGTCATTACATTAGCAGGACGGACGCCGGGCATCAGACAGGATGTGAATGTTACCACCGGTAAAGTACGAACGAGTGCAGGTCACGGTTCGACGACGATGACGGTTATAATCAACCTCCATAACGCACTCGAGTAAATACTGAATATACGAAAACAAATAATAGACGGAACCGTCCGTCGCACATTCCATTCAGTTATTCGGTAATAAAGACTTTCGTTGGCGACAAGGTTGAAGCTACAAACACATATTACCTCCTACGTTTGTATAATTTTGATTTTAACGGTTTCTGCATTTCATTAACACGATATTTTTATTTTTTACTCAAAAAGAAACCAAAGCTATAAATTATACAACTGTAGGAGTAAAGATATTAACTTAATATGTAGGTAATATAATTTTTGGTTCCCTTTTGCGCTTGAAGAAACAGTACCTGCTCTATTTCCGAAGGGCGCGCGCCTTATGCGTGTGCTTATTGCTTGCACAGTCTACAAAAGGAAGAAGACGACAACGTGCCGTGAAATAGTCTCGAGATTTGGGTTTTGTATAATTACACGCAAAGATGGCTACAAGTACCACCTGCTTCTCGGGCGTCTTTGTATTGTCATGTGCCATGCGTACAAGTTTCCTTTTAAAAATTAAACAGCAAACACCACGAAGGGATGTTTGGTTTAAAGGGACATGGAACATATTGCGTAAATACGTGCTCTACCTATGAATATATCGGATGTTTGCGGAGCATGCCACGGATTCATCTGTTTTATCTATTTTTGTAATTTTTGTTTAAATATTTAAATAATAATTGATAAAATTATGCATTTTTGATGTTTAACTAAAAATTACAATTATTTTTAAGATGATAATGACGATGATGATTATTATTTTATATAAATGATTGTTACTTTGGTCTGTAAACAAATGTGTCGCCGGCAAGAGCGTTAATCCCGATCGGAGCCCGACTGACTGGCGTAAATGACTAAACTAAATAATAATTATCGAAATGACTATTCTCACAACAATATGCACTGAATAAATATTAGATATTATCATAAATTGATGAGTTTATGACTTAGATAAGTAAATTTTATTTTATTCCTAATGGCAAAGTAGTCGCAAACTTTACGCAGCTGCGTTTCAAAGTTCTAAAATCAAGAAAGGTCGTTAGAAATCCCTTCGTTGCCCAATCCCCTCTACAATAACCAAAATTTTAAACAGCTACGGTTGCCCTTTTGGAAGGGGAAATGCATAAAAGCCACCGAACGCAAAGAATCACGCACACTGCAGTCGCAGCTCTCGTCCGAGTTTTGTGCAAGTTCCAGTCAAGTTCACCTTGTGTTTGTTCCGTTTGTTGCTACTAGCAACGTGTGCGCAACCGTTACTCACTCATCAAATTAAAAATGGATTTAATGTACAACCACTTCGACTTCAACGTCTTGAAATCACTAAAAACCACCACCACGGCTTCGAAGAAATTAAACATTCGCCAAAAAAGTAGAAAGTGTTTATTTGGAGCTACAAACCAAGAAGAAACTTATCAAATGGTTAAAGAGAATTTTGATCAAGAAAAAGAGAGGTTTTTCTATCGATTTGGAATCCACATGGAGGATTTAGATCGTTTGGCGATAGATGAAGATGAATACAAGAAAAATAAGTTGCGTCCGGTGATGCCTGCGCCTGCACCTTCATCTTCCCACGTTGGCGGTGGTAAAATCACCAACAAGAAGACAATTCGAATGAAACGCGCGCTAAAACCTTACAACGCAAACAATCAACCATCCACTCATCAGACTCAGCTACAACAACAACAACAAATGAAAATAACCGGTAAATTGAAAGTTTAATTTAAAATCCATTTATTTCCGACGAGCGTTGATTGTCTGTAATTGAAGTTTTACGACTCGCATAGCCACCCGGCTTCTGGCTGCACAATAATAGTTTTACTCGTGAGTTTCACCAAGGAAGCGTGTGTCTAACGTGTGCCTTACCTTTTTAAAATGCACCGTTGCAACCCTTACGAATTCAATTCACATCTATGCGGGTACTTTGTAAATTCATATCGAAGTGTTGCACACACTTCATATATTGTATCGTTTACCCTCCGGTTTCTATTTAAAAATTCAATGCTAATATTTTGGAGTTTAGAGCTTGGAATGTGCCGAAACTAGGTATATGCTGGTTGTACATCTGCCGTAGATCGGCCCTTTAGACCTTTAAACTTTTAAATGTCTCATCCACCACCTGCCTCCTAAAAACCCTTCAAATCTTCGATTTTTAATGGTTGTTCATTTGATCGTTACAGATTTCTGCCAGGTGAAAAAGTCGCCCACGTCTAATCTAAATCTACTGCCGGTTGATGCCAAGAAGATGCCTCAACAAACACTGTGACTACGTGCATCGCCTATGACCAAATTATGTTGATGTATAATTTATTGATTACGTGTTATTCTAGTCTTTATGCAAATATTATTTTGGCAAAAAGCAATTTGTTGTTAATGTTGTTAAATGCCGAACGTTTTTTCTTTTTAAATAAAAAATGTCTAAAAATTAAATGAATTTCGATTTTTTTGTCAGATGATGAAAGATGTGTAGAATACACCTTTTGTGTAAGTTATTTCCACGAAAATAAAACGTATGGTGCAGTGCAATTTTGGCGCCAAAAATTCTCGCCCGCTGCATCCAAAAACCACCTGTCCTCCGGTCGCCCACAACGCCGAACACGATACCTTTTACCTGTATCCCGAGTATCAGCTGTTCGTCTCGAAGATTTCGCTCGGTGCATCGTTTCCCAAACGCTTTCCACGTTTTTGCCACCACAAAAGTTCTTCTAAGTAAGAGGCGCGTTTTGAAATTTTTACCTCCGGAGATAAACATGATACGAAACCGGGACAAACATCTGTGCTATAAAAAGACAACGTAACGAAACATGTGGCGGCAGGTTTGCATCTTGCATGCTCTTAATAATCACCTCATTCTTTCGTTCGAAAAGAAAGTTGCGTATAATTTCGACACACGCGCAATAGGCCAATTTTGGCGGGAAAATTCTTATTGTATGCGTCACACCGCAGCATCCCACAAAAAGGGACTCAATGACTCATTCAAACACTTCGATTCTACGAACTAGATGTGCGTATCACCTGAATACTCTTGGAGGATGCATGTTGAGACAAGTCTGTGCATGATGGTATAATCATTAGTGTTTAACACATCGACCGCAACAATGTCACAGTTTTATACGATCATTAATTACTGCCTTTGCGGAGTGCATTTATTTGTCACACCAAATATGGCACACCATGCATGCCACCGTTATAAAAACGGTTCAGTTTTGTTTTTGCAAATCAAACGCGTATAATAACAAGCCGGTTGGATGTGGGTAGTGCGTGGGCCATCCCGTGAATGGAATAAATTGACCAAAGCCAGACTAATATGGAGCTGAACATAAATTCAAATTTGCCTACGTGATTTTCAGACCAACCATCTGCCTGAAAACAATAGTGGCGCAAATGTGGTTTAGAAAAATACATAATTATTTAACTACCTGCGGTGTTTAACCGATTTTATTGCAGATGCGTATCTCCCGGTACTGATTTTGTCGCTTGACTGGTTTGCACGCATTCATTAGAATATATTTCAGCAACCGACAACTTATCAACACATATGCGCACCGCGTCATCTTGATAAACATTTGCGCGTATTGTCGACGGACGCGTGCTGCACACAGCAGTGAGCCCAGGTATGTAGTAGGTACCCGCATCACTACCACAAGCAAATGGTAATGACGAGATGAAAACGAAAAACACAAAATAAAAGTACAAAGGGTTACACTGTTGCGCATAAAGATATCAATCTTGATGTGTGGAGGTTTTTTATCGACAACAAATTATCGACCACGTGCCCGAAAAAACGTTTATTGTATACAAGAGAATAGGTACCCTTATATTTTGGTTTTTATTTCGGTTAAAGAGCGGTTTGAAAAGTGTTTTAATGAAGCGGAAAAAAACTAGAACGTTAATAATTTCGGTGTTTTGTTTTTATGTTTAATTAATTAAACACATTGGATCGTTAGTGAGCTGTCCAAAGTGATATTTTCGAACAATATGATAGGACCACCAGATGATCCCGTGTGATATTGTGTTTCAGCGTGCACAATGTAGGTACGTTGAACAGATGACACGATCCCTCTTTGTGGTGTCAGCTTTCTGGTGCTAAACGATTATTAAACATTTTTAAATTCTCGCTGTCCACACTGCCATACCATCTTGTGCACAACAAATACTACTGATACTCTCAAAGATAATGAAAAGTGCGAATGTTTATTCATGGAAAGTTTCAAGGTCGTCTGTGTCTGTGCCTATGTCTGTAAGTCTGTAATTTAAAATTGTTAGGGTGTGCTATTTCTAGATGAGGTGAGGCTGTTGCGGGCGGATGGCGGGAACTTTTTATACCGAAACGCATGTTTTGAAATTTGGTTAAGCTTGCAACAGGAAGCACTAACACATGCGTAACTTATAAAGTTCGAAATGAAAAACTGATGATTTTCGTGCATTGCGTAAAGGATGTTGACTGGATCAACATGTGTATGTGTGAAGGTGTGCGCATGGAAAGGTTTCCCTTCTCGAATTGGTAAATACGACACATCTGAACGACTTTTTTTGAGTTTCCTGTCTGGTCAAATGTTAGCAGACGAAATGATTCATTTTAAGGTAAAGCACCGTATACTCAAATAAAACCACACCTTATTACCTATTATTTCTTGGTAATTTCAAAAGACAACAATGTTTTTGTAAACATAAAAAAAACATTTCATGTGATACAATGAAAAGTACCAGACCGTTAAATATATGCGACACGTAAGTAATTATGCAAATGATTCATTGTCTTCATCGTGAAAACATTGCAGGAGGATGGACCAATTTCCTTTCGCTGCATTGTTACATTTCACACCCTTTCCTTTTGTCATGGTTTAAGACAAATAACAAAGCAGTGTCTGAAACTTTTGTTTTTAAACATGCGCTTGGGAGGTATGTGGATGATGCTTAAAGTTTATATTTGTTTAGTTTGCGACCATGACCAGCATTTTGTCATTTAAGATCACCCTATTGTTTTATGATGTGTAAAATTTGTAAGAAAATCTTCTGTTGGCCATCTGGCGTATGTCTTTGCCATGTTTAAGGATGATCACAGTGGTGTTAGATTACTAGTTACACGCTCAATTACCTATCTTTGGCGAATAAATGTGTGCAGTCTGAGCCCACACGAGCGTATGCAATGAGGTGTGCGCGTGTTTAACAAAAGAAGGAAGTGTGGTTCCTGGGTGTGCATCAATTTATTTTTGTTGCAGTTATGAAGTCATTTATCATCGGAATTGTGGAGTATGAAACTATACCTATATATTAGAAACTATAAAATGTGAGGTGGAGAAATGTTTAGTAGCTTCTAAAGAATTTCTATAAAATTAGATTTGACCTTTTATTAGGTACCCATTGCGACTTCGTTTAGCTGGTGACTCAAACTTTTAAATTACCAAGTTATCACTTGCATGTAGTGCTCTAAGCGGTCATTGTTTTATCTTATAAATATAAACAGAAATAGGTTTTGATAAAAAATTCCATATAATTTTGTAAATATTCTAATTCTCATAAATCTATTGCCAATATTTTTCAACCATTAGCACATGAAACAGAATTTTTGCATTCTCATAAATTATTTAAATTGCCAAATTTATCAAGACCAGTGCAATGCAATCTATGCTGATACATAATAAATAAACATGCAGACAGTATAAATAAACAATCTCTGCTTGCAATGATAACATTATGAACTTATTGCCTATATAATAATCACTAGGTGAGCACTATCGAAGCAAAATTTATATAAACATTCGTAACTATCAAATTTGCAGCTGGGTTTCTTGATATCACATCCAACAAAGCATCAATGAGGTCAATTAAATTAATTAACGCTAGTTGATATTTATTGTCACTACTGCTGCGCGTTAAATTGAATTTACTTGAAATATGATTATTAATAACGCATTATTTAGGCACAACCTTACACTTGCACATTATCTCGGTTTATACAATTGTGGTATTGCATGACTCTCTTGAAAAGATATCGAATAAAGCGATAAGTACAAAATGTCATGATTCTTGCAAATATGTAGGTACTACTATTGAAATCTTGCTTGCATGTCTAGAGTGTGTACGCAAACTGACATTAAGCGATGTATTGCTTTCCATTATGTGTAATTTTCTAGCACGCCATTTTCATGCCGGTTGTCAGAGCGGCAGTCGTCGACTGCACCGCAGGAACACCAGTCACGTAGACAGCAGGAGCTGCGTGTTCCCCGCGAAAATCAATACGCGCGTTAATCACATGCATTTGTGATAGAAATAGTGCAATAATATTTATGTTTTTACAAATTTTCTACAAGTGAAACATTTTTGTACTGGTTGGTGGCAAGAAAAACGACGAAACAGACTTTTACAAGGTTAGTTGAATGAAATCAATAAGTAGAAATTTCATGTGAACACGTTTGCTTTATAAATCCGTTGTTCATGATAAGAAACCTATGATAGCATTTATCCCATTTGGCAGTAGATATAACCTTAAACTTTACCCCATACAATCATGTTTTATGAAAGTTTTCTCCTCATCACTCAATACTTATATTTAGAACCGCTTGGGGTGTGCGAGGTAAATAAAAACGGGATATGTGTATTTCTAAATTTGTCTTCTGTCAGGGAGAGACATTCCCGCGGCATGACGTGTGTGCGGCACGTGTGCATCACTTTTTTAAAAAACTTTATAAACACATATTTCGCTGCTTGGTTGCTCGCTATTCGTCAAAGGCTGAACTACGAGTATGACTTAAAATTGTTAAAAATTATTTCAGATGAGTTTACCAATCCATTCAAACGTGCAAAAAGTGCTTTTTCCATCCACTTCTGAAGAAAACCTGAACGCAGAACAAGAAGATGATAAATTCTTAAAAGAACTGCAAGAAAAATCAGAAGAAGCGAAAGCCAAATGGAATTTTGATTTTGTTAATGAAGTGCCATTGGATGGAAATTACGAGTGGGAAGCTATACGTGTACCTGAAGTCATACCAAAGAAAGCAGACGAACTGAAAGCGAAGTTAACTCCTCAAAATGAACGCCAGTTGTGATCAAAGAAAAGACAAGTCATATTTACAAATATTTTAATAACCCTGCAATTATTTATTTACTTCATACTGTGTGATTATATATGGGTTGTGCGCTATATTTACATAAATAAAGTTTGATTTAACTTATTTAAGCGTGGCCTGATACAATGTAAAAGATTTTTTGCCAAATCAGCATTTTTGCCTGTCTTTAAACGAAGACTGTTTACTTAAACATTGATTTATACATAAATAAATAATTCCGAATAATGTTTGTGTTATCACTCAAAATGACCGCTCTTTCAACGCATACATTACAAAACATTACATTGTAGGATATAGGAACTGATAAAAATAAACGATGACAAATTATATTGCAAACTGTGTGTCCGTTGTTGATAATTAACGAATACGAAAGATAATATCGGATTCCTATGAGACTTAAAACAATGAACTCGAGTTTAACCGCGCGGAAGAGAAGAAGCATTGAAATACGAACGTGTGTCTTTCCGAAGGCGGATATTCTCACCCTCGAAAGTCAAAACCCCTCGATTTGAAGTCGCGACTCGCGATTCATTCACACTGAATCGCATCCACAGCCCATTCCAACCCTTCGAGTTATTTCCAGTTGGACCCCAATGCAGTTTAGAGTGCGCAACATACCGGAAATGTCTTATAAGATTTCTCAACTTTTAAGCCGTGTTCCGGTACGTAGGCTTCTTGAGCCGTCTACTTTTTATTGCAGTACATAAACGTGTGTGAACGCAGGAAGTGCAGGAAACTCACAGACTGTTGACATTGCAAATAATTTGAACAACGGAAATTATTTCCAATCTCAGTCATGTCAAAAAAAAACGGTCATTTTTAAAATAAGCCGCGTCATTGTCAACATAAAATTAAGACTGTTGCAGATAAATTCGATAAACATGAAATTAATGAAATAAAATAGAATGAAAACTTACTTATGATGTTATGGAAGCGAAACGTGCGAAAAGATGTGTTAACAGCTAGTGAAATAGTGAAAGTTATTAGTTTTTAATGTATTGCTTATCGATGTTCTGTTGTTTAACGTGCGAACGATGTGTAAAATGTGTACTGTATGAACTTCAAGCCGTGAAGTGTGTGCTGTGTGTCGATGCACATACGGCCTCCCCTCGACGCAGTCGCATCGCCGAACCCGCGGACTCCCCCTGCGCTCCGCGAGTCTGCGACGCATTATTCAACCATAGAGTGCGCTCGCCGCACACAAACGCCGCGATCGTTCGACGCGACGCGAGTACGCTCATAAAGTCAGTCAAAAACGCTAGGTCGCAGCGCTTGGTTGCGTCCGTCGCCGTGGCTGTGTCCTGTGCCCTCAAAATTAACAACTCCAACGCAAACAACACCCGCGTCTTATCGATATCCAATCAAGTCAACTAGACGAAAACAATTGATAAACTAGTGTGATTTTCAAGTGTGTGTCGTTCATCGTCGCTTGTTTGGATACGTTACCGAGGACGCGCCTTTCGCGTGCTCATAAGACAACGTACGCCGAGCGCAGTTGGTTGCCTATCATACGAGCATCACACCATAGCAAAGCATACAAGATGAGCGCATCGGTGTTCAAACCCATTCACTCCTCCCTGAGCACGCTCAATTTTGAGCTGCCCAGAATACGGGGCACCATCGTCAACAGGGGCATGCGGAGCATGGAAAAGGTGCGCCGTGTGCTCTTCGAACCCGTCGATCACGCCGAAACCGAACAGTTCCTACGTACTGAGCTTGATCAGTACGCGCACAACGATTGCAATAAATGGGAGTTTGACTTCAAGCAGGAGAGACCCTGCAACCCCAACAACAACAAGGGTCGGTATGCGTGGAAACCCGTCACACCGTCGAAGATCTCCCTGGCTCCGCGAAAACGTCAACTGCAGGTCGAATATGATAACAGTGAATGTTATCCAACACTTCCAGAGAAGGATTTGACTATGGTTGATCCTGTAAGCAGTGATGAGCTTAACACTGAGATTCCTAAACGACAGAGTAAAATCACAGGTATGACCATTTTTCAAATCCAATTAGATTCTATTAGCATGTAAAGTCATATTAAAATATCCGGAAGTTTTCATTATGTTTTCACTTATTTAATGTCACAACTGCAACATAAAAGATAAGTTCAACGAACTTGGTCTATATTTGTGTCTATTACAAATATGTAACATGCAAACTGGTGTATGAGTTATACGATAACGCATGCTAAGTTATACACATCCTAGTCGAACGCAGATAATAAACAAATTTGAATTATTTGAGTAACAATGGCACGTGTTGACAAATATGATCGGGAGGTGTTTTTGAAAACCTCAAGGGGTTTCTTAGATCTTGTGCCGAGAACGTGCCGCGTTATGTTAACAATACCTCTCCGCACCCTTTTTTTTTTTCAAACGCCGGCAATCCCCAAAAGTCTGCCTGCCGACAATAGAAAGTATTCATTTCATTAGGATGCCACGCATTTGGCGAAACTGCGTAAGCAAAACAGCTGTTATCAACACAACTCGGGGCAGATGTTTAACTTCCTCCCTTATATTATTCGGAATGGGGTGTCCGGGTGCCCATCGCGATTGGAAATCATCGTCTAAAAGGTGTGCGTCGTGCGCTATTGATGTGGGGGTACACGCATAACCATCAAACACACACGTCTAGTTTATATATGGAAAAAAGGGGGTGGAACGCGTAACGGTTTTTACGAGTGTTTCGCCTGTGCCATACGGCTGCCGTTTTGCCGTAAATGCGTAACCGTAGTAGGCACAATCTCGTGCTAGTCATAAACATTCAGACTCGTCCTCCGTATTACGCTTGTGCACGCAGCACAAGCCAACATTGATGCATGATGCCCAAGCATACATTATATACGCGCTCGTTGTGTATGTGTGGATGATGATGTCCGAGTAAGGGAAACCGGTTACGCTTACCACTTCGCCCTTTAATATCTTCAGATGTATACTCCTTGGCTTTGGTACTTTTTTTTTACTTCTTACTCTACTCTACAACAGGACTTGCGCTTTGCTAGGAAGCATCAACCTTCAAACGAGTTCGTTGGACTGTGTGTTGAACAGACTAGGCTCTCCTAGATAAATCTGGTCTCGCGGTGCGTGTACGCGTCTTCTTCGATATCGTGAAACCACCTCACGCGCGCTCACGTTGTGCGTGTCCAATCTCTTCTTCGCCAGGCTTTTCTTTGTGAAGTAACCACGCTCGGCGTATATACACGCTTGTAAGAGATCGGTCAAAGGTGGTTCACCTTGGACGGAGCGTTCACCCATTACAAGAAGACAACTGAAGCTCGTTTCATGTGCGGCTTCTTGTTTATACTATGTTGTATACACCACGCCGTCTTCTTATCCCTTGGTATCTTCCCGAGGGAGTTAAAATACAAACAAAATTATTTTTACTATAGATGCATGAGTAATGACTGACAGTAATTTAATCCACCCGGATGTAAATTCGGCTTGAATGCTGTAACGTCATGAGAATGAGAAAAATTAGAGCTCTCCCCACTGCTCTAATACAGGCTACAGCGATAGAAACGTGGGAATCAGTTGGGAGTAATGTGTGTGTACTACATATGCATAATTAGACGTGCTACAGTAGCGCCGCATCCACGTGCACGCGAAACATCAACTCGTGGAACCCTTTTTGTGCTCCCTTGTGTCAGGTTCTTAACTTGTGGCATGACCTTTTTTGTTCGCGCTATTTTAACGGATGCGTATTGAAAGAACCGCAAATTCGTTGACACAATGCAAGGTTCAACGATTAATAATGTTGTGCGTTTTTTTGTCTGTTTCAGATTTCATGCAGTCGCGAAAACGGGCGGCCGATTTGGCGTTCACCAAGAAGGTGTCCGGTTCATCATCACCGATTCCCACCAAACGCGCATCATTCAGCAGTTAATCACACAACTTCTTTTTTTAATTCAATTAATCAAAAAATTCAACTGATAAGAGAAATCATAACCACAAGAAAGATACAAACTATAAGAGATCTCTAAATAGTCCACGGTTGCAAAACGGAGGATAAAACACACACAATATGTTCAAAACGTAACGCAGAAAGAAAAAGCAAAGGAATTATTTCTGAATAGTTTAATTTAAGTTGAAAATTTTTCATATTTTATAGTGTTGTAAATTTTTTGAGTTTATTATTTATTTTATTTCTCTTTTAAGTTCTAATATTCGATATGACATCATCGATTGTGGCGCGTGAACTGCACAAGAATTGTTGCAGTGATGGCCAAAAAAAAAACACTACTGTAAGTTCGCATTCGTCTTTTTCCTGCTCAGCTGTGAGCAGATTTCTTTCCCATGGACTTTGAGCTAACTGTGATGCACTGATATATCTAAAAAAATAGCTATTTTCAGGCATTATTTTCAAATTCGTGATGAATTTTATTTTCGTACTAATTGATCACTAATCCCAGTTGAAATGATTTGATTCGAATTTCGATCAATTAATCGTAATTTTCGTTGTGTACTAATTTATTAAAAATAAATTTATGGAAAGTATTGGTGATGCTTCAGATTTCGGCACTATGCAATGCATAATCAAATGGCGTATTGTACAAACACACTCTTCTCTAATCTAGACACAAAAGTTATACGACAAAATTGTTTGTGAAACGCCTGTAAAATGAAGAAAAGCAAATTAAGAGGAATTTATAATAGCAACACCTGTGATGTATAATAAGATTTTGATCTCAATTTTCAAATACATTTTAGAGTATAAACATTAAAATAATATTTTATACATGAATTTTATTAGTTTAGTGAAAGTATATTATAAACACTTATATTTGAATATACGTATGTAGCTTGGAAAATCAACAACAACCTGACGGGATGGAAAAGTGCATTATTATTGTATAATTTCAATTATCAATGTACGTGTGTGTTTTGTAAGATCCCAATTTTATTCTTAGTTGTAATTATTAATCACATTACCGTAATATGTTCACAATCGCATCAATCGAGCGAAAAAATCATTTTTAATTCGAATTGATGCAAATAAATGGGCTTCACATGTTGTTATAAAGAATCCTGCATTTTATTGTTGTTAATTTAAATGTTTTCAGCTATTTTAAGTCTTGGCGGAGCTTTGAGGCCAAGTTTATGTCCTTTGAGCCACTAGTTTTGCAACATTGATAAACATTCCAAGGTCGAGCGCTTCACACACGACTATTTTTTATCAACAAATTATGTGCGTGCCTTTATTATTATTATTTCTGGTATGTGCTAATCTTTTATTCGCAGGCAACGCGTGTTGTTTTCAAAACGTTTGAATGAATATTTTATCGCCGCCAGCACCGCCACATTGTAATAAAATCTAACCGGCCACGCATGTTTATGGCGATTATGCGTAAAATACGCGACAACGCGACATTCAATATGGTAATTTGCTGTGCGTGCGTTTATTACACTAGACGCTATTTGTACGATTTGTTTTTCGTTTAAATAACATTTGAACTTGTTTGAATTACGATTACGCGCACATGTCGTGTTGATTCACTTGTGTTCGATCAAGTGCGGAAGTTTTTAACGATCAGATAAAAAATTACTAGGAGAATAAGTAAATTATCGATATTTATGGTAAAAAAATTGTTTTCCTAGTGTACAGAAGCAAATTTACATCAGGAGATCCTCAGAGTATGCGAAATCAACTTCAAAATTCATATAAGTTAGTTTCATAGACTCAGTTTTGTGATTTTGGGCATTATCTTGTTAGTTTACTTGAATCACTAAATAAACAAGAAAACTATTTACTTAACTGTGAAGATAAGCAGCGTGAGTTATACTTCTGAGCGTCTGATGAGTTAATTTTCTTCATATTCGCAATAAACGTACAAAACTAACCTGAAATTGTTTTGTCTCTGGTGTTACATCACAATGTTGAAAGAAAATAACACTGCGTAGTCATAATATTTTATTCATTACTTAAACACACGATTAGTTAAACACTACTTCAAAATATTGACTGGCGAACAAGTGGGAAACATTACAGCATTCCTTCCTAGAAGCCAAAAAAACATACTGCATTTAAAAACTAAATTTGGTGACGGGTGAAACGTTTAACGTCGACTTATTTCATATTATTCATATAACTCTTCTGTTCTGCTCAGTTCAGTTTTTTTCCAACTATCCCATGAATGAAGTCACTGCTGAAAAAATCCCCGTGGCTGTTGTGATCAAGTCAAGTGTGTTTTAGTTTTTTATTTGATTATTTTCTGATTAGAGGAAATGAATGCCTCTTGAAATAAGGGGCTCGAATATTACTTGGCGGTTTTTCATTCATCTCAAAACGCGGGAAAGATTACACTGAACTCTACCTTGCCGGGAGATTTGCCGAGATGAAAGGAAATATTATGCTAACCTGTGCGTTAAGTCTCAATTAAACAAACATGATCGCGTTTGCTTGCACGATGCATTCAGGCAAAGTGAAGCGTAAATATGTGTGCCAGTGTGCCACTTGCTTCTCGTGGGCCCCGTAAACTTGTTTGTTCCCTCGTGGCTTTTAACTGAATTGTATTAATATTAGTATTCATATTTTGAGGGTCACCGTTTTCTACAATTCAATTCAATTCGGCATAGCTTTAGGTCATAATCATTTACATTTGCATATTAATAAGGAATGTTTAGTAGATTTAGGTATAGGTTACACATTGCGAATTTGAACATTTCACAAAGGTAGGCAGCCAACATTACAATCAATATGTCATGGCAAAAGTTAAGAAAGTTGGTATTTCAATGAAATATTGCAAATAATACGATTTATTATTTGCATAATAACAACACAACAAATTTAAATTTTTGAGGGTTGTTTATTATTTTGTAATCTGATTTAATCCTAATAATATATACATCAAATCAACACAATTTAGTGCAATTATTCCCTTTGAATGCATCGCGCACGTTGATTGCGTGCGAACGTTTTTCTAGCGCCACGCACACAAAGCCACCTCACTCACCCTTGCCCCCTTGCAAGATGCGTAACAATACGCGAGCTATTTCGCATATTTAGAGGTAATAATTTTCCCCACTTGCCCGCCTCAGGTACACACCTCAGATTGATCCGCATTCACGCACAAAGAAACACAAAATAACCTAGCGATAGTAGTAAGTAATGTTGTAAATAGCAAAGCAATAGGGCGAGATGTTGAAGACCAAGTGAAAGGAAAAGGGGAACTCCCTTCTTGCTGCACCCCCAGGGACACTCATAAAACACCTTAATCGCTTTCGAGTGCTTTCAGGTGTGTTCTTAACACCTTATGCAACGAATAGATGTCGGTCAAGATGCACAACAACACCGTGAGGGGTGCAATGGAACTAGGTCGCGAGTATTTACGCCCGTTGCTGTTTGTTTGCAAGACGAGGGTTGTGTTTGCTAATTCGGTTTGAACAACCGTATAAACGTTTTCTAGGCTAGGCGAGCGTCCAGCGATGACAATGGAATAGGTCAACTTGCCAAACAACGACTCGGACAAAGACTTTCGGCTTTTCTTTACTGCCAACCCTAGATGTCAAACGTGTACCGACAAAAAAAGTCTTAATTACCCCACTTATAGCACTTATCAAACACCCTTATGAACGTTTTCGATTAGACGCCGCTTTTCGGCGATTTTACGGCAATTTTAAGCCACTTGAAGCAATTCACTTCTATTAATGCATGAGAACTTTATCAAAAAATACTATTTTAAAATCCATAGTGCTCCTTTTGATTTAAAGCCGCGAGGAGTAAGGAAGCCAGTTGCAGCCGCAACATTTTGCGCATACGGTGATGGAGCTCAGGTCCAATGAACTGCATCGTCTTGAGGTAAACTCGGTGCACTCACCTTTGCGCAAAGTTCGTTGCAAGCGTACAAGTGCGCATGCTTCACGTATCTATCATTAACTTCGCAAGACTTTCAACTCCTCAAGCTTTCATTACAATGCATTCCGCAGCTGTTGTACTCGTATACCAGATGAGAAATGAAATGCTGCATTTCTCACAAGAAAATAAAAAAAATGAAATAAAATTCTATTGCATCCATTCAGTGACATGTCCGTACGGTATCAGGTGGTTACGTGAAGTCTGTTTTATCATCAACGCGTACGTGTGAGCGTACGCGAGCTCGCTTTTTGTGTGTTTGATCGGCTTGCAACGCCGACCAAGCGACCAGTTTTCGCGGCGCCAACGGACAATTCACACTTGCAAAACCCGTAAACCTGTCCTATTCAGTACTGTTTCGCCATTATTTATTCGCAAATAAAGGAAAGCTTATAGGCCGAGTCGAGCGTACAATTGAAAGAGGGTTGCCGGACTCCGCGCGATGATGGGTGCGCCCATTTTTTTTTTCATAATGGACATTCGGCATTCATCTCCTGCCTCCCGATAAACGCGAGAGAGGATATTTGACACACACAGGGGGTCGCGTCGAACATTTTTGCATGAGAAAATGCGCATGTGAACGGTTCGCTTTGTCCGCGGCTCTAATTAAATGGTAATTCACTTAAGCGGAAAGGGAACCTGATTTTTTCAACATACAAATGTTGTTGATGTATTTTACATCGGTTATCTACACACCAGACAAAGAAATTAGGTTAAACATGTCCCTAAAAAGATGAAAACTTAATCATTTAGAAATTTTGCGCGTTTTGAATAAATTTTACATCAGAAATACCAATTTAAGTGATACAATCATTGGTCATTATGAAAGCAAATACATTTATTGGCATCGTGACTCCTTTAAAGTAAAACCCTTCATCGCGGGATAATATCCCAGCAATTAGGCCACGCGCACGACGAAAACAACAAATTCTAACCTGTAATCAGCTTACATTGAGAACACAGACATACTTTTCATGCTTGTGCATTGCGTCGATACGAATTGTACCCATATCTCATGCAATTACGATGCTACATTTGATGTACTATAATTAAAGTGGATAAATTATTGTACGCACATTACGAACGTGAATATACACGTCGTTTTCGGTTTCTAGTTGTGTGTTGCTGGGCACAGCGATGGAAATCGTAATTACGATGTCGGCATTAAATGCCCGACCTTTATCCACTTTTTACTCACTCGTGTAATTGCCGGCGAACAGCGCACCGAGAAGTTGACCCTAAATTACCTATCGTGAACTCTACGCATGAAAATCACGACGAGACCCCCGCATTATCATGGTTGGTGGTATCTTCTTTTCTCATGTGAACAAAAGATAAAACGCATAAAAGTTTAGAATATGAATCAGAACTCATCACATCGCATGTGAAAGGCGACAAACATTTCGTTTCGATGACATTTACGACTGTCTAAGCTTTAACCTAAAAAAATTTTACGACTTACACTCGTAAAATAGGTCCTGGTAGTGGTTATGTATGCATTTCTACGAATTTCAAGATTTTTTATTAAAAAATTTAAAACTGGTAGATATTTACTGATGCATGACAGAAACTTAACCGCAAGACACCTGTGGATGTGTGGACTTACAATTAGAGAAACAGGTGGCAATTGCATGCGCAGAATGATTGCGGCGCAGTGGTGTGTAAAGTTAATTTGACGAACGACGAAGAAGTAATGCACCGCTGAATCACGGCGAATGCAGGTGAATGTAAACAAGATTCTGCTAAAGCATACTCGCAGGCGCGCAGCTTTTACGAAATTTACCCAACAAATTAGTTCGGGTACAGTCGCGAAGGGTTGTTGATTCGTTTTATGCTCGCGCGCTGGTTGCGCTATGTGAGTTTCAAACATGGAAGTCACGGTCATGTTTCTTGATTCGAGTGAAAGATTATGCCGGCGTTCCCATAATTTCAAAGAAATGCCGGTTGGATTTTTGCCACCTCGTGCGTGACAAACACGTCTACAAGTGGTCTTATCGATTGTAACCAGGTACCAACGTATTTTTTCTTAATTACAGCAAATCATGAATATCCAAATATTGTGGGAATATTAAATAATCTAACCACAAAAATAATAAAAGAAGATTTTTTAGGTTAGATCTGTTTTACTACTCAGATTTTTCTTGGTGTAAAAAAAAAATAAGAATAGAATTTCAACGTTTAAATCTTTCTCCGCTATTATAAGCACATTAGGGTGGAGTCGAGGAATTAACCACAGCACGACGCACACAAGAAACAACGATTAACATATACGAAAAGTGCAAGGTACTATTGTCCTCCCTTGAACGGCGATGGCAGCTATTGTGTTCCAAATACGGTCGTGCGCAATACGTAATTTCACCACTTGATTATTACCAATTTGTAGCAATTTAAGTGAAAAGGAAAACGCAGACAAAAACCAGCATCGCCGCATCAATTGTAAGCACAAAGATGCTGTAATAGACGCATATCCTATATTATCGGATGTATAAAAGTGGTCGGTCGTTTGCAGACGTGAATGTGCAGCATTCTCAACCGCTGGGAGAATACCAATGCGGTAGACGCATGCTTCGTGCGTCGATCAAGATGATAGAATGATGGAATAAATTATGCATATTTGGTGTTGCTCTGAATGTTTGCGTGTCATGCTACTTTATATAGCATGTAGTGATGGGTGACATCTGCAATTGCAAATCCATATAAGGGCGTTTGAATTGATTCGCACTTTTTCAGCGCACTGAATAAGACATGAAGAGAAAATAGAAGAAGAAAAAAACTTTTTTTTTTCTATTTGACTTACCGTGGGCAATTAAAGTGTGTGAGGACAAATTAATAAATTTTATTTCATAATCCACTACAAGTTGGTTACGGGGTTGTGCAGATTGCAGAAACATTCTGATTATACCGAAGTCACTGACACCGTGGCTCGAGTTCAAGGCGATTGTTGTTGTTGTAAGTAAATGCGCTTACGTATCAAATGCGATCCTACGGCATAATGCAGCGTGCATCTTCGACGCGCATCGAATAAATGGAAAGATATTACAGCAGAACATAATTGCTGCGCATCTTTGAAGAAATCCCAAGATATTCAAGGTTGCAATCATCGTAGATTCAACTTATACTTAGAATTTTATTTTCTACATACCTACTTATTTATCATTCTACAGCGTAAAATTCTAGTAGTCTATTTAGACAGACACACAAGTTGTGCTAGTTTTGTTCATGCGTTCATAGGTCGCGTAGACTAGGACAAGTGAGAACCAGTTGAACAGCCAGGCGCTATTTGTTGAAACACAGTAAAATTCGGTGAGTGGCACACTCTAATTTAATTTACATGTTTTTCCTAAACTTGTACCTTGTTACAACTGCACTATTCAAATTTGTACTGCGTTTAACCAAATATTTACGGAATGCTAGACCACAAGCTTCTTTTTTTAAGTACGCATGTGTGTATTTAAGCTTGACTTTATCAAGTTTAAATTTTGAAACATTTTCTGACCGTGAAAGAAGTGAATTGTTCGAGTCGCGAGTATTTTTATTGTGTTCCGTGTAGGTGCATACAATTACAGCGAATTGAATATTCATATACTTACAAGTGTTAAAAATAACTTAAGATCGGTAGTCAGGCGTCGAGGAAATAAAAAAAAAACACCCTCCCGAAGCTCCCAAGAACAAAACTCGTTCGCTAAAGGGGCCACGCAGCGTATGAAGTTAAGGACGCTTTTGTAGTCGCAACCAAGAAGTCGTAAGACAGGTAGCTAAGCCCTGAAATAAGTAATGCACGTCGGCGCATTATAGCGGCAATAATAACCACTCCCCCAAGTTTTAATCGAATTCTCGCTGTTAGGGAGCTTTCTGGGTTTTTCTACTTCTTCGTATTGTATGAAGAAGTTATGTCTCGACAATACTTTTTTTTGGAGCGATAATTTAAAGTTTGAAGTCGGTATCAGAAGTCTAATCATTTTTCATTTGTTCTTTGCGCACCTTTGTATCGTTAGTGGCGTCAGTGAGTACCAAGAAGCTGCCGACGCAATAAACTGAACAGTAGCCCGGAGCTTTTACCAACGCTGCGTTATAATGTAGCATCCAGTTTTTAATATGCGCCTGTCGTATCGTGGAATGCCCCCGACGGTTGCACCGATTTGTGATGAACGATGATACCATGCTAATGCTATGGTTACAACCTACAACCCTGGCGATGTTTTTTTTTATTGAGAAACATATTTCATTCGCGTTCTTTTTAAATTGTAATCTACAACTGAATAATAGCACAGAATTATTCAAGACGTCTTTCAATGTGTAAATAAATATTTATTAGCGCTAATATTGTGTTAATTATTGTTAAAAATAAAATTAAAGCGTTTTGGCAGGATTTGTACGTATAAAATGTTATTTCGAAGGTTCAGCTGCCATCTACCGATGTTAAATATACTTACGTGTGTAGGCGACGCCACCACAGCTTTCTGTAAGCTCACCGACGCCATTTTGTGATGTCTGCGGCCATCGCTTCTACTACGTTAACTACTTTTGCCTACTAACGCTACTAAGCGCATGGCTTTCAACCTTGCGGCGTATTGTTTGTTTCGTTTCGCTGACTCTGCATTGCAAACACACTCGTTTTTTAACATTTGAAGGTTATTTGAAATAATTAGTACTTTTTCAAGCGTTTTTAATTAATAACAACCACTGACAACATCTCTACCATCGTACAAATCACTCTTCACATCGATTCAAGCCATTCGAGTTGAAATCACGAGGCGACAGTGATTGAAATGTTGTGTTTGCACAGGAAACAATGGTATGTGTTGTATTTGAAGTGAAAATTCGTAACGTATTTTATGTGTTTATTTTAATTTTAGTTCCACTGACACAATGGACACCATGCTTTAATCAACAGTAACAGTAAGTACAAAATTTCTTAATGTCATTAATAGTCATAGTCTTCATCAACTGTTGCTTGGAATGTAAATGGCACTGGTTTCTGCTTTTCTGCTTCTTCAATGGGTCTCTGGTCTAGGACATGGCGTCTTTTTGGTATTGGAATGCATCTGCAATTAATGCTATCAAACATAAAACCTGTAGAACAGTGAGAGGTATTCCTGCATTGGCAGGAACATGTTGTGTAATCCCATAATTTCTTGCCACTGCTTGCATGACACTTTTGTTCTTCATCTGTATTGGCACATTCACACTTGCATTCTTGTTCATTATATTTTTGAACTGCAGTGCAATCCTATAAAAATAATTGTTATAATGTTGCATTTTCTAAAATTGTGTTTAGAACTTACTGTTGCTTTAACTTTGCAACCACAAAAACACTTTGTATGCTTTTCCATGTGGACTATCTCTTTACCAACATATTTCAACCTATTCCCTGATGCAAATTGTGTTTTGATGAGCTATGATAAGGTCAGATTTAATAGAATCCAATTGGTACTGTGAATAGTTAAATATTCTTACCTTAAAACTCACTATTTCACTGTCTTTTGGCTGGCATGATAATAGATTGTGTGAGCAACATCCTCCACATCTTTCTATTCTGGTACAGGCAGGAATAAAAATAAGGGAAGGATCATTATTTTCAGGTGCAAGCTTTACAGTTTGAAGTTCTGGTATGCATGGTGCTGGTTTTGGTGTGATTGCTGAACCTATTACAATTTGATTATTATTTATGTTTGCTTATATCTCATTACTTACTTCTTTCTACATCTGCACCAAATCTAGCTGTAAATGAAAAATATACTGTCAAGTTGGTTTTGCGAGGCAAAAAAACAATCGCTAAACTATTTCTACGTCAAATTTATTACAGAATTTCGAAATTATGGACTCGTTCACTTCAGAACAATACGAAGACGCGCAGGAATTCGCTTCCTTCTACTTCGATCTCCTCGAAAACCATCGTGAAACATTCACGTATCATTTATCAGAGGGCGCTGTCCTTGATTGGTTTGGCAGGACAATTAAAGGTGTTCAAAACATAAAAGACTTTGCCAAGTTGCACATGGACTTGATGAAGCATAGGTTTTCAAAAATTGAACCGTGTCACGAAATAGGCTACCGAAAAACCCATATAGTCGAGTACTCGACATTGCGTGCAACCGACGCGAACGACGTTTCGGAAGTGAAACCGAATCCCAGTGCACAACAAGAAAAAACACCACCGAACGCCACGATCGCGACTAGTTCACGCAAGCGAGAAAAGGGTCAAGGCGATGGCCTGCATAATTGCCCGTCTGAATCGCCAGCGAAACGCTCGCGACTCACAGGCGATGTTATCGAGCCGAAAATCTCCGCGCCCCTATACACCGCGAATATAAGCTCAACAGGATATCTGGAGTTTCGCGGGAAAAGCGGCAAGAAGTATCAAAAGGAAACCAAGTGGCAACGGCCTTGCACATTCCAAGTTGCGTACAGTAAAACGCCCACCGGCTATCTCGTACACTTGATCATTTATAAAGGTAACATGCGATGCAGGCGGAATTTGCTCAATGATTTCAACGCGGTGCCGAATCCCGCAGAATGAATCTCTTCTTATCAACGTGCAATTAATTGGGGTCCCAATCATTAATTTTGAATCTTCTGCAAAGCTTTATGAAGTTGTTTTGTTACTGTTAGTATTATTACAAACAATGAATCTCTTTTATTAGATCTAATGTTAATTTACAACAAATCAAAAAAATTATTAATCATCTACGATTTAAAATACGATTTTAACTCTCATTGTAAATAGAAATTTGTTATAAACTTATTATTTATGGAATTCTTGTTTGTTAGTGTACTGTAAGTGATCACAATGTGCCAAAATCAAGATGATAGACTTATTTGATACGTGTGAACTTTGCGATAAATATTTTTTGTATTAACAGTTAATATAAAATGTTATAGAAAACAAACTTACTTGCAACAACTGCTTCGTCCTCATAATCGTCGACATAGTACAACAATAGGTCGCTGACATTGTACGTGCTGATCTTTTGTATGAATTCCACTGGCGGGATCTCAACGTTATGAAAAATAGAAGATTTCGATTAAAATGGGTGGGAAATACCCATATTTAAATTAGTTCTATAAATAAATGGATTTCACGATGCGGATTTCGCACGATTCGTCATCGCAATTAATTTTATGTGCAGTTTAAACTAGACGGTGGTAATAAATTTGCTATCGTATCAAAAATTAATTGCAGAGTAAAACAATTTAGTATATACTCGTGCTAATTAAAATAATTATTACTTACCGTTTCAAGGGAATTATAACCGAGTGTAACGTTTGACTTTGGCGATTTGGAGATGTCTATGGTCCGACGGTGGACAGCTCCAGGGAAAGATATTGAATCAGTATCTGTGTCTGCCACGTGCCCCGAGTATGGATTCCCATCAACTAATAAGCCAAACAACACTAACGTCCAACAACGCATCATTCTAAGGCAGATTTTTTAATGTTTGTCTACTTATTAACAACACCAGCACTCGAACCAAACTTGTTTCTGAGTCAAGGTTTGTTTAGATGTTGAGACGTTTAGAATAATAATACGCGCGAGCAAAAGAAGCAACAGATAATGCCCGATGGAAGAACTGCACCACACTGACCGATTGTGTATCACTAAGTGATTAGGTAGGTGGACGGTCCGACGAGAACTTCAACACGACCCAAGGAGAATTTTATCTTTGGGTGGGGACACCTAATGACACAATATTTATATACCTACATATAAAATGCAAGTATTGGTTATATATGCGCAGGTTACTAATTAATTTAGTCACTCTAGATATTTTCGGTAACACGATCAGACCTGATTATTAATAAAAACATCAAGTTTATTATATAAATCTGTATCAAGTATGTTAAACACTATAATTTCAAACATTCGATGCAGTAGTTAACAACTCAAGATTATTGCAAACGCTAACACATTAGTCATTCAAAATTTTTATTAAAAACCGATTGGCCTACTTTATTGTTTAATTTTGTTTGCTGGTACCAGGTTTATCAAAATTTGGCGTTGAACACTTGTCGATTTCCTTTTTGATTTCCTCAATCAACGGTATCGCCGGGTCGTTTTCTTTTAGCACGCCATTAACTAATATTAATTCGCGGTTTATTCGAGGCGCGGTGTAGGGTCTATCAAAGGGTGCACTGATTGGGCGGACTAATGGCGATGGGGCAGTACTCATCCAGGCGCCTTTGGGGCCTTCAATAGTGCGACGAGGTTCGGTTGTTTTGGGTCTTGGTGGGTCGTGTTTAATTTCAAAGTTTCTGTCAAAAAGATTAAATTTTAAGATAATTTATGATGAAATATTTTAAAATAATTGTTTACCGATCCATTGCAGATTGACTCTTAACTTGTATCGGTTTATGCATTGGACTTTCTCTTCTGCTTCCGAACAAACTGAATGTGTCATCGAGTAATTCATGGAATCGCTTGCGCATCTTCGAGACGTTCGTCGGCTGCCCGTCATCGATGTCCCCATCATCCAAGCCTTGCTGTTGCATGCGATGTTTGTGTAGATTCCAAACAACCGGGCCTATCACGCCAGGATCTTCTGACGCACCTAGGCTTCCGTGTCGGCTGATTGTAAACTCGTCCGGGTCGTGCATGTCTAAATGATGCACGCTCAGGGGCTCCAGTACTTTGTTCAACGGCTCGGGATTATTGCCTCTAAAATATTTATATTTACATGTCAGTAAAGTATTGATTTGTTTTCATTATAAAACATCCAACATACTTTGGGAACGCTTTTACGGACGGCATGGATAAATATGATTTAGGGCTGATAACACCTGGATCATGATGTCCAACGTAGATAGCGTCGCTTAATGTACTACTACTGCTACTTGTGGATAAATTACTTGGCGCTACATTTAATGGCACCGTTTTGTTGACGGCGGCTTTCGGGCGCTGAAGTTTGCGCGGTTTTCCGAGTGCCATCAGGGGCGATATGTCGACACTGCTATTACTGCAATGAAACAAAACTCGATAGCTTGTTATGTATGCGTTAATGATCAACATTGTGTATGGTATACCTCGACAAAGTTGATGAACTGAGACCGCTATTAGGGCGAATATTTGTAAGTGTTTCTGTTGATGCTTGTGTTCGGAAGTTAATATACGTAGGGGATGGATTCTGATTACGTCTACCACTTGTATAAGACCTAGAATCCACCGCATCAGTTTGAAAAGCTTCATTAAGTCGCCCTTCACGTTCCCCGAACACTTTCTTTTGTTTGTCATCAGGGTTCCGCTTAGTTATACAAAACGCAATCAAAATAACACCCAATATCAATATGATTAATATTATTAATGAAATGCTTATAAACAACCACGTGGATTTTACTTCAGCAAGTTCTTGAGCGACTGTTGGTTTAATATAAGCTAAAATTTAAAAATTACTCAAATTTTAGTTAGAAAAAATTGATTTATTACGTTCGGCTTTGACTAGAAACGGAAACCCAAGTTCCTCTTTAACTTCCTTATCAGTCACCAATCGCATGTCTTCGGAAGCAGTAACTGCATCTACAGGTTGTCCAGATACGGCAACATGATAAACCACTTCAATTTTATCCTCGCCATTGATGGGTTGCCTGTCAATTTTATGTATATAAACATTGATCGGTTTATCTTCGCGTTTTATACGTGGATTTATGCCTAAATGTTTGGCCTGTTGCCTTAGAAACGCCTTCTTGTATAAGTTCGCTAAACTTTTCCTCAAATCAACGATATCCGGATCTTTCCCATCGCTTTTCAACACAGTGAGTAGCCAAAACTCTTTATCGGCATCCAAATCGTAATCGTACGCTGTTGGTTCAATAGTTGAACCATCACAAGACTGACACACAGTGGTTGCACTGGTAGTAGTTGGCGGAGTCTGAAAATATTTACGAAATGCATACAAAGCGATTTGATCGCGTGCTCTGATTATGAAATTAGTTTACGTATGCTGTTGAAGTCACGTAAACGGTTTTAGTACTCGTGCTTGTACTGAACACAGTAGTGTAATCAGTTTCGTCCTCTGGTCCGGTTGGCCCATCGCCAGATCCAGTCCAGAAGAAGTCCTCCAGTTTGTAACTGCTCTGGACGTGTCGGAATGCATTTTCAAGCGCGGCCAATTCTACAATACACGCGCTTTTATTGATCAAATGAGGATGCTACAATAATCGCGCTTGGTACGGGATGATACAACATAATTATGTAATTTACACAAGTAAATTACAGCAACTATAAAAGTATTAACTTACCAATGCCTTCTTTTATCTTAGATAAATTGGTAAGATTCAGGTATTCCCCATGCGCGCACTTTAAAAGCAACACTACACTTAACAACAGATTTATTTCCATTTGAACACTGATCGTTGGCTCAGCAAACGCACATTCAAAAAGTTTTAAACTTCATTTTAAACTTATCTTTGCTAATTAATTAAAAACGCGCCCAAAACAAATTGGCTTGTGTTTATGGTGCACGCGCATGGCTCAAAATGTGTATAATGAACAACACGTACAACACGCGCGCCCGTTGCATGCGTTCTGCTGCTGGTCGCTAAAATGGGTTGTATTCTTGGTTGTAATATCGCGGGGCTTTGTCAGGTGCAATACGCGGACGCACATTGATCAAACACATAGGTGCGCAAGCGTTGCGATACAAAACAACAAAACCCATTTCCCGTTCCGAAGCATATAGTTATGTGCCTGGCTACCTGGCTTTTTGGAACATTACAATCATTTCAATGACAATGAATGGTGTGATGCATCACAGCCGCAACATTGAATTCGACAAATTTATCTACTGCTGATATCTACTTCCGGTTGCCTTGACCTAAGCTAATAACAACGCTGTTTGCGCTTAATGAACCAGTAAATTATGCAATTATACCGATTTTATTATTATTGCGAATTATTCTATTCACATTAAACGTAACGGATTGATGCAATGTCATCGTAGTCACATCTTTTAGTAATTGTTTGTATTGAATAGTTGTCATGACGAATTCTTGTATATCGATCGATTGGGTTTTCATTGCACTTTATTTCGAAAATGGAGCTGGAGTTAACCCGAGTGGATTATACCATAATTGGTGTAAATTCTAATAATTGTGTTAAACTTTTACCCTGTGAGGTATCCGGTGAAACGCAGAAGGTTGCCGTTGCTGATCAAGATGGTATCCTGCAAGTGTTTTCTATTAAGAAGGAAGATGTGCTACTGCATTTTAAAACACTGCCAGGGCCTAAATGTACGTCCTTGCAACTTGCTGGTGCATCAGGAACACCACATGATAAAATCTTTATCGCTACTGATAATGAAGTGCGGGGGTTCACAAAGAAAGGAAAATTATTTCTAAGTTTTGATACAAACCTGACAGAACCGATTTCTTCAATGTAAGTTATTATAAATTGTAATGCAAAATAATAAAGAAATATACATTTTAGGTACGTTTTTGGTAATGATTTATTCGTCTGTGGAAAACACATTTATAATCACTACAGGGATTGTAAAGATGTTGGATCATATTTATGTGGTGATAGAATCGTCGACGTGATTGCATTGTATTTAGACAAAGTATTATTTATAGATTAATCTTTAAATACATTTGTTAAACATAATCATTTTAGACTAACCGTCTTATTTCGCTGATTGCATGCGAAGGAAGAATGATTAGAAGTTTGGAACATGCAAGAGTTACACACAGCATTGAAATAGAATCTCCACCGACATTATTACACATTTACGAGTTTGAAGATCGACATTTTGTTATCTTTGGAACAGTTGATGGTAAAGTTGGTCTGTTAGATTTGGACAGAGCTCATACTTTTGATCGCTGGTTACTTAATCATTCGCAAAATTCAAGTTCAATCAGTTGCATCGTATCTTACGACTTAACAAAAAACGGTGCCAATAATTTGGTCATTGGAAGAAGTGATGGTAATATAGAAGTATACACCATTAACATTCTGGATAAAATTGATCGTCCCAACTTAGTATTTACATATGTATGTTAAAATAATTACAATTTTGAGTAATTTTTAATTTCATTATTGATTGTTTGTAGCATTGCAATGAAAGTGTCACCTCTTTGCAATGTGGCATTGTAAGCACCGTAGGTTTCGATGAAATTGTCGTGGCAACTTACACAGGTCGAATTTTTGGTCTCACCTCGGAAGCTACAGATAAAAAGGTTGGTGGAGATAGTCAAAATGGCTCCTACATGTATTCCGCGGATGCGTCACATAAAATAATCAAACTTAAATCGGAAATTGAAGAACTGCAGACAACTTTAGTCAAGGAACGCGAGAGATATCAATCGTTGACGCATAGTTTTCTTGATGAATTCTCAGCTATACCGATGTTAAGTATTAAAGATTCAATGATTTTAAGCAAAGAAGGTGCGTCATACACTCTTACATTAGAAGTACCTACAGCGATTGATAACGTTCTTTTGCAAAGTGATGTGCCGGTTGATTTGTTGGATGTAGAGAAAAATTCGGCTGTTGTAAGTTATAGCGACGCTGATGCAAAATCTGGTAATTTCTTACTGGCAACATATCGTTGTCAAGTTAATACTAATCGATTGGAAGTGAACATTCGTACGATCGAAGGGCAATATGGTGTTTTAAAGGCGTATATTACGCCATTACTACAACCGAAGTTTTGTCAACTGCGTGAATATGAAATTAAACCTTTATCGCTACATTTACGCATTCACCACTTTGATGAACAACGTGCATTTGACGTTTTAACTGTAAAGGGATCATTTAGCGTGGCAGAAATTCATTCCTGGGTGAGCAATTGCCTACCAGAAGTTCCAGAGAAACCCAATTTTGGAGAAGAAACTGTGTTGAATTTTCAATCCACATTTTTGGATACCATCTTACAATGTCGATACACCAAAGGAGAAGGAACATTTAAATCTGATAATGTTACTACTATTTCAATATTAAAAGAGTTCTTTAGTAAACAAGCTACTAAAAAGAATATTAAATTTGAAGCATCTGCATGTAAGTACTTATATAATCAATACTTCAATATATAATTCTTTGAAATCATTTCTAGATATAAATGATGAAAGTATTAATCATGTTTTACAACTCATCGATCCAAAGCTCAAGGGTTTCATTGATTTGAATAAAAGGTTGATTTGATTAATGCACTGCACGAATTGGACGTAAATGACAATGACGATACAATGGATGTTCTCAGCAAGAAATATCGCGACTTGCTTGCTAATGAAAAGAGATACAGAGACGAATTTAAACGACAGCCTTCATTCTGTGATCGATTACATGGTAAATGAAATCATCATTGATGATTTAATTTTAAACGATGTGATTATTCTTACAGGTATAATAACTGATTTATATGTTGACTACAACAAATTTAAAGGTATAAATGTTAAAAGTAAGATTCCAAAGTTAATGGAAATCCTGGAAAACTACGACTACAATGAATTACTACACTTTTTCAGACCAAATTATGTATAATTCAATTTATTTTCTCAAAAATTACACACCAATTACCTTGATCATAATAGTACTTAAGTATGTTAACATTCTTAAAAGATTCAACGAGTAATAAAAGTTCTTGATCTTGAAAGACGTGATAGAACCTAAGAAACTCCGATTCGTTCTTGTTTTCAATTTCGGTGCCCTTTAGTTTCCATGGTACCAGCATATCTTGTTCAGCAAACTGCTTACGGTTTGTGTGTACGGCTAAAGCAATATTTTCACCAACATTAACTTTTTTGGTGGTATTGGAGGCTTGAACGCAACTAGTGCTTTTACGATTTTTGCGGTCTTGTTTAAGATAGCTTGATTTTTCATTACGATTTTGATCTTTTGCCCATACATATATCAATGCTTTACCGCCTACTCGTAGTAATCTAATTATTTCTGCAATGGCTTGAAGACGTCGTGATTCACTGCCTAAGTGATGGATTACAGCAATACTTAGAATGCCATCGGCGATTGAGTCTTTAAATGGCACTTGAAGACAATTGCAAGCAAGTGCTTCCAAGTTGCGTTCACGGCATAAAGACAATAGTCCTATACTGTTATCACAACCAATCTGAAACATAGAAATATTAAGGTTTTACATGTTCATGCAGTAATTAATTATCATATTATAGTTACCTCGAAGTTTGTAATAGTATGACCGATGTTTTTGCCGTTACCACATCCAATATCAAGAACAACAGAACCTAAATCAAACGATTGAACAAATTCAAGTACATTTGGCCATGGTGTATGCCTAGTATCACTAAAATGCGACGCTATGTTATTATACACCTGTTGTACATGAATATCTTCCAGTTTTCTAGCATCTTCATCATTAATTTCTATATTTTTACGCGAGTCGCACTTTGATGGATAGTTACAAGTGCAAACACCTGACATATTAACTTTTCTAAAGGTGTAAGATACTCTCACATCTCTTTTATTAATTGTCAAACCATTCATGCCTTTAATTACATCTAATTTTCTTGGTGTGATGCCATGTGTCCAATCATACCTTGATTCACCATCCATTATAGTCAAACTTCTTCTTGGCAGCAAAACAGAACAACTTCTTCCATCATCATGTTTAAACTCCATAACAACATCAGACCCTAATGATAGTGAAATAATTGGACCTTCAAAAGCACTATGTGTGTCTACATGAGCTGGTATACCCTGCCCAGGATTATAACAATTCACAGTCAATTGATCAGGAGTTATATTCATGAACTTAAATAATTTCTCACAATGTGAAGGTATAGTTTCTTTAAGTGGTGAATTCCTATCAACATTATTGATTTCATACTTGAATTCATATCCAAAGTGCTTAACAAATCTATGTTTTAGCTGCTGATGTTCATTATTTTCTGGATCATTAAGAATAAAATTTAGAAATGAAGTTTCTTCATCTGCAGTTAAAACATTTTCTATTATTTTTAACCCTGGTGGTTTATCAAATGAATTTGAAGTTGGAGATGTTAAAGTAGAATTTGTGTACCCCAAATAAAGAGGTTTCTTGTCCTGAGCTAAGTTAAGAATGCCATTGCATGAGTTGTAAGCATGTTCAGCATCATATATATTTTGAAATATGAGGTAACAATAAGACTTTCCTGGTAACATATGAACGGCAGAAATTGGTCCATATTGGGTAAAATTCTCTATTACTTGTTCTGGGGTTAAACCATTAGAAAGGCCCGCATTACAAATAACGATATTCTGAAATAAACAAGTACAATCAGAACTGAATATGATTGAAACTTTAAATTAGGCTTACATTTGTTGGCTGGTCTGAAAATACAATATTAGCATCTTTTCCTATTATTGCTTGGCATCGCTGTTGTTTTTTAATGCATTTTTTAATTGAACTTTTACTAGTTTCCAACATTTTTAAAACTTGACTTTAAAATAAAGTTAACTAAGTCGAAAATTGGCGGTTATGTTGCTCATACATGCCAACAAAACCAAATGCCAGCAGAAAAGCGGCATTCTTGCATTTTAAAAGATTGTTTATACAAAAGACTTGTAATGATACATAAAAACCATTATTAATTTTATTTCTACAGATGCGGGTAAGTTTATTTTCTCAGATTTTAGGGGTATACTATAAGCATAAGGTTGAAAATTCAAAAATTAATTAATTACAGCGTTGCATTAACATTCGATGTACTTCTAGAATCCACATCAAAATAAACATCAATCTAGAGCAAATGAATTCGTTAAGTGCTGATACATAATCTCTGATTGCAACACTATCCTTAATGCTACTGATAGCAACGCATCATACAATACAGAAATTCTACTCCAATATTAAACTCGAATACGCATGCTTCGGGCAATTCTGACAAACGATGTCTATTTGGCATAAATAGTGAAGTTCATGACTCGGTAGCGTTGTTAGTTTCCTATCCAACGATTCAATAGAAGGTCAAGTGTTGTAATCATCGTAATGACGCGACAAAATTAAAACCTTTGCGATTTTATGCATTAGAACATTTTATCGTATTGTTATCTGCGTATATCAGCACTGCGTGCTGAAATTGAACGATTTTATCACTTGTATAACCTCAAGCCGCTTAAGTGTGTCTGCTAGTTAATGAAATATTTCTGTAGTGCGACTAGTGCAGTTCGGTAATGTGCCGGCATAGAAATCAAATCAGTTGAATCGTAAGCAAGTACAAAATCGTATTATTTTCGTGCTAACATCGTCGTTGAGTGCGCAAATCGTACACCTGCCGTTAAGTATTAATAAAGATGAATAAATCAGCGGACTTGCGAAGAAGAAAGGTACAACTTTGACTTCTTTTTGATTGTTGCACGAGCGCCAGAATGTTATTGTTTAATAGAGGAGTATTATTTTGATGTCATCAAATAGATACACGTTTATTAAGTAAAGTTGTGCAGATATAATTTTAGTTATTATTCATCAACTTGTAGATTTTGTCATCTCTATGAGTTGCATTGTAAGTTAGTGATAATATCTGTTATTTCTTGATCCACTAACATAGAAGTATTCATTCTCCGATGTTCATCATATCATAAAATCGACTTTAGAAACAAACAAATTATCAATGATTGTCACAATTCAATTCAAGGTCGAGTTTTTGATGGTTGAGCAAGTGTGTGTACAGCTTTTAGCAGGCACTTAATTTACCTTTTTTTGTTTGTAATGGCTATGGTTCTTTGCCCTTTCATACATAATTGTTATGAGTGTTTACATATTATTCACAATCGTAAAACGTTATCTTATCATTTGTATTCCTTGTACTTGTAGGCGAACGATAAGGAGAATGGCAGACCTGCGCACCCACGCAAGTCGAAGCAAAAAAGTCGTAACGTTGAGGCCAGCGGCATTTACAAATCGCTGATCTGTCTGCTGGTCAGCGGTACATTGCTCCTTTTTGTTACACTTTTATACACAGACAATGACATTCCGTGGCATGTTAGCAATCGAATCGTTGATAATGTGGCGAAGTCGATGGGCACACATTATCCCGTCTATGCGGTGGTGCTGGATGCCGGCAGCACGGGATCAAGGGTACTTGCTTTTTCATTCCACCGGGCCATTATGAATGGCGATTTGATACTTGATAAGGAATTATTCGAGTATACTAAGCCAGGATTGTCTGCTTTTGCTGATGATCCAGCCAAGGCTGCGGCCAGTATCAATAATTTGATAGAAAAAGCCAAGGATGAGATTCCGCAAGAGTATTGGCAGCAGACTGTGTTAATTCTTAGAGCGACAGCTGGACTTAGGCTACTCCCAGCTGCAAAGGCCAATAAATTACTGGATACTATTAGAGAACTGTTCAAGAAAGTACCTTTCCAAACCAGGGAGGATTCTGTTGAGATTATGGATGGGACTGATGAAGGAATCTTCTCTTGGTTTACTGTTAATTATTTACTACGTTAGTTATTAGTCTTTTTATTTATGAATCCACTTTATAACTATATTATTTATAGACAATAGCAAAGCTGCAAGAACTGTCGCTGCTCTTGACTTGGGCGGTGGATCCACACAAGTTACATTCGCGCCACAGACTCCAGCGACTCTCAAACAAAGAGAATTCATCCACGACGCACTTTTGGGTCAAGGAAAGACCCAAGTTTTCACCAACAGTTATCTAGGTTTAGGATTAATGGCGGCACGCAAGGAGATTTTAACGCACGACAACGATGACACTGCACATATTACCAGTATTTGCGTGAATCCTGTTATCAAAAACAAAAAGTGGCACTATGGTGGCACTGATTATCTTATCAGCGGTCCACAGGAGAATTATCCGACGAAAACTTATCCTAATACTGCGATCAGTCAACAGGAACATGTTCCAATTGTTGATTTAGATAAATGTAAACAGATTGTTCGCGACTATGTAAAGACCAAGGCAACACCATTGGCTGAGTTGTCAAATAAGCGCATCTTCGCTTTCAGTTACTATTTTGATAGGGCTGCTGAATGTGGACTGATTGATGAAACTAAAGGTGGATCTGTTACAATTGAAGCACTGAAACATGCACAAACTAAAGGTAATTTATATTTTGACAGTAAAATGTGTTTCTGACTAAAATATATTTTGTTATTTCTTAGTTTGTGAAGATCCAAACACTGAGCAGCCATTCATGTGCTTGGATATGAGTTTTATAGTGAGTCTATTGGAAGATGGACTTGGTTTGGACAATTCTACAACAATTAATGTAAGTACCTTTTAAATTTATTTGAAATTCAAGTTAAATTCATAAAAAATCTTGCAGCTTTATAAGAAAATTGACGGACATGAAATTAGTTGGGCTCTTGGTGCTGCATACAATCTCTTGCACGAGAATTTAAAATAAAACGCAACACAACGACCACAAGTGCCTTCAGATTTTATGGATGGGGTGTTTTTTCTTAATCATTTTGTCTTTGTTAGGCTGTGCAATGTTTTCTTGGGATTGTAATTGTAAATTAATCTGGTCACGAAACATTTCTACACAAAACTGTTAAACGCATTAATATATATATAGTTTTTATTATTACTTCTTTAAAAACGCATTGAAACCAAATTGTAACAAGACATTAACAGTGATTAAATTATACACAGTTTGGTACAATTGGTAAACACATATTGTAATAAGCTTTCTTATCCCAGAAGCTCATGTTTTTCCAACCGCACCAACCTTTACTTAAAATAGTCTTAATGTTATCCGCGCCAGTATAATGCGGATCCAAAATCAAAAACTTTATATCTCCTGTGTCGCGGTTGTAGTCCACGCCCAGGATTGTATGCGCCAAAACTCCACCACCTAGGATTTTTAAAAATGTTTAAAATGTTTTATGCAAAATTCATTTGTAATATTACCAATCATTATTGGTGTTCCATATGTTTGGAAATGATAGACAAGATCAGGTCCTTTGCTCGCCAAATCATCACCGGAGCTTACATTGAGTATCCTACAACTGATACCCAAGAGTGACTCCAAGACAAAGTTGACTTCTGTAGAGCCAATCCATTGACGTGATCCTACGAATGACGATGGTTTGTCTCCGATGTCATACAAACATTGTTGAATTTGTTTGAATGAAGGCACTGGCTTATCGGTGTATCCTTGAAGTAACAACCATGATGCTAAGGTTTGTAGCGAACGATACGCGCAACCCCAGCCGTCATCATCTAGTCCATCTTGTTTGTAATGGTAATATAAATAGTTACCAGAGACTAATGCAACTTCACCACCTTAAAGTAAAGATAACTGACAAGTTATTTATTTATCTACTTTGGAAAAGGGAATGATGGTATTTATATTTATTTATTGTAGGTTTCAGGTGGAGATTGTAGGTGGAGATTTTAGGTTTTTATCTTAGATTTTAGATTGAATAGAGACTTTCTCTGTGACTTGATTTACCTCCATTAGAAAGGCGAATATCTTGATGCGGATTCCACAGGCGTGTTTGCCCATTGGTCTGGCTGGTCTTGAAGTGGTAAATATTTCCGCGCCTGAAGATTGGACGGGATTTTGGTAATAAAAAGTTGCTATGAAGTAACAGTCTGACATTATCTAGAAAAAATATTATACAATATTTATTTATTTATTGATTAATTTATTATAGAATTTTACCTTCATCTTCTCCATATCGGTTTAATACCCTTGTAATAAAATGGCCGCATTTACTCGGGAAGAAATGGAGGATTTCCGGTTGGAACTTTTTTGGCAAGTTGTTATCGTTCTCGGTCATTATATCCATGATATAATTCCCTATGAGTTTTAGATTCCTGCAAGCACTCTCAACAAGAATAGTGTAAAGTTTATTTAAAGTGGTTTCCTTGTGCACCAATGAGATGGCATCTAGTTGAAGAACCATACTCAATAACTTCATTTCATCTGAAAATACATGTTTAAAATTACCTAAAATCCATAATATTTAATTATGATAAGTATACTTTGTTCAATTTGAATAATTGGTGCATGTGAAGTGGTAGTATCACTTTTTTCAAATGTTGCCTTTTTTAGCATAGTGATAGGTAGTACTTCCAGTTCAATATCATCAGTTTTATCTCTGGTATAATCAACTTCTCCATGTTTGGAGTAGAAGTCATTTAGTTTACCCAATGGCATATCTTCATTGAATTCTACTGAGCTAACAATATTGTTCTCACTTAATATGTAGATACCATATTTGTCACATTGAAATGCCAGCTTGCCACTGCTTATCTGCTTTCTGATCATTAGAAGTTCATCATTTACACTCTCAACATCAACTTCAGATGTTAGCAATATTGGTGCTTGTAATCTGACATGCATAAAATCAGCATATATGTTGCTGTCAGTGATAATACTCAGCTCTGCATTCTCTAATTTGTTGTTGATGATATGGTAAGCAGTAATGGTGTTTGGTTCAGGCACAGAAAGGAATATTGGATTGTCAGTAACATCAACATCCATCAGTATTTTATTGACTTCTTCTTTGTCAATTGCACCCATCTGATAGGCACCACACATGTCAATATTAGATGGAAATAGTAAATCTGCATAGGAATAATCATCGTTGCTGAATAAACCAAGAACATATTGTTTATCCTGATGAATTACACCATATAATGCACCACTTTGGTCAGTTTTACATGACTTTATTCTCTAAAATTGTAATAGTTGATTAGAAACCTAACAGCAGGATATAACATTGATAAATCAACTTACATCTATTACAGATTGGGATATTTTAATTTTCGCCTTCATGTTTCAGTAATTAATGAGGATATGAACACGTATGTCTCGTTTGAACATGCATGAATTTTGGAGCGATTTGGAAAGCTGGATGACCTCGCGCTAATGTCAAATAGTATCTGGTATCAATCATAGAGGGAAACACAGGTATGATTTTAATAAAATTTATTTTACCGTCGAAGCAAACTCGTGAAGCGAACACTCGATAAGATAAGATTGTTTACTAGCAAATTCTTAGAATTCAACAAAAACACCTATACAGAAATGCGAATTCTGTTTACCTATTGCAATTTTATTAAAGTGAACAAATTTAAATAACATTTATGTCTACATAAATTTTATTAAAAATTGTATGAAATGACATTAATTTGGATTTTAGTTTGGGTTTAATTTTGTCAGTCACGTGACTTATGGGAAGTACCGACATATTTATTTGCAGTTGATAATCACAGTGTATTGCGGTATGTTTGTTGTGCCAGTGTTCTTTACTTTCACCGAGATCGGTTTTCTTTAATGAATAAGAGATCAAATACTCGTTGTTCAACATGTACATCAAATACATGTTTATACTGTTGTTATTGAGCTGTGATAGTGTTCATTTGTTAGGAATTAGAGAACTGGATGAAATATTCAACGGCGATGAGTGTATTGAAGGTATGTGCATTAATTTATGCTTTTAAACATAGTTAGTGTTGTGTGGTTCCTAGAATTACTGTTATTGGCCTACAAATTAATTGCTGATTCGTTGTTTTGTCATGTTATCAACATAAGACGGTCAAGAAAATGCTTCAGAGGTTATAAAACTGAGACACCGTTTATTTTTGTCTAGTTACGAACGTGCAGTATTCGTGTAAAATGTGTTGTCTATATTAAAGGTGAATTCACGTTGGAAAAGTTGGAAACTGCCGCAGATTCTGAGAGTGAATATATTATTCCGTCAAGTAATTTAATACTTCTGAAGACGCAGGGAATTAATTTAGGTAAGTACAATTACCGAAAATTTAAACACAATTAAAACGGAAGTATTTGAACAAAATTGAAGCATTGAAAGAAATGATTAAATTAAAATATGTTTGTAATACAAAACAAAATCGTTGTTAAAAATCGTATAAATGTTAAAAACGACTAAGATTCGTTTCGGTTTATCGATATTCCACGGTCAAGATATCATTGTTTATCACAGCAGCACTGTCTAAACCGAAAAACAAGACGCAAAGCAACACACTTTTACTTTGACAATCAAAATATTAAATTTCTGTCTTTTATTCATTTTAAAATGAAATCATTTCTATTACAACCAGAATGCAAGTCTCGGAAGGGTTGTGAGTTGATTATTTTATGTATTTATTCCTTAGTGACTTGTAAATTTTCGTCCTTTTGTGCGTGGTTCTGCGTATCATCCTTTCTTCGGCTCCTTATAATTATTCACTTATTTTCCTAGAATTTAAGATTGCTTCGGAGTTTTTTTAAACAATCTCAAAGGCACGGTTCTTTAATATGCAGTTTATTGGTTTTCTTGGAAGATGCTGTCCAGTTCTTACGTATTTCTTTAATAAAAAAATATTATTACAAAATGTAGCTATTTAAAAAATATATTACAGCTTCAAAGGCGACGGAAGATACATCTATGTTGGTCGAACTGAAAAAAATCGCCCAAGAAGAAAAAAACACTTTAAATATAATCAACGAATTGGCGCAACTCAATAAAATTTCAATCGAATTTATTCTCATTGCGGAAGTGGGCGAACCTCACGAAAGAACTTATCGCGTTCGACTAAACCTCGGCGACGAAGTTTACATTGCATCGGCGAGGCAAATTAAAGCAGCGAAACGTAAAGCGGCACTAAACGCATTAGCGAATACAAAATACGAACGCCCACCGACCAAGACACCTGAGCAAATCAAGCGTGACGTTCAACAATTAACACCAACCGTTTACTTGAATAGCATCGCCGGAAAACTGGGCATGAAAGTCGAATATTACAACGATGCTGGTAATGTCCTCATCGATTCCAGTGACAAGTATGTTTATTATTCGTTGGATTCAACATCGCGCGATTACATGAGCGAACTTAACTCAACTTTTCCGGCTGGTCTCAAGGCGCGCGGTGTGGAAAACGAAGTACACCACGGCCCGTTTCGCGTGCGCGTCGACGTGGGCGACGAGAGCTTTATCGGCACCGGCTGGACCATACAGTCGGCGAGACACGATGCCGCGGAAAAAGCACTCGAAAAGTTTCGAAAAATGTCCCTGCAGGACGCCGATGAATGCTTAACTAGCGGCCAGTTGTGCAACAAGTTGAATATAAAATCACCGATTTCATTACTCCACGAAACGGCAGCGAAACATCAATGGGACCTCGCCTTTGATGTTATCAGCGAGTCGGGGCCAGCGCACAAGAAGTTATTCGTGACGCGTTGCAAGATGTCCGATTTAACTACGGAAGGAGAAGGTTCATCGAAAAAGGAATCGAAGCGGAAGGCAGCCGAGGCGATGCTAAAGATGTTGGAAAATGTCCAGCCGTGGGACTTGATTAACGTGCGAGGTGTCGAAAAGGAAAAAACGCAAAAGAATAAGAAGAAGAACAAAATCACTCGACCGGACATGCTGCGGCAGGCGACAATGAATGTGGTAGATGCGTTTGCGACAATAGCTGTCAACGACGGAAGCGACGGAAGCTCAAAAAGTGATAATGCGAATGAGAAAGGTCCCAAAGGTGACTTGTTGACCCTGGGGAGGGATATTGGCATCGGCGTTCGTTTTTCGTCCTATCTTGCTGAAGATGACGATCAGTACGGAAGTTTGGTCAGTTTGGATACGAACCCAGGGTATCACTGTTACAGTAAGGACCTGTCAGCGCAGCAGGCGGAAGAAAATGCCGCATTAAGTGCGTTAAAATTTCTCAAACACGTTGGACTCGATAATATCATGATACCGTTAAAAATCCCGAAGGGAAGAAAATGTAAGTGTTTTTAAAACAAATATTACAAATTTATCAAATTTATTATTTTTATTTTCAGTATATTATTGGAAAATACAATCAATGAACGTGAAAAACTAAACAGTAAGCAATTCTAATCCTCTTTTTTACAAATTACGATGTTCACTTTTGGTACAAACATCTTGACGTACATATTACAAACATCTACATAGAATAAAACGAAATGTTTTTAACTTTTTAACTGCCAAGAATTTCAGCTTTCCTAAAAATTCCATCCCACGCATCTTTTTAATTTGTCATAACATTCATTGGGCTCTGGCGTAGTTTATAATGGCTTTTAATCGCGCTAAAAATAGCCGACCCGATAGATCAATCGAAGAAACCTACCGAAATTCGCCTACACCGCCCACATTTTAAATTAACCGTCAACAAAACATAATGACGAGCATGGCGCGCATAAATTCAATATAAAAGTGGCAAAATCGGCGTACAAATAGAATGCGACTGCTTTTTTTTTTATTGCGCCGCGCGTTTAAAACGTCACCCCTCGCTCGATGTCCAATTTATTTGGAAAATAAAACGCCACCGACGTTAGCGAGGCGCGTAATCGTAACATTTATTACATTGTCATCCATGCGATCATGGAATTGCGAATTCAATCTTTTTCTCTCGCGCCTGGAACCTGGAACCAATTAATATTCGCCCGTAGTACGAGTCTCGCATAAAAAAAGATAGGATTGATTCATCGCTGTTAAAATTTTCTGTCTGTGTGCGTGTGTGTGTGTAAATGTTTGAAAAATACATTAATTGTTCAACACGTATCTACGTACGAACGATTTAATAGACAGATAAATTAGAAAGTTACTTATACCATTCTAGTTTCGCGCGTTTGTTCTTTATGACTTCCATCACCTTAAACTGGGAGGTCAAGGCTCCCCTAACGCCAGCGTACTTGGAGATCGATTGAATTTGTTGTGTACTTAATATTAAAATTCGTCGCTGATTCCATCTTTACGACGCATATTAATTAAGGCGGTCAACAAATTGTTAACCGCATGGGTGTTCCGTTTGGTAAATTTCGAACGAAAACCGATTAATTGGACCGGTATATGCTCTTAATCAGTATTTTTATGATTGTTACCGTTTGATCGCCGCCAGAGTAACGCCACATTGACATTTTTAAGTATGTAGGTATGTTGAAAGTTTAAAATTAGTTTTATGATGATTTGTGGTGTTTTAAGTAGTACGCACCTGCGCATGACACACGTCCAGGTGATTAAAGTGCATCCAGATGAGTGTGGACGGGATTTATGCGTGATGCGCTTTAATAATGGCAATGCAATTGTGGCGTCCTATATGTTGGTGTACGAATTGTTGAAAAATAAAAGCGGCCGATTTGATTATACGCGCGTTGAGAGAGGAGCGAGAAGTAAACCGGTCCGGTCCGGAGGAGGACCGTGGCGCGATGCGCGGCGCGCGCGTCGATTGCGCTTTCGTCCTGCTTGGCTCCCGCTTCGCGTCAGTAGACTGGCGAGCGCGGGCAAGTGAAGGCGAACGCGAGGTGATCGCGTGCACACAGCATGCGTCTGCTCTTGCTAGCAGCTGTGGTGATGTTGTCCAAGCTGCAGCCGCATGCGGCGCGGCTTACCGTCACCGAGGGCCACCACCATCAGCCGCATGACGCCTCTACCTCCTCCTGCCCGATACTCGAGGGCCAGTGCCGTTGTTCCGCTGATCTGCAGGAGTTTGTCTGCAAAACGGCCGGATTTACCACCGTACCTTCAACACTGCCAAATACCATTACCAAACTGTGAGTCTTCAACAAAACAAATACTCTTCATTCTATCGGTGTTGATGTGTTTATTTTTTATCTGAAAACAAAAAAGTTTTGAAAAAAAATTTGAACATCTGCACTTGCGCGCTCCGCGCTGTTTTTGAGTTATTCGCGTGTGTTGTTGGTGGCGAGATGGAAAGAACACGTTATTATGACATAACGAGTAATATAGGTGAGACGTTCTCCGTCGTGTGGTGTCTCGTTATGCAAGACTTTGTTTTGTCTTGCTCTCGCTCGAGTGGAACGACTTTGACTCCGATCAAGTTGTCATTCACAAGAACGCCGCATGTATCACGCGCCGGCGAAAACGCGCCTTCCGAGGAAAACGCGCGCGCGTTTATGTGTTAATATTTATAAACCGGCGCGCCGCCGGCATGCCAATAAGGCCAAACCAAACCAAATCTACGAAAACGAAAATCCATTACGTCCCTCCTGTGCGCTACTGATAATAAAACAAATAAAATCGATGTCGGTTTGCGTTTACACACTGGCGATTTATAATTTCGCTAATGCCCGTTTTATTAACTCACTTTTGCAAATGTTAATGTCGGTTTGGCTGAGAGTTTAATCCCGTACACTTATTGGGAATTTATCGTTTCAACCAACTTGCGGGATGGTTGGCTCCGGTCGTTTAGCTCCCCGCCGCAATTGTAATAATTGCTTCTTGTGTACTTATTTCAACTGCAGTGCAATTGCAATTCCAACGCAACCCAATTTTGATTGTTTAATACTTTAATAAAATAGCGCACATTATCGCGCGCTTCGCATGCGAACGCTTAGAAGTGCAATCAATCGGTAATGATAAATAGCTTTTGTTAGACAAATAATAAATGGACTAGCTCCTCGGGACAAAAACTAATGTAGTCGAATGAGGGTAGAGAAGAAAAAAAATCATCCTTAACTGCCTCCACGCGAGCGGCGGAAAACAATGCGCGCTCGTATATATTCTTTTAACTTTTATCCTGTTTTCTACAATTTGAATAGTTTTCCGATCGCGGCGGGTGTGTTTTTTATTGTTAACGGAATACCAATATTTTTTTTACTTTTTAAATTTATTGCCTCATTCAAAGTACTTCAGTTTGCTTCCGTTTAGAACCTCCTTGAAAATCACGCCAGGGTAATATTTTAAGTATTTAAGTCATTAACAGGTCACGCATAATTAAGTACCTTTTAACATTTTCAAAGTTAAAATAGGTCTTTGTTATAGTCTACAGTTAAAATCGTATTTATACAGCGTTTTTCTTTTTTATTTTCTTCAAGAAACAATAAAAAATTGCTCATTTGCCATTTTTATAGGTTATGTAATATTTTGACAGCATTGCGTTGCGTAGGGTCGAATGACAGCCATTGTAACACTATTTTAAGGACCTTTTCTTCACAAAAGTCTTTCCTCCTGCCGCCGAAACAATTTGTAACATGTTCATGTTTATATTCTTGTTGTATAGCAGATGGGAATAGGGCAGGACCCTGCGCTAGACCCTGTTATACGATGCTTATCAATTTATGGATGATTTATAGTAGAAAATTTGACGCCAACTTATCGCCCCTCGCCTGAAAAATGTAATTCGATTTGCTTCGCCACCTCCGACGCTCCGGGCGTCAACGCAAAGTGTTTGTTGCGCCGCGTGCACGAATAAACTAGGTAATTGGCGAGTTATAGTCTTCGGCGTGTTATCTCCTGCGATTGTGTCATGAGCAAACTTCTGGCGTGTTTATTCGTGCGGCTTTGGAGTGAATCAAATTAACCACGAGTTGCGATTAATTGTTCGGGAAGTTAGGAGGGTGGGCGTGTCGCGGAGCCACTTGGGCGGAACGATATCGTGTGAAGACGCCGCCGCTTCTGTTCTATGTTTGTTTCCAAAGTGTTTGTTGTGCTTCCACATACGCAGCCGGGATCGATATATGTAGAAGATTTCATTTGCAAGGTATCTCGTTCTTTTGTTGCGCGCCGCTAACCGGCAACAATAAGTGCACAACAAAACGAGTCTGTGCGTTTAGCTGGGCAAAAATGTGAATTTGTATTTATATGCGGGACTACTCCCTTATACATCCTTTATTCGTGCGGCGCGGAATATAAAAGGAAGTGGCGTAAATATACAAAACAAGGCGCAAGTAGCTGTTGAAGTTGCTTGCGCGGAGGCAATCTCAAAAGCCCTCGCTAAGGAATTCGTATTTTGCGAATGCCATTGGGTCGTTGCGACTTTTACAGCCGCCGATTTATTATGTCATCTATATCGCGAATGTTATATATCTAGATAGTATACTCACACGGAGGCAAATTGGGATATTATAATCATTTTTCTATTGCTCTTTTGCTTGCGTAGCCAAAAAAACGCACAGTTTTTATGATATGAAAATTTCATCTGGAATTTGTTGACGTTTTTTCTGTAAATTTAAAGATTTATTATTTTAACTCTGTGAAACTAGGCTAGCAAGTACATTTAGAAGGGTTCATCGTCTAATTTAAAGCAAAGGGTACTAAAAGTTGTGTGAAGTCTTAAATCCCATTCCGTTTAAGCGAACTTTTTCCTCGAAAAATCCGTTTCCTGTTTTGTTTTGGGAGCGTAGAAGTAGTTTCGAGGAGTTTTCCACAACTCGGAAGTGTTTAGTTGACGAAGTGGGCCTATTTAAGTTCTCAGCTGCGCGAAGACTCGAATTACACGTTACTTTCGTCTCGGTCTCGAGTTCGAAATATTAATTGTGCTTCCACTGTTGGCCATCTTGAGTATATCGAATAACAACAAGAGTTGTTGTGCGGAATTTAATGAAAATCTGCGTGCTGCATACGATTTTTTTTACTATTGCTTGGATAGTGGACATCAAGTGATGGAAAGTTTGGTGGTTATTGTGGACGGAAACGCATCGTAAAAGCAGCCCAACGGCTAAAGTTAGGTTTTGCAAAACCAGAAAGAAACGTGAAACTGAAGCGAAGAAAAAAAACAGCGCGAGGGCACTGTGTTTACATGACCGCTTTATACAAGCACCAAACCGTCGACGACGACGACGACGACGGCCATTCTTTTCTAGTTCAGATAAACAACGCACTTTATCTGATTGCAGTCGTAGGAATATGGGAGATTCCTGCTGACCACACACATTAATTTCGTATGTAAAAGAGGTCGAAAGGCCGAACGGGAAAATTTCGCATCAAAAAGTTGCAAAATCGATTATTGCGATGTTGTTGTTTCGTTCGACGCCTGCAAACCACTGGAACTGATGACGTTGTTTAAGTGACCAGAAAAGAACGTACAGTACTTAGCTAACAAAAAGTTTTTGGCGCAGTTGGCGTTAACATTCGCAACGGAAGAAAATATCAAGGATTTGTGTGCGGGGAAGTTTCAATTACTTAAAAACAGACTAAACTTGGATGAGTGTTGGAAGTCGACACCTCGAACTTTCAGTGGCACGCACCTTTTTGATATTCCTCATATCGCTTCGTCGCCAGCACGCCTGTGGTTACGTGCCGGCAGTGCCTTCAACCTTGATGCTTTTGACGAATTGCCACCGAAATATCGTTTTCTCTGTATGCGCACTGCCATAAGTTACATACACAACACATTGAATAGTTCGTATACCTTTGCATTCACTCCACACTCCACCAATCTCCACGAACTGTTTGTAATTTACATAATCAAGAAGTTGATGTGATCTCATTTACCCCGAAACTTAATTAAAGCCAGTGTGACCTTTCACTGGATGTCAAACACCTTTTGTCACCGAAACTCGTTCGTTCCGAGTTGGAACTTGAATCGAATATGTCGATAAATGCTGTGCTACATTGTGTAAAATGCAAGTGTGATCATTATATCGCCGGCGTGCGTTCGTGAATAATACATACCGCACCATCACAGCACGCTTGCTGTTAATGGAGGCCAAGATGACACCAACCCATTCAGGCACATGCTCAGCCCATCGTATAACCATTCCCATAATAGTGTAGCGTTCGCTTATCCCACAAAATCGTTCAACGCGCGTTATATTGGCAAACAAGCTATTTGTTGTCTTTTCCTTGATATTCCGACCATGTAAGCGTAGTTTCCATGATAAGAATATCATTTTAAGAAGCCATCAATCATGCTAAGCTAAATTTTGAATCTAACTTTATTACAAACAAGAAGCAATAAATGTTTTAATTAATTTTCTATCATCTTTGTTGATGTTGTTTGGCTAATGCGTTTTCTAGACAATGTTTTCATGCATACTTGTCGCGAGAAGAGCGTCTAGACACATTTTACACACATTGGTGTATGGTATCATGTACAAGATAATAGCCACACACACAAATTCAGTTTAATAAATGAAGTTTTGAGGGGGGTCTTGCGCTGCGCTCGTTTTTCCTATAATGAACCTATGGAAGACGAAAGTTACATTCATCGTGTCTTCGGAGAATTTAATTTTCTGCGAAGTGTAGGCGAAAACGAACGAAATATAATTAGTTTAAGCTCATTGGGAGAAAACGTCATTTCGCCGTTGAACAAACGATATTAGAATTAAAACACCACGCTAAGAGTTAATATGCTTAGTGCTGTAATTTTTTTTCGGCTAACAAAAATAGAATTCTGGACGCATTAGCTGTAGATTAAGCATGTAGATTTAAGTTTATCGCAAATTGGGCGGACGAGCGTGCGAACAACGAACATGTGCGTTCTAAAAACTATTAAATGGAGAAAAAGAACGGAAATTATGAAAGTAATTAATTAATCGCAATAGCGCTCGCAGGCTTTTCGGCGCAGATACGAAACCGAAAAAAGCGAACATAATTGAAAATGGAAATTGTGTGCGTACCACCAACGTCGTTTCGAAAAGCAGATATAATGTATATATTCACATTTTTGTTGACCTGGTTTATGCAACTAAACGAGCGCGGCAGTTCCGAACTCGTAATAGTAAAAAAATATTAAAACAGGAACAGATCCCATCATCCGCATCGACGAATAATGCCTCTAGGAGATATTGGAAACATGATTTGTAATTTT